GGAGACTTTGGTGGTGATAACATGGTGATGGTGGTAATGGATTAATGGTTGTGGTGGTGGTGATTATAAATGGAACGAGACGTAGTGGCCATTATGACTTTGAGGAGGTCGACGATGACGAAAGGTTTCTCTCTAACAGCGTGCTGGTGTGATAGTGGTTGCGGTGATGGTGTGGTGGTGGAGTCGTGGAGATGGTGGTGATGACATGGTGAAAATGGTGGTGGTGGTGTTTATAAATGGAACGAGACGTGGTGATTATGACTTCGATGAAGTCGACCATGATAAAAGGTTATGGTGGTGACGGTGTGATAGTGGTTACGTTGATGGTAGAAATAAATAGTATAGTTAAAAAGAAGAGTGAAAAGATGGTAAGAAACAAGGGTATAATGGCAAATATTATAGAAAATATACTGAATGTTATCCACTTTTTTGGTTTTGGTTAGTTAGTGAATTATTAAATTTTTGTTGGTTATTGATGCAAATTTTCCTTCAATATACTTATGAATATTTTTGTATATTGAATTATATTATATAATTAAGGATTTTAGAAGTTTTGCATACTATAGAAAATCAAAAGTCTTATAATTGCAATAATACTACTGAAAGTTGATTAAATTTGTTTAATCTCATAACTAATATCTTTTTTTTGTTTTAAATGAATTTTATTCTGGAGTTTTTTGTTTTAAAAAATATTGTTTTCATATTCCATCTGTTTCATAATATAAGTTGTTTTGGAAAAAACTTTTTTGTTTTATAATATAAGATGTTTTTAAAAATTTTATGCAAATTATAGATTAATTTAATATTGTATAATTATTTATATCATGCAATTTATTTTATGATTATTAAAATTTTAAAAATATATATTTTTTAATTTGCGTGTTTTTAATTAAAACATTTTATACTTTAAAACATAAAGAGTACTAAACTATAAGTAACTAAGGAGTTATGCTGTCTGGTTCTCAATGTTGATCAACATAGCTGTCCACATCAGGTAACAAATTTCTGGACTATTCTTTTTAAATGAAGTTTATTACGTAAGGAGAAAATTGTTTCATGCCTTTTAACAAAACAAAAATAGAGAAAATTGTTTACTTTTGCTTGCAAAACAACACAGGGAGATTTTATAGAATTTAGGATATAGTGATATATCGTCAAATTAATCTAACAATATATAGTTTTTTTTTTTTGATAATAACTAACAATATATAGTTGATAAATATTTTAATTTTCCACGTATAAAAATCTAAATCGACATTTAATTTAAAACTGATTGTGACACAACAACATCACAAACACAAACAATTATTTCATGACTTGATCAATTAATGATACTTATATCTAGTTAACTCATCACAAATTAAATTTTGAAAATCTTTTATGGTTTTAGCTTTTTCGCAAGATTTTTTTTTGGTAAAACTTTTTCGCAAGTTATGATACGGGTTTATTAGTGTCATTGTGTCATGATTTCGCATAGGGCCCTTTTAGATCTTACATGTTTGATCATTTTACGTGGATTACTCTGTGCATCTGTTGTTAACAGTAAATCGTTTATGCATATAAATAATATGTCGGGAGTGATCATTATATTAGATGGCTAAAAGTTGATAAAGAATCGAATATTGTCACGAAAACAATTTTAGGAATAGTTCATATGTATTCAAAATATACTTAGTGGTTGATATGAATGAGTTTGATGGGACAAAATTTTACCAATTGTTTTGATATAAAATTACTCATATATTTTATTAATCAAGACATGTAGTATAAGTAGTATATTGTGTTAGTGCAGTTATGATATACCAAAATTTAAATCCTCTCAATGCACATTCGTCATATATTTCATATCAAATAGAGTAGTTTCAACCAAATTGGTATCTTAAAAACCATAAAAGAAATTGTTTAAATATTTTTTTTTGAAAACTAACTAAATGTTGATCTTTAAAATTATTTAATATAAGATTTAAAATGTATAAAATTAACAATTGAATTTTTGTTTACTAAATTAATTTTGAAATGATTAAATTTAGCTGACGGTAAATAATATAACGAAATTGAATAGTTGTATATTTAGAAAAATAAGATGAAGTCATGTGAGTGGAAAAAATTTCTTATACTATTTTCTCATAACGTTGTTTAAGTAATATTAAGGAAGACCAACTTTACAATGCATATGTTATAATTATTTTTGAAACATAGGACTGATAAAATCATAATCATTTTCTCTTTAGCCATATATATTTTATCAATTAATCTATTTTTAATAGGAGATCCAATTATCTGAAATGTTATTGTAATATGTTTCTTCTTTATTATTATTGTATAGGTTAAAGCATTGACATTCTTTTTGTTTTCAACTAACTTTGCACTAATTCTTGTAAAAATCTCTGTGTGATCAATTAAAACTTTGGCGAATACTTGAAAAACTATCTAAATTATTTAGCTAGGGACTATATATTTTGCCTACTATAGTACTACTTGGATGGTTTTGAAATTATGGTATCTTTTTATGCCGCAAAAAAAAAACTATAGGTACACGGACTAAAAGGAGACAAGAGTATATATCGTAGCCTTAGATTTATTTTCCACCGTGTTTCTAAATAGGATTCTTTCAATCAAATGATTTTTCTCTGAGATTTTGTCTTTGATCACATTTAAGTTCTTTATCTCTATTTGTTCAAGCGACCAACCAACTTTGTTACACAGCAACCCTAAGTCGTATCATAGCCATCCAATTCTCACTTCTTCTATTCCGCATAAAAGTTCGATAATTATCAATGATACAGTGCTTAAAACAGACTAATTGAAAGATGCCACCTAGTTAATATACACATTAAGTTGAGCTACCATTAGTTCTTACATATGTCAACATCAAGAATAATTTGTTTAAGCATGACATGATTAGATTAATAAAGCATATACCCCACACGCCGAAATGTTTTTCTTATTTTTTATCCTTGATTTTTTCTATGGTTAAATTTGACCGTCTAAGTGGATTGAATGCAAATGTGAGTGTTTAATTATCATCGCTAGTTGGAAGATCAGGTTTTTGATTTGAATATATGGATTGTTATGGTCATCATTTTACGAACATTCGAAACTTACATAGTCGAGTAATTTTGATGTACAAAAAAATCATATTGGTTTTAGAAAAAATTGCAAATCTCAAACAAATTTGGTTTTTAAAGCAAGTAGAAAAAGAACAAATGTATGTTGCAGCCAGAAATAGGGGGTCAAAAACGGTGAAAAGGTAAGTTTTATTTCTCAATTTTTTTTCTTAATCAATATGCAAGTAAGTTGTTTCGAAGTGGGTATATGATTTTAGAGTTGATTTCAGTTTGATCAGAATTTGTTGTCCAGCCTATATTTTTGTTATTAAAGACGTGTGAATCAGACACTGTTGAAAATATTTTCTCTTAGACAAATTTACATATTTTTAATGTTTTCTAATCTTGATGTTTTTAATGTTTTCTAATCTTGTCTTGTTTTATAAAAAAATAAGACATATTTTTAAATTACATGATATTGTTGTTACTATCATTTTAAAAACATTACTATACATTTTGTTGTTATATATGTCTATACTAACAACTGTTTGGCGTTATAAAATAGTTTACCAACCAGTAACATATATAAAATACATTTTATAACACGACCAACAAGTTATAGTATTTACTTTTCCCCAAAATAAAAATTTGATTCTAGAAAATTCATTAATAGTAAAATTTTATTTCCTTCAAAATACATTTTTGTTCTGTTTTTCATATAATATATAAACATGTATCAGTATGATAACAATGATTTTCTCAACATTTCTCTCCTATATAAAATTTAAACTATTGAATGAATGTTCTTGCTACAAAATTATAATATTTTTTCTAAGTTGTCATCAAGATTCTATTACTTTTAAAAGCCAAAATTTACTAATCCAAATCTAGTAGATAGATTTTACAATTAATTAAGCACATTTATTGATTTAAAAATCAATTTTCACTCTATAAATCGTTAGATCCAATAGTTGTATCTATATAAAGGCAATATGCTTTCGGACCCATGCATGGTTTTTGATGTTTTTTTACGGTTATTCCATTACGGGTAGGGTTGTGATAAACGATATGATGATTTCATAAAAAATAATAAATCAGCGGTCATTGTCTCCGCATGGTTCGGGGAAAAAAATACTCGTATAAATAAGCCTTTAGATTTCGAATTTATAAAAGCTTTGACGTCGGCTGATACATAGAAACAAAAAAAAACTTTGATGTCAAGCTCTCTCTCTGTCTTTCTGTCCATCAATACGCATTACACACGCACAATAGAAGCAAAATATTGTTTGAACACCTAAAAGGTGATATACGACATAATTATCATCCCAAACAATCTCTAAATTTTGGGATATAGCTTTCGTTAGATTACATTTTGACTCACATGATATACGGCAAATAAATATTAAATACATGGCAACGTATAAAGATGATAACTCAACATGTTATATTTTCTCTCTCTTCGAACATGAGTGTAACAAGACGAACCCCAAAGCCTGCAAAAACACACAGAATCTTTTCTTTGTTTTTGTGGACCGGTCTACAATCTCACGTGCAAAACAAAACATATACGATCTCTCCTCTCTCTATATCTCTACTTTTTCTGAACTCAATTGTTTTCGATTTTCTTCGGACCTTCTATTGTTAAATCAGCTTTATAACCTCACAAGCTTCTCGTCTCTTCCATAGATCAAACCACAACTTTGTTTGACCCTTTTTGAGTATTTCTCTTTCTTTTCTTCTTCAATTTTGCTTAGTTCTCTGAGAACGAATTTCTGTTTTTTTTGCTTTTAATCTTGTAGAGGGATAATTACAAGTTTAATTTCCCTAGAGTGTCTTTACCTTTTGCCTTGTCTCCCTCTCGAGACAAAAAGAGAAAGACAAACACTTTCTGTCTTCTTTTTTTTTCCTCTCTATTTCTCTCTCTCGCTCGAAACCTTTTCATATTCAAGTGTAATTTTTATATTTCTTCAAGAATTCTTCTACCTAATTATGGCCTTAGAGGCTGTTGTTTATCCGCAAGATCCATTCTCCTACATCTCTTGCAAAGATTTTCCTTTTTACGACTTATACTTTCAAGAAGAAGAAGATCAAGATCCACAAGACACCAAGAACAACATTAAGCTAGGGCAAGGACAAGAACCTAATGGGTTTGCGAGTTATAATTACAACGGTAAAAGCGGAGATAACAGTGATAATTATAATTACAACGAAGAGGATCTTCAATGGCCACGAGACCTTCCTTATGGATCTGCCGTTGAAACCGAGAACCAGCCTCCACCGTCGGATGTGGCTGCTGGAGGAGGGAGGAGGAAAAGGAGGAGGACGAGGAGTATCAAGAACAAGGACGAGATTGAGAACCAGAGGATGACTCACATAGCGGTCGAGAGAAATCGCCGGAAACAGATGAACGAGTACCTCGCCGTTCTCCGTTCTCTTATGCCACCTTCTTATGCTCAAAGGGTTAGTCATCTACATACAACAATTATATGTATATATGTTTGTGTGAGCGCGTGATATTATTCAGTGCTTTAGCTTTAGCTGTATTTCTTGACGTGTCAAAGAAAAAGAACAAAAATAAGGCAGAGCCTATGTTCTAGACTTCTAGCTAATTAGGACATATATAGGCTATACATATAGATATGCATGTATGTTTTATATTTGCTTTAAAATATAAATTTGAGAATGATGATAGATGAATGAAAGCCGTTATATATATTGACAAAAAAAAAACAAAACGAAAGTCGTTATTTCTTTTTTTTTTTCATATTATTAGATCATGCATGTTCTCTAAATGAAAATTTTGTTAGTGGAATTGTGGGAGCATAAATAAAGTCTTGAACATCATTGCATCCAAAAAGGACTATACATAATATAGATGTAAGATGAGATGGTGACATAATATATTTAAAAAAAAATTAAGGTACGAAATATAGAAATGTTTGATTGTTTTTGCAAAACCTTTTGCAATTTCTATGGGCTAGCTAAACTAACCTATGGTTGGTGGTGGTTAAAGGGAGATCAAGCGTCGATAGTAGGCGGAGCCATCAACTACTTAAAGGAGCTTGAGCATCATTTACAATCAATGGAGCCTCCGGTCAAGACCACTGTCGAAGACGCCGGAGCCGGCTGCGACCAGATCAACACAACCGCAGCTAGCTCATCGGGACCATTCTCGGATTTCTTTGCATTTCCTCAGTACTCGAACCGGCCTACGTCTGCCGCGGCGGCTGAGGGGATGGCGGAAATAGAAGTGACAATGGTGGAGAGCCATGCGAGTCTGAAGATACTTGCTAAAAAGCGACCGAGACAGCTTCTTAAACTGGTCTCATCGATACAGAGCCTAAGGCTCACTCTTCTCCATCTCAACGTCACCACTCGAGACGACTCCGTCCTCTATTCCATCAGCGTCAAGGTACATTTTTTTCTCTCTTTTTTTTTTTTTTTTTTTTTGCTAACGAGATTAGAGTGATCATGATATATAATACCGTTTTTTAGGGTTAGTGGGTTGCAAATTCGCAAATCCAAATTAAAGTGGTATCTAATTAATGGGTGACTAATCATTATTCTCATTGTTAGTTTTGGGTCAATGATTCATTAATTATTTTCCCAATCACAAATGTTTTGTTCATTTAATGTGTCTCTTATTAGTACGTGCTGTGACTTAATTGTCTGGGCCAAAAAAGGTTTTCCAAGAACAAAAATATAAATCGTTCCTTTTTTTCTCGTTCTTTTTTACTTGGTTAGGGCTGGCCTCAATTATTGGGGGGGTCAAAATCATCATTTCTTATTTATTAAAAAATAAACAAAAGTACTATCATAATATTGATTCTTGTAAGAATCAGGGACCAAAAAGATGACATATGCCTACACATGTGTGAATGTGTGTATATATATGTGTACTGGGCATGTTTGGTGGTCACAGAACTGTGGATGCACTGTGCACGGCAGAACGAAATGACGCCACTTGTTTCAGGACACATTCATAAGCTTCTTCCTCGAAATATAAACATTTTCTTTAATCATCTTTTTACTTTTTTCAATGACTATATCAACCCTTTTCATGTAACTTATATCTTTTATTTTTTAACTTTAAAAATAATGGGTTTATTCAGGTTGAAGAAGGTAGCCAATTGAATACAGTGGAAGATATTGCAGCAGCTGTGAATCAAATCCTAAGGAGGATCGAAGAAGAGTCATCCTTTAGCTAATATTGTTGAATATTAGTTATGACACATTTAGAGGAACTCTAATTTTTCATGTGTGGTCTTTTACTCTCTCTTTTTCATATATTAAACTAAATAAAGTTAAATATTAAAAAATTTAATATCTTACTCTCTCTTTTTCATATTTTTTTTTCACTTTTCTTTTTGTTAAGGTTAATTCTAATGACAAAAAAAACTTTGCTAGGAGCCTAGGATTTTTTTTGTGTGATTGACCTTTAGACCTGATTACAAAAGAGGAACTAGCTTATAAGGGATTCTATACGAGAATAGTAAGCTTGAGCAATTGATTTTGCTCAATGCTCAAACACAAAAAAAAAAAAGACTTGAGCAATTTGATTAGTTGTGCGATAGCTGAAAATATTTGAACCAATCCGTGAGGTAAGTGAGGCGTTTCTAAAGGACTCAGGATCGTAGGATGATGATGGATGCTGCCGTGTTTCCGATGTGTGAAGTTCCTTTGTTCTAAATCTCATAAACATAAGCTTGAAAAATGAGTTCATGATGCAGTTAATCATGGTGAATGATGAAGGAGCTTTGATCCATACTAAAACGAGGCTAGAGCGATGGCTTTAATTAGATGAAGTAATATCTAAATGTGCGGTAAGAAAAAAGTTTGATATGAGATTCACATGTTCCTGAATCAGATGTTTGAATACTTATGACATCTAAGACACCCGCGAAGGGCCACTATTCGATCTTACATAAACAATGACACAATATTAGTTTGGGGTCGTCGAAAACTTAATTCTTAATTGGAGAGTTTTTTCAGACTCAATCCACTACTAGTTTTTGGGTAAGCAAACACATTGAAAATTCTCTTTAGCTTATTCATAATTAATACTTAAACCTAGTTGCATTTTGACATCACATGAAATTTGTACAAAATTCTCAAAATATTATTCGGTTTCCTAATCAAAGGAAAATTTGATATCAAAACCCACTGAATATTTCTAACTTTTTTCCTTTATCTTAAATTCCAAAACTTATTCTCTGACCACGCCACAAATCAAATTCTTCTCTAATAAATGCTCACTTGCTTAAGTATACCATGTTCCAAGCTCTATTATATATTCCATCAGTCGTAATAATGTTCCAACAACAATGTCTTCCTTTTTTGTCTTAGCACTGCCACATCTATCCTACTATATATATACTGCATGCGTATAAGACTGGTAATCCGTTTCAGATAATTAGCAATTTCAGAACTACAAAATATTATCGGCATTTTACCAAGAAAATAAAAATAAATAATCGATGTAGTTGGTATAGTATAATGATATGGATCAAAATCTAATATATATAATTATTTTGAAAATGTGGTTCTTTATACTTTTCTCCCTTTTGTTTCTATACTAGAATAATTCCCCTTCCACCAGAGCAAAACAAAAGTAATTTTAAATAATTAAAAAAGTACAGTATAAAACAGGTTTCTTAGTTTATGTCTCATGGAGAATGATTTTTTTGTAAGAATGTATAAGTTTTGTAAAGAATAATGAGTGTAATATAAATTTCAAAACTATAATAATAAAAATAATGAGTGTGATATGCTCCAATGACTTCAACCTTTCTCATGATTGTTTACTGAACAAATGCTTTGAATTCGCTTTAACGATAATTCTACTTTGACATTTCCTGCCTCATTGATTTTTAGAACTGAAATAATTCGAAAAAATGTATTTACGAAATAAACAAAAGGAGTTGTATATAAATATACCAACGGAGTCAGAGTTCTTACATACATCCTCGCGAGTACTTGCTTGTATGAGTTCCATGCAGTCATGCACTCATGCAGTTTCTTACTCGTTCCTCGGTTTTCTTGGTTTGCCAATCAATTGAATGACATTTGAGTTTACTAATTTTAATTTCACCTAGGAGAATAATTAGAAAATTTATTTTACACTTTCACTAGTAGTATTTACCTATAGGAAGAAGGACTTTACGGTACACATTTCTGGATTAAATTTTTTAAAAAAAAAAAACGCAAAACATTTTGGTGGATTTTCATGTGAAATTTTGGTATTAATTAAGCTTAGTTAGATTTCAAAAAGGGTTGTTGGTTTATTATAATTTCAAATTAATCCACCGTTTAAGAGAAAGTGTGATTAAAATTTTTTGTCAAAAAGAATTGGACACTTTCTATACGAAGAGATGATGAATTATATTGACCTCCTTCTTATATCCAGTCAGCAATGTTTTTTTTCTCTCAAATTATCGTTTTGCATCAACATATATAACACCACTTAGAGTCTAGATTAACACCATATTATACATATGGGATTACATAATCCCAATTCCCAACAAGGTACAAACAAATTAGGAGACAGAAGAAGTTAAGAAACTGATTGACGAATACAAAGTAGAGAAACTTACGATCATGAATCATGATGAGGACAATGATATATCCAACAACTCTTTTTATATTCCCTTGAATTAATCTTTAAACTTTTTTTTTTCTTGAAAACTTGGAGGCATAGAATCAGCAGTACATGGGATTCACGCAAGAAGACGATGATGATTGTCGTATCATGAAGACATATCAAAGATCTTTCGAATCTCTGTTTTTTTTTTTTTTTTTTCACTTTTAGGGTTAAAAAGCAAAAGCCAGGAAAAGTAAAAAGTAAAGCCTATCGATGTGATTACACCAAAAATCAAAATTTTATTCCCTCTATTTTTATCAATAAGGATGGACCTCCATTATATAGCTGACTGTTAGATTTTAGCATCTTTTTCATGATTGAGACTTAGAATCATCAACTTTTCCTTAACTTTGCTTTAAGTAAATTTTGGTTTTAGATGTGATTGAAGTGGATATATTTCTCCACCGCTGGTTTATATGATCATAAGGGAATAAATGTTTTCACATAAAAAAGTGAAAAACAAATTTGAACACCATAGGTCCATAGCTTTTTCATGTCTATGTCTATATCATATGAGGCTTTTAAACCTCATAAAAAACGACGCCGTTTAAAGTATCCGATTGGGTTAAAATGAGTATAGGTGTTAGGCCATTTATGGATTTGGGCTTCTCTGAATCAAAGTTATGGGCCCACATTTTCCTCTGTTGCATCATAATATTCTTCGTTACCATTTTATGGCAACAAATGGGTTAAAAGTATTTCGATTAAACGGGCTATATATGTGAATCTTTAACCATGCTTGTATGAACTAGGAAGTATTTCGATTTTTGAATAAGTCATGTTAGCTATAAAATTGCAAAAGTCATACTCATATGATATTAAATTTGATAATACAACCAGTACATGGTGGTCTAAGTCTAACCTTCATGTGGTGGACCAATTGATCACTCTAGAATTCATTTCAATTGTTATCCAAGGTGGGTTTGGGGAAAACTCTTTTTCCAATTAGTACGCTCATCTCTAGAGTAGACGACCACATTTTTAAAAAAATTGAATATGTGATGCTTAATCTAAAAGCATGTATATTTTTGAAATAGTCTACGAATTTTCAAAACTTTTTTTTTTTTGATAATTAGAGAGTGATCCGGACTTTTACCATTCAATTATTCCCCTAAAAGTGAGTGTATCCGTCGAGTAACCTTTTCACTAGAGTTTTTAATAGGCCTAAATCTAATACAAAACATCACTTCGACATGCCATTTGGAAATAGATCCTGACCTAGATATATATATATATGACAATTTCTTCTCAAGTGAAAACCACTAGACCTCTAACTTGGTTAAATTTTGGAATAATTTATCACAAATTGGGGTTTAGAAATTATTATGGACTTCTACCTTCTTTTTTTTTTTAGTCGGCAGAGTTCTACCTAGATCTCCTGCTTTGTCAAATTGAAGATAGAGATAATTTATACATGGGCGCACATATGTGAAAAAAGAAAACAAAATAGAGTGTGTATACAATATACACTTTAATACACATGAACACTTCTGCATTGTTATGTACTCATTTTACATTCGAAAAAATGGTTTTGGTAGAGACTCTTTACTACAGCGGAAAAATCGAACTCTTGTTTTTGTTGAAACATGATACAGAGGAGGAGCTTCCATTTGTCTTCAAAGTGCTCGACGAAATGTCTGACTGACTACTTTCCTCTGTATCTTCAGTTCTTTCGCCGTTCAATTCACCAGAATCAATGGAATCACAACTTCTCCGTAATTGGTCGACGTGACCACCGTTTTTCTCAGAGCAGCTTGCTTCGTCTTCTCCGATGGGTCTGGTGAATTCCTGACTCTGTTTCTCGCATGATTTTCCCGGAAACTTTACACTTTCTATATGGGTTTTCGTATGCGAGAGAGAGTTTATTGAATCTCCTCCATTTGGATCCATACACTCCCTAAAAACCCTAACTTTCTCTTTCGTCTCTGTTTCAGATCCATCACCGTCGATTTCCTCCAAACCCCGATTAATCTCAATTCTTACATCTGAATTCAGATCTCTGTTGTCTGAATCATCCCTCTCTTTAAAATCAGATTCATGCCTCTCTCTCCCTAATTCAAGATGATCTTGACCTTCTTCACCAACTCCATCGTTTTCCAAATGTGAGCCTGATCCTCCAGGAGTTACATCAACCGGACCAGAGCACCGTGGAGTGGCGACACTGATCATCGCAATACCAGCTCGACACAGAGGACAATTGGTGTGAGAACTAAGCCAAGTATCAATACAAGAGATGTGAAAAGCGTGGTTACATTTAGGCAATAACCTAAGACTCTCATCTTCTTCAAACTCGTTTAAACAAACAGGACAATCTGTTCTCTCGATTAAACCATCTCCTCTCTTGTAATTACAGATCGTAATCGAGTTTATGATCGATTGTTGTAGACCTGTTGTTCTGATTAACCATATTGGGTGATCCACTTGTTCCCTATCTTGAAACTCTTCTTCCATTACCGTGTCGTTGTCTTCGTTATCGGACTGATACCTTCCGTGGTTGTCACGGTTTACGCTGTCTGAAACGAATTTCGCTACAAGAAAGAATCCGGTTAAAAGGATGGCTAAGACCGCACCGGTTATGGTGATGATGCTTATGGCGTCCAAGGAAGATGATGAGTTTTGAGTTGGTTGATAAACGGCTGAGATTGATGGAGATGGAGATGGAGCTGGTGACGATGACCATGGAGGGAGCTGTGGTGATATGGCGTAGTAATCTGGTTCTGGATAGCAATTGTAAGGGCAAATCGGGTCGCAGACTCCGTTCGAGCAATCTAACGTTTTGTTTGTCTCTGATGCTAAGGTAGGGAAGAGCTTGCGATGCTTCTTCTTCGCCATTAAAGAAAACAATCAAAACACAAAGTCGTTGCTTGGAGTACAAGAAATCGAAATCAAGAGAATTTCATTGAGTTTTTTTTTTTGGTGTTATTTTGTTTAGGTTTTGATAATGACGAAGAAGATTTGATATTATCTTTGGGTTTCTCTTTCACATTAATGAGAAAGATGAAAAAATCTTCTCATCTTTGTTGTTGACTTGTTCTGTGAGAGGTTGAAGCGTCTTCTAATTGTTTAATTGGTGAAGAGTCGTTATCATGAAAGCCATATTTTACCTTTGAGCTTTTGACTCTTTGGCTTTCGAAGATTTAAGTAAAAGTTTTATCTTTTTGTTGGCCTTGGCCATCGGGCTTCGGCAGAATTATAATATAAAAATTATATTGAGACTGCAAGCAAAAAAACAGACTTTAACTAGATTTGTTAGATCTGAAAAAATGTTTTCTTAAGATCACACATTAGTGGTGACACGAACATGGTATAAATACTATATAGCATGTAACAGACACGGAACTAGAATATGATTAAAATTTTCCCTCTGAACAGATGAGTTTTATTTGTTCTTACAAAATATTGAGTAGAAAAACAATATTGAGATAGCTATAAAAAACAAAAAACAATATTGAGATTATAATTAAGTCTCAACTCTCAAATGACTACAATAATGTTCATCAATTCCACTAACTTTTTTGTGTATTGATTTACGACCGAAAAATATATTTTGAAAATAAAATAAAATTACTAATGATAATGTTTTATGTTGTAAGTTGTAACTTGAGTAGCTAGTGTCATCTACGAAACCACTCTAAATAAGTAAAACTTTCCAAAATTCAGTTCCACAAAAATGGAATAACATGCAATACATACTCTATTGGTTTAACCATATACGCATGTAAGAAGTAAGAACTCTAATTTCCTCATTTTACCAATAGATCTAAAACTTAAAAGAGAACAATACCAGTATACCACCCACATTTCGTCACGTAGTTTTTTGTTTTTGTCGACCATAATATTTTTACTTTTTGTAACAAGTTTTTTTTTTTTTTTACTTCATTTGCAATATACGTGACACCATTTTAGGAAGTTCTTTGTACACAAAGACAAAGCCTCTACTGTTTTACCAAGAATTGGTGTGCTGTCAAAGTTAACTATTTAGTATTTCACTGGTGTGCAAATTGTTTTTTTTTTCAGGAAGGTTCTTTATTCTCTTAGCAATTGTCCCATATCAAATCACTTGGACAATTTCAAAGAATAATAATGGGCTGCTTATGAAAAAAATGATTAGATGTTTTATGGACCTAAACTGCTGTTTAAACAGGCCTATAATAGTCTACTGATAACATTATATTATTTTTGAGTACCTTGCAAATGCCAAAGAAAAATCAATGAGTAATAGTCAACATTAACATAATTTAGTTAATACTGTATATTGCTTTTATGTGGGCAGTCTAACGACCAGCAGAATTAGTTGCAGCGTCTCTATCATATCATGTGCATGATTTGTTTTGCACCTTTCGGTGAGATAGATTTTGTTTTTTTCAAACTAATTACTCAACTATCACCTTTCTAGTAACTTAGATTCTAAATTTAGTATGACTGAAGCATTATTGTACAATTTTAAGAAATCTATATGTTTCGCAGAAATTTGATTTTGAAAGGAGAAACCTCCTTGATTTGTTGTTTACCATACTAAATATTAGTCAAAAATGTTATACATCGAGGTCTACGACTCTTGGACATGCATGGTCACATATCCACTAACATTTGTTAGTGTTAAAAATTAATTATATTAAATTAATATACGTCACATACTCGATATTTAGTTGTTGCAAAGTCTCAGTGATTGCTCGTAAGAAAAGTTTGTTCATCTGCTTTTGGTTTGGTCCATTATATTGAATCATTACGCGAACTTTGATGACACATCGTGACTACTTTGGTTGACATCATCATTTATCTTTTTACAAAGGGTTTTTGAGTGTGACTTTATGATGTGTCACCAAACCTCTTATGACCCATTGTGTAGCAACATTTCCTTTGTTGAGTATGTCTAAAGCTAGAGCAGAGGAGGAACAAGTCTTTATCCCTAAATATGAAAAAAGTTTTCAAAACTTACATGATATGAGAGAGCTTTAGTTGGAGGGTAAGTGGACTTAACTCTACTAACTCCAACATATCCTTTGTTTCCAATCTCTCTATATATTTGATCACAACTCACAAGGAATTTCCTTTGTCACACAATTTTAGAATAAAGATACTGTTACACTCAACACACAAAAATGGCAAACTTAAGTACACTTGTTGGTTTTCTTGTCATCATCTTCTTCAATGTGTTTGCACCTGCCTCTTCTGCTAGTCACCCCGTCGAATGGTCGCTCGGGAAAGACTATAGCTCGTTGGCTACCGGAAAGTCCTTCGCTGTTGGCGATACCATCGGTATGTACATATACATTGTCTCTCTTATACGTAGTCTGCAATTGTTTCAACCACTAATACATAATTTGCATTTACATGTGAAAGTTTTACATTTTAAATTCATTTTTTAAAAAGTTTTTTTGATAATATCCTTTTGTAAAGTACGTATAATCTTTTTGTGTTTGCCATTAACAAAATGCTTTTATACCTTGCTTGCAAAAGAACCATTTCGAAGTCATAGTAGTAAATTTGTAATATAGATTTATATGAATGTGTACATTGTGTTGCGTATAGTGTTCAACTACGGTGCGGGTCACACGGTGGACGAAGTGAGCGAAAGTGACTACAAGAGTTGCACATTGGGGAACGCAATTTCTTCGGACAGTAGTGGAACTACAAGTATAGCTCTCAAGACATCTGGTCCTCACTACTTCATCTGCGGTATCCCCGGCCACTGCACCGGTGGCATGAAGCTCTCTGTCACCGTTCCAGCAGCTTCATCAGACGGCAATACTGGAGACGGTACCGCTGACAAAAATACACCCGTACAAGACGGAAAAACTACACCCTCAGAAGGTAAAAAGGCTAGTCCTTCTGCTTCGGGCACGGCCGTGTTGAAGCCGTTGGATGCTTTGGTTGTGACTTGTGTAGTTGCATTGTTGTATGCTTTGGCTCTCTCTTAATTAGTTGGTTTCTTGTGTTTTGCTGTGGTTTGACTCTTTTGAAGGACCAGGCTAGAGGCAGTGCTATTATATGCATCTTATAATTAATTATCTCTCATGATTTTTCCTATGTTTTTGTCTCCTATTTTCATTTCATTCCCACGATTTTTTTTTTTTCGCTTTCTTAAGAAATAAAAAAGTAAATTAAAATAGGAAGCCCCATCCATAGAAATTAACATTTTTTAATTGATACTGTAATTATCAACCTTGCAAATTTGGATGATAAAAACTAAAAAGTAAAATTTGCCCTTTCGGAATTTGTGTATCATTCCAAAAGTTCCGACACTATTCACATTTTCGTCTGAATTTTGTGCGTGATTTACAACATAAAATAATGAATTTGGTATTGCTCTTACCAAATATTCTTAACTATAGAAATCTGGAGACAGCTTTTTTTTACTTAAAAATTTAGGATTGTGAAATTATGAATACTTAAATAAATTATACGTGGGTTTGATCATGAAAGACTTGAAAGTTGAAAGTGTAGAGAAAGCATTGACAACTGCCAGATGGGCATTGACCTCAGAGGACATTTGAGTATAAAGGCCCAATAACACCGGCCCACCGACTTACCTAATTAGGTGGACCCGACTTCAGATCTTAATACATCTAAGCCGTCCATTTAAAAAACACACAGTAACCACTCCCAGATCTCATAACTAAAACCAACAAAAAGTTTGGTATAAATTAATAATGTTTGCATCTACCCTACCAACTTTTTTCATTCACACATAAACAAAATGTCTACTTATCTTAAGTTCTTAACTAATTGATAGATTAGTAAGACTGATGCTGAAAAATGGTTATATATCAAAATATCAAATAAGCTTACAACGAGGACTAATCATAAACGAACAAGTGTTAACTAAATTCGATAATAAACATTTTGAAAACAAATAAAATTGTGGGCCTATCTCCTTTTAAAAAATGAAAAACAAATAAGTGAAGGATCCCGGAAACATCATGGAAATTTAAAACCAGCTTTGCATTAATTACACGACACACTTATAAATACAAACACGAGATGTTGAAAAAGAAAAGACAAAATACAATTCAAGACCAAAGCTCACGACAGACTCTTATTTATCAATGGCGAATTTTCTCATCAACAGAAGAAAAAGAAGAACAATGAAATCAAAGAAAGCTGAAGAAAAAAGATCAGATTCAAATTCTGATTCAGACAATAACTTCTCATGCAAGAAGCACACGAAACATAGACAGTCTCCTGGAATCTGTTCCCTCTGTCTCACCGAGAGGCTCTCTAAGCTGTCTCTGGAGTACTACGACTACACTAAGAAGGCAGCTGAAACGGCGACGTATTGCGGCTCATCATCAACATCTTCTTCCTCGTCGGTCTCGTCTTGCGACTCTTCTTCTTCGGTCTCTTCTTGTTCGTCTCCTTTGCAATATCGGTATAGAGATCAGAAGAAGAAGGATGGGAAGAAACAAAGCTTTTTATTCAGATTATTGCTCGGATCCATCGTAGATTAGTTCTCTTATTTCAATAGTTTTTTTATTCATTATTTACTACTTTTATATTTTCATTATTCTTCTATATCTTTTCATTCGGGAAATGCAGAGAATCAGCAAATAAAATGCAATTTTCTACCTACAAAGTTGTATTTTAATCTTGTTTGTGACAAAATAAAAGAAGTTAATCTTGTTTGTAAATACGTCACACATCTAACGCTAATAATTTACGCAAAAACCATTAGTTGACGGTTAAAATAACCGTTTACCAAATTTATCAAAATTAAATTCACCCAAAGTACGTGTTGCATCAAGTAAAACATAATTTCATGATAAAATACTTGATATTGTCCTTGGTCCAGAATTTGTGTGGACATTTTTTTCTTTGAAATTAAATTTTTGTGGACTACATACCACTAAAATGTGTTCTTAAATGCGTACAAGAACCACCATCTTCAATGCATTTAGAAATTCAATGTTACATATTTCTATGCTATTTAAATGTTATGACAATTTAACAATTCAGCAACAGTTGCAAACCAAACAATTCTTTTGACATTTCATTTCTTATAAAATGTATAGGATTTAAAATTTATAGATAAATATGTGGCTAAAAAAAGAATTTTAAATTGATCGATTAGAAACAGATCAAATGAATGGCATGACTTGAAAATGTTTATAAAATTAAAGATATATATAGAGGTACATTTTTATTTAAAAAGCTTACAATTTTTCTCTTAATTCTTGGCTGAACAATTAATATATGATAACAAAAAAGAAAGAGAAGAGAATGAACAAACATATGGCCGGGCCATGACATGATAAGCTGGCACATGAATGTTACTAGTTGCCAGAGTGAATGTAATGTACGGTTAGAGGACAAAGACGTGTTGTGTACTTTCATATTATTATATTATTCACTTCACAGCTGTTCAGATTTTATATTAAGCCGTACCACTAATGTTTGATACATCCAGTCAGATAAATGCATGTGTGTGTGTGTTGCGCGTCCTTCGAACTTAGAAGATACTATATGATCGAGATCAATCACCGATGAAAAGTCCCCGTGAAACTTCTTTGAACATTAGTCTTTTGTTTTTGTTTATTTTATCTGCAATCATTGATTTTAGCTTATGTTCAAACTGAAGAACTATTATTAATTCCCATTAAACTATAGTTTCAATGATAGGCATTAACAAGTTTAAGTGTATTACAAATTAAGCCAACTAATAAGATTGTAGAATATGACTATAGTGTAAGTTCAAACCAAATATGATCCGAAATGTAGCTTTCTTTTATGACAAATGATGCAAAGCAAGACGGTTTCAAGGACCAGCTATCCTCAATATTTCTGGTATCTTGTGTAATAACGATAGTGAATCACAACTACTCTTTCTTTCTATTTTTTTTTTACCTGACAACTGCAGAGTCTCAAGTAAAAATAAGAGCAGATTCTACGCAAGTGAAGTTATCCAGACACTCACCTGAGTTTGAGATCACACCAATACTCACACATTAGCACAAAGTAAAGTTAAAAACATATATGAATTATGGAGATTTTGTTTTGCCCTTTTAAGAAAATATTTCTAAAATTCTGATATTTATAAAATTAAAAAAATAAAAAATAATATTCCATGGTAATTTTTTAACTAGTAGTTTCTGAATAATGTAGCTTAAATATTTAAATGACAAAAGATTAAGTCTACATGCATAAATTTAGATTGCTTGGTTACGGGAGTGATTATGTATTGCTTTATTTAGGTGTATAAGTTTTCCATTATTGATAGAAACTCTTTTTAAGAAAGTTAAGAGGTTTCTTCATTTGCCTATTTTCCTAGAATTGCAAATAAATTTGTCCATTTTGTTCTCTCTATATTTTACAACTTATAGGTTAGCTAATTTTTACTTTCACAATACTTCTCTTTTTTTAATGTTGAACTCATTTTAGATTTAAATTTCTCTTCATTTGAATATAATGCAGATATATTCATATATCCAAACAGAAATTCAAATATATGTTTAAATTTCTCTTGTTATGTTATGTTTTAATATATGCAGCCAAAGAAAAATAGAAATGAGAATTGTATTATCTTTGACATATATAAATTTCAATTATATGAAAAAATCTTTCTGCAACAATTCAACCGCATATTGCAATTTGAATTTGCACTGTGATTCATATAATAAAGATCATAAAAATCATTAGAGCATCTCCAACCCACTTCTATATTTGCCTCTAAATTATATTTTAGAGGTAAATCTACTCCAACCCATCTCTATTTTCACCTTTAAAATAGAGATCTCTATTTTTTTCCATATATAGAGGTAATAATAGAGTTTTTTCCATATATAGAGGTGATAATAGAGAATCTCTATTTTTTCCCCTATAAATAGAGTTAAACTTTTAAGAGAAAAAAATAGAGGAACACATTGGAGTAAAAATAGAGAAAACTTATTTTTATTATAGAGATAGAACTAAAAATAAGAAAATACATTGGAGATAGTCTTAGATATCTCCGGTCTTGTCCACTTGGATTTAGTTATAAAACCACGTGTCGGTAACACAACGGTCGTCCAATTTGTACTACATTTCATAAAAAATCATTAGACATAATATCGCCGGTCTTAGGTACTCTTAATAAATATCATTTGATTCGGCTATCTCCGGTTATGTCAAATTGGACTCGGTTACATCGCCACGTGTCAGTACATCGCCCCTGCCCGAAAAAGAGGTCAATCATTGCCCGGCTGCCCGGGAAATCAATTTCAAATTTCAAAGTAGTAAAAAAGGATCAACGGTCGTCTAATAACGTTAAAATAACCGCAACGGAAAAAGAGAATCCGATTCTTATTACCTTAAACCACAAATATTCTCTCTTCTCTTCTTCTTCTTCCCCAAATTTGAAATCTCTTCGCATCTTCATACTCGTTTCTCTCTATTCTTCTTTTTTCCTTGCGAATTTTTTGTTAATGGAGGATTGTTGTGATTCACTTCTCGCAACTGATGTATCTTTGCGACGTGAAAGCTTCTCTCGCTGTGAGATTTTCGATTTCATCTTATGGAAGATTTTTGTTTGGTTCTAATCAAGTTTGCTCACTTTTTTTTTTTTTTTCATCAGCAGCTGAAAAGGATACATTATCGAGCTCAAGGACTATGACAATGGCAGATCTGGATTCAAATTGCGAATTGAGTAACGGTAAGTCATTCGAAATTTTAAGAAGAGTTCTTAATTTCGCTCTTCCTTTACTGATTCTAGATTTGAATTTAGATGTTGATATGGAACAATCAAGCCCAGATTTGATGAAAACGGAACAATCTAGTGATCCCGTAGCGTTAGATGGTAACCGAACCTTTCTTTTTTCTCTTTTGTGAAATCAAAATCGCTTCGTTCTTTGAGATTAATAGCGTAGCATTTGGTTCGATTTCAGGAAAAGTTGTGTTAGGGTTTTCATTAGCATCTCCAGATCTAGTAAATTGTGGCGCTTCACCTGATTTACCTAGAGGTAGCTATGAAGATTCTCCAGAATTTTCTAAGAAAAGAAGATTTTCTACTGAGCTTTCTCTAGAGAATGGGATTGATGGTTCTACTACTACAAGAGATGGCCGTAAAAGCCAAGTTGTGAAGTTTTCAGCAATCTGTCAAACATTTGGCTATGAGTTGTCTCCTGAGTCTTCTTTTGAGTTACCTTCTCCACCTGGAAACTTTCGGGAGAGTACGACTCCTGTTATCAGTATTAACTCGGGTTCTATAAGCACGGATGTGACTGTGGATGATGTAACTTTCTTGAAGGATGAGTTTTTCAGTGGAGGTGAAAGTATTACAACTGATGCTGTTGTTGGCAATGAAGATGAGCTTTTGTTGTATCAGACAGCTCGACTTGGTAATTTCGCTTACAAGTTTCAGTCGTTGGATCCTGGGGACTACTTCATCGACTTGCATTTTGCTGAAATCGAGTTCACTGAGGGTCCACCGGGAGTTAGAGTTTTTGATATATTCATTCAAGGAGCAAAGGCAAGGCATCACTGCAATTGAGCTTTTATTGTCTTCTTATTCATCACATATTATTTTTGGTTTGATTGAAAACCTATTTGCAGGTCATATCCGGCCTAGATTTATTTTCGCAAGTAGGAGCAAATACACCTCTTGTGATAGAGGATCTAAGGATGCTCGTAGGTCGGGAAGGAGAGTTATCTATACGATTAGAAGGAGTGACAGGGACAGCAATTCTATGTGGCATTTCTATTAGGAAAGAGGCAACGGCTACTTGTATGTTGCTTTCTAACCTTTTTGTGTCTTTGAACAATTCTACTAAACTTTTTCACAACTCTGATCACTGCTTTTTTCTTTTAGATGTTGAAGAAACTGGAATGCTAGCGGTTAAAGGTTCAACTGACACTTTTCTGTCCCAGCAAACTCAAGTGAGAGAAATTCCACAAGCTTAGTGTTTCTAGTTGAGTTTGGGGTGGTTACAAAAGTTGCAAATAGTTAAACTGTCATACTCTTTTTAGGAAAATGTTGACTGCAGGACAGAAGAAGAAGCCGAAGGGACGAGAAGTGACTGTGAGCAGCAGAGGAAAGAGATGGAGAATATGAAGAGAATGGTTGAGGAACTTAAACAGGAGAACCAACGAAAGACTAGAGAATGCGAAGAAGCATTGAATTCTCTCCGTGAGATTCAAAATGAACTAATGCGCAAGTCGATGCATGTTGGTTCTTTGGGTATGTACATCTCTCTCCTTTATATTTCTTCTTCCTTGTTAACGTTAAAGTTGACATATATGTACTTGTTCATAACTAGCGTTTGCTGTCGAGGGACAAGTCAAAGAGAAGAGCAGATGGTTCTCTTCATTAAGAGATTTGACAAGAAAATTGAAGGTACACAGAAGTAAACTTAAAATACGATCAGCAACTGCAAGCTCTTATGCCCCAGTTTAACGAATTTGGATTTGTAGATCATGAAAATGGAGCAAATTAAGCTGTTGGAGGAGGCAACAACATACAAACACCTAGTCCAAGATATCAACGAGTTCAGTTCTCACATCCAGTCTAGAGGTGAGTCTTTGTCTTCCTGTCATTTTGACATGCAACTAGCACTTTAAAGATTTAGTAATATTGTGTTTCTGTGAATTTTGATCCGTTAAAATTTGTTTTCAACAGTGAAGCAGGACGCAGAATTGCATGAAAATCTCAAAGTCAAATTTGTAGCGGGAGAAAAAGAGAGGAAAGAACTATATAACAAGATACTAGAACTAAAGGGTTTGTGTCTATAGCCAATATAACTTGTCGATGAACCTCCTTGACTAAAATTGACAGCCTAACAACTTACTGTGATCATTTCTTCGTACAGGTAACATCAGGGTCTTTTGCAGGTGTCGACCTCTAAACTTTGAAGAAATTGAATCAGGAGTATCAATGGGAATTGATGTTGAGTCAACCAAAAATGGGGAGGTCATAGTCATGTCAAATGGTTTTCCCAAAAAAAGCTTCAAGTTCGATTCTGTTTTTGGTCCTAACGCTTCCCAATGTGATTGTTGGCATCAATGATCACCATTTCCTACTTGTCTTCTAAGAAATCCATCTCACCAATCGACATGTTGTTTCCTATACATTTACAGCTGATGTTTTTGAAGATACTGCTCCCTTTGCTACGTCAGTCATTGATGGATACAATGTTTGCATCTTCGCCTATGGCCAGACTGGTACTGGGAAAACTTTTACCATGGAGGGAACTCAACATGACCGTGGTGTAAACTATAGAACACTGGAAAATCTGTTTCGGATAATTAAAGAACGAGAACACCGCTACAATTATGAGATCTCAGTCAGTGTCTTGGAAGTTTACAATGAGCAGATAAGAGATTTGTTGGTTCCAGCTTCACAAAGTGCATCTGCACCCAAAAGGTACTACATAAGTTTTGTTCACCTTTCTTCTTGATGTACCCTTTCATGAAGTTAAGCATGCAAGGTCCATGGTTCTTTAGTCTCATTGTTTATAGTTTCTGATATCACTAACAGTCATACTCGTTTCTTTGCAGATTTGAGATAAGGCAAGTGAGTGAAGGAAACCACCACGTACCAGGATTGGTTGAAGCACCTGTGAAAAGCATAGAAGAGGTTTGGGATGTGTTGAAAACAGGAAGTAATGCAAGGGCTGTTGGGAAAACGACGGCTAATGAGCACAGCAGCAGATCTCACTGGTCTGCTTAACGATCTGTAGTAGTCTCCTTTTGCAGAAAATGAACAGCTAACTGAATGTATTTTCTCTTCTTTTCTTTGCACAGCATTCACTGCGTGATGGTCAAAGGTGAGAATTTGTTGAATGGAGAATGCACAAAGAGCAAACTATGGTTAGTTGACTTAGCTGGAAGCGAACGGGTTGCAAAGACAGAAGTACAAGGAGAACGGCTTAAGGAGACTCAAAACATCAACAAATCATTATCTGCTCTTGGTGATGTCATATTCGCTCTTGCCAACAAAAGCTCTCACATTCCTTTCAGGTCGATATGATACATCCATTTTCATTTAAAGAGGGTTACAGTCACCATTTTTCATCTAACTTGATGTTTGGCTCGCATTACTGATAAGATCATATACCTTTGCAGAAATTCAAAACTCACGCACTTGCTTCAGGATTCTCTAGGTACTTAATTTTCTCCTTGAAGCTGCAACCACTTTCACTTGTAAATTCTGTTTATCTGTTATGGAGCTTAAGATTAAAAATGACTGGTATATCACAGGAGGAGATTCAAAGACCCTCATGTTTGTACAAATCAGTCCTAACGATAATGATCAAAGTGAGACACTATGCTCACTGAATTTTGCTAGCAGAGTGAGAGGGATAGAGTTGGGGCCTGCAAAGAAGCAGCTAGACAATACTGAACTCTTGAAGTACAAGCAAATGGTAAGCTACATGTCCACATGTGTGTTTATCGAATCATTCATGTATTGTTCTGAGCTGTATTAATTCTATATCAGGTTGAGAAATGGAAGCAAGATATGAAAGGAAAAGACGAACAAATTAGAAAAATGGAGGAAACGATGTACGGTTTAGAAGCAAAGATTAAGGAACGAGACACTAAGAACAAAACTCTTCAAGACAAGGTAAACAAATACTCACCACAACCACAAGAACAACATGGATTATAACATTTTAGCTTGTTTAAACCATCACATATCACTTTCTTTGTTAGGTTAAAGAACTTGAAGCGCAACTACTGGTAGAGAGGAAGCTGGCTCGTCAACATGTAGACACCAAGATTGCTGAACAGCAGACAAAACAGCAGATCGAAGATGAAAACAACCCGTCAAAGAGGCTGCCACTGACAAGCATACTGTTGGGATCAGGTTCGAAAGAAATGGTAAATCTAACACGCCCACCACTCTTGGAGAGCACCCCCAGCAATAATCTAGCTCCTTTACCTAGTGGTGGCCTCAAGTATAATGACCTCTCTGAGAAGGAGAACAATCCAGATATGGCTGATCAAGTGCAAATACCTAATAGAACAGGAAGATTCTCTATCTGTGCAAAACGTATTCCATCAGCTCCAGCTCCAAGAAGGAGTTCTCTTGCCCCAACCACATCAACTTCGAGAGAAATGGTGAATCTAACCCGACCACCACTCGCAGAGAGCACCACCAGCTACGATCTACCTCCTTTACCCAATGGTGGTCTCAAGTACAATGACCTCATTGAGAAGGTGAACAATCCAGAAATGGCTGAGCAAGTGCAAATACCTAAGAGAACAGGAAGATCCTCTATCTGTGCAAAACGTATTCCACCAGCTCCAAGAAGGAAGACTCTAGCCCCAATGCCATTCATTCCAATCACATCAACATTAGCTTCTTCATTAACTTCGCCTGATGAAAAGAGTGGCGCTAACCAAGTGCTCTGCACCAGCCCCAAGCTACACAGAAGTAATGGGAAGACGTTGACCAGCATACTGAGACGAAGCATACAAAAGAGAATGCAAATGAAATCTTCCCCGAGGCAGCAACCGATGAGAAGAGGTGGCGGCATTAATGTTGGGATGGAGAGAGTTAGACTGTCTATAGGAAACAGAGGAAAGTTAGCTCATAGAGTTCTGCTAACCAATGCTCGTAAGGCAGGTCTGAAGGAGACACCGCAGAAACAAGAGCGATGGATCTGAACCTATTAAAACTGATGTTTTCTCTGACTTAACTTCTCAATATTCATTATGATTTCTTGGAGGATGATTGATATTTTATCATCCTCCGGTTTCGAGTGCGTTTGTGGATTTGGTTTGACTCTATTGTATAGATGGTTTTGGCTTTTGTGCTCATAGAGTTCCAAGAACCTATTTATTAAACCCCATTTACCCATTCCTCCTGTGAATCATCAACAATTACCTACAACAAACTTCATTTGATTTTTTTTCAGGTATTCAAACTTCATCTGACCAGGTATTGAAGTGAATTTGTCCCTGCTAAACCTTTTTCTGGGTTTTGATTTTGTTTTCCTCTTTTTTGTCATGTACATTAATCAAGCTTTACTTTTCTTTGGACAGCTATGATTGATTTTAGGGTCCAAGAAACCAGTAACCATCAACATTACATTATCTAGTTCACCTTCTAAGCCGTAAACTGCATATCAAAACAGATGTACACAAAAGAAAAAAAGACAGCAGAATCCCACAATTTACAACATGAGGCTAAAACAAACAAGGCTTTCAATTTCATCTTAGTAAACTCACTCGGCTCAGGTTCTCCGCGATAGCATCTCTGATCCTCCTCGACCCTATATATGCTTCTCCTTCGAACCTCCGAGTCTTCTCATCATCATCTTTTTCATCTTTCCTCGTCTCACCATTATCACCAGCAGCACAACCATTCACACATTCCTCCAGTGAATCATCATCATCTCCAGAATCCACAAGAAAATTATGCAACAAGCAACCCGTAGTTAGAACAAACGGCATAAACTCGATTGTCTCTGGTTTCCATTTCTTATCAAGAATCCGCCACCGAGTTCGAACCTTAGCAAACGCAATCTCAACACTATGCAATCCAGTGTGAACCACATTGTTAAAATCCTCTCTAGAACTCTCCTCTTCCTCTTCGTTTGAAGTCAAATCATAAGGTGTCACAAGCCATGGCAATAAAGGAAGACAAGAATCTCCCAAAATGTAACGAGGAACCAATACTCCATTCCCAAGTTTGGTCGGAGCTCCATTGAGAACTTCCTCTGCAATTGAGAAAAGCTTCGTCTGTCTGAAAATAGCTTCTGGTTTCATCGTACTTGGCCAACCAGCTGAGATATCAACGAATCTGCCATCGGAATCAACCAATGCTTGAACCAAAATTGAACCTTTTGCACCAAGAAGCTTTCCTTTAACCTCAAACCTCCCGAATCCGACGACACCGCAGCAATTCGGGAGCAGATTAGGCGAAAAATCGGGTTTTGGATCATCAAGTTGTTGACTTAATTTCTCATTGATGAGTTTGCAGACAGTGAAGAAAGAGCGTGAAGCTTGGGAAGTGGAATCAAACCCGAATCTGTGAACGAGACACTCGTAGGAAGCACCGTGAGCGAGACGGAAGATTGCGGCAGCGAACGAAGGAAGCGAAGAAGGTGAGAGGATAGAGAAGAGATTGAAGAAGGTGGATTTCGACATTCGGAAACAAAGACACCAGCGAGGATCATCGTCGTCTTCTGTGGCGGAGGTTAAGAAGCGGTTGAACCACGTGGCGGTGGTGACGGCGGAGGAGGGAGAAGGGGTTGGTGAGATTGGGAGAGATGAGATTAGGGATTCAAGGCGGAGAGATTGTGATGGTGAGAGGAAGAGATCGTTGGCTTGGAGAAAGGAGTGAGTGACGGCGGCGGCGGAAGAGAGACGGCGCAGTAATGGGTCTTTTAGACCAAGTTTGTCGGATACATTTGTTGGGTTTCTGTCGGATTTTCGTTTCCCGGCGACCATAGCTTTCTCCGAGTAGTGAGATTGGGAGGATCAATAAGTTTGGAAAGCAATTTTAAGCTTCAGTGCTTAAGAAGATGTAATAAAAATGTGTGTTTATCGATTAAACCGAACAAAAGAACCGATTCTTTTACATTTTCTATTGGACTCTGTCCTTACTACGAAATTGTAACTCATCAGTATATACAATGACTAGGTCTCAAATAAACAAACCTCGTTCCCATTCAAATACAGTGGACATGTCAAAACTTTCACCAAGCAACAACACCTGTTGAGATTCCCATGCCGTTTCTCCAAGCATATCCGAAAATATCAGCAAAAGCTCTTGGCACGCATAGAGTTCATCAATCTTTTTCGGATCTGTGGCGCGTTCCGATGGAAGATCCTGATGATATGACCTATGAAGAAGGGTTCATGTTAAGGTTTTGAGTGGTAAACAATGCAAAAGGTTTGGAATGATGACCAAACACAGTATATAAATTAATCGTTTACCATCTCCAGACCGGAATAGCCTCAGGAGGACTACTAATTCTAGAACACAAAGATTTGATGACCTTGTAACCACCTTCTGACTCGGTACCTAGGCAGGAGAACAGAGAAAATTTTAGATAGGCAGAAACATGCACCTTCACACCTAAAAACAAACCTGTCTAATTCTTTAGTTTCAGCAGATATCATTCTAAACCAACTGAAAATTAACGCAGCAAGCTTGATTCTAAACTTACTTAATGAAAAGAATTCAATTCTCAATCAAGGCCAAGTAATCCGGGAAACACTAGCATACCTGTAGTGTCGAGGCCATTGCGAAGAACCATGAGAGAAAGTGCAAATACAACAGAGGGAAGAAGAACACTGTAGTTTCTACACAGAAGATGCTTTTGGAGATACACGATTACTTCCCCTATTATGTGCTCCGAATCTGTCACATATTTGCTTTTTTTACTGTTAATAACACAAAACGACATCGTTTTGCAGTTTTAACCCTGTTAAACTAGTCTGTCGGTTGACTTAACGATGTATCCAATTTGGCAAAGTCAACGAAAGTTAACGATTTAATTGGAAAATCAACTAAAATTGACAATTTAATTCACCACAAGCAAAGTTGATGCTTTTTCTCAACACTTTTGGTAAGTTGATGCTTTTTATGACATTTTTTCCGTTACAAATATGCCCAATAATTTGGAGAGAAGAAACAAGAGTATTGAAGTTTTAATGTGCAAGACAACTAAAAGCTTTGTTTCATGAATATCAAGGCATCAATGAAATAGTATGAATTAACTTTTGTCATGCTAGTAGTATAGATTAGTTTTACCTCAAGAATCTCTATTTCTTTATCTGTTTTACAAAAATCTTTTGTATGAGTTCTCTATAATGATTTTTTTTCCTTAATTCGTTACAACAGTGACTATCCATCCTAGGCTTTTATAGATGAACCATGAATGCCTAGAAGCTGGACAGTTCGTTGTGTAACTCACCAGAAGGAGACAGCTAAATCCCATATTCTTCTTAATCTTCCGGGTTTAGCTGATACTTTGGCTATCTGATCCTCCATTAGCCGCTCCACATCAGGTCCCATATCGTGGACCATCTTAACCGACTCAGAGAGACGGTTGAGCAAATTTACCAGTGCAATCACCTCGTTCCGTTGTAGTTGCAGCTGAAAGATAGGAATAATTTTCAGATCAGCAACCCCCCAATACAAAACTATGCATATAGATGTTTGAGAAACTCACTGTGTGGTGGTCACCAATGCCTTGGTTTCCAACAGAGAAGAGAATTTTCAATGCTGTACCAAGACCCTGAACCTGAAGCTTCCCCCAAAGCCGGCATTTTTCACAACCTACGCAATCCATCAGTGCACTGCAACACATACATTACTAAGCTGTATTACTATTACCACTCTCTACATTTGCCAAAAGAACATATTTATTTTCAAGAGAAAATGAGACGAACCTTATATTTCTGAATTGTTTCTGGATCTGCTGTTTTAGTTCTGGTCCACTTTGACCTTGCCACAACTTAGCTTCATCAAACGGAACAGGACATGCTGTTTGGAGTTTCGGACTATACAATAACTGTTTGATCAAGGACTGTGTTTTCAGATCTTCAGCATGGTTTCCTGTGTCATACTCTGCTTGCTCCAAATAGGCTGTTGCCTAAATAAAACATTTTAAGAGTCAGTCCTAAAGCTAATCGATTGATTATTCAGAAAGACATGTCAAATTTCCCAAAAGACCGACTTGCAGAGAAGTTACTCACTTTAGTTACAGCACGTAGCACAAAGAGATACGTGAAGTACATATTTCTGACACGATCCGGATGTCTCAGAATTCGATCATACATCAGTTCAATATTCTGTCCCCACTGTATTTTAAAGAAATTACATGTCAGCCAAAACCATATACATATTCATGTTGAGAGACTTATCAATCTTTTGCTCAGAAACACAAACCTGGTTACTTGACTCATCAAGAAGATAATCAGCTGCTATGTGCATCGAGATCGAAGAATGAAGACCGGATATCAATTTGTACAAAACCTTTTTCTCTGGGCATGTCTCTCCAGATGAATCTGCAGAAACCATTTACATATATCACCTTACAAGACTTTTGCATTGTAATGAAATCACCACCCTACAAAAACAAACACTACCGATATGGTAGAGAAGGAAAAACTCACATTTTGGACAGTTCTCTGAATATATGGAGTCCCAAATCCTTCTAGCCGAAGGTCCGGTATAACCAGTATATCGTTCGGGGTTTAACTGAAGATTGACATAAGTCATCTCACCTGTACATAGTCAATTTCAAATCATCAAATGCTCTTTTTATAAGCATTCACTATAGCATATAGTCAAAGAAGAACTCCCTAGAGCATTTTTTGGTAAATACATACCGCTATCTGTGTCATCGTCATGTGTCCATGGATTCTTGGTTTCGACCCAACCTCTGAATGCTCTGTTATCTATAGTACGATCAACAGCTCCCTGAGGTTTTCCCTCTTGACACTTCAGATCATCAGAAGGAAGACCTGGGACAAATGGCTTTTTAAATGGTTCTGGAAACTCATTCTCTGGACATTCACAGACACTGCAATCACGCAAACGACACATTCCATCGTCTGGCCAGAATGGGCAGTCACACCACAGTTTAACCTACCCCCATATACAAAAAACACATCCAGCCAAAAGTCACTAACTTACTACACCACTGAACACAATCTCATAGTTTTTCTATATAATTGGATTCTAAAGCATCTCACTGACCTTATAGTACCGGAAAAATGGGGTTGTGGCGAGATCTTGAAGCAAAGGATTCAAAACCTCACTGTTGAGATTGTCCACTGTTTCATAATCACAGCAACAGTCCTCAACCATACCTTTGTATTTACCTGTTCCCTGCATATCCAAATGGAAAATCAAAAAGACAAAAATCAAATTTACCTGTTCCCTGCATATCCAAATGGAAAATCAAAAAGACAAAAATCAAATATGATAAGTCCACTGAAAGAGTGAATCTTACAACAACATTGATAATCACACATCTTGCAATTAAAAATCACTGGCACATTTCAAGAACAACGATTCAAAGCTTTGGATCAACAGTATCATTAAAAAGTTTCAATTTTTATTACCATTGGCTAAACAATGTGATCAAAAGATTCAATTTTTATTACCATTGGGCATTGGCTAAATACTGTGATCAAAAGATTCAATTTTTCTTATCCTGAATCCATCACATCACAAATATCCACCAATACCCAACAAACTTCATCCAGAAATACAAACAAAAGACAAAAATGTACTTGAGAATCTTAAAGTCAAATTCTTTCATCTATGATCAAAGCAAAAGATTGAGAATTTAAGAGAGTAAAATCCAAAAACCTGAAGTGAACAGCTACAAGAATTTCGATCGCTGAAGAAGAAACCGACATTAGAATTCGTCCTAGAGCTCACAGCAACTGCCAAAAACACAACAACCAAAGTCGCTAAAGGCCATCGCCATGTTTTTCGCTTTTTTTGGCTCTCTTCTTCTTGGATTCCGCCTCTTCCCATTATGACGAATTATAGAAAACCCAAAAATAATAAATATCAAATGAGACAAATAAATCCTTTTACAAAAAAGAGAAGAAAAAAAAACACGTTTTTTGTGTCTTCCGGAAATTCTCAAAACCCCATTGTTGTGTTTGTGTCTGAAGATCGTCTTAAGCAAGCAATGAATGTTATGAAATGCGTTAGTTTCAATGCGGGTATTTTGACATTTCAGCGCGACGTGGGTTTTGAATACCACGCGCTTTTGTTTAGTCGGCGCGTGTTGGAGCCATTTGTTTTGGTCTCGTGACGTGCAGTAACCAATAGGATCCATTTGTTCTCGTAGTAATTAACATGTTGCCTTTTCAACGCTTCCCAGTCAACGACCATTTGTTTGACTAAACGCCTCTCCGGTCGACGCCGCCGTTTCATTGATATGATTATATATTTATTAGAATTGGGCCTGTGGGCTAGACTATAAGTTCGTCTAATATGGGTCGGATTGAGCCCACAATTTTCTTATGAGTTATGGGTCGGGTAGGGGACAATTAGCTTAATTTATTTAAGGATTAAGTAAACCCTAAATTTCGATTTGTGCCCTAATCTCGCCGTCACCGTGTCTTCCAAGTTGGTGGCAGTTGAACCCCTAACGTTTTGAACACGTAAGAGAGGGTTTCTAGGTGCAGCCAAGAAAATGTAATCTTATAATAGGAAATACAGTTATAAACATAAGGGAATAATCATTCATTTTACTAATAAAACTCTCTAAGTGGTTTTACGCGCGCCTTTTATGATTGTGGTTGGGGCAATGAAAGATCATAGTAGGGAACAATATATAACTCGATAGGATATGACTTAAACTATGTAGTAACTGTAAATCTTGATGCCGTATGTGTTAGTAATTAGGGTTAATCTCCAGACAAAATAGGATATGATCCATTAACTTAACTCTATATAGCTTATACAAAGTGTTATAGGCATTTTAATTACATCTCTTCTTCTGAATAACTCATCATTCACCGAGACAAGGGTTACTCAGCCCATTTCTTCCGCTTCTTGACTCTTGTCTTGTCCATTTGCTGTCACTCTTCTTTTTTTCTAGCAAAATGTGGTAAAACTCATTTCGTTTGATCTTTGGCTCTTGTATGTATGTATTTAGTAATTTCTTTTAAATTGATAGAAACACAAATTGTGGCCAGAAACAGAGATGTTGAGAATTTTTTTGTACGTTGGCTCACTCATCCCCATCTCTCTCCTTTTGAATCCTTGTCTTCCTCCCATTTATTAATCGTCCTTTTTTCAGCATTTGAACGTGGACCATTGTGCATGTTCCTCATGCTGAAACTCGAAGTCTAAATCGATTACCATAGAGTCTAAACCCATCTCTTCTACAGTTCTACTCTCCCTCTATGTCTAGAAACAAACCCATCACGTGATGATCTTTTTCCCCCATAATTACGGGATGATGAGAATGTGGCATGATGGAAAGCCAAGAAATATTTAAAGTTAATAAATTTAAGGTTCAATAAACAAAAATAAGATATATTCATATTTTGTTTTTACTGACTTCACCGCAGAAACTTCCTATAAATACTGATACCATGTGCATGCTTTCTACAACTCAACCCACTCAAACCCTAAAAAAATACAAAACAATCACAATGAAGAATCCTTCAGTGGTCTCTTTTTTCATCACTCTCTTGGCTGCAGCTGTTTTCACCCACGGAAAAGAACCGGTGAAGGATACAGCCGGAAATTCACTTAACGCCGGTGAACTATACTTCATCCAGCCAGTTAAGACTAAAAGTAAAAACGGAGGTGGTCTTGTCCCAGCCGCCATTACAGTACTTCCCTTTTGTCCACTTGGCATCACCCAAACACTTCTTCCGTACCAACCCGGCCTACCGGTTGGCTTCGTATTACCACTTGGCGTAAGATCAACCGTCATGACATCTTCGGCTGTAAACATCGAGTTCAGGGCCAACATCTGGCCGTTTTGCAAGGAGTTTTCCAAGTTTTGGGAAGTTGATGATTCCTCATCGGCTCCCATGGAGCCTTCAATTCTCATCGGAGGTAAACTGGGGGAGCAAAATAGCTCGTTTAAGATTGAGAAAGCTGGAGAAGGAGCTAGAGCAAACGTTTATAAGTTGACCACCTTTTACGGAACCGTTGGAGCCATCCCAGGGGTTTGGTTAAGCGCACCACAACTAATTGTCACCAATGATACTGCTAAGACCTTACTCGTCAAATTCAAAAAGGTTGATGATGCTACACGTACGGCTGCTACTTCTTCTTCTAGGGTTGAGAATTTAGGTCTAAGGATGTTCCCGTTCTACTACTAAATAGTAATCAACTGGTATTGTAATATTAAGCCTGAGACTCGTCCATGGCCAAAAATAAGGGGTTGAGATAATACCTGCATGATGTTCTTATTTTCCATAAATAAAAGAAAATATCTGGTTCTTGTTTTTTGTAAGTTATTTTCAATTAATAAGGAAGAAAAATGTGGCAGATACATAGAGATGTTGAGAATCATTCATATCGGGTTTTCTGTTGATTCTGTTTTAAATACTCTTTCTTCTTCATTCTACTTTGTATCCGAAACTTTTCTCTACTCTTGTAAAGATTTTGAGCTTGAGAACACATTGATCATTCATAGTAACTTTTGGATAGAATCTAGCTCCGGACGTAGATCTCATCACATTGACTGATCGAACCGGGTAAACAAACGTGTGTGTCTCTTGCTTTATTGAGAGATTGAGAGAGTTGAGATTTCAAGGTTTTATCAACATAGAAACGTAACACTATTCTTTTGAACACGATCGATAGCAGAAATGATTTCTCCGATCGACAGAGAGTTTCGGATCAATACAATACATATATGTCACTTAAATCAAAAGTCAAAACCCTAATTTGACTCGGAACCAAGATTGTGTGTAGTGTTTTGTATATTCCTCTGTTCTTGTTTATGATTCACTGAAGCAGAGTTTTACTGTGCCGACTTCTTTGTTACTTGTAGCGTGCGGAGCTACGTTGGTGGGAGTGGGGTCAACTGACCCCAATAACTTTTATATTTTTGAAAGATTTGTTATTAAAAATTAAGAAAAAATTAGAGAAAATGGTTAAAATTTCTTGAGTTGATCCCATTAACATAGCTTCAATTCTCTCTTCTTCTATTCATACAATATAATGACCGCATTAGAAACTTATTCTAGATCCGCTACTGGTTCTGATTCCCTGATATTACTTTTTTTTTCTTTATTGAAAAAAAAACAAGAAAAAAGAATACAACTTTTAAAAACCCAGTTACGATATAAATACAAGAATAAATCATAAAAGATTGGAGATGATGAGATTTTGTGATGAAAATAATTATATTTACTCTCATAGAAATAAAGGTATTGGTTACATAGTTTAATCGTAAGACATTTTCTATCCTTAATGATGAATCGTAAAACATTTTCTACCCAAATCTTTCTCTTCATCAAGCGTGTCCTTGTCCTCGATCCTAATTGCGATAAGTATTCACTGAGCAGGAGCCTTATCCTTCGCTTATCTTCCCGTGTGGGTTTAGTAAACCTTAAATTTCGATTTGTGCCCTAATCTCACCGTCGTTGGTGGCAGTTGAATCCCTAACTTTTTGAGCACGTAAGATAAAGTTTCTAATCTTATTGCTTATATAAAAGTATAATATTTTGAATCTTTGATGACATTGGGATGACACCAATTTTGAAAGAGAGGAGGGACTCTGATTTTCAACATTGATTACTTGGATACTTGGATTGTTTTTACACTTTCGCACACACTGACACGCACATACTTAAAAGTAGTTTCTTCTAGCTACTAACTAGGCATAGACACATTTAGCAACCACTATACTAGACCTTACCTATAGATACTAAACTAATTTTACAAACAAAGTTAAATCACTATTTTACAACTCAACAACTCTACTTAGTCCATAGTTAAACGTAAGCAATAAAACACACTACCGCATTGGGCCTCAACCAACTTAATGGCCAATATGCTTCCTTGACCCAAAACACACAATCTTCTTCTTTCTTGTTGACTTGCTTGTTCCTCGTTGACCCTTCTTCTTCTTCCTCTAGAGATGAAGTCTCTCTTCACACTGATTAATTCTTTCTTTTGCAGGATTAATGAAAGGTTCCAACTTCAACAAATTCACTGAGACAAGGTTTACTCAGCAGGCCATTTTCTTCCTCTTCTTGACTCTGGTCGCCTTACGGTTAATTATTATTACAGTGATCTTGAAATTGTGGTCACTCATTTGTTTTCTTGTAAAACTTGGTCGAAATAATTTGCTTTTATATTTTGGTTATTGTTAATTTAATAGAGAAACATATTGTGGCCAGAAACGAGTCCGTCGTGACTCAACCTTATCTCTCTCTGCTTGTGAAACCTTGTCTTCCTCCCATTTATCGATCGTCGTTTTTATCTGCTTAATTTGCGCATGTTCCTCGTGCTGAAATATTCAAGTCTGAAATCGATTACCTCCACAAAGTCTAATCCCTTAGTTTCAACCCTCACCGTAGTAGAAAGTTAGTTAACCAAGGACTAGATTGTGACGTGAGGAAAAAGCCAATAAACATTTATAGCTGATAAATTTAGGGTTTTGCTTAGCAAAAATGGGAGTTCGATTTTTCTCTTTTTACTGTCATGCTCGGTTTTAACCGCTGAGGATTTCTATAAATACCGATCCAAAATGTGTTTGCTCTCCACAACTCAACTCACTCAAACACTAAAACACACACAAAACAATCACTATGAAGAAACCTTCAGTGATCTCTTTTCTCATCACTCTCCTGTTGGCTGCAGCTGTCTGCATCCACGGAGGCGAACCGGTGATCGACAAGGACGGCAATCCAGTTAAACTCCGTGAGAAATACTTCATCCAGCCGGTGAAGACCAAGACTAACAACGGCGGTGGTCTTGTCCCAGCCACCACTAGTATACTTCCACCCTATTGTCCACTTGGCGTCACCCAAACAATCCTTCCGGACCAACCGGGGTTACCGGTTAGCTTCACATTACCATACGTTGTAGAGGAAACCGACGTCCTGACATCTTTAGTAGTAAACATCGAGTTCAAGTCCAATATCTGGGCCTGCAATGAGTTTTCCAAGTTTTGGAAAGTTAATGAAACCTCATCATCGGCTAGCGAGGAGCCTCTCATTCTCGTTGGTGGTACACGGCGGGAACCAAATAGCTGGTTTATGATTGAGATTGCCGGAGAAGGACCAGAAGCAAACACTTACAAGTTGACCACCTCAACCGGAACCGTTGGAGCCGTCCCAGGGGTTTGGTTTAATGCACCGCAACTAGTTCTCACTAAGGATAATGCTAAGACCGTACTCGTCAAATTCAAGAAGGTGGAAGATGTCACTACGGCGACTACTTCTACTACTCGGGTTGAGAAGTTAGGTCTAAGGATGTTCCCATTCTACTAGCCAACTGGTAAAAATCATGTAATATATGCCTGAGACTCGTTCATGGCCAAAAAATAACGGGTTGAGATAATACCCGCTTGCATGTTCCTATTTTCCATAAATATAATTTAAGTATGTTTTATTATGACTATGAAACGGGAGCCTGCTAATAATAAAAAGAATGAGACAACTTTAAGAAAATTAATCAAGATATAAATTTTAGAATGAATATCTATACATTTATCACAAGTAACATACAAGTATGAGTGTAACTAATTTATGTTCTCCCTATGAAAAGATATATAGTGAATATACAATAACAAGAACAGGCTGCCATTATTCTTACATTCAATCAATATAAAACACATCCCTTTTATAAAATAAATTAAAAACGTAGAAGGTTGATTTACAAAGTTACGTCTCTCTCTCATAATTAGTTGTCTTGTATATTTCATGTATACATAACTGTTTATTACAATATTAATTCTGATCTCATTGTGGTCCTTAATTAATTAGCGTATGCGTCTCCCACAAATCAATTTTTTGTTGAGAGAGGAAGAGACAATGAACTTTACCATGGTTTCGTTGAGTACAAGATGTGGTGATGAGTTTGATAACCATGAATAATAGGACTGGGGCCGAAGGTTATTATTACTTTTAAATCCTCCAATTCGATTACAAACGGAGTTGTTTTGTTGTTAATTACAGTCATAGTTTATGTTTATGTAGAAACCCCTAAAAAGAGTCTATCGTCACAGCTGCCAAGTAAAGCACATCTTTCTTTCTTTTTCTTTTTCTTTTTCTTTTTATTTTATTTTATTTTATAAAGCACATCTCTTACTAATAAAAGATTTAATTTGAGGCTTCTCAGCCTATCCACCTCAGCTTCTCAACATTTCCTCTCAAGCTGCCATGTCAGCATCATTAGAATCTTTTCAAAACAGCCACATCATAATTGTAATTCGAGTTTCTCTTAGTAATTATGATCAGACCTCTTCCTCTTCCCAAGGCTTTTCGTTACAAATTTATCTCTACTAAATTGGATTTCAACAGCCACACCTCTCCATCGCAATCACGATTACTATCCCCTTGATCGTTTACCTCATGTGTGGCGTACGCAATTTCAATCTCATAAAAACAATGTCGTCATGATCGGTTTTTGGGTTTAAGCAAGGAGAAAGAGAGATATATAGATTTGACGAGAAGGTTGAGGAAGAGAGTAAACAACGGTAAATCTTTAGAAATCGCTTTTGTGGGCTTATGAAGGTTCATATTTTGCCGTAGAAATAGTTTTGACAGTTTTCATGATGGCTTAGACTTAGATTGTCTTTGAATCCAGTTAACATGCCCCCGATATTCAACTTCGGACATAATTCTTAATACCAAGTGACAAAGGCAAGGCAGGAGGACAAACTACTCTTCAATGTTTTGGTCTTTGATAAATCCAAATTGATGGAGACCATAACTCCTGCAATTTCAAGAGATGAACCACCTCTCTTATTTTTTCCACTAAAGGTACATGTCTTCTCTCTTTAATCTTACACTTCAAGAGACCATATATTTTTTGGTTCGTTTTTGGTTTGTAATTTTATTTTAAACTCACAAGGTTACAACATTACATGGTTGTTTCAATTAATTAAAGGCTTTGTGTTTCTTTCCATGGATTTAGTATGCTATTAAAATTGAAGAAATTATGAAAGTGTAAGACGCCTAATTTACACTTTTTTTGTTCTTTGGGTCAACACTATTAGATGGAAAACAGAGACTATCCCGCTCTTATACTATTGCCATTTTGCTTATGTTATTTAAATGAAGTTGTCTTTGTGCTTGATGCAATTCTTTAGTCAAAAGACAAATATAGTGTTTGGTAATAGATTCGAGCGAATCTAAAGGTATGGTAATTAACTTCTGAAATCTTAATTGTAAAAAAAAATTGTGAGAGTTTTCAGAGATTTCTTCTTCTATCGTGACGATCTAACAAGTTTAACTCACTTAGTATGTTCTCATTTTGTGAGTTAAAACATTACTTTAATGAACAAAGCATAGCTTATTGTGAAGCATAAAATGACTCCAAGCATAAAATGCCTTTCTCTCATATACAAAGAGTATATAAATAAAAAGAATATACGATTAGAAAATAAATTATGAGAGTAATATAGATGAAAAAAATACTATATAGACTATATATATATATATATATTTAAATAAATTACAATGACGAAAATATTAATAGATCAGATCAGACAATTAAAAATACCATATATGATTAATTAAAATGATAAATAGAACATCACATAAATTTCTTTCATGTATAGTTAAGAAACTAAAAAGGAAACTAAAACCAACTAAGCTCAACGTTATAGTGCAAGTGTGCAACGCTTGATGGGTTCGAAGCTAGAGCAAATGCATGAAAGAAAGATATGAAATTAAAACTAACTTAATTAACTTAAAATTTTAATCCTTAAATATATACCGGGCGTAGCCCGGACTAACCCCTAGTCTTATTATTTAAAGGTTTTAAAACAAAAACAGTACTCCTCCGTTATTTTATAATGGGAAAAATGTCGGAAAATGCGCGAACTTTCAAATTTGGGACAAAAAAAGCATGAACTTTCGAAATGTCATTTAAATCATAAAGTTTAGTTTGACTTTTGATTAAATGGTTAAGTTTTCGTTGACCTAGCAATTTCGGACATGTCGTTAAATTTCCGTTAACAAGACGATGACGGGGTTAACTTTCCGTTATAAATCTCCGTTGAATCGAAACGACGGAAAGTTCGATTCTTCACAGACGCAGTTAATTCATTTTATTTTCCACTGAAATGACGTCGTTTTGTTGTTTTTAAACCGACGTCGTTTCGATTCAACGGAGATTTCTAACGGAAAGTTAACTCCGTCAACGTCTCGTTAACGGAAATTTAACGACATGCCCAAAATGGCCAAGTCAACGAAAACTTAACCATTTTATAAAAAGTCAAACTAAACTTTATGATTTAAATGACATTTCGAAAGTTCATGATTTTTTTGTCCCAAATTTGAAAGTTCGCGCATTTTCCGACATTTTTCTCATTTTATAATTGATGTTTTAGGGGAATGCATATAGATTAATAAATCATTTAATTTTTGTTTATTTCTAAACTAAAACACCATTTATTATATAATCAACCAATATTAAAAAATCAATCTACAGAATATAAGTCGTCAAAACCAATAAAAAAGTAATTAATTTTGGATTGAAAATTGAAAACATCATCTATTTAAGAACAAAATTAGAAACTTAAAACATCACTTATAAAAAAACAGAGAGAATATTAAATAGGAGACATGTGTTTTGATGTATAATCATGCTCTTATGGAGAGACTACCACTAATCATGTTCTTATTTTCTTCCACTTCTTGATTCTTGTCACTTTCCGGTTATAAAAAGGGATAACTATTTTTTTTTCTTTATTGTTGAATTTGCCGTCAGTCATACGTTTTCTTGTAATAACGTGGTGGAACCATATATAGTTCTTGTTTGTTTTCATTAAAAAAAATTAAGTTTAAATGAATCAGAAAGAAAACTATGGTCGACAGATATATACAAAGATGTTGAGAGTCATGCGTACGTTGTTCGCTCAGCCTTATCTCTCTGTTTAAAATCTTGTCTTCTTCCCATGAATTATTTGATCGTCCTTTAGTATGTTAGTTAACATGGACTATGGTGCATGTTCCTTGTGCTTAAAATCAGAGTTTGAATCATACCCGTAGTAGAAAGTTTGTTAACCAAGGATCAGACTGTGACGTGAGGAAAAAGCCAACAAGCATTTTATACTGATAAATTAGGGTTTCTTTTACTTCAACAAAAATGGGAGCTCGTTTTTAACCGTAGAAGATTCGTATAAAATATACCGATACAGTCTTTTCCTCCTAATAACGTAAGAGCACTTGCAGCAACGTTCCTTGACAAAGTCCCACGCTGGGCCCCACTCCAAAACCATGCGACCTTTGCTCCAAAACCATGCGACGTTTCTTTATTTGGGACGTCCCTCTTTCTCGTCCTTCACTATTCGCGGGCCCCACTGATACGTGGCGGCCCGCGATTGGTTACTTGTTTTTTTTTTTTAAATAAGGACGGGACACTCATTTACCATTGCACATGGTCTAAACTACTTTTTCCAAAGGCGGTAGTTGCAGCATCATTTCCCAACAACACCGAAACGACATCGTTTTAAAAAGTGCAAATAAATCAACAGCTTTCGTTTGCAAAAACCTCTTCTTTTTTTTTTTCTCTCCCTCTCTCGATCTCTCTGTCTCTGAATCCTCCATTGATGTTTAGGTATGTATTCAGATTCTCATGCTTCGTCTTTTTCGCGCGTCATACTATTCTTTATTTTCGCTAGATGTCTCTTCGGTAACTATGCACACCAAGTGTTCGATTAAATGCCTGTTACAAACCCCACTTGAGATTTGGTAATTATCTTAAGATCTACGGAGAAAATTTCTTGGAAACCAAAGTTGGTTATTGAAATTCTGTGAGTTCTAATCATACATACCCTTGTATAAAAAACTGGGTTTTGATCATATGGAAGCTTAATAGTTTCATATTTGAAATCCACAAGCTGCATAAATTCCTGTTCTTTACATCATCAAAGCTTCTATTACCATCAAAATTATAATTTACATGGAAATGATGGTTAACATATGCAATTGACAAGAAAAATAAGTGTGTATGTACTTATGCAGATATATGAATCTGATCACAATGATGAATGTAGGACAAGGCACACACACAGTTACGTCTCTTCTTCTTCTTCGGGTTCTTCTCTGTTATTTTGGTTTGTTTTCCCCGCTTCTATATTCTTAAGCCAGTCTACAACTTGTTGGATGTTTGGTCTTTTCATTGGATTTTGGTTCACACACATGCAGGCTATGTCAAGCACACGGAGCATCTCTTCTTCATAACCACTTTCTCTCAGCAATTTATCAAACACTTCCTCTGGTTTCCCGTCCCTTTTCATAGTATGCACCCATGCGACCAATTCTCTTGACATCTTTGGCCTGAAAACCTCCATTGGTCTTTTCCCTGTGAGAAGCTCTAGCATGACGACACCGAAACTGTACACGTCACCTCTCAAAGTGGCTACCCAAGCTTGTCCATACTCTGGGGGAATGTAACCCAAGGTGCCCACTAGCTCAGTTGTTACATGGGTTCGATATGGAAGGATCAATCTTGACAACCCGAAATCTGCGACGTATGCCTTGAAATTTCCATCCAAAAGGATGTTGCTGGACTTGATGTCTCTGTGTACTATGTGTGGTTCACATATCTGGTGCATGTATGCGAGTCCACTACTTGCTCCTCTCATAATGTTGAGTCTTTTTGCCCAATCCAGCTGAGCTGGACCCTCAGGATTTTCATGCAGCCAATAATCCAGACTGCCATTCTCCATGAACGAGTAGATAAGTATTCGGGCACTATCATGTACGCAGTAACCTTGTAGAGCAACCAGGTTCTCATGTTTCGCCCTGGACAGAACTTCTACCTCTGCCTTGAATTCTTTCTCCATCATACCATAGTCTCCTGTGAGTTTCTTAACCGCCAGTTTTGTTCCATTATCCAAGGTAGCCTTATAGACAAGGCCAAACCCGCCGCAGCCAATTATATTAGCTTGACTGAAGTTGTCGGTAGCTTTCAAGAGCTCAAATATGGTCAGGTCTTTTACTTCATATCTACTGTTTCCAAACAACAGTACGAGACTTATGTCTTTCTCCGACCCTTGAGGGACTTCAGAATACGAGCCATTGGAATTTATCTCCAGTTCAGCATTCTCAGAGTCTCCTGGATTTACCCTCCTCTTGGAAAGCACCAACAGAGCTAACATCACCAAAATCAAACTGACGCCAAAAAAAAGCCCAATGACAAGCCCCAAAACAAGCCTTCTGTTGATCTTTCCTTTCCCAGCAATCTTTGTAGTAGAGGGCTGAGTTGGAGTGCAGGAGGTTAGCAGTACACCACCGCACAGCAAAGGGTTTCCTTCAAAATATGCTTTTGGGAAGGTATCAAACTGGCTCCCTGTGGGTATCGGCCCACTGAGAGTGTTGTTTGCAACATTGAAATAGGACATGAAATGGAGTCCCGTGAGTGACCAAGGAATTCTACCGGAGAGATTGTTGTTGGACAGGTCCAGCCTCTCTAAGTTTGTGAGGTTTGACAATTCATCGGGGATGCTGCCCGAAAAATTGTTACCTAGAAGCTCCAGGATATGGAGAACCTTTAGCTGTCCGACCTCCACTGGTATACTCCCAGTCAAGTTATTCCTCCTGATGTATATCGTAGGTGGGAGGCTGGATAGCTGATTGTATTGCTGATTGGTGGTGACATTATTGGGTTTGACAAAAACCGGCAGCTCTAGATAGTTCCGCTCTGTTGCATCGTATGCCTTTTGGGACATCAGAGCCCTCAGCTGAAACAGTTCCTTTGGAAGCTCTCCTGTTAGCAAGTTATCGGAAAGATCCAAGTAGAAAAGGTCTGGAAGAGTTCCTAGCCAACCGGGAATTGACCCCACAAGTCGGTTCATTGACAGATCCATAACTTCTACCCTCTGGAGCTTGATCAGCCAAGCTGGTATTTCACCTTTCAATCTGCATCCACCGATACCGAAGATTTGGAGGCTTGGAAATCCATCTGAATCAAGAAAGTCTTTGTCGCTTGGTACTGTTTCGTCGTAAAAATTCTTTGCCATGATCAGAGTAGACAGCTTCTTGCAGCCTTGCAGAATGCGGAGAGCACCTGTAAGGTTTGTCATTTGATTGTCTGAAAAAGTAAAGAACAACAGGGATTCCAATTCCAGTACTTGAGGAGATATCTGTCCAGTTAACTTGTTGCCTGCAAACCTCATTGCTGTCATCGTTTTGCAGGAGTAAACCGTAGAGGGAAATTCCCCAGTGAAGGTATTGTTTCCGAGGTCCAGAATGCTGAGGCTCTGAAACTGGGAGAAGTCTATCGCCGATAAATTTCCTCCCAGCTTATTAACTCGTAAATTCAACTTCACGAGATTTGTGCAATTGGCGAGAGAAACCGGGATAAAACCCGTGAGGTTATTGATATGGAGTTGGAGGATTCTCAGTTTGGAAAGCTTACCTATATCCTTTGGTATTTCTCCTTCAAGGTCATTGAAGTAAAGCTCAAGCAATGTCAGTTTGGTGAGACGAGTAATCCCCTCATCAATCTTGCCAGAAAGACGGTTGACTGGTAAAACGAGTTGCTCGAGTTCAGGAAGTTTGTAGATTTCTTTAGGGATTTCCCCAGAGAGATTGTTGAAGCCTGCTCGAAGAACACTGAGTCTCGAGCATCTGCCTAATTCTTGAGAGAGATCACCACTGAAATCATTGTAGGAGAAATCCAGTTTGGTGAGCTGCGGTGAAGTTGTGCACATGAAGGAAGGATTAGGACCCGTGAAGCTGTTGTTACTGACATTGAAACTGGTTAAATTGAAAGCACCCTCGAGAAAAACAGAACCGTCGAGGATTTGTCCCTCAAGAAGATTGCTGGAGAGATCAACGGTCTGAATTGGAAAGATTCGGTTGCTTCCATTGCCAAATGATTGTTGAAGTGGCAATTCACCTTTGAAACTGTTGTAACTAAGATCAAGAACCAATAACTGATCAAGGGCAGAGAGGAAATCTGGTGGGAGTGGACCAGAGAGACGGTTATGAGAAAGGTCGAGACGAGAGAGACGGCGGAGATCCAAAACAGACGACGGGAGATTGCCAGAGAGTCCTCTAGAGGGCAAAAGAACCGAAGTGACACGATTTTCGGGAGAATCATCACAAGAGATACCTTCCCAGGAGCAACAATCAGTGGACGAATTCCAATGCAAAGGAGAGAGTGGAGATGATACGTTGCCAGAGAACCAAAGGAGAGAATCTCGATCCTGAAGATTACAAACAGCCTCTGAAACTGTAAGAAAGAAGACAGAAAGGGAAAGAACGTAGACAAGGACAAAGAGAACCATGCGAGGACTCAAAGGTTTTACTGGTCTCAGGAGAGGACCAATGGATTTAGATCTCATCTTCTCGTCAATCATGGCGAGAACAAGAGAAGAAGAAGAAGAAGCTGAGAAAGATTAAGAAAGCTTGAAGAAGAAGAAGAAGAAGGAGAGGGAAAAGAAGAAACAAAAGACATGATTATCCAATCTGGGTTTCTATGTCCGAAGCTTGTAAATGGCTCTCAATACCATCGTTGACCAAAGGGAATAGTCAGACCAAACAGAAGAAAACTTCTTGTCACACCCAAAGTTCACTTTTTTATTTTTATTTTATTTTATCATGTTATCTTTTTGCTCCGATTGTGGTTGTGGGTATGGTTTTTTTATGTAAAGTTTTTTTTTTAAAAAATACAATTATTATTCCTTTTGTAATAAAAAGCTTAAGTACAACCCTATGCTAATTATTAAAGTCAGCCCTATATATCCCTTACTTAAATGATGAACCAATGAAAATTGTTTTACTTATTTCATTTAGTTTGTCTGGTTTTGTTTTGTTAAGAAAAAAAAAGTTTTATGCGATTTATTTTGGAATTGGGTCATTTCAATCTTTGGAGGTGGGAGGTGCATGCGTGCGTGCTATGATGTTTGTTGATCATGAAATTGAATTTGATGATAAAATAATAATGATGGGCACAAACATTATGATATGAAATCAAAATTAAATAAATAAAGAAGAGGTTGAAGAATAGTATGATGATTATTATTTTTATGGGAGAGGCGTTTACCTTTTGGGGCGGCTGGTTTAGTAGTGGCTCGTAGTGGTGGTGGTGTTACACAACTTTTTTATATATCCTCTAAAATTATAGAATATGTAATTCATTTTTTTTTTCGATTTCTTTCTTTACTTTTTTGCCTTATGGAGGATCTTTTTATGTTTTAATTTTGCCAAGTGGAAGCCACATTTAACATTAGATAGTGGTCATAAAGAACGAAAGGTAGATAAAGAAGATCATATGATAACTATTTTTTTTTTTTGGAAAGGATACTATTTATTTTGTTTGACTTTTTGATTTCTTAGGGTTATAAAAATCTTTCAAGCTGTGACTTCCGCCACCAGGGTTCGAGGCACGGCCACTAGCAGGTTTACATAGGGGAATTGCCAGCTTCGTGGGATTAGTCCTTGGGCCTAGGAAGCTTTTGGGAGACCCGCGGTTATTCAAAAAAAAAAAAAAAAAAAAAAAATCCTTCAAGCTGTTCTTTTTTCTCGTAATTTACTAATGAGCAAATGGCGTATATGATAGCTGACAAGTTACTTTAAAGTTTAAACAATACGGTATTGAATTTATTAAGTGTCTTCGACTTTTCGGATGTTATAATAATTAAATGGCTTATAACCACACAAATAAAAGTATAGACTTTGTGTGATATTTCACGTTTTTACAAATCGAATTTTATTCATAAAAAAATTACTTAATTTTATAACCGAAATTGTTTTATGTGAATTGTAGACTACCAAAAACAGTTTTTTGAGTGAAATTAAATAGAAACAATCATGATTAATGCGTTTAATACTTTAATTAGTGTTTCAGTAACAGTAAGTAATGATGGTGTGAATTTGTTAGTCTATCAAAATATTATTTAACATGATAGAGTTTTCGAAGACATGGAGGAGAGTTATCTCTTTAGTGGAATCGAATATAAAGATTTGACATTAAATAACACTGAACAATCTTTTTGTATGCTCTATTTATCTTTTTTTCTTTTCAGCAAATCAAATATATTGATATCAAAAAAGTGTTGATAGCTTTATTTATTTTTATTTATCTAAAATAAATAAAAAAGTTAGAATTCTGAGGCTCAGATTGTTGAGAATAAAACCCAAATTAAACCTGTGACTTTACCTAATAAAAGCCGATCATATCTATTTTTCATGTAAATAAAAAAGGTAACTTATCTCCTTTATTGTTTTTCCACACTGAATTTTTTCTTATGTTTCAATCAAATTTAGAAAATCTCTAATAATATTATTCTCTCAACCTATAATATATTTCTCATGTACCTCAAAATCCAGGTTTAATCAAGCTTGTCGTTTTCTGGCCTCGAATGGAATAAGGAAAAGCCAGTAGATATTGTATTTTTATTTTACTCATAAGTTGTAACTTCATCTTTATTTTTTATTTTTATTTTCTAGTATGCATCCATTTCTAAACACAGCACATCGGCTTATCTGTTTATCTATCTTGAAAAGAAGTCACCCTAATTATTATTTTTTTCGTCTGACAAATTCTTCTTCTCCTTTTAAATTAAGAAATGATTTTGTAAACAAAATTGATTGGACGACTTTATTTTGTTTTTTTTGATAAAAATCGGCAATTGGACGACTTGGATTAGTATATCCATTTTTTATATATATACAATTCCACTTAAAGATAACATGTATCATGATCCTCGTTTATTTTGTATTTGGCATTTTCCTATATTTTGTAGTATTTTTTTTGTCTTTTTATAAACTGTATACAGCTATTTTTCTTTTTTTTCTGGCTCCCAGATACAGCTATTTAGAATTTTCGTATCATTTGCAAATATTTTAAGAACAACTAGTTGAAATTTTAAATAATCGACAGAAAATAACAGTCAAGTGATAATAACATAAACACTTTTTTTTGTACTACAGGTGTGAATAAGCATATGTTAAATGTATTCCATTTTCTGACGACCCGAAATCTAGGCTTACAAACGTTTTCATAAAACCAAGGGAGAGAAAACGTTTGACTTTGTAAGAGAAAATAGTATTCAATTCAATACATGTATTACATATATATATATATATATGTAAACAAATTTGGAGATAGCTTATCTTCTATATCGATCGTCAAAATTAAAGACATAACCTCTTTTGAGTTGGACCGGTAAGATCATGCAAAAAGAACAAAATCTAACCACTTGGCCTTTTATAATACATATTTATGTGTGTATACGTGAGTTAAGTTATTACTTTGAATAGCTGATATCTTTTTAGTTTTTACATGTGTTTTTGTTTTCCATCACGATTTTAACAGTAGTCGTACGTAAAAACTAGGGAAGCAAATTGTTTATATATTTTAACTATTTGGGTTTTTAAATTAATACTACAAAAACAATTTGATTTAAACACTAAACCCAATCAAACTAAATATGTAATCAAAATAGTTTTAATAAAGATTCTGTTTGCAAGATTCCATATACTTGGCAACTAGTTGTTGGTATACCCAAAACAAATCATGAGATGTTTGAGTAAAGTCAAAGCAAAAAATTAGCCATATTTAGTGATACTCTCGAAAGAGCCAAAAATGAGACAAAACCGGTCCGACCCTTTTGAGTGCAAATTGACCCCCGAAAACATAAACGGGTCAGTGAGAGACCGGACCCGTTTTATCCCATTAGAACTCATTTGGGCCAAGTTGATACGGAACGGCCCGACCCGTTTCTCTTCTCTTTTCCAATCTTTTGTAGTTCTGTTATACCAATTGGCCACTTGTAGGAATTAACAGCTTGGTCCATTTAATAAAGCCCACAACAAATAAATCAAGGTACTTTATATTGGTAAAACATGTTTATCAATCAAACTATATACTGTAGGTTGTTAAAATTGTAGTGCCCTTAATAATTAGTTTAAGAAAATTGCGTCATGGTCTATGGAATGCATTAATGATACTGGTGGTTACATCTTTACTTTATTTATGAAAATTTATTTGTAACCAAAAGATTGTTTTTTTTTCTTTCTCAAATGTCTCAATTAATTATGTTAGCCTTAGGATTTAGGAATCTAGAGAGAATGATTTAAAGATTACAGAAGATAATATGTTATTAAAGGGAGGGTGAAGAAGATCATCATTCAACTCTCATCATTTTGCCTAGTTAACTTTTAAGACAAAAAAATAATTAAAGTTACAGAATTCCTTTAGGGTAATGAGCAATTGCGCAACAAGGACTTAAGTTTTTCAAATAGTACTAAATTATTGTCTCTTAACAACAAAAAGTTTCAATATAGGCATATGAATATAATGTATTTGTCTTGGTGGAACCACATATATTCAGGTCGGAGTCGTCTGACTTCCCCACAAATTAAATTTGACATAGAGTTATGAATATTACTAGTAAGATTGGAATAATTAAAAATATAGGCTGATTTGATTTTTCTGTTGCTGTAATTATTATCATACACCTCTTAAAAACTTTTTTCCGAGAGTTTGTCTGTACCTATATTTGCGAAACTTATAATATAGTTAAGGTTCCACTTAATGAAAAGACAAGATCCTTAAACCTAGGCCTCGACCAGGAGGATTCTTTGATCTCGAGAGAATAAAAAGCTCTTCATTTGATATTGAAGTATAATTAGAATTTTATCATCTCATTCTTTCAACTTAGTGCATGACAAATTGTCATCCATTAAGCTACCATTGACTTGCTTTTTTACTTTTACTTGTTTTGTTAAATTTTCACAACACAGTTAAGAGTTCCTCGGGAAAAAGGGTAAAATTAGTGGAGAGTTACCGATATCTTGGAAAGACTAAAGAATCTTAAAAGATGTGTAAATCAGTGCACACCATCATTTTTGACTATAATGTACTACTCCATATTCCTTAGAAATAATATTTGCAAAAAGATAAACTTTATCAATTTAGGATTGTTTTACTAACAATTTGAATCAGATAATACATCTCTAAGCTGCAAATTCCAACTATTATTGCTAAAACACCAAAACCTTTAGTAATTAGTCAGACAAAACAAAAAGAACAAGTGTAGTTAGTATTTTGTAATGGAGAAGAGAAGCATTACCAGAAAAACTGAGTAATGGAAAACGATGACGACGAATTAACGCATTAAGAAAGAAATTTTGGTCGACTAAAAGTAAGAGAGAGTAGCTCCCCTACTCCAATTTCAATACACTCTGGGCTCCACTCACTTCTTCCTTCTTCTTCTTATGCCTTCGTCTTCTTCTTCTTCCATGGCAGAGAGAGACACTGATTGATACACAATTCACACCTTTCTTTTTCTACTTCCTCTTCTCATAAACCCTTTTAACATTTCTACCACAAGTGAACATCCCTCTCTCAGCTCCATCATTATAACACATCACTCGGTCTCAATTCCAAGCTCTGTTTTTTCCTGGAAAATTCTAATCCTTCGTTGCATTAACTCTCTGGGGTTTTGTTTAGTTTGATTTTTTTCCATTTGGGTACCCACCAAAAGAGTAAAGTTTCATGCTTTTGTGGTTCTTGCTTTCCCTCACAAAACCCTAAATTTCATATCACCATCCAATTCCATGTTTTGCTCTGCTCAACTCTCTGTTTCTGCTTCTGCATCATCGTTTTCCTTCATATAACCAAGCCAATTTTGTTGATTCATCTTGGCACATTCATTGTTTTGAGAAGGAACAGAAAAAGTTTTGATCTTGTCTCATTCGCACATCAATGGACGATAATAGATCTGCTCATAGCTCAATGTTCGGTGATCTATCAACAGAAGAAGTCACAAGCAAGATCATTCTCACAGCAATCATTGTTCTATTCATGGCTGTTCTTTTCGTCCTTATCCTCCATCTATACGCCAAACTCTACTGGTGGAGAATAGATCAGCTCCAACAACAGCAACAGCAACAGCAAGAGCAAGAACAAGAAGAAGACCAATCATCCATTGCTCCGCCTGTAGTCACTCGCCGTCAGCGACGCCGTTTCATCTTCGTCCCAGGCCAAGACGCTCTATCCAACACTGGACTTACCTCTTTTGAACTCAGTTCCTTACCAATTGTCTTTTTCAGACAAGATAGTTGCAAAGATGGTTTGGAATGCTCTATTTGTTTGTCTGAGCTTGTTAAAGGAGATAAAGCTAGGCTGCTTCCAAAGTGTAACCATAGCTTCCATGTTGAGTGTATTGACATGTGGTTTCAGTCTCACTCTACTTGTCCGATTTGTAGAAACACGGTTCTTGGTCCTGAGCAAGCTAGCTCAAAGAGAGTTGAACAAGTTCCAGACAATGCAGATCATGCTGGTAGCACCAATAACAACCATGATGCTTTGTCACAAATTTCAACTTCTTCTCCGGAATTTCCCACCAATGTCTTGGTATGGGGTCGCCAGGATCAGGTTAGTACCGGAAACAACAATGTGGGGCCTCAAGAAGACGGTGCTGCTGGTAATGGTGCTTCTCAGAGTCAAGAAGCTGTTGTTCTGGATATCAATGATTCTTCCGTAAGAAGTCAGAATGTATCATCTTCGTCGTCATCTATGAGGTTTATTGTTGAGGAGGAAGAAGCAAAATCTCCAATGACAACGAGGTTGAGGTCTTTAAGGAGGTTTTTAAGCAGAGACAAGAGAGTGGCTTGTAGCAATAGTAGTACTAGTAGTAGTAGCAGCTCCAATGTTGCTGCTTCTGTTGATCCTTGAAGATTGTTATTAGATTAGCTGAGTGAGATTGCCTGAAGATGTCAAACTGTGTATGTGGTCTCGGCTCTTTATTGGCTGTGTTTGAGAGCTTTCTTTGTCATCCAAGTAAATCATTTATGTATTCCACGGGAATTGAAATTCAAAAGCTTTTTGTTTACTCAGATCAACACAACACAAGATCAACTTCAGAGACTAGTACCATGAAACGATTGTAGAAAGCTCCACTATGTAAAAGGATGTTAGTTAAACCATCAGGTCTGAGGAAACAAGAACTGAGAAGTTTTTCAAGAAGTAAAACTATGGGAACTATAATGAGTTTACTTACCATAAACGAGACTAGAGAAGTAGCAAGCCACTGGTTTCAATAAACCGAAAACCAATTGAGAAAACACATTTGGTCTGTTGTACCGTCTAATTAAACCGGTTAGTGGTTAGTATTCGTAAGCCACAAGGAAAACTCTCTCCACTGTTTTTCTTTCCTTTCTTCAAAGATTGCAATTAAAAAGAACAAAAAAAGTTGGTGATTATCATAGTGACAGGAGCTGTTAATCTGCAACGTTTCTTCTCACGAAGTTGGCGTTAATTAATACTATTAGAAGAAACAGCATCAGTAACCACGTGCCCTGTCACATGATCCTCATCTTAATCACAAATATTTTTCATGGCTAATACGTGTGAATGAATGTGTGTATGCATGTGTCTTCATGTGATCTAGAAACTATTAGATTTATGTTAAATATCTTCATCATCATCTGAACACAATTGGGAAAACAATAAGGAAATTATTGGCACAGCAGTCAAACTAGCTCACGTGATTAGATCCCAAAAAGTCTCATGAATCAATAATATAATCTACAAACCAACAAAGATTCTTTCTCTTTAACTCAAACATAAGCTCGCTACCCTACAGTTTTCTCCATTGCAGTCTTAAGGAACACAACAACCTAAGAGCTCCAATATAAAGAAAAGATCAAAAAGAGATTTCACAATGAAGAGATTCCATACATCGGCATCGATCTCGGCAGCTCTCTGTCTTTTACTTCTAGCTTTGTTTAGCAGCAAGAATAATGTAGAGTGTCGTCAGATGGGGCCAGCTTCCATGGATTTAGCTTCTAGCAAAGGTGTGAGAGATTTGCAGATAAGCAAGGAGATGAAGGGAGAGTCTCTAAGAGGTGAAAAAGATAGCTTCCGAAGAATCCCAAGGACTGGCTCCAGCCCTATACAGAACAAGTAAAGACAAACCACACAACTCAATTTTCTTTCAATCTTTATGTATTCCAAATGGTTTTTGCATCTCTGTGAGTGTATGATTGACACCAAGAGTGTGTATTTTTGTACCAGGATTGATCCCCTAACCGATGTAAGAGGAAGTAGGAAACAACATATCACAGCAAGAGAACCATAGATTTCATTTATTTTTGTCTTGGATCTATTTTTTTTTTTTGGGTAGCATAGCGTATTTACACTTATTTCTGGATGCTGCAATGTAATCTTATAAGCTTTGCTACTGTTAACAGCTCCTAGAGTGGGCTTAGACCTCTATAAGTTCGTTTGTAGTGTTATATGAAAAGACTGTTTTTCATAGCATTCTTGTAAGTGTAGATCTAGCCAGAACGGCTTCAACTATGCTGTCAACTTCATTAAAAAGTAGAGAAAAAAGAACTGTGGCACAGAGATGAGAAAAATGCAGCTTGACTAGATATGATAGAGTAAGGAGTCTAACCTTCAAATTCGCAATTTATTTGAATGCCTATTCTTTCCAGTCATCTCACCAGAAAGGAAAGGTCTTTTGCTGCCAGCTAGTTTTGGTTTATCTGTTGCTTCACTAGTTTTATTCTTCTTCTGTTTCGCCCTTTTTTCACCTGCAAAAGGTTCATCCTTGTCCTTTGCATGCTCTTCTCGGTGACGCTTAAACCCGGAAGTAGGATGATGGTCAATCTCTTTCCTTGTATTCTTTACTTCTATTTCCTGATATGCATCCTCAGATGTGTCAGAGACAAAGGTGTTCTTTGGAAAATTTGATTTGTTGGACCCAAATGTAGAACAAAAGTCGTCATATGTTGATTGCTTAGCTTCTTGTCTTGATTTCCACTGATCAGGTCTGCTGGCATAACTGCAACAAAGAAATGATTCCATATCATATCAAATAAATGCAAGAGAATACATGCATGCCATCAATGCTACAGATATGCCAGCTTTCGATGGCACTATGACACTAAAGACTTATTCTCTTAGAACTTATACTTCTTTTTTTTCATCTGAAGTGTAATTCTTATGTTGGTGATACCAGTTTTTCTGATGTTTTACAGCTTCCGTCAAACAAAGCAAGATAAGTTTGTGAATAAGATCTTACCCGTCGATATCAAGTTTCCTAAGCAGATAAGGCCCTTGCTTTGTTTTCGAGAGATCAACTTTCACATCCAACAGTTCAGTTGCTATGGCTTCCCTTAGTGTCAAATTACATGCATCGAAGCACTTCTCAACTGTAAATGAACCAGATGTGTGTAATGAGAGCTCGCCAAAATGTCCACGTAACCTGTGACGAAATCATTGGTAAAAAGAAACATAATCAACATAAAGAACAATTGCTTGAAAAATACTGACAAGCAGCATAAGAGACTGAATGAAGAAAAAACACGGAAGCAAAAACAGAACGAAAGTAATCATATTAACAAGTATACTGTGGAATCTACCGGTCTTGAAATAAACATATCCCCATATAACATCAAGAAGCAAAGCATACTTTATAATTAGTCTGCGTTTCTGTTTTGTAGCAGCATTTGAGGCAAGAAAGGCCTCGATGACACGTGCTCCACTGGAATCTTTTGCTGTTTCAGTAATATACTCAGCTTTCATAGAAGTTAAGCTTGTTATGTATGGCTGTATATGATCCTGCCAAATTGAGAAAAAGTTGGGAGTTACTGTGAATGCACATGAAAAGCCAAACTTGGAAGTTGAAAACACTAAAACTATTTTTGCCAACACAAGGAGAAAAGGAAACATACGCTAGAAAACTTGAAAATCCCCTGAAGGATCAAACAACCCATGACATGCATCTTTGCACCAGGTGCCCACTCCCATGTAGACTTATCTCGGCAACCAAAGTAGTAATCAAGAAACAGCAACCGTGGAACAATGGAGATACGGGACTCATTTGTGGAGCATACTGCACCAACAAGGGCCTCACAACACTGTCAAATCAGTAAAAATCATCTGTATAAGAACACATTTTTGAAACTAGAGAAGAAATAAATTTTCAACTGAAATTTAGAAAACATAGAAACCTTATGTTCATGACTTTCAAGCCTTTGGCTAACCGCTATCAGAGAAGCCACAACACCTGACTTCCCTTGCTCAAGAAGATCCTTGAATCTCGGAGCTAATTCTTCCCACATCATGCCCATCTTGCAAACAAAATCAACTGAACGTAAGTTTACCGGCTTCAAAGAAATAGCAAAAATACATTCGAAGCTAAGAAGACCTGGAATGAAATTTTGATGACACAGAAAAAGATGAAGTGTAGGATAAAGATACCTGCTCTTGGTCTCTTGCATGGGAGATTAATGCTTGGATAACAAAATTTGCACACCGATCAACTGAAAGCTCAAATAAAGAATTCTTGAAAACTTTGTTGAACATTTCGTTATACAAACTTTCAGGGGCCACTTCCAAAATAACCTGAAATGGCATGCAAACACATTTAAGAAGATGACTAAGAAAATTAACACTCCAATTCCAGCATTGAATCAAACAGAGAACTGGAGATCATTGTAGATAATGTTTTGCATGGTCTAACGCAGGCAATATGTCCATAATCAATTGTTTTGCAAGGTACAGAATCTTGGTATAAACAACTCAGTAAGAGCCAGAGGTTAAACTCAGTTACCTCCACCAGATGACTGAATGAATTATCCTTCATTGACTCTAAAATTTCTTTGGCAACATTAGTCTCTATATGAAACCCCTCTAATTTTTTATTAGTAGAGTTGCAGCGCAGAATAAGTGGAATGATTTCAAGTAACTCCTCATCTTGTTTCAGCATTAGTCTGAGAGCCGTCTGTCAAGAGAAGATTAGTTAGCATCCCCATGAATCAGGAAGAGAGAGTAAAATAACAGTCAATACTAAAGAAGTTGCTTGAAAATGACGATTAGACAGGGACATAAAACCTACCTGTAAGACCAAACTGCTATACTGATCGACTTGAAGATACTTCATATCCTCTCTGCTACAATTTAATAGCCCAGATAAAAGGTACTTGAGCATATCTGGAAACCCTTGATGAGGGATTTCTAGAGTATTGTCATCTAACTGAGACATCTTCAGATTCAAACGTTTGGCCAGAGCTTTTGATGATTTTGCGCCATAAAGCTCAGGAGAATCTAAAGAGACTCCTTTGCAAAGACAAAGAAGCCTTCGAAGAACATGAGAACCATAGCAGTTGCACATCATATCAAGAGGATTATCCACAATCACCTGACCAGGGGAAATATTACACCATCACAATCGAGGTCAATTACTAGTTTCATTACTAGAAGCAATATTCTGGATACCTCAATATGCTTGTCAAAGCCAGTAAAAATTGTATAAAGTACCTTGCATATAGAATTCAATGCCTCCTCAATAACAGAATAGGCATCTGGATTTTCAAGATGTGTGGCCAAGGATTTGAGAGCAGACTCTGCAACATGAGAACCAGATCTATCCATTGCAATGGCTGGGAACACAGTTGCAGAATTTCGTATGAAACTGCAGAGTTGGTCAAGTTCACATCCCTCAAGTAGAGTTTGCAAGACATGGCTTATGATATAGTCTGTCGCAATTTCATATTCCCTCCCTCTTGTTTCTTCAAGGGCATTTCCGCATATTACTGAACGTTCCTCTAATTCAACTTCATTACTATCAAAGAGATTGGCAATCTCAGAGAAATACTTTGAAGTTTCTGGATCAATCTCTTTCCTGCAAAAGATAAGCCTGATTCACTACCACTTCTTACGACAACAAAATTTCCACTAAAAATTAGAGCAAAGGCGTAGGGTTAGGCCCTCGGTTGAAAACCTCCCTTACCTGACAAATTGATTCTGATGTTCGAATTCGGATTGTTTCTTTGATGCTGGCTTGACATTGGGGGCACCACCAGATTGGTTCTTCTTGCTGCTATCTCCATCAAATCCACGGCTACCTTTGTGATCCTTCCTTCGCATTCCCTTCTTCCTTTCGCCATGATTGTTACTAGACTTTCCCCGTTCACCCATCAAGCAATCTTCCTCAATAGTCCTGTGCCTCCTAGATGGCAATGATTTAGAACCAACTGAAACCATGTAAATTTCTAGCCCCAACTATGTTAAACCCTACAAAATTTACACACAAAACAACTCAGCTTTCAAGAACTATTCGTCCCATATTACACAATATAACAAAAGAGGGAAAAGTTCAATTTTTTTCTCCAAATTTACAGACCCCAAAATTAGGGCTTCTACTTCAACTCGAGAAACAATTCCCTAACTGGGTTCCGTTACCTAAAACACAACAATAAATTACGAGTCTCAATTCTATAACTTTACACTAATCTATGTGAAGCTTGTACAAAAGAACAGGAACAATTAGGTTTATCACAAACCTGAGTATGCAAAAACAAAGTTGACGTAAGAGGAGAAACGAAGAAGCGCGAGCTCAACAAAGAACGCGGCGCAGAGAGAGATGAAGAATCAAAATCACAAGTAAACGGTGTCGTTTCTTCGACTCGTAGTATACGTTGGATCAAAATCTTCGATGTTTTGAAGTTGTACAAATTTTCTAATTACTAGGGTTTTATTTTCGTTCAACCTAATACGATGCCGTTTTTAGTGACGTCGATATAAACAAGTAATGGGCATGTCACGATTTTAACTGCCTTTTTAGGCCCAATCATGTAGCCCAACTCTGGTATTCACAAAAAAAAACAAAAAAAAAGAAAATCATTTGCTAGAGAGAGGAGACATGTTACAAAACCATCAATTTAATAAAATCCACAGCAATAATTATCATCTAAAATTTCAATAATTATCATCTAAAAATCTATAACAAAATTTCTTCATAAAATAATAAATTATTTCAAAACTTTCAGATTAGCTGTATGCCTGTATGTACTAATGTAGGTTTTAACTTTTCATATCAACAATTCAACCAAAAGTAAATATGATTATGCTAGAGTAATAGTATCTATCTGCTTAGCCCAAATTAGATTACAGTTATGCTTGGATTATTCAATTTTGGTCTTTGTGGATATTTAAGTCAATGACTTGTTTGGAGATAGAATTCAGACAACTTTTTTGGTAAATGACACGTCTTTTTTTGGGATTAGCCATGTTTTGTTTTTAACAGATAAATAAACAAAAATTAGCCGCCTAAAAAAAACCCTACAAATATCTTCATCAATTCAATTAGATTTTTGAAAAAGAAAAGAAAAAAAAAAATCTCATTTTTGAGCGTGGAGAACAAGGCAAAATTCGGTGTTGCAGGCACTGGATATTGGGACCCTTGTTTCCTCGTGAGAGAATTATCAATCTTGGGGCTTGAAGAGCACGTTCGTACTATAAAGCAGATGCGGAGATTCTTGATTAACCAAGCTAAAGGTCTCGTCGACCATTCTCGTCGTCAACATCACAAAAGTCCAAGCTTTCTCTCTCCTCAATCTCGTCCTCTTGCTTCTCCTGCTTCTGCTTCTCTTGTTTCTCTGTCTCGTTTCTTCTCTTCTACTTCGGATATGTCTGCTTCTGATTCCACTTCTTCTCTTCCCGTTACTGTTGACTCCATCAATCCCAAGGTCGGTTTCTAATTCTATAGCTGTTTTTTGAATTGTGGGTTTCTGGGTCTTTTTTTTTTTCCTCGATTGATTTGTATTTGTTTCTAATTTAGTAAAAAAAGTTTCAATTTTTTAGTGTGGTTTTCTGATTTAACGCCAAAGGTTTGCTCTTTGCTTTGCTTAATTGGGTTTTTTTTTTTTTTTTTTGCGAATTTTCTGAGTTTGGTTCTGCTTATGCGTAGGTCAATGCTCGTTTGCAGATTCATCTTTTCCGAAATTTTTAATTTTTCCCATCAAATCTCTGCTACTTAAAATTTTAATCTTGTTTCACCGAAATGTCACGTTCTTAAAACTTTTCACTTCTTGTGTCATTTCTTGTCTTATGAGTCACTTTCAATTATACTGAGAACTTGGTTTTATTATTTTCGGGTGGCAGGTTCTGAAATGTGAGTATGCTGTTCGTGGAGAAATTGTCAACATTGCTCAGGTCAGATATACATGTGCTTTGTCTTGTAAAACCACGAACAAAAATCTGTAAAATTGTTTTGATGCTAATTGATTTTTTTTGTTTGCTTTTTGCTTCCATCTTACAGAAGTTGCAAGAAGACTTGAAGGCTAATAAGGATGCTTATCCCTTTGATGAGGTAAAATCTCGTTCTTCATCGGCACTTTTGACATGAGTTTCATGGAGTGGATAGTTTATTGTTGATGTTACCTGTTCTCAAACTCTTTATAATTCACAACAAGAAAGAAACTTACAAGTCTTGACTGTCTTTGGCAGATAATCTATTGCAACATTGGGAATCCTCAATCTCTTGGTCAACTGCCTATAAGGTTCTTCCGAGAGGTAAGCGAATGTTTTTGGTGCTAGTTTGTTTGTCATAGAAGCCCAAAGATATAACTTTTATCATCTATATGCCTCAGGTTCTCGCATTGTGTGACCACTCAAGCCTTTTGGATGAGTCTGAAACACATGGTTTGTTCAGGTATTAAACGTGATTCTGAGGTTTTCCTTGCTATATTTCAGCTTTAGGACACATCTGCTCATGGTTTAAGATTGCTTAACATTTAATTTCAACTCTGCTTTATCAGTATCGATTCAATTGACCGAGCATGGAAGATTTTGGACCAAATTCCCGGAAGAGCGACTGGTGCTTACAGTCACAGCCAGGTTTGTCATCAGAGTCTAGTTAAAAGTCCTAAACCCTTTCTTTAGATGGTCCTTATGTTGCTGAATGATTCCTTTTGTTCTGCCTCAGGGTATCAAAGGATTACGTGATGTAATTGCAGCTGGAATCGAAGCACGTGATGGCTTCCCCGCTGATCCAAATGATATTTTCTTGACTGATGGTGCAAGTCCAGCGGTAACAGTCAAAACAAAACATTATCTCATAGAGTTAGAGCAAGTTCTTTTAAGAGGTTCATGCTAAGTGATTTATTGTGTCTCTTTAATCTTTAGGTTCACATGATGATGCAACTTCTCTTGAGCTCAGAGAAAGATGGTATTCTTTGCCCGATTCCTCAGTATCCATTGTACTCTGCTTCAATTGCCCTCCATGGTGGATCTCTGGTATGTTCATTTAATCAAAATATGGACTAATGTTGTTTTTTGGTACAATTTTTTCTTACATTTGTCTTTATTTTGATTGTCAATTTACTACTTAGGTTCCGTACTATCTTGATGAAGCAACCGGATGGGGACTGGAAATATCTGACCTTAAGAAGCAACTGGAGGAAGCTAGGTCGAAGGGCATCGCTGTAAGGGCCTTGGTTGTCATAAACCCCGGTAACCCAACTGGGCAGGTACATCCAGATTTTCAAGATTAGGCAAACAAAATGTAACATTTCTCTAATTTTGCGTTCTTATTCTGGTTAAGGTTCTTGCGGAAGAAAACCAGCGTGACATTGTTAATTTCTGCAAGCAAGAGGGTTTGGTTCTTTTAGCTGACGAGGTCTACCAAGAAAATGTTTACGTCCCTGACAAAAAGTTCCATTCTTTCAAGAAAGTAGCACGGTCTTTGGGCTACGGTGAAAAGGATATCTCGTTAGTCTCGTTCCAATCAGTCTCCAAAGGTAAAAGAACAACTTTTACTGTCCAATGCTTGTCATCTAAAAAATTGGGGTTTTGTTTTTAATATTCTTCTGTTGATAGGATACTATGGAGAATGTGGAAAAAGAGGAGGTTACATGGAGGTGACCGGATTCACTTCTGATGTAAGAGAACAGATATACAAAATGGCTTCGGTGAATCTTTGTTCTAACATCTCTGGTCAAATTCTTGCTAGCCTTGTCATGAGCCCACCCAAGGTAACACTCTAGTTCTCTCTAATCGGTTTTCGCTAAGTTCTTGCAACCGATTATGACTAATCAGTCCAATATGTGTTTGATCAGCCTGGTGATGACTCATATGACTCATACATGGCAGAAAGAGATGGAATTCTCTCATCCATGGCAAAACGTGCAAAGGTTAGTCGAAGATTACAGTACCCTCTAAAGACATTTTTTAAGTCTCTTTGTAATAATGTCACAAGCTTGATAATGAACTTGCAGACTTTGGAAGACGCTCTCAACAGTTTAGAAGGCGTTACATGTAACAGAGCCGAAGGAGCAATGTATCTCTTCCCGCGAATTAGCCTTCCTCAAAAGGCGATTGAAGCTGCTGAGGCCGAAAAAACTGCGCCAGATGCGTTCTACTGCAAACGCCTTCTCAATGCTACTGGTGTAGTTGTAGTCCCTGGTTCTGGCTTTGGACAGGTAAAATAACCAAATCATTTCAAAAAATGAATCTTTAAATGTCTTACAAAAGGATCCAACTTTAATATGTGTTTGGATTCTCTGTTGTTAGGTTCCTGGAACATGGCACTTTAGATGCACAATACTTCCGCAAGAAGACAAGATTCCGGCGATAGTGAATCGTCTCACAGAGTTCCACAAGAGCTTCATGGACGAATTCCGCGACTAAAAAACCTGAACATGAAGATGACCTTTTGAGAAAAGTGTGATCAGTTTGAGTTATTAAAAAAAAAAAAAGAAGCTATGTTTTGATCTTTTTTTTTTTTTTTTTTTCTTCCTTCAAGCTATGTTTTGATCAGGCAATTGTGATCAGCCAATTTAATTTTAGAATATTTGTACTCCAGTGGCATGCCAATTTGAAGATATGATAATTAAGTAAATTGATTTTTTTATCAATTATATATGCAAAATGGATAAAAACATGTTATCTTTGCGAACATGATGTTCAGAACATCTAATATTTTGCGATTTATTATTTTAGAATTTTATAATTTTTATCAATAGGCACCCCCAGTTGGATTATTTTAGAAAAACATGTTATTTTAGAAGCCAGGTGACTAGAACTCTTTTTTTTTTTTTCCTTTCACTTTGGATTAATATTACATGAGACATTACAAAAATTTCAACTTAAGAGGATAAAATAGAACTAAACACAGTTTTTATTTGGGATAAACACTGTTTTTTTTTTCACAGGGATAAACACTGTTTTTTATAGAGTGTTATTTATAGTTATATGTATACAAATGTTAATAACGTTATATAAATATATATACGTGTATACATAGATTCAATAACGTAATACTATAATTACTTTTAATGCACTATTTATGTGTTTACATGTGTATAAATGTTAAAATCGTGTAATATATATTTGTAACATGTCAAAATTGCTCAAATTCGAGAAAATAACAATAGTGTTTGGTAAGAGTCAGTTCACGTGCTAAGCATTTAATGTCTGTCAGTTCGTTTTTACTTTCTCCTAAAAGTCAAAGCGCCTGTCACACGCGCATATAAAAAAATCAACAGTTTTTCTTGTAATTATTTCGAAGTTGAGGGCCATTGGTAACGTTTGATTTGTGTTCCTCTAGGACAAAATCTTATATTGTCGATTTGCTAATTAAATATCTCATTTTTGTTTTTGCACAAATCAACCCTTTAAATTATATGATGTTTAAGATTGTTTCACTCGGAGTTGTAAACATTAGTTTGGGCTATGGAAACTATCATTTCAAGAAGGATTGATTGTCAAGCGTTTAAAACAGATTGTTCAGAGTTAGTCTCGATGGTTCAGTCCCCTGAAGAATGGCGTGTTTTCTCCAATCTGCTAGATGATTTTGGCTTGCTCCGTGCTTCTTTTCCCCTTTTCTCGTTTTCTTCTATTTTTCGTGTATGTAATTTTAAGGCAGATTATTTAGCTCTAACTTCTAGACTTCTATATTCAGAAGTTACTTTTGTAAACTCTTCTCCTCCTGATTGGGCAACCATTCATAGAGTTACTTTTTAATTGATGTGTGATTGACAAAAAAAAATTGTTTCACGTATATTAACAATTTAATTTCTTTTTTATTCCTTCATTAATATATATTATTAATTTTTTCGTAGTTAATACAATAAATAAATAGGAAAAGAACACGAAATTTTAACAACTATTCTGAAATAAACATTTATTCTGAAATAAAATTTTAAGATTTAAAACGACATTAAGGGAGTAGTATAATTTAATGGGCAAAAGTAATTAATTAACAATGAGAAGAAAAAAAAAAGACACATGGGCCTTACAACAGCCATGTGACGCATTGACTATACCGAAATTTGTGCCGCACATTCTTGGTTTGGGAACTTGCGTATTCGTTTGCATTCATCAAGTCATAAAGAAAGACTACGGAAATCGTCAGTCACTTCTTAACCTAATTGAATGGCGTAATATTTTTTATTTGAAAAATTAAAGCTAGGTATCTGGATTTTTACCAAAACTTCCCACTAATTCCGAAGGTGATTTGCGTAGTCTCATCACAGTTAAGCAATCAGATACAGGAAGTGACTGACGTGTAGTGTTTGCACTTTGCACAATACACACAACAAAATCAAACCGAGGGTTATATCAAGTTTACTTCCTTAACCCTAGCTAGATCTAATATCTTTGTCCTATACGCGAGTTATAATATTTTAGTTTATATTTTTATATATACGAGTTAATGTAATAGTTTTAAATAACAAAAGAAAGATATATATGTCGGCCTTTCGAAAAATACATAACACCTTGTCATTATTTTTAAAGAAGACTACTCAAAGTGAACATTACCTCGTCGTCTCCATATTTCACTTATGAACAAACACATGCAGACAATATTGTCCGCCATGCGCAGGACGGTGAAGCTTCCTGGCGCCGTGAAGCTTCCCGGGCACCTTCATCCTCTAGTCACCGATCAACCTGCTTTACAAGATTCCAAAGTTTGTTCTTTGTGTAGTAAGGGAGTTTTTGGGTTAAGGCCTTACTATTGCAAGGATTGCGATGCGGCGTGGCACAAAGAATGCATGCCATCATCATTAGAGATCAACCACTCATGTCACCCGAATCATGCTCTTAAACTTCTCTTTAATGGAGCACCTGACTACACTGATGGTAAATGTGATTTATGTCGAGAAAAATTGGGAGAATTTGTTTATCATTGTTCTACCTGCAATTTCAGCTTGGATGTGAAGTGTGGAAAATATCCAAAGCGTGCAACAATCAATAAGCCAAAGTGCCATAACCATCCATTGAACCTCATGGCGAGACCAGTCTCTTTCGTTTGCAATGTCTGTGGTAAGCATGGTGAACGTAACCCTTATGTGTGTGTCGGTTGCAATTTCATGGTTCATGAAGATTGTACCGATTTTCCGCGTGTCATAAACATTAATCGTCATGATCATCGCATTTTCCACACTTATTCTCTAGAACCTGGGAATAGGAAATGTGGAGTTTGCCGTATGAATGTCGATTGGATGTATGGGGTATACTCTTGCGCAAAATGTTCTGATTTTGTTGTACATTCAACATGCGCAACAAGCTATCAAGTGTGGGATGGTAGAGAACTCGAAGGGATACCAGACGAGAAGGAAGACGAGCCATTGTTCAAAGTCATTGAAGAAAACGTGATAAATTATGCTAAGCATCCATCTCATAATTTAAGACTAATTACTTAGGATGGTGTTGTTCGTGACGAAAGCATACGTTGTGAACTATGTCAACGTCCTGTTTATTCCGATAACTTTTACAAATGTATGGAATGCGATTTTGTTCTTCACGAAACATGCGCTTATCTACCTCGTGGAAAACGTCATAGTCTCTCTAACGATCGTATTTTACTACGAGATGGGCAAGGTGGTATCTTCAAGTGTCATGCGTGTCATCAGTTCTCAAGTGGTTACAGGTATGATATTCCATACAAAAATACAGAGCTAGATCTGATATGTGCTACAGTTGATTGGTCGTGTGACCATGAATGTCATCGCCATACCTTATTCCTCACTAATCTAGACTACAACATTTGTGGCGGTTGCGACTCCAAACATTATGTGTTGCGTTGTGTTGATTGTAACTTTAACTTGGACTACAAGTGTGCTACTATTCCAAAGCAAATCATGCATAAGTGCGATGATCATCCTCTGGTGTTATGCTTTGGCGACAAGGAGCATCAATATGGGACATATTGGTGCGAGGTTTGCGAAAGAAAAACAGATCCAAAACAATGGTTTTACAATTGTGAAGAATGTGGCGTCGTTTGTCATACTGAATGTGTGATTGGAGACTTTTCCAATATCAAGCCGGGATTGAGATCTACAGAAGACGGGATCACACACGGAGTGGTTCGCAACAATGGTGTCACGCGACCACATTGTCATGCTTGTCGCACCCGTTGTCAAGTTCCTTTCATTTATAACATATCTGACGAGTACTATTGTTCCTATGCTTGCTTAAAACCATTTTTACATACTTTTCGTTATGCATTTTATTTTTAAACTTTGTAATTGATTTGTGTAGAAGAATACTTAAGTACTTTATTTAGTCAAATTGCGGGACTATCTTTTTTTGTTTCTTTAAAATCAAGGGCTTAATCGGCTGTCCTGTCATGCACGATCTTGTGCTTGCAAGCCTATAATTCTCTTGAGAGAACAACATTAATAGCGACAATTACTGCTGGCTAGTGGGCTACTGGCTACACCATGTGCCGCATTGACTAAACCAAATTTCGTGAACACAAAGTGACAAAGTTTAAAATTATTTTTAAAGGTTTACAGCTAAAGCAGTGTGGAGAGTACTTTGTTCGCATTATATTTTTGCATGCATTAACTATTTATTTCCCTCTGGCTCAATACCGTTTAATATTACAGTGGGAAATTATAGTTTATCACTTTATTGGATAGGTAAATAAATAAAATTGTTTAGTGGTGGCTATTTAATTTTCTTGGCACCTCTCTACCATCTGGATTAAATTTTTTGTTTTAAATGTTAAATGGCCGGATCGGACGCGATCACAAGAGGCGACTTGAACACGAGCAACAAGAAACATACAAAAATAGCGTTCTCTCTTAAATGGGACTACTTTAGATCTCGTAATTAGCAGGGGTTCTGTTTCTTTTTTTTTTTTCTTTATATATATAGAAGTTCTCGTAATTTATGTTTAGTTATGTTGTTGGTTTCCATTGGTAACCACTTTTGAGAAAAAATATGAGTAGTAATGTAACGACTTCAACTGGTAACCATTGAAAAAACAAAAATAAAATGAATAAAAAGAACAATGCCGAATGGAACAAACAATTTTCTGTTAATATATTGTGAATATATGAAAATTATTATATATTAAAATACAAATATTATTGATAACTTTATTTTTTATTTATTTTAAAATAAAAAACGAATTATTATTTGTTCTTTTTTTGTTCCATTTTGTCCTCATCAATTTTGGAGAGGAACATTTTTGTTCTATTGTTCCTCATTTGTTGAGGAATGCAAAGGAATGAGGAAGAATAAACATTACTTATAAATGGTAAAAATATTGAGGAACAAAGAGGAATATCACATTCCTTCTCATTCTTTTCCTAAATCATGGTTACCAATTGAAGTCAACGTTATGTTTCTCTTTGTTCCTCAATTTTCTTTATAGCATTTACAAGAAATTTTTGTTCAATTTTGAGACATGTGGGTCTATATTTTTCTTCTCCCTTCATAAAAAAAAAAGTAATAATAGAACAAAACTGTTCATATCCAAAATTGTAAATAAATAACGAGAACACAAAAAATTAAATTTGTTTTTATTATTAAATAATATGAAATACATTTTATGGTAATATTTACATTTCTATATAAAAATACTTTTCGTGTTTTATTTTATATTTATATAAAAAACTTTTATCAAAACTTTCACCTTAAATGAATGTTTTGATTTTTTTAAAATTGGTATTGATAATTAAAGATAAAAATAATGCTTCAAAACTAAAATATATATATTTTAAAACAATCCAAAGTTATAGTATACTTTTATTTTAAATTTATAGAAAATATTAATTTTAAATGAAACTTATAAACTAAAATTCAAGTAATATTTTTTAAATAAATTAGTCTTTATGTCAAATATGTTTCTGAATATCTATTCAAAACTATTTACCATAACCGTCTGTGTTATATCTGGAAATAAATGTGTTTGATAATAGGTATAGTAAAATTAAATAAAATAAAAAAAAGAAAATTTTGAGAAAAAAATGTCTATTCTGAGCACTAATATTGTTTTTTTAATATACAGAGGATTTTTTTTTTTTTTTTGGTCGGCCATTTCCATTAAATATAAAAGAAACACAGAGAATACATCGTTTAGGTACAAACAAAAACTTCATACATTTAAAAAACCTAAGAGATAACTAGTGGCAAGTTACGCAACCTTGCAGCTTTTGCTAAGCCATCTGCTAAAACATTAGCTTTCCTTCCAATGAACTTGAAACTACATGAGTTCTTTGCCAATGTTATGATATCATCCAGATTGTGTTGAATCTCAAGAGGCCCGGGAAGAGGTTTATGCCTATGATTAGCAGCTTTCATTAGGTGCCCAAATAGAGAGAAAGAGTCTCCACAAAAAGTGACATTGTGGTAGTTTAATCGCTTCAAATGTAGGAGAGCTTCTCTCAAAGCAATAGCTTCGGCTTCTAGAGCTGAATCAGTAGGATCTATTGAAGCAGAACCTTTAAATATATATCTTCCCGCAGAATCATGTAAAGTCCATCCAATGCCCGCGTTGCTTTGACAGTGTATCCAAGAAGCATTTGTGCAACAACATAGAGAAGGAATCTGAATGAGTACCTCTTGGAGAGTGTTTGGAGTAGATGGTCTGTTGTGGTTATGATTTAATTGATGTTGAGGCACATTAATTGCTTCCTTCCACATATGATAATCCATAAGTGCTTGATGTATGATATCAGGAATAGACCATTTGCGGTTGTTATAGAGCAAATCATTTCTTACCTTCCATATACGCCATCCCACAAACGGGAAGAGATGTTCCTTTGACTGTTTTGCGTCTGAAATAGAGAATAAAATTTGAATAGTATCTAATACATTAAGGGGAGTATTTAACTAACCAGAATCTATTTCAATAGGCGATAATTCCCATATCTCTCTGGCAAATCGACATTGAAATAAGAGATGTTGAGCAGATTCATTGGCCTCTCCACAAAAAAGACATTCTGGAGAAATCTTGAGGTGTCTATGGGCTAGAGCATCTGCAACCGGGAGAGCATTATGAATAACTTTCCACCAAAAGTGTTTTAGCTTTGGTGGAGCAGAGAGAGCCCATACTGATTTACTTAGAGCATTTTTTTGGACAGAATCATGCGATTGAGGAAGAAAAGACTTAGTAAGTTGATGATAACCTGATTTGACAGAGTACTGGCCATTCCTTGTGAAAATCCAAGATGGAACATCAGAAGAAGTTGTGTGCCTCAATAGGATTCTTTTTATTAGCTGGACGTCATCTGAGTGAATTAAGTCTCTTAACTTGATTTCATCCCATTGACGTGTGTGGGGCAAGATAAGATCTGAAACTGTTAGTTGATCAGGGACAGAAGAGCTTATTTTATTAGCTGGACGAGGCGGTTTGTCTAGCCATGAATCATGCCAAACTTTAATTTGACTTCCATCCCCTATATTCCATTTTAATCCCTGTTTGAGAAGATGAGTACCTTGAAAAATGCTCCGCCACGCATGACTTGGGCGACGCCCCAGATTTGCTTCTACCAGTACAGACTTAGCATAATATTTTGCTTTTAACACCCTAGTGAGGAGCGAGTGGGGCTGTGTAAGAAGTCGCCAGCTTTGCTTAGCTAGTAGAGCAATATTAAAGTTATGCAGATCTCTAAATCCCATACCACCATGCTGCTTCAAACAGGTCATTTTGTGCCATGCTACCCAGGGCATTTTCTGCTTCTCCTTGGTATTAGACCACCAATATACAGAGGATTTGTTATTGTTGCAAGTCACCAAATTAATTTTAATTTTCGTAATTTCCATTGTCCCGAAACAAATTCTATTGAGCCGTTTTTTCGTTTAGAACTTTAGATAATGATAATTGGGCTTATTAATGGGCCTTATATTCTCAACCTGACCTAGAGCTGATTTTTTTTTTTCATATGATTTTCTGGAGAAAACGACAGAAAATATCTTCAATCTTTTTTTTTTTTTTTTTTTTTCCATTTTGAAGAATCTGTAGAAGAAAAAAGAAACCAAAATCAATGTGGCGAAGATCACCGTCGTTTATCCTCGACGAGCGACGAAGCTCGAATTCACCTCCCATGGCCGATACAACAAGAGGTCCCTTTCAAAACCCTGATTCCATCTCCGCTTATTACCAAACTCGCGCGGCGCATCACGGTGTCATTACAAGCGACTGGTTAGCCCAAGCTCAAGCCGCCGTTGGCCGGGTCACAGGCGAGGACCAGCCTCTCTCATCCGATAATCAGCTGGGAACGGAGAAGTCGTTTAATGTAATTGAAGAGTTCAACAACTGGAGAAAGCAACCGGATCTGGCTGAAGCCGTCGCGGCTATTCGAGCTCTCGCTGCCGTTATTCGTGCGAGTGAAGCTAGCACTATGATGGAGCTTGAAATTGAGCTCAAAAAGGCCTCTGATACACTCAAGGTGAGATTCATTTTTCATTTTCGATTCGAATTTTTGTGAGTTTTGTTGATTGAGAGAAGTGTTCAAATTTTGGCAGTCATGGGATAAAACATCAATCTCTTTGACAGCTGGATGCGATTTGTTTATAAGATACGTAACGAGAACGTCTGCTTTAGAATACGAAGATTTCAATTCAGCTAAGTCTCGTCTTCTTGAACGTGCTGAGAAATTTGGGGAAATATCTTGCAAGGTACTTCCTTTTATGGCTCCTGTGGCTCATATTTAGTAGTTTTCTTACATATATCAATGAAGTAGATCATCAAAATGTATTGATTAGAAGAGGATCTATAAAGGTTCGATTTTTGTGCAGGCTCGTAGGATTATCGCAATGCTTAGTCAAGATTTTATATTCGATGGTTGTACCATATTGGTTCATGGACTCTCTAGAGTTGTTCTGGAAATACTAAAGACTGCTGCACAAAACAACAAGCTCTTTCGAGTTCTCTGCACAGGTTCGCTTATCGAAAACACCCTTTTTCTCTTAAACAACAAGCTTAGATTGGAGCTTGAGTTGTATCCGCTTAATGTTTCTTGGTTTCTCTGAGGCATTTTGTTGCATAGTCTTGACCTTAGGTATAAACTCTGTCTCTTTATGATTTTGTAGTATTAGTAGCCTCTCACTGAACTCTTTTAATGGAAAAAATACAGAGGGAAGGCCTGATGGAACAGGAGTTTTGTTATCGAGTGAGCTATCGAAGCTTGATATCCCAGTGAAACTACTGCTTGATTCAGCTGTGGCGTATAGCATGGACGAGGTAGACATGGTTTTTGTCGGGGCAGATGGAGTTGTAGAAAGTGGCGGTATTATCAACATGATGGGAACATACCAAATCGCACTTGTGGCACACAGCATGAACAAACCGGTCTATGTTGCCGCCGAGAGTTACAAGGTAATTGAAACGGTTTTATAAGATCCCAGAGATAGAAAGAGAGTGGTTAATGACACAAAGTTGTGTATTTGCAGTTCGCTAGGCTTTACCCATTAGACCAAAAGGACATGGCACCAGCGCTGAGACCAATCGAATTTGGTGTAAAGATTCCGACAAAGGTGGAAGTAGAGAGGTCAGCTCGAGACTATACCCCGCCTCAGTACCTAACGCTCCTCTTCACGGACCTTGGCGTTCTCTCTCCCTCTGTAGTTAGCGATGAGCTTATTCAACTCTATCTCTAATTTCAACTCCTAATTAAATAACTAACTATTATTACTTTTGCTTCTGAAAGTGATTTGCTTCTGAAAGTGATAACTTTCAATTTTGAGCCTTTAAAGATCTTCTAAGTTCATGTTTTGATCTTAAAAACTGAGTTAGGTTTTTTTCTTCTTTTCTTTTCGATTTCAAGCATTCGATTTATCCGGGTTATTCACACATAAAATGGACTCGTCTCATTGTTAATGTCATCTAACCCGCCAGTTGGCCCAGTTCTCCGGTAACCAGTTTCCGATTCTGGTATCGACTAACCCGCCAGTTGGCCCAGTTCTCCGGTAACCAGTTTCCGATTCTGGTATCGACACCGTTAACTTTAAACAATCAACCATCTATTGAAGTAGCCCCTTATTACTCTTTTTACTAGAGACTATAAACATGTACAACATACCTAATCCACAGTCCTCGTGGTTCCAATTTTTTGTGACATGATTTTGATTACGACTTGTTTTGTATGTGGAATTTAGTTCTAATAAGAACCTCTGAAGGATCACCATGGCCAGATTCCGATCCTCAAGCCCGAATTATTACAACCATTGACGATTCATAGACAAGCTAACCTCAATTCGAGCCAATGTACATCATTTTTATATAAAAAGAAAATGTTGGATAAAATATACATTATAAGAAAAAAACAAGAAAGACAAACACAAGCTCATAAAATAAAATCAGTATTATTAATAAGCTAACAATACAAAAAAATTTCAATCTTAAACTTGAAAGCATTAGTTAATTTAGGTAAACGAATTTAAAATAACTTAGATCAACCTATAATCTATATGTAATAACACCAAAGTGTAATAATAAATTAAAGAAAACACTTCACTGTCTACCGTTTTGAGACATAAACGCAAACTCCAAATCACCACCGTTACCTGCATAACCTCGATCGTTCCTAGCCATCAGATTTTCATTAGTCAATTTCCAGTCAGCCATAGCCATCTCATTTGGAAATGCCGGAAGATTCTCGACCGTCCGATCACCACTCATCTGATAGATCCTTGTCAATAAATTCTCCCTTAACACACTCAACGCCTTCTTGTACTCTTCCATATCCTCCTCCGGCACACTCTCCACCGCCCTCTCCCACCACATCAAACCGTCGTTATCTTCCTCTCCGTTTGCCACGTTACCCCCGGGATGTGACCTCAGCATCACCGGAGTCTTACGCAAGTATTTATCGATGAGTGAGTCGACGTTACCAAACGAGTAGATCCTATCTACTCGTGAAAACGTTATGATACCAATTTGTGCGCCGCAGAGAACGCTTAGTTCCGCCGCTTTTTTGAAAAGCCCGAATCGGCGTTTGGAAAACGTCACTTGCCTTCGGTTCTCCAGAATGATCTTCTTGATCTCTATCTTCTGTCGACCTTTGGTGGTTTTAGGCGTTTTTAGTTTAGTCTCTTTTTTTGGGTTGACCAGCAAGTTAGGGTTTTGAAGGGGGTTTTGTTTCGTGGTCGGTAAGCAAGTGATTGTTGAAGCTTCTCCATCCTCCATATTGAAGACAAGAATTAGAGATGATTATGAGATTACAAGAGTTCTTTGAGAGATATATTCCGATTTATATTTATATACATAGTTTTCAATCAAATAAGGAAGTAATGTTTCATCATAATATATGCTAATTGTGGTATTAAATGCGCGTCTCAATAAGTTAACATGATTTTTGGAATGATTCCATAAGAAATCAACATTAACTTTTCTTAATCTAAGTTTCGTGACATTATTTCCAAGATTTACGAGATATACTTGCTCCTTTCTATTTTCATTTGTGTTATATACAAAAAATTAAAGATGATGCTAATATATGATCAAATTAAATATATATGCATATCGATATTATATTGTCAAAGAAAACACGGCCTATAGTTTTTCCAATAGAGAATTACAAAGTGGTTGCCACATGAAAGGTTCGTCGACGTCCAAATCCCATTTTCGTGGCCATTGTGAATATTTTATTCCGTTTCATACTGTTTAATATTTTTCCATTTAATATGTCAATTAGCCTTTAATTAAACCAGTCAACAAACTAAAGGGGATTAATTAGCCTCTTGACAAAGATTCAAAGTATGTTTGATAGATTAATTTAGATTTGAAAAATGGTTAGTGGAGAAAACCATGGGTTCATTAGTCAGTATATTAGAGACTGCTTATGGTTTCAATTTAAAAGCATACCCCTATAGCTAGGTTAACAACTAGTATTACAAAAAATTACAATTAATAAAATATAATTTTTGTTAAATATTTATCAAATTATAGTTAACAGCTGATATGAGTATACCCTTTCATTAAAGTGAACTCCATAAAAGTTTTAACTAATAACGCAATAATCCCTAAACACATTGGTTAAAAGATAAAACCCATGTCGACCTCTTGAGAGGTGAATAAGCAAGATATAGAAACCTTATATAAATACGGTAATTAATTGAACTAATGTAACATAATAGATTATTGTGATTATAGATATGTCTTACATTTATAAAGTGAGAGGTTTAAGTTTGTAGATGCAGGGAAGGGATTGTGATTTTTCATTTTTATTTCAAATATTTGGTTAGCTTTGAAACATTATAATTGGTATGTAAAAACAAAAATATTTAAAATCTTGTAAAAGAGAACCAATAATAATTTACTTGAAAATGTAAATCAAATTATTCCTTATAATGAAACTATCGGTATGATTCAAATTCTTGGCCATAAAACTAGGTTTTTTTTATCTCATGTCAAAAAAATCCAAAACGAGTATTAGTTATGCGATGTCCATATAAAGAATCATGTCATTAAAACTCAAATATACGATTCATTTAATGTGAGATATCATTCAAGATAAGATTGGATCCCCACAAGAAAAGAGAAATAAGAGATAAGATCGAATATTAAATTTAATAACCCTAGTCATTAGTTCATGACACAGCTTAATTCAACCTGTAATGACGAGGATAAAATTGTAAAATGACAAAGCCCACTTGGCCCAATTGTCCTTTCGAAGAACACGCCTCGTCGTTTTGCATATAAACTATAAAGAGTATTATTGCTAATAAGCAAAAATGAAAGAAAACAAAAACACAGAGCCACCTTTAAAACTTGAGAAGTTTTACTTTGAGCCCAAAACTTTTGAAAAGTTATCATTTACACCCTTTAGTTCTGAGAGAAATGTGCGGAGGAGCTGTAATTTCCGATTACATAGATGATTCGGAGAAGATTGGGAGATCTAAGAAGTCTTCCTGGAGAAATAATGGCGTCTTTGACTTAACAATCGACGATTTCGAGGGAAATTTCGATGAATTCGCGTCGGAGAACGATGAAATCGGCGGATTTTCTATGGAGAAGCCATTTTTCTTCTCCTCTACTCGCAAACCTGCTTCAGGTGAGATACGATTTTTGTTTCCTGGTGTTTTGTTTTGTTCATCGTTTGGTTCTGTTTTCTCAAAAGCTTTGAACTTTATCCATGGTTAGGCTCAGCGTCAGATGGGAAGAAGAGAAAGACTAGTCGGTACAGAGGAATCAGGAGAAGGCCTTGGGGAAGATGGGCGGCTGAGATTCGTGATCCAATCAAAGGAGTTCGTGTTTGGCTTGGGACTTTCAACACAGCTGAAGAAGCTGCAAGAGCTTATGATCTTGAAGCTAAGAGAATCCGTGGAGCTAAAGCTAAGCTCAATTTCCCTAACGAATCCTATAGAAAGCGAAAAGCCGAGGCGCCTAAGACTGTGCAACAGATTGAGGAGAAGCATGAGGCTGATCTTGGATTGGCGGTGGCTAGCTCAATGCCTAGTAGTAGCTGTCTTGATTTCTTGTGGGAGGAGAATAATCCGGACACGCTTCTTATCGATACACAATGGCTCGAAGATGTCATCATGGGCGATGCGAAGAAGAAACATGAACGTAATGATAGTGAAGAAGGCAACGTTAATGCTACTCTGCTTTCAGAAGAGCTACTAGCTTTTGAAAACCAGACCGATAATGCTGCTCTGCTTTCAGAAGAGCTACTAGCTTTTGAAAACCAGACAGAATGTTTCTCGCAGATGCCTTTTATGGAGGGAAATTGTGATTCCTTAACGTCTCTGAATAGTCTCTTTGAAGGAGGCAATGACATGGGTCTTTGGTCCTGAACAGTTCTATTGTAAAAGTAACATGAGTGTTTAATATTGAGTTCTTGTTCGACTTGTATGTATTTAAAGGTTATTCTTGTCATTATCAAATGTCAAAGAAAAACAGATAGTTCATAAAAATTTCAATGTCAAACAAAAACAGATCGTATGAATCTTGTTTTGATCTTTTTTGTTGGTTTCACATATTATGTAGTTTTAAGTTAGCCGAATATATAGAATCATTGCGAAGAACAAAAGCTCGATTCATATTTGTGATAAAGCGCAAAATATAGTTTAGACTCAAACAAAAAGGTGCATAACAGAAAAATCTAAGGGTCTTAAGAGAAACAAGTGAGAAGAAAAAACAGTTACGGTTCGATAACAAAAAAGCATGTCTATAACCATTTAACCATTGAGTAAAGACTATCAACTTTACTCCCAACCAGCAGCTGGAGCACCTGGGGGTGGCACGGCAGTGTCCCATCCACCATCTGCTGGTGCAGCTGGAACAGCAACAAAAAACGCAAGAACAAAACATTAAATCATGATTTGTCAGAATAGTGTTCACACGGTTCTGTCAAAAACTTACCAGCGGAATCACTCCAAGAAGCAGCGGCAGGTGCAGCAGAGATTGGAGCCTGAGCCTCTCCTGGCCATGCAGCATCAGGGATCTGAGCGGTGGTCCATTGGTCTCCACCAACCATTCCATATTCCGGAGCAGGAAGTCCATATTCTGCCTGAGGGGCAGCTTCATCTTCATCCTCTGGCTTAGTCTCCTCAGGCTCCCTGTAAAAGAACAGATCAACCTGTACAATAACACAACATATGTAGTAGTCGGTTAATAAACAGGAAAAGTTTAACTGAATTGTTGTCCAAAAATGATATCTTCTTACCATGACATCCCACTTCTGTGCAGCACCAATGGTTCCACGCATCTGAAGGACCATGCGAGCAAGAAGCCAGAAAAGACACCCGATGCTGTGCTTTCCCTTGTTGTTAGCAGGGATACCGATGTCAACAAATCTCATTGGAGAGTCGGTGTCACAGAAAGCAATGATTGGAATGTTTCCCAAAGCACCTTCCTTGATAGGCTGCAACACACACAGGACATTAATCAATACCACAAGACATTAACCATAGCTAGTATGAATTTTATAGAAGATTTTACCTGGTGGTCAGTTCTTGGGTCAGTAAGAATCAGCAGCCTTGGTTCACTGAAGGATGTCTGCATCTGATTGGTGAAGGTACCAGGAGTGTGCCTTCCAGCAATGGCATTGGCTCCAGTGTACTGAGCAAACTTCAACACGGCTCTCTGTCCATAGGGCCTAGCAGACTGAACAATGATGTCCTGTGGGTTCTCAATGGCAACAATAACTCTAGCAGCCATCTGGAGCTTGTCCCATGTTTTGCCAAGGTTGAAGATGTAAATACCTGAGAAGAAAGAAAACTTCAAAAACTAAGTTCCTGGCACTAGCACTACTAAAAAAGACTAACAAAAACAAACTCCAAGCACCAATACAATCTCAAACATTAGTCAAAATCTTCAACCCCAAAATTGATTTTTTTGATTAAACACACAAGAAGAGATACAAATCAAACCAAATGAAGCATGCGTCTTTACTCATTTCTTCATAATACACTTAAAACCATTTCTGCAAATAAGAAAACTATAGAAGACACAAAAACAAGCCTTAGTTACGAATGCAGAGAAGTGTGAGTGAGGCCAGTAACAGTTAGTTGCAGCATTTGAGCATTTTTTCAGTCATTGACGTATTTAGATCCGTCGTGAGTAAACTCTACTTAAGATCTAAAAACAACCTATAAATCCAAAAGCCATCTAAAACAAAGATGCAGGAACCAAAAACAACAGATCATCAACATACACAAATCCGAAATAATCAACACAGAATCTCAACACTCCAATCATCAACATACACAAATACAAATACTTAATAAAAAAAAACGAGAGATATACCATCGTTGCGTCTCTTGAAGACGTAACGCTCCATCTGGTAATTGCAATTCTTGGTTCCAAGATGAACCTCAGCGGCACACATCATCCTGATGTCAGCTTCCTTCTGAGAGAGCTGCGCTGAGCTAGCAGATCCATTAGCCGCCATTTTGTTATCTCTCTTCTTCTTCTCCGGGAACTAATCGCCGAGGTAAGCTTTTTTGCTCTGTAAATCACACGAAGAGGCGACGAAAGGCTTATAAGGGTGAAGGAATATATATCAAGCAAAACCCTAATTTCAGAAATGTCTATTCTACCCCCGAACTCGGTTCACCAATTTTAATCGAAGTTAACCAAAATTAATCACTGGTTTAAGTTCCGGTTTTTCTTAAACCGAAATCCAAGTGTGCACACAGATACAGATACAAAAGATAATTTCTATTTCTGCTCTACTTCGAAGTTAGAAGAACCCTAATCTCTGTCTCTCTCTTTCGATCGCATCTTCTTCAAAAATTTCCCACCTGTATTTACAAGTTCAATGTTTGTGAATTCTCCATTGCTCTGCTCTTAGTCTCATTTGATTGCTCTCGCTTTCTATCCGATCCAATTTTATGATTATCTTCTCCGGAACAAGCTCATAAGGTTTCAATTCCCCTAGTTTTCTTAAATTTCTTCAATTCTCGGCTCTTTTTTCATTTTAGTGTCGTGTATGGACAGTACCTAGACAGGTTTGAGGTGTATCTCTGGAGAGAGAATTCATGGGTGTCTCGTTTAAGATTTCCAAGGTTGGTAGAAAGTTTCAGCCTAAGGTTTCTACTGAATTGGTTACTCCTGATTCTCCAGAACAGCTGAATTCTAAAGCAATCGTTTTATCTGGGAACACAAAGGTAATTTTACTTAGAATTTTAGTTGTGTTGTGTTAAACTGAATTCACTCATTTTGGAATTATATAGATGTAGATTACCAAATTTATTATGTTTGGTTCAGGCCACTGATGAAAGCAATGTTGGTGATGTTTCCGGGTTTTCGAAGCCATCTTTGCCTGATATATCTCCAGGTTAGCATCTCAACGAACCACTTTGACACATCAGGTTTGCTAAATTTTAGCTATGTTAAATCGAGTGCACTTTGCTTTCTCTGCAGATCATGAAGTTTCCTTCGTATTGAGCCTCTATCCAAATGGGTACTCTATAGGAAAAACCTCTGAGGTATGTAGTAGAACTTCATGTACTCAGTGTCTATATGAATTTATTTTTTCTTGTATTTGAATTTCAACCTTTCACATCTATCAATTTTTTTTTTTACTTACCAGGCTCTGCAACAGACATCCTTTCGAGATGTTCCAAAGGTCTTACATCCGTATGATAGGGCAGCTGAGGGTCTACTTTCGGTAAATATTTCGAACTATGTTATTAGACCTGATTTGAACCTGTAATTAAAGTTTAGTTTCATGAATTCAAAGTACTTAGATTTGGTATATGTGAAAATTATCTTTTTTTCACTTGTTTAACCCGAATAATGCATTTCACTGCACTACTTGCTCGCATTTTGTTAAATACACTTTCCGAGTTATCATTCTACTGAGTAAATGTTTTTAATCCCTTTGTACGCTTTATAGGCTATTGAGGCTGGCAGGCTTCCTGGGGAAATTTTGGAAGATATACCTTGCAAATTTGTGGATGGGGTGGTTATATGTGAGGTGAGTTATCTGCAGTTATTTATTGGATAAAGCCTTCCATGACCTGCCATCTAGTCAAAGTAAAATAGTAGTCCCAAATAGTCGTAAGCCTTTAGAATTAGTTCTTATCACCATACTTCTAGTTCCTGCGTTGCCTTTCATAAGTTAAACAGTCCAAATTTATTTAAATATTCAAAAAGAGCTCTATAACTTTACTTAAACAAAAATTATCTACACTAATTGAGATTGAAAAATGTCTTGAACGTGTTATAATTGCATGGAAGTTTCTGAAACATAATGGAGAAATTGGAACCAGAAGTAAACATAAAATAACTTAGTTATATTATTTTTCTTAATTGACTGCTGCGTATCATCTTACATCATCATGTTTTCTTTATTTTTGGTACATACTATTGTAGGTGCATGACTATCGGAAACACACCCCAGCTCAAGTCTCTCCTGTGATAAATAAATTGCGCCTTAAGATGTCACTTGAGAATGTGGTAAAAGATATTCCATCAATGTCAGACAACTCATGGACTTACGGTGATCTCATGGTAATCATGGTAGCTCTTGGATTATAGGTCGTATATTTGAGCACTGAAACTATTATCTTCTGTACTGATCCTTACATCAACTGCAGGAAGTGGAGTCCAGGATATTAAAAGCCTTACAACCTGAACTCTGTCTGGATCCTGTACCCAGACTTGATAGGCTGAGTAAAAACCCTTTGTCTGCTAAGGTAATATCTCATTAAAAAGACTCCTTGTGCTTTCTCTTCTCAGTTGTTTTTTATAGTGTCTAAAATGGATTTTTTTTCCTCTACTCGATAGCTCGATTTGTCGCTTTCTACTTTACGGAGAAAGAGATTAAGGCAAATGGCAGAAGTGACAGTCATGTCTCAGAATAAGATTCATGGGAAAAAGGTTTGTATTGATCGGCTTCCTGATAGTTCAGATCGGGGAAATATGCCAGGGCATTTGATAATGCAGCAAACCCATAACAACCAGGCGATTCAGAACCTTGGTACTAATATGCTGGCTGGATTAAGAAGTCAGCCGTTGCAAGATGCACCAAATTCCTCTCTGGCCTTGGTACCACCTCAGCAACAAAGGTACCTGGGAACTGGAAATATAAGAAACATGCAGGATCAAGGATCAAATTCTGTCAGTGTTTCTGGCGCTTCGCCTGGTGGACTAGATGCGATGCTGCCTTATGGCTCTGATAGTATGAACCCTGGTACATCTTTTCATAGAAAGAGGGAAAGTCAAGAAGGACAAATGTCTTCTATGCCTGGTTTGAATAAGCGAACAAGGGTTTCACATATGGGTCCTGATGGGGTTCAGCAGCAACAGTTAGGGCAACGCATGGATGGCCTTCATGGAACCGATACAAATTGGAAAAATACGCTTCTACAACAGCAAGATATGCTAGGCAGAAGTATTCAGTATCCAAATACAAGTATACAGAGGTTTTCACCACACCAAATGGAAGGGGTTATGAATCAGGAAGGTGGTCCCATGCAATTTCCAGCTTCACAACAGGGGGCAACGAGATACACTTCGAAAGAGGAGCCATTTGAGACTGGTAAAATTGATGGTGGCACCAGAAACAATATTCCGGGGGTGGGAAGTGACACAAATGATTTGGATCCGCGTATTCAGTCAAGGATGCCCCATAATGCATTCATTAGATCAAATTTCCCTCAAACATCCTGGAATGTTAATCCTGGCCAGCAGATTGAAAAAGAGCCAAAGAAAGAAGAACAATTTAGTCGTAGGATATCAGCTCAAAGTCCTCGTTTGTCGGCAGGTGCTCCACCACAGTCCCCACATTCATCGAAGTCTGGTGAGTTTTCTGGTGGTTCAATGGGGACCCACTATGGAGCAGTTGCAGCAGCTCAGAAGGACAAGGCTGTTACTTCTATACCTGCTATTGGTGCCACTCAGTCAGTGGGTTCTAGTGCTAATGATGCTATGCAGCAAAGGCAACACCAAGCCCAAATGGCTGCAAAACGGAGGACAAATTCTCTTCCTAAGACGCAAGTTATCAGCACTGTTGGTTCTCCTGTTAGTGTCAATACTATTAGTGTCCCAGTTAATGCAAGGAGCCCTTCAGTGGGACCCCAAACTTTGGGCGATCACGCAATACTGGACAGATTTTCAAAGATTGAACGAGTTGCTGCTAGGTATGAATGTTATGAAACCTGTTTTACTGATTTTATTCCCGTCAAATTCTTTTTTATGATCTTTACTTTCACACCTGTGATACTTCTCCTAATTTTGACTAGAGCATTGCTTGCATTGTCTTACTCTCCTTATATCTTTGCATTTATATATATAAATAATGTTTGTTGGTGCGTGAACAAGTTTTTGGTGCTATATGTCATAGATTTTATTTGTTGATTTATCTAGTTTCTTGTTCCATTTTTAGGTACCAACTAAACTGCAAAAAGCATAAGGTGGATGAGTACTCTCGAAGACCTCGCGTGTATGCTAAACAGTCCCTGACTGTTTGTTTATCGAACCTGTCTAACGAAGAGGTCTTCAAAGACGAGGACAAAGCATTATCAAAATCTATTCTTGGTGGCAGTATGAATACATGCAAGACTAGAGTCACGAACTTTTTTCATATGGAACGTGTAATGCAAGGTCTGTTTTCTGTTAACTAGATATCTTGCGATTGGTATATTTCTCTATGTGATTGACTCTGACTCCAGTATATTTTCAGGTACCGTCCCTTCCTTCGTCCCTAGAATACGAACAAAACTGGTGATGTCAGAGAAGGCCGTCGATGGGACCGTAGCATGGTATCAAGGGGACGTAGATGAAGGGGATGTTTCTCAGGCTGAAGATTTTCTCTTAGCGTTGCCCAATACAGTAAGTTAACAGGAAATTTTATAGTTATCAATCTCCCCTGCATTCAATGTAGTGTTGACTTTACATTCAGTGATAATTATAGGTTGTCGGGTCTTGTTCTTGGGGTTTATGTCTCTCTTGTGAATGTTGTGTAATAATGATTATGGTTGGTTGGTCTATGGATACTTCTCTCTTGTTAGTTGTTAATGCTCGTTTATCCTTCTCGTCCAATGTAATCAAAAGGGGATGGACAATGGATGATTAATTTTTCTCTTATATATGCCACTTATTTTCTGGAAGCTATGCTGACTTGCTAATTCTTCACTTTGTCACAGCACATCGCCGATCTACTTGCTAATCAATTTAAATCACTGGTATTTCTCGAGTTCTGAATCGATTATATCATGTTCCTGGTTCTATGGTAAAACTACTTACAGATTGATTTATATGCTTATGCAGATGACCCGTGAAGGATACATGATCGAAGAACATATTCTGGCAAAGCCAAACCGTGGGGATGCTGGCCCAATCAGCAACCAACCAAATTCTGCGGGTGGTTATCCAAGAGGTTACTCTGCAAACGATATGCAACAGTATGGAGATGCAGTTGCAGGGCAAGCGTCTGGCGAGGCATCAAAACAGGGGAATACTGGAAATGTGCCTAATAACTCAACCCAGAATATTCTTGCAAATGCAAGGATGCTTCCTCCAGCAAATTCTCAAGCCTTGCAATTGTCTCAAGGACTGCTGTCTGGTGTCTCCATGCCTATGCAACCACAACAGCCTGACCCACAACAGTCAGCGCTACTGTCATCACATTCACAGCAGAAAAATCAACAGTCCATGTTTACACAGCAACAGCATCCACAAATGCAGAGACCATCCATGATACTGCCTACAAATCCACTATCAGCCATCAACTCGATGAGCCAGAGCTCTGGTATGCAGCCGGGTGGTCAGATGGCCAACAAGTATTCGCCTCTTCAACTGCAGATGTTACAGCAGCAGCAGCAGGCGGCAATGCAGAAGAAGATAATGATGGGGCTAGGATCAGGTGTAGGCATGGGTATGGGTATGGGCATGGGTATGGGTATGGGGAGCATGGGAAATAGTATTACTGGGCTTGGAGCTTTAGGCAACCAATTGAATATGGCAGGAAGAGGGATTGGGGGAACCGGAATCTCATCATCAATGTCTGTTCCTGGCATCGGTAATATGGGCCAGAACCCAATGAATCTGAATCCAGCATCAAATTTGAATGCTATAAGCCAGCAACTCCGATCCGGTGCGTTAACACCTCAACAAAACGCTCTGTTTACACAGATTAGGATGGGCATGGCAAACCGAGGAGGTGTAATGGGTGCTCCTCAAGCCGGGATAAGTGGCGTGTCAGGTACGAGGCAGATGCACCCCAGCTCAGCTGGCATGTCTATGTTGGATCAGAATTCATTAAACCGAGCTAACCTGCAGCGAGCTGCTGCTATGGGTAACATGGGCCCACCTAAGCTGATGCCTGGAATGAATCTTTACATGAATCAACAGCAGCAGCAACAACAACAACTCCAGCAGCAACCCCAACAACAACAGTTGCAGCATCAGCAACAGTTACAGCAGCCTATGTCTCAGCCATCTCAGCAGCTAGCTCAGTCTCCGCAGCAGCAGCAGCAGCAGCAGCTACAACATGAACAGCCTCAACAAACACAGCAGCAGGCAACAGCATCCCCTCTTCAGTCTGTGCTATCACCAGCCCAAGTAGGTTCGCCATCAGCTGGAATTACCCAGCAGCAGCTACAACAGTCCAGTCCCCAGCAAATGAGTCAGAGAACTCCAATGAGTCCCCAGCAAATGAACCAAAGAACTCCTATGAGTCCTCAGATAAGCTCGGGTACAATGCATCCCATGAGCACAAGCAACCTCGAGGGTTGTCCAGCGAGTCCACAGCTTAGTTCTCAGACAATGGGATCTGTTGGTAGCATCACCAATTCTCCAATGGAGCCTCAAGGTCCCAAAAACAACTCTGCTGGTAATAATTCCTGATCAAGAAAACTATAATTTTGGGTAACATTATTTATATTCAGGAACCCTTTGCTTCACAACATGAGTTGTTATCTAATTAGAGACAAGCATAGAAAGAGTTTTTAGTTCACCGTCTTACGTTTTGCTTGTACATTAAGCTTTTGAAATTAAATTTAGATTCATGACCAAAGCCTGTAGAGAAAAAGTAAAGAATCTGTTGTGCTCTGCAAGTGAAAGTGCCATTATTATTAGGTTGTTGATATGTAACCACTGTCTGCTTCAGACTATTTGGAAGTTTTTGTTTAAGCTTATAATTAATATCTGTTTTGTTCAATTGTTGTGCTTTGCCACTGCTACCCTTGTAAAGATAAGAAGTAAAAATTTGATTTGTACACTACAATTTCAGCTATGATTTGTTGAAAAAAAAAGAGATTTCGTTGCACAACCAGATCCTTGCTCTTGAATATGTGAATTTGCATCAATATAGAAGAATATGTGAATGTGAGAAGGCCAGAAACACATACGATTTTCAAAATTGGCAAAATTACAATGTAGTTACAAAAATCGTGTTCACTTAACAAAATGTACACACAACATAGAAGAAGTTACCAACCAGTTCATCGGAAAAAAAGACCCATCTTTGAAGTCTGCGATATGGTACCAGAAATCTTGTACAGATTTTGGAAACATAAAAAGAATCTGTCTCTTTTCTCTCTTTACCCACGCAACTCAATCCTCATCCAAGTTTCGCCGCCTTTTTTTATCTAGGCTTCGAATCATTTCCTTTGCCACGGAATGTGGAGAGCGAGAAGAACGACTTTTGCGCTGGAAAGGAAGAAACAATACGATTCATTTAAAGGAATAACGAATGGAGAAATCTTGCATTCTGTATGAGTGAATATGCAAGAAAAGAAAAAACAAGTTTTGACCTTTGAAGTTGCTTCCAGACATTTGATGATCATCTTTCAGCTCAGGTGTAGAGATGTTAGAAGCTTGAAGAAGAAAGACAAGAACAACTAAATATGTAAAGAGCTCGCGATAGCATTAAACTAGGAGAGGCAAGAAAGCAATATTATTTTACCTTGTTCAGGGAATTCGCTCTCATTAAATCCATCCTCAGAGAGATGACTTTGTAGAGATCCCATTCTCGACTTTCTTAAATCCTCTGATGATCGATCCGCAAAGTCTCTCCTATCTTCAACCTCATCATCTCCTTCCGAAGTCGTTACAGATACCCAATCCATCATCAAGCTTTCTGCTCCGCGGCTTTTTCTTCCAAACTTTAGCAACCGTTTAAACCCTTTACTTAAATCCTTCTTTGACTGGAACTGAGACGTATTATTAGCAGCAGCAACGGTAACAGGACTCTGAGCCGTTCCCCATTTCTTTCTCATCCGAGAACTCCAAGAAGCAGGGCTTCCCATGGGAGAATCCACAGAAGCATCAACATCAGACGAGTTCTCATGAGGATAGCTGAATGAGTGTTGCAGGTTTGCGTTCCAAGAAAGAGGACTTTCCCCAGGTGAGTCCATTAACGAGGCAAGCAATGTCGTAGGCACAGTAGCGGGTAAAAAACTACAATTCTCTTCTCCTGAATGATCAACTTTCTCGTATGCCTCGCTTAGTGTTGGATTCCCATCCTCAAACACCAATGTTTCCAGTTCTTCCACTTCTTCTTCTTCGTCTTCTCTAACAGCATTCTCCAAGACTTCTTCTGCATCAGCTTCAGGTTCATCATATTCTTCATTTCTCAGATTCTCAGATATATCAGAGTCCACTCTTAGAGAGGCCATCATATCATCAGAGCAGAGAGTGGACAGTTCCGTAAAATCTATGTTCCCAGAGGAGCTTTTCCTTAATGATCGAGGTCTTTGGAGAAGTGTATCTTCCTTGGTATTCTTGGTGCGACCACTACTTCTCACCTGTGATCGCATAGTAGTTTTGACAGCTAAAGAAGATGGTTTCGTGTTTTCCTTTATAAGTTCAGAAAAATTTGGAACAGATTGTGCGAGCGACTTGTCTGATCTTCGCCTCCCAGAAGAGGTGTTTGAAACTTTACCTGATGGTTTTGGAACCGATGCTGCAGTTCGCGGGGTGATAGAAGAAGGCATGTTCCTGTTGGGCTGAAGCTTTCTAGCTTGGGAGCTCCGAGAAGCAATGTTGCCAACTGATTGTTGTTGCCCACTGGCTGCTTTATCTTTTGCCCGAGGTTTCTGTTCAGAGCAATCTTCATCTTCTTCGCTCTGGAATGAGTTTATAGGATGCTGCCAAAAAGACAGTATCATCAATAACAAGTCTTAACAACTCCGAAAGAGAGGAAGAACATTTCTAATGGACCTAATGCTAAGTTACCTGGTACTTTTTCATACTTGACCGAGAGTTAAAAGACCTGAATTTCTCTGCACGCTGACGAGTACTTGAAAGCAAATCTTTTCTCTCAGAAGAAGAAGCAGAGAGCTTAGCTTTCATCTCGGTCCTACTTTGCTCAAGAGCCTCTTGCATCGACTTCAGTTTTGTTTCCTTCTCACCTTTTTTCAAACTCCATTCTTCTCTCAGTTTGGCATCCCTTTTCTTCATATACGTCTCGTAAAACTTTCCTTTAGAATCATCTGTAAGACTAAGGTCCGATAAATTCCGTCGCAGTGCATCCTCTTTGTCTTTGTCACCAACTAAGGGAGTCATAAGCTTTGAGAGATCAGCAGAACCGCCACCAAGAGAAAGCCTTTTTTCTGCAGCCGCTATAGAAAGAGATGGCTCTGGGTGTGCAACTTGGGTTTCACTCGGCTTACCACGTCTGGAAGAACTTGATTGATCTCCTGGAACCCGAAGTTTATGCTCAGCAAAAAGTTTTTCAAGCTCATTTGCCTTCATTTTCAACTCATCATTAGCCCCCGGATTTTCCTTTAACAGTCTTGTCCTCTGTATTTGATCCACCGATACAGTGGGAAACCTATTACTGTTAACTCTAACCTGCCTGCCCTCCCCATCGTCAGGACGATCCTTCACATTAAAATGTGGTTTCTGAGATAACACTGGTTGTTCGTCTGATGGAACCACTTCTTTCTTCTTGATCCTGCCAAAAGAATATCTAGACTGCGGTTGAGAAGCCAAATCCTCCTTAAAACTAGCTTCTATATGGGCTGACCGAGATCGTGTATGTCGAGAAGGAAACATGGCTGATGATTGTGATACATTGTTGGCTTTGAGTTCATAACCTTCCTCTCTCTGTCTGGATTTAGCATCACTCATGACATTCCGTAGCCTATCGACATGACTATCAGTCTGGTTTTGTGAAGCAGAAGAGTCATTCAAATCAATGACTGGTCTGGACTGAGCATCAGAAATTGCTTCAACTCCTGAAACAAAACTCTTTTCAGTGACAGTTTTGGAACTCTCGACTCTGTCTCGAGAAGCTACTTCATCACCAACTTTTTCGGAGTCAATCTTCAGCTCATATTTGACTTCATCTTCCTTTTTAATGCCTTCACTGAAATCGGTTAGAGTTGTGGTATGAGGAACAGACGAAGAGGGATCCCCTGGGAAACTCTCCAACTTCTTTTCCGATGCCAAATCAGTGCTCATGTCACTCACAATACTGCTTCTTCTCAGGATAGGTTTCTCAGAGGAAGAAACATCCGAGGAGAGTCTCCTCAGCTCTGTGGATTTAGTAACAGCTACAGGTTTGCTTCCCCCAGAGGGTGAGTTTTCCTTCTGTTTGTTTTCAAAGAGGTTAATTCTATCCTGCACACTGAGTCGTCTTGTGTGTTGGCTGGTCTTAACTGTAGAAGAGGTTACATCCAAACTCTCGTCACTTTTTTCCTCTTCATTCCTTTTGGTGGTACTTGTAGTAGCACACTGTTGAATTTGATGTTCTGATTCGTTTACCACATTTTGCTTCTGGCGCGTGCTATCTTTTTGGAGGCTGACATTGTCAACACCAGCCAAGTGATTCGAGAACTTCATGTCGATCAAGTCTGGCCTTTTCTTCCATAGTGAGATATATTTACTGCATGCTTCACTGGTAGAAACATTCCAATTAGATCAAACAACAAAGCATGAAAGAAAGGTTTAGTCAAATGAAATAGAAAACAATAAAAGGCTTACTCCAAATGATATGCACCAAATCTATCAGCAAATTGTTGGAGTTCAGAAACAGTATGAGGGTCGAAACCGCTAGCTGATGCATGAGAAATGGACGTTGTTAAGTCCTTTATAATAGCTTCAAGTCTTAAGTCTATAGCCCTTAAGAGCTCCTTCCTGAATATAGAGAAGAAAAAGTAATCAATAAAAAAACTTTATAAACACAACAAACATAAAGGCAAAAAGCTTTACTTTGTGGCATCTGCTGCAGCTCCATCATCTGAAACGGAAGGAAATAGGATTCAAATTGATGTTCAAAAAGAAGAAAACAAAAAGTACGAGCAAAGTAACAACTAACAACAGTAAAATCAAACACACCTGATGAACCAAACTTTGAGTCTTCGCTCCGCTTTAAGAACCAAAAAAATACAACAAAAATTTAGGAAAGATCGGTTAAGAATCACAATAGAAGTCAAGTTTCAAAATAGTGGTTACCACCTGCGAATATAATGTCCGAGCTGCTTCCAACTGCAACATCTCGGAATAATATGTATTGACCTTTTCCAGAGTTTCTGGACTATTAACAAATTGAACAAATCTGAAAGACAAATGGTGGAAGAAACTATTACTATATCGAAAAAAGGCTGTGTGAAAAGAAACCAAAATGATCTTAAATTCTCTGTTATAAACCTCTCTAATGTTCTTTTATTAAACCAAGTGTTGCTTTTCTCCACCTCCAATCTAATAGAGGATTGAGCAACGGGCGAATATTGTGCTTCAAGAACTTTTAAATGATTCACAAAGGGTTGGATCAACCCCGAAGCTAGCTTCTCTGTCTGCTCATTGCTTGATACAAACAGTTCACATCTGTCAAAAGAAAAACACACTTCTTTATAGAGAACAAACTAGAAATCAGAATCACTTGAAGTGGAACATATACTCACCTTGAATGCTTTGGCGACAATTCGAATATTGCATAGTCAAGAACCGTATCTGACCTCATGTTTACTAGACCAGAGACCAGATTGATGACAAGTCACCAGAAATATCACTGAGATTAACAGAATTCAACTGAAGAAAACTCAAATTAATGCCAAGAAACCTGAGGAGACAATAATAGAAACTGTTACTCAGAGATAAAAAAGATCAATCTTGAAAGCAAAAGATGAATGAGACCAGTGTCATTCTTATGAAATTAGTACGACAATTTCGGAATATAACTTTAATCGGAAACAAAGAATCCCGGAAATGAAAAGGAAGACAAAAAACAGGTCATGAACAATAAAAATCGCCAGACATAGAAATCGAGGATCTAATCATCAGAACCAGATGCTTCTCAGATCTGTCTGATTCCACTACTTAAGTAAAGACCCAACCATAAAAATCCCAACTTTAATATATCCAATGAAACAAAACACACACAGCTCAAAACTCAAAATCATGCAAAATCCACAAAGAACATACCAAGATCCTCCTCTTGCCGATCCAGCATTGAGCTGAGAACTTTCCGATTCTTATCTTAATCCAAGTTCTAAACTGCCACTAGAAGTAGAGGTTCAGAGAGAGTGAAAAAAGAAGACGAAACCCTAACAATGTCAGAGTTAATGTCGTCACTTCACTACTGGTTTTGCTCAAAATGCAAAATCTTTCTTTCTTTCTATTTTCTCCCACCTAAGAAGATTTAGCTCTGTCCCTTTATATCCACCACGCTCGAAACCAACACACGCACACTTTCTCTCTCTCTCTATACGTAGTCAAAAAGACAGAGTCTTTAGAGAGAGAGAATATGCGAAGAGCGTCTACAGAGAGAGAGAGTTTCCTTATTCAGACAACTTATTTTCCGACGAATGTCGTCTTCGATTAGGAAATTAATCCGAAGGCTACGCGAGAGTCTTTTTTTTTTTTTTTTTTTTTTGTGCAAATGGCTACGCGAGAGTCAACAAAACAAAAAAACAAAGATACAGCCCTCAGTACTGAGTTTACCAAAATACCCTCAAAACTTTAACAACACCGGTTTAAAAACTTTTCTATAAAGCCTATAAGGATGAGGGCAATATCGTAACTGAATATTGGTCGAACTCTGGTTAAATATTCTTAAATTTATTGGTCGCACAAAGAAAAAAATTACATCCAAAAACTAAAGATTTTTTAAAAAAAGTATTGCTGATCAATTTTGGGGTGAAAATGTAAATGGCAATTTTACAGTAACATAATTGCTGGCAATTGTATTTTTCACCAATCAAACAACCCTAACATTCTAATGTGGCATTAATTTTCATTAAATGTTCTTAAATGTATATGAAATATTGTACCTAATGTCATTAATTATCTGATTAGTTTTGCAACGAACCAATGTTTGGATGTTTTTGGGTTGCCAACAATTCACATGGCCACGTCATCTGTTTGTTACGATATTTTTGTTGTTGTGATTTTAATCATAGAGTAATTAGATCAACAACTATATGACACTGATTCCGTACGATTCGAACCGGTAACTCAGCATTAGCCAGCCATTGACATTGAGCAATAAGAAGCCAGATAAAGATTAATGGGCCTTAGTGGCCCACTTTAGATTGGACTTACTGGACCTTCCACCCTTAATTGAGCCCATACTTTATTGTTTTTTCTTTTCGGTCGCAGACAAAAAGAAATGTTCAGTAGAAGACCGTAATTTCATTTTTCTCTTCGCCAGAATAATTTTTTTCCTGTGTATCAGCATATTAGGAATCACTAGTTCCCAACATAATGCTTTAGTGATTTAAGCAAAAAAAGAATCAAAAAAATTGTAAGTGTTCGAAATTGATTCATAAATTATACAGAAACTATGTGTGGTTTAATTAGGAATCACTAGTTCCCAGCATGTTAGGAATCACTAGTTCCCAGCATATATATATAATGCTTTAGTAATTTAAGAAAAAAAATGAATCAAAAAAATTATAATTGTTCGAAATTCTTTATCATAAATTATACAGAAAACTATGTGTGGCTTAATTACGAAATTATATTAAAAATGAGCGACGTTTTTACAAGTTGGAGAAAATAAAAAAAAAAGCAATGGACCAGATTCGTTGTAAAGGCCACTAATTATTATCAACTTGCTGATAAAAACACATTTATTTCTTATTTCATCCAACTTGTAACTTTTTTTTTTTTTTTTTTCCAACTTGTAACTTTGTTTACCATATAAAGTTATAGTAGTGGATAACATGATTTTTTTTGTATAGATAACAATTTTTTTTCTATACAATATTATTTTTAGTGAAAGAAAAAACGAAGGGAAGAAGAGTCTCGCAGTCGCAGGTCTGAGAAAATAGTGGAGATTTGCAATTTACGAAAAATAAAAATATGACAACTTATGAGTAGCTTTTGTTTCTTGGTCCTACAGTAGGACTCCTACTTCCCAAACGCTTCCAACATATCCTCCCATTCCTCACGGCGAAGAAAGATATATTAATTTTTCTGTAAAAGTGAATCAAATAAGAGAATCATGGAGTTTTATAGTTTCATGATTCATCATATCAAATATAATTATTAATTATTCGTTTAGATACAATATTAATATTCTAACTTTATATGAATACTCCACTTTTTGTGCATTGTACTTTAACAAGGGAAAAAAAAATTGAGCATAACTCAAAAATGATATTCAAACGACCTAAAGGTTTAATACAAATCAAACATATGAAGTTCCATAAAAAATGTATACAAAATTACACATACCATATTTTTCTAGCACCAAGACAACGAAAATAAAACATATGAAGTTGCATAAAAAATGTAATGTTAACTTTGTCATGCTCTACTTCTTAGATCTTCTATTGCCAACTTGGAATCTCGTCGATGGACCACCTACCTTTATTAAAACATCAATGGTCAACATCGGTTTCATGATAAGGCTGAAATAAATTCTACAACATACATTTTCATTTCAAAAGTTTCTTTTTGTAATATACATAAACATAAAGTAAAGAAATATAAGGGAAAAAAAAATCAATCAGAAAGACTATAAACTACCTTACTAGAACTTATACAACAACAGTTGTCATGAGCGTTAATTTTGTTCGGAATATCATTTGATAAATCATCGCAACGCACCGACGTGCCATTAACCGGCGAATACGAACGAGTTTTGAATTGATTCACATCATCCTTCAATAATTCTTCAAACAACTCTTCAAATTCCTCTAAACTTTCGTCACCCTGCTTCAAAATATGCAATTACCATAACCATTAGCGTAATCATAATAGTAATGCGTAGTTTGGTACCAATAACTAGTAATTGTACAAAAGTAGTTTGCTACCGTAGATTGAGTTTGAGCCATCAGCGTCACCATCTCATTTATGAAATCAGCCATTCCCTACAACGCAATAAGTTGACATTGATTAAGACATATCGGTAATTAAATAATCAACATTTCTGACTCATGTAAAAGAGAAATATCTACAAGAACCTACAGTTTCGTCGTCATCACTATCATAAGCACCGACGTCATACAACAGCCTCTTGTTGGAATCCGACAAAACTGTTGTGAACACAATTGATTAATTAACCGGAGTAGACCGATAAAGAACCAGACCCGGTTTAAAAGAAAACCAGGTAAATTTTACCAGAATAGGCTCGTTGAATGGACTGAAACTTCATCTTGGCTTCATCTTTCTCAATATCTTCAAGAAACCGATCTGGATGCCATTTCTACACCACCAAACATACAAAAACACACACAACATTTATTCAAGAAAATCGGATCGCATTCAGACTAAAACAAAAGAAAAGAAAAAGATAGAGAAATTAAAAGATGTGAAAACCAAACCAGAACAAGGTTCTTGTAAGAAAGTTTGAGATCTCTTTGTGTACATTCATTGTTCAAATCCATAACAGCGTACAGGTCTTCCTTCTCCATTGATGATGATGATATAAGAATGAGAAAAAGCAAGAGCACTTCGTTGGAGTTTATTGGAAGCAAAGAGATAAAGAAAGATCGAGATTAATGAATGTATAGATGTGTGGATACGCGTAAACGTGGAAGAAGAGAAGAAGAGAAGAGAAGGTTAAAGAAGAAGAGTTTGATATTTTGGGTATCGTGCTTTTGTGTTGTATAATACTATTTATATATGAGATTAGGGGTAACAAAGAATGATCGAGAAACTCGCCACTTGAACTAGTTGTTTATGTTTATCCTCGTTTTAGACAACATCTTTTAAAACTAAAAGTTGTGTATTATTTTATTACTTTTTTTCCTAGTTTGTGAATTGTGTGAGTATACGCAACCAATTTTGAACAAGGCTACATCTTTTTTTTTCCTTAATGTTTTAGCTTTTAAGAATAAATATTAAGCTAATTTTTTTATAAAAATTACGAAAACATGACTCCGTGCTTTTTTCTTACCGTGTGAAAGTAATAATCCGTGAACGGTAATATTTTGGTAAGATCAATGGCGTGAATTCGTTGTAAATTTTGGGTTTGATTTTATTAACGTGTAAAGAGTACTTGTGGATCATTTGGTCAAGTTTTATGTAGATTGCAAAATGTTTTTGTTAACAAATCTTTAGTCAATGTAACAAAATCCGAGTACTCATGTTAGATCTAGACAAAAAAAAAATTATAATCTAGATTGGCAGAAAAAAAAGAAATTAAATATTTGAACGACGACTCTAGAACATCGAAATTATTTTGTAATAATCTGAATGCATTCTTCTTGTTTTGACGGCATATACAACGTTGAAGAATTTACATATTTTTCATATATGCTTCTACCTACTCCTGCTAAAATTCAAATAAAGGATTTGTAATTTTGTATAATAAAACTTAATTAAGGTCAAATAAATATCTTGAAATTTTTTTTGTTCAAAAGCATAAAACTTGTATTGTTACCTTTTCAATAATTAAATAATTTTACTTTATGGTCACGTTAAAAAAAAAAATTGAGCAACTTGCAATTCTGGCCCATTTTTCTTTTCTATTAAAACCAATCAACTTGCTGTCCATCAACTTGCTTTAAGTCAATTCATAAGCGTTTTTTTTCATCAACTTGGATCCGGTTAACCCAAATCCTGGTTTTATAAGTAAACCAGACAACAACAATCTTTCTATGGTTCTCAAATTGTTCATCAGAAAGCTTTTTTATCATCATTCATGGCATTCTCACTGATTTTATCCAGTCAATTTCGACTCGGAAATCGCCTGCACCTGATTTAGCTCCAATGAAACCACCTCCTTGTGCGTTAACAGATAGTGACATACCAACAACACGACCTGGATTCATCTCCATTTCTGCATCAATCACATTTCCTTTCCATGTTGGTAAGTAGCGAGTAAGAGGAACCTGAAGAAGAAAAATGTCACACACTTGGGTTACAACAAAAACCCTTTTAACACTAGTTGCTTTGTAGGAGAAGTATGAGACTTGCCTTAGCTGTATACCAGTTTCCCTTTGGAGCAAAAACAAAAGCTTGCCATGAGTTATCTTCTGCTTGTCCTGGCGAGTTCACCCAGTTCTCGGTATATATCTGAATTGGAATCGCAGTTTAGTTTTTTAGAAGAAAAAAAAAGTTGTGCTCCTTGACCTTGCGTTTCATCTGGAGCAAAAAGACATGAATGTTGAGCATGAGACTCACAGTAGAGATATAGCACCTTCCATCTCCTTTGAGCCTCAGGGCTATGGAATCATACCCTTCGAGATCAATAAAGCCATCAAACTACAAAAATAGGAAGGGGTTTTAGTTAATTAAGTTTTGCATAAACCCACTCAAATCTTTGATTTTGATTGATGATGTGATGATTAGTAAGAAAAAAGGAAACCTATGATTTTAACCTTCTTTGACCGCATTCCACAGAAACCACTCCGATTGATATTCCATTTTGAACCTTCAGTCATATCCGTAGAGAGGTTCCCAGAGAAAACACCTACAAGGAGACATAAGGTAAAAATGGTCACCACCCAATTGCAGAAAAAAATATGATGAGAGGTAGATGGTATGAGAATTAAGAAACTTCATACTTTCACCTGAGGCTCGATGAAGAGCCTAAACAGCCAAACCAGAGAAATTGTAGTTCAAGATTTTTCAAGAGAACTCATTTATTCAGGTTAGAGCATGCTCAATAATATTTATACGCTTCTAGATATGAGCAAATCATTACAGTATGTACCAGTCAAGAAGCATCGATGGCCTAACTTTCCAAATCCTTATTTGTAAATCCGGCTTGCACAAACTAGTTGTATCAGACCCAAGCGAAAAAGCAACAAAAGGAAAAAGCGAGGCACACTTGTTCCACAATATACTAACCAGTGCAATCTGATCCATTTCCTCCATCTTTAATTTCCAATGAAGCCGAAGATAATCCTACAAAGTAAAATATTCACACTATAATGAGCAGATCACATGAAATACTGTTATGCACTGCATATCAAAAATATTCTTTCATCTCAGTAATTGTTAATATGAATCAACAAGGAATGAAAGTAAAAGAAACTATCAAAACAGGCAAATAGGTTCTGTAACATGAATATGAGCATATGCCTGAACCTGTGTCCTTAAAGTACCTCCATATTCAGAATCAGAGTACAGGTGCCATGTTTTGAGATCTTCTTTTGAATTGAACTTGAATATACACTTCTCTACAGGGGGTACCCATTCTTCGAGTTCCCACGTAAGAGCTACAGTATGTACATTGTGAAAATATGTTAGAGGCTAGCTAAAAGGATGCAAGGTAAGAAAAATTTCATCCCCAGAGAGACTAGTCTCGAAACAAAATCTTTACTTTCCAGTCAAAGGCACTTAATTATGATTGCAAACAAGAATAAGTATATAAAGTATTCTCAACTTTTATATGCACGCCTATAGCATGAAATTCAATAAGTTACAAGAAAGTGTTGAACATAGTAATTGAAGAAAATGGAAAAATACCCTTCTTTGTTGCATTCACCGAGGCTTGCCACAATGATCTAAACCGTGACATATTTCTGAAGTTGCTGGATCAACCGGAACAACACTAACTGGTTAATTTCTTTCCCAAATGAACATGGAGAATAACATTAATAGCCCATAGATTTGATAACAAGTGGTTGCAAAAAGAGAAATGAAAGATCATCTCTTTGGAAACTCTAGCACAACGCATAACCCAATGAAGAGAGGCAAGCAAATTTACTGCAGCCCAATTCAGAGCTGAAGCTATAGGGTCCCTTAAACCAATTAATGGATTCCCTGAAAAAGCTTACATTTTCCCATTGAGGCATTTCAACAAACACTTGAAAGACAAGAATTGATAAAATCACATCGACCCACAGACAAAAAAAAACAAAAAAGACCAAGGAATATTATTGTTGAGAAGCCATAGGAAATTGCACAAAGAAAAACAAGAGAAATCAAATCGTCAAGACAAAGGATGAGTTTTGGTTTCACCTGAGCTTTCATATAGTTTTCCTTCTTAACCCTCTTAAGAGTCTTTTTGCTAGTCCCGTCTTTCTTGTTCTTGAGACCTTCTGTCCAGGTTAGAGTGTTTGAGACTAAGTTAAACCAAAACGTTGTCGTTTAATACCTCCCATCTCCTTGTACGGCCCACTAAGGCCCAACACCGTCTTTTGGTTGTTATTTTCTTCTAGTAACTAACCTGAGTTCGAATCTAATCTAATTATAATCTCTTCTATAATCAACGTTAAAATTAGCAACCCATAACAATTTTAGCTACCAACCGAACTTATATAATATTATACGAGAGAGATGTAATGAACAAGACAGAAGTAGAAGAAGAAGTCCCATGAAGTTTGCTGAAAAGACACACCGAGTGACTTGTCAATCATTAGCGTGTCGGAATCAATTAACAAGCTTTGATTTAACTTAACAAAGAAACTTCTCCTCTTTGATTATAATGATTACAACTTCGTCGTACTTAAACTTAATTAATTTTGGTCTAACTAATTACTTATCTCTAATAATTATTTCGTGCGTCCTTTTCGTCACCACCTCGGAAAATTAATGTCGTTTATTTTATCTACCAGTTAATGTTATCAATGTATAATGCACATATAGTGTTGGATACAAATTTATTAGTACTTTTTTTTTTAAGAACTACTACAAATTTATTACTATATCGACTAATTAATTAGCCTGTTAGCTTAATTTATTTTGTATGGCTGAAAGTTCAAGAATATAAATAAATAAATATATAATATCTGCAACTAGAAAGGAGAGTAGGGCCATGAAATTGGGACCAGGTCACCAACGCGTCATGAGAGCGACCATTATTATTTCCTTAAAAGAAATTGCATAGTATTTTATACACACACACAAATAGATTTGAAACTGACACCATACAAATGATAACGCAAAAACACCATGAATATCGATGATATAAATCATTTCTGTTCATTGTTTTTATAAATAAAGTAAGATAAATGAATTTGACTCATCATATTCAACCAACTTTTTATTTTATTTTTGGAACTAAAGCAATTTCGAACATCATCAAAGGCCTTCTTTATTATGTCATGAGACTCATGACTCATGAGAAAGATACGTTACGAAAATAGAAACAAAAGTTACAAAACCGCCACATTAAAATAAATATAGAAACAAAACCAACCAGAAAACTTAGTTTGGTTTTCTTGAAATTATCATTGCATTCTTTTTTTATATATTATTGTATTTTACAACTAATGGAGGTACTGAAATACATTTTGAAGGAAATATATGATTGTTGTTATAGAAATTTATTCTTTGTTGGTCGTAACAAAGTAAGAAACTACATATGCTCATCATCATAAAATTGCTCAGAAAAAACGGAAGCAAATGACATGGTTTACGAGATCACGTTTTGATCACACACCGCATCGAATGAAAATACAAATCAGCAACAACAAACAACAACAAAAAGTATATATTATACGAAATAAATGTATTAAATGAATCGGTCGATGTCAATAAGTATAGAACTCAGCCAATTCTTCGACGGATCCTCCTTCTTGACCAGACTTGAGCATCCACAACAAGTGCTCGAACAAAACGACTTCACAAGCTACAACAATTTCACGATCTTGTTCAACGGATCTAGAAGAAGACCGATCCACGAGTTCTTGAAAGAGTGGATGAGAGATGATGTCTGGTCTAAGCATGTAAGGTCTTCGAGTTTGACCAACATAAACCACATGGAGATTGTTGTCCTCTGAAAGCTCGTCGGAAACAGCGGCTGAGGAGGTTGAATGGTGGTGGTTCTTGGCGAAAGAAGGCCATTTCTTCATAGCCGACTTGAGCTTTGTCAGCTTCCCAACTTTGGCCATTGCTAATGAAAATAACTGAACTTTTTTCTTGGATTTAAAACAAGAGAGTTGTTGAAACTAGCTAGGGTTTAGGGTTTACGAGGAGATTTATATGTGTTGATGTGAGTGTGTGTAGGGATCAAAATATTGGAAGAAGAAGAGAGGAATGTTTGAGAGATGTTCTTGGGAGGAAATAACGAGGAAGGTTCATGTATATATATTGAGTGAGATAGAGAGAGAACGAATAGGTGCATGACCCACCGATTGATGCATAACAGCTAAGAGAGATGAGGACATATATGGCAAAACTAGTATCGTTTTTGCCCATTGTTTTTTCCTTTTTTTTGTATCTTGTAATTATAAACAAAGATTCGTAATAATTTTAATTTTGTAACAAATTTTGTCATATTAATTTATTTATTTTCATGTGATTTATTTCATCAGTTGATATATATGAAAAATGTATAAAAATGATTTATTAATGACGGAATGATAACATACGACAAAGAAGTTTGATATGGTATAAGAAAAAATAGATTAATACGTAAAAAAAAAAAGAGAAAAAAGAAAAAGAAAAAAAAATAGATTAATACGTAAATGTTCTAAATAAAAACTTAAAAACACCACAGATGTTAACCATGATTAGAAAATTTATCTGGATATATATACATCATAAATACATAATATAACAATTAATATAATTTAACATGGCAAAAACTAGTAGTATTGAATTATTTGATACTATATACACTATTTATCTTACCTGTGACATTTTGTTTTTGCCTACATAAATGTCAGACACCACAAATCCAGTTTTGAAAATCCTTGATAAATATTCATGTTGTATAAGTTTTTTTGAATTGTATGTTATGATGTATTATAGACTTATAGTATATAATAATTTGTAGAAATATACGTATACGTGCGGTGTGTGTAGAGATGTGTAGGCAACCTCTTATTGCGTGTTGTTGTCTAATGATCGGACAAAGAGTGATGTTTTTTAGATAACGATTACATCTTGTCCACAATTTTGTTCAATATTACCCGATAATGCTAATTTTTTGTCGTTCATATTATCATGTATAAAAAACAAGTATGATCTTCATCTGTCGATTAACTTTTGATTTTCTTCATTTCGTATTAATAACATATATTATATTGAACTTTCAAAAACCATACTATAAAATTAACGAAGAATCCTAAAATCATATAAATAAATTACACGATATTTAAGCAAAAATAGGTTTTATTGACGGATGCAAAAACCAATCACAAGGCATGTTATGTTCTTTTAACAAAATAAAGTCCTTTTATTTAGTGCAAAGGCATAGTTTTCAATCATAAATATTGTTCATTTTTTTTCATAAAGTTAGTTTGGTATTTCCGAGAAATTAGGTGGAGAAGACCTTACCGTCTGTCTTTTATCGAACACAAAAAGTTGTGGATGGTAAGCTAATCATTTTAAGGAATTTTAGATACTTCTTTTTTATAAATGGTCGAACATATACTTGTTTATGGCAAAAGAAATAAAATAGTAATATAGTACTCACTCATCATTAGACATTAGATAACTGTCTTATTTTAATATACTTATGTAATTATCCTAACGATTTGATCAAGAGTGATTGTTTCTTTTTGAATAGTGAGAATATTAATGAATTTTTGAAGATTTAAAGAAAGGAAAATGGCACATGCACGTACATATATACTAGCATCACACGAAACAAACAAGCAATCTGAATATTGGAATACTAATTACTTCCGATTCGGCATCATTGTAATGATTAGCATAAATCGAGTTATGCTATAACTTAATTATATGAAGGTAGCAACATGTATTTACTCAATATTCTAAGGTATAATACTTTTAGAAATACATTCTTTTGGATTAGTTTAAATATTACTAAAAAAGTTAGGAACTTATTTAAGAGAAATTTTAGATTAGTTGTAATGAAAACAAGCTAGAGTCCAAAATTAAAGTAGAGACAAGCCAGTTGGGATGTTGTTGTTCATGTAAGTGCGCGACAATTGTGCAACTAATCTACTTTAATTTTGACTTCTATATAATACGTATTTCATACATTTAATACTTCATATTGTAAAAAAAGCATAAAGTACCGTAATAAGTCATTTTTTCTTAAAGTATCTGTCTAGAAATTGTTAGCGTAGTAGTTGTAAATTGTTGTCTATAATGTATTTATCGACGTATGAATAGGATTTATTGGTTCTTGAATTTTAACTAATTTAAAAATACAAAGCAAAATAATTTATATTAGTGTTTAAACAGTGGTGTACTGTTTTTTATTTATTTGACCTGATCCATTAGACCATCCTCAATGCAACAACTTTTACACTGATCTTGGGTATAAAAAAATAGAAAAAATTCAAATAGTAGAGGAATATGGGGAGAAACGGTCTTGAACAAGATCTGGTCTTGAGCATTGATCTTGACTTATATATATATTTTTCTCTCTTTCTCTCTCTTATCTCATTATAATATTATTACTTCATTTGTTTATTATTATAATTACTTTAAGATCAGTTGTGCGATTGATGATGTCCTTATGGATTTGGACAGGTTTCAAAATATATATTTTGATAATGGGTTTTAGGTTGGGAAATGTTTTTATTTTTTTTTTAAAGATTTTTAAGGATCGGTTATCCCCAAAAAAAGTAAGATTTTAAGGTTACATAAGAACTAAGCATGTCTTAATCATATCACTCAATTAAAGATCTAAGATGATTTTACTAACTACCCAATTACTACAACTAAATCAACTTGGATTCTCACGCCTGTCATGATACCATCACATCACTATATTCAAAACTTGTGTTTAACTGTAAAAAAAAAATACTCAAAATTTGTGATACTTGAACAATAGTTTCAAGTGATTAAATTAAAACATAATCGTACAATAATTTTCTTCAAATTATGAAAACATAAAGTAGAAAAAAGAAAAACAAAAACAAACGCCACAAAATTGGAGTGATTATCTCCAGCGTTTCAGTATATTAATACTCAACAACACAAGGAGCCTTGCATAGCAAGCAACAAGTCTTGCTTCTTACTCTGATGCTTTGGTCTTCTTCTTTTTCTTCTTCTTTGTGGGCTCTGATGTTGCTTTTCTTTTAGACTTCGAATTATCCTTCTCGTCTTGGTCTATCAAATGCTCGTACTCTTCAAGACTCGCAAATGGAGATTTCCGTTTTCTTTTCTCTTTCTTTTTCTTCTTACCACGACCATCATCACCATCACTATCATCATCATCACCACCACTACCATCATCATCAACATCGTTGTCAACATCTTCCCCATCAATCAGGTCCATGTCCATGTCTGAGTCAATATCTGCATCGCTCACATCAGCCACAAGCTCTTCATCATCCTCGCCGGCTACTCCATCTAGATCATCATAGTCATATTCACCGCCCTCTTCTTCCACAGCATTCTCATCAACATCATCCAGCATATTCTCAATCTCCTCATTGTCACTCTCATCACCACCCTCGAATTCAACATCACTATCATAGTTTTCTCCACCATCACCATCATTCACATCGTAAAGTTCTTCAGCAGCTTCTTCTTCAGGTAGCTTCTTCTTCTTCTTTTTCTTTGACTGCTTCGTACTATTCATCTTGTTCACATAGAACTTGTGGAAGACTAGATCTTCAGGAGCCACGTCTCCTTCTGCTAATGAGAGAATCTCAGCTCCAATCACACGGTTTGACATGTCAAGCTGCACATGAGAAGAAAAATAAACCGTTACAGGGGAAAGTAGATAACAAAATGGTTAAACTTTAATAGTTGAAGGTTGAGCTTTTTACCTTCTTGGAAGGTTCGATCTGGGAACCACCATGCCAAGTGTTTTGCTTTGGTTTCTTCTCCATGAATTTATCCAAGAAAGCAGTTAGAGATAAATCGTTCAGCGGGTTTCCGTTGTAAACAATATTTGTTCCTGAGAGAAGGGTTCCCGCCATTGTGGCAACCGAGGGGTGAGCATGTTTTGAAAGAACCACCAACTCCCACCAACTTGCACGGTCTGCGTTACTGTTAATTTGAGATAAAGAATTCAGTTCCAACCAAGAAGTATAATATCAAAAAGTTTCTAAAATATTATTGTTGTTCCAAGCATAGCTTATCAGATTTAATTGGGACAAAAAGCAGTATACTTAAGCTTTTGATGAAAGATGAGATTAACTGACCAGTAAGAAGGTTCTCTATGACGAGGATCATATCCTCCAGGAAGAGAACTCGATTTCATTGGCGGTTCGCTTCTTTTTTCCATATCATTAGAAACCTCCATGGTTTCTTGAAGCTGGGGAGTTTCGTTTCTAATTAGCTCTTCAGAATCATCAGAAGCATAATCATCTTCTTCATCAGATTGCCTGACTGCAAAAGCCTCTTCATCATCTGAAGAAGAATCACCATCTCTACTTGTCTTTTCGCCACCATCATGATCAACTTCAACATTATTCTCGTCTTTCTCTGCCTTATTATTGGCATCAATATCATCTCCCTCTATCACATCCTCAAAATGTTCTACATCTTCTTCTTCCTCAACTGATTCCCTCTGGACCACCATCTTCCTGCAAGGTACATAGAAGGACCCATTGTATCATCGGGTAAAAGCCAAGGATATATGGTTAACAGAACGAAAAAAGCTTACCATAGAGGCGGCCTTGCTTTTAACACTTCAGATAATAGGAAAAGGCATCCACAGGCATACTGTGGTGGCTGTTGAAGCGCAACCTACTCAAATAGTTAAAGAGTAAACTTTAGAGATGACACAAAAAATTACAATACAGAGTGTGTCAACATCAATAATTTAATAACAAAAGGATCTGAATATTGTCATCATTGTTAATGAAACTAGAGCTACCAATGACGGGTTGATAGTTTATTTCGTTCATGTTACCGACCTGCAAGACTCTTTTGGAGAAGGCAGCCACACGCTTCACATTTATATCATTTTTCATGGCTCTGAGAAGAAGCCCAATAAACATTTCAGCCTGCAAATTAAGGACGGAAAATTAGTAAACTCGGGTGTCAAGAAATGCTATGGTTCATGCCAGGGGGAGACATATTGATGTTTTTGTCACAATATAAGTTGCTTTCACAAGATTAGAAATAAATGAATATACTTATGCCAACATTCTTAAACCAATTTCGGGCTCTACCAAATTTTAAGGATTATAACCCATTCATAAACTAAGAATAAAATGGCGTGATTGGAACATGGAAAAAAGAAGCTTCAAAATTTAGCTTGCCTTGGAAGAATTCATTGCGGAGGGGAGTAGAAGTTTCGAGTACAATGCACGGTAAAACCTGTCACTAACAATCTTATTCTTGGATGAGATCTTGTCAAGAAGCATCAGTGATTGAACTCCTACATTGAAATTCGCAGAGTGTACCTACATACATTCAAGATCCCATTTTCTTTATTAATTTTCTGTTGTAACTAATGAAACTAAACTTATATAATGAAGCTTTAATGTTTACCAATTTGAAAAGTACTGGCGTCTGGGATTCAATTATATCATCAGCCTCATCAGTGGAAACATATGGAAAAGCTCTGTTAACTCCCTGCAATTACGGAGTAAGGCATAAGTTGATCTGTGAAGTCTCAATGCTTTAAAATTATATACATCATGTACACCAAAAAAAACCCATCCAGACTAACCGTGAGTAGAGCTGATAGAATTCTTGAATCCAACTCAATAGGTGAATCAGTTGACACTTCTTGTTTTGTGTCCTTTGGGTTGGATTTTTTCTTATCAGTGACTCCTTTGTCATCTGCGCCTTGTTTCCTATTTGCTTCTGTAGTTAAAACCTACAAGAATGCAAACACATTCCTGTGTCTTAGACTTGAGTGAATATCCAACTAGTGAAAGATTTCATGTTATGACTTATGAGTTATGACAAACGCCAGCCCCAAAGAAATCACTAAGGGGTAGCAGAAGTCTCTGAGATCATGAAAGTAAGGTGGAAGCGGAGGGACAAAATTTTAAGCAGATCATAAGAAAATGTTTAATTTTATTGACTTCGGATGGCATTACCTTAAACAGGGCAAAATATACATCAATTAGACGTTTTGCCACCTTTGGATCCTCTCCTTTGTGGCTCAATCGGATCTGACTCAAGAAGTTAACCTGTGAAATTTACAAGGGTTGATGAGCATTGTTTAAGAAAGTTTAACGGGATATGCTTCTTTTCTCTTGTAAAGTCTCAGTAAAATTGTTTCCCATTCAAATCAAAGAAGCCAAATATAATACTTTAGATGACAATAAGCGTGAATCAGTTTAAAAAGATGAGCAAGAAAATAAAGAAAATGGTTCTCGTGAACCTAATTAGAGTAGAGCAATGGGAAAGGGACATACAGCATGATACTTTGCTCGTAACCCAAGATGGGGTCGGAAGAGAAAGGAGTCAACTTCATCGATCACTACGGCCTGCAAAAATAACTTAACGTGTAAGCCAAAGAGAAGAATCCAAACGACCAAACAACAAACGAAATCCTGAAACTGGCATAGGAAGGTTGAATAGCCGCACCTTCATGTTAGGATGATCAGCCAAAAGATTTGTCAGGTGATAATCAGCATTAGATGCACTCTTGTTTTGAGGATCCCCCAACTAAATAAAGTAATCCACGGAACAATTAAAGGGATCACAACTGAGAAAATTAATTAGATACAAATATTCGAATGAACAACTGACAATACCTTGTTCACCAATGACACTAGCAATTTCCGTTCTTGTTCTGATTTGCTTGTCAACATGAAATATATTGTCTGAAACCAAACAAAAAAAGCATTTACTTAAGAAAGATCCGAATCATGTTACCAAGAAAAAACAAACACTATAGTTAAAAGAAAACCAAGTACCATGAAGATATGCATCATCCAGAGAAGGATTACATTGATAATACTCAAATGTCTAATATGATAGCTCATCAAGAATCTTACAAAACCTGGAAACCAATGCTACTAAACAAGCTAGCGGGTGAAGAGTGGTGATAGGATATACCTTTAAAGCCTTATCTTTAAGTTCTGGAAGCATATCTTTAGATGATTCATCAAGGGCTGTGACGAAGCGCTCATACCTACAAAGTCAGCATGGTAAGCTGTTAACCGAATCATCGATCCAGAACTATTACTGATAGAAGATACAGATCTTGGACAGTGTGTGATAAACACATCCCTCGTGGCATGATTTCAGATCTTGAAAGTAGCTCAACAAATAACGTGATGTCCCTACAACAAGAAGCAAAATGACAAGATTTTCTTTACCTCTGTTTCAAGCAATCCTCCCAGTACCAAAACAGCAAAAGCGAGTAACCATCCTTATTTTCCGGAATCCTGTTTAAGGGTCGCTGTAAAAGTGTCTTCAGCTTGCGATCAGGTAATAACCTGGAAAAAAACAAAGCTCAGTTAATGAGAAAAAGATACAAGACTGATATGATTCTGGACACATAAATCTGTAGGGTGAGTCGGAAAAATGTGCCTGATCAAAATTTCAGATAGAGCCTTAAGACCCTTAAATGCAAATCTTTTTCCAACTTTTGAGGTCACCATTCCTGCAATGAACGAGACATCAACAAAATGCTACAGATGATTTCACCATCGGAAAACAAAACGACTCAAATTCGCAATTCACAATTCAATAACAGTTTTCTTCGAGAACCAGAAACATACCCAATAAGGCATCAAGAGACCTCATATTTGCAATGGGATTCTCTCCAACCATAATCTCAAAGGCAGTGATTTTATCAGCTACTGTCCCAGACTTTTGAGCAGAAATCACCATCTTCATATCTCCACTCTTTCCTTTCGAAGTTACAAAGTCCTCTGCGTATTGCCACATCAATCTCTCCCCTAATTCTCTCTTCTTCTCCACCACACCCTTCAAATCCTCCTTACTATTCACCGCCACTTTCCTGCCACCAAACACCTTCTCCTCAAGCTCCGCTGCATCATTGTACCATTCCGAGCTCAATAAACTCGCTTTCACCAATGGTAGCTTAGGCAAACTCTTGAATTCATCGAAACGTTTTGCCTTAATCCCAGTACTCTCATCATCAATCGATAAAAATCCAGGCTTTGGCTTTGGTTGTATGGTTTGCTTCACAGGGGCATCTTTGTTTTGCTTACTCGCTCCAAAATCTTTACCCTTTTCATTCCCAATGTTCGGTTTTGGCTCTCCTTCTTTAACTTCATTCTTGTGTTTCTGCTCCTTCTTAGGTTTTTTTCCGTTTCTGGGTTTGGGATTTAGCAGGTTTTCGGAAATCAGTATCGTTGAAACCAGAAGAAGGAAGAGATGAAGCTAAGCCGATAGAAGAAGCGAATGATGCGATATCAGATGTGAGAAGACTCAAGTCCTGCGATGATTTACTCAAAGGCTTTAACTTTGACATTTTTTTTTCTCAGAGCATATGAAGAGGGTTATGAGATTTTTGTGAAAGAACGGAGACAATTAGGTTTAATCAATCTCTGTGCTTTGAGATGAGACAATGAAGAAGAAAGAAATTTCAGTGTGGGGGTTCAACAAGTTTTGCTAGGGTTTTAGAAAACGGCAAGAGAGAAACAGACAGATGAATTGGCTGAAGGGTAATTTAGTAAATTATGAGATAAGACAAGGGCAAAACAGACTTAACGACCTAAATCAATAATATGAATTTGTGTTTGTTTTCTTTTTTAAGTTGGGTTCCTGAGACGGTCCAAGCCCAATCGCTAAAACATTCGTTAGTTATATCTATACTATTAATTGGGAATCATTCTAACTTAAATAACCTTATAAAGTGTAAGATATTACAAAGATTACCATTAGTTTTTAGTGTTTTTAAATAACTTCATTAAGGGTACAATAGTAATCACAAAATTAATATATTTAAATTAAAAATAGTTTAATTCTTTTAAATAATTATTAATTTCCAAAAAATTAAATCAACTTTCTTTCTCCTATTAATTATAAACGAAAATTTGAAATTAATTTTTAAAAAATTGTTAACCAATGAGAATTGAAAAACTAAGATTTGATATCCAACTAAGATTTTATCTAAACCAATCGTAATAGACTATTCTATATCAAAAATAAAAAGAAAAATAATATCATTTTAATTCAAAATTAAAAACACTACCGTTTAAAAGATTTATCAATGGAGGACTTTAAGATTGAATTTAAAATTTCATAAGAAAATTAAATACAAATATTTTAAGATTCAGTTTTGTTATAATATTTTCACAAATTTTAAAATATAAAACAAAATTTTATTTCACAATTTCTAAAATACGATATTAGATATTAACAACTATTTATATTTACTATGAAATAAACTCAAATAATAATAAATTTAAAGTAATTATCATTATAGCCTTCGTTTAGAGCAAGTTTGATAAATATCTAAACAATAGATTGTATATATTAATTTCTAAATTATTTTGCGTTTTATTTTTTGTTTTTCAACCGGATCTTCCTTAAATAAATCCCTAATATATTGCACACAGTTTTCAAATAATGTAAACTAATTATATATTTTGAATTCAAAACAAATTATGCAGCAATAGCATATATATCCCTTTTAGAGATGTATTTCAAATTTTTATTTTTAGTCCAAAAATCAAATTAATTATGATTAAACAATAAAAAGAAGAATATGCAAAATTTAGCTAAGGAAAGAAACATTAATAAATTTGTTAAAATATATTTGTAACTTTAGCGGCATATATATTAATCTGCAAAACTCACAATATGTATTGTATGGTATTGAAAAGTAAGCAAACAAGAATTTGGAACATGATTTTAATGGAATGAAATGAGAATAGGAATAACGAGAAGGGATAGGAGGGGAACATAAATTAAAAATCAAACTAAATACCCAACTGGTATGAGTTCGGGTTATGAGCACTATATAAAATAAATTTGTTTACATACTATACGTACGTTTTCAGTTACACATATTCTATTTATGCCGGATACTGGACCGTCATATTTTTATTTCACGTATACGATACGGGTTATGAGACTAAGAATTTATGACATATACAAGACGGGATAGGTTTCCCGTTCCAAAATAGTTACACCTAGCTAATATACATGAAATAACCAAACTGAAACCGAATCTATATCCTATTTAACACATGTAATCAAACTATTATAAATGTTTTGATTAATTTAGAAAATAAAAAAAGTAACATCATTTAACTTTTGCAACTAAATTATATCTTAGTTTTATCTTAAATATAATTTCGCACGTACGTGTAGGTCAGGATCTTAAAATATAACTATGCACTAACGCAACTGAATTTCGTTCATTACTCTAATTTTATAATATTTATACTATTATAAAGTTCACTAACATAACAAAATATTTTATATTTTTAAAATCTATATAACAATTTCTATAAAAATATCTCTGCACATAGGTATGAATCCAGATATAATACACTAAAATATATATCATAGAAACAACGAAATAATCTATATTGAATTAAAATTTGTTAGAATTTTTTTATAAATATGAAACCCCGCACGTATGTGCGGGTCAAGATCTAGTAGTCTTAATAAGACAGATAATTATATAGTCTTAATAAGACAGATAAAAAAAAAAAATAGGGAAAATTAGATTGGGTACCACTTTTCAGAGAAAGTTTAGGCCCAGTACCACATTTGGGAAAAGCTTTTGAAATGTACCACATTTCAATGCCACATGCCTAAAGCCGGACGAAATTGCCCTTGATGGAGAGAGAAGTGTGTGTCAGAGAAAGGGACACCTTCCGAAATTTCTGCCGTCCTTTTTCTCTCTCCTGCGTATTGGTAACCGTTTTCGTCCCTCTGGCTAGTAAAACAAAGTTGTCCCCGAGTAAATCCAGATCTTCGTCTTCGGCTCTTTGGCAGAATAAAATAAATATCAAGTTGTCTCCGAGTTAATCCAGATATCTGGCTGGTAAAACCACATCATCTAGCGATGGATAATTAAGAGATGTTGTCCCCGAGTAAATCCAGATCTCTGCAGGCTGGTAAAATCATATCATCTGGGATTCATGATAATAGAGCAAGCTGATGAAATCGGGGACAAGATCTAGACGCAACATAGAATTTTCAATCGGGGACAAGATATGGAGACAAAACGGTGTGTGACTGTAGCTCCTTCCCTGACACATTCCTGACGCAGGCAGAAGGGTAAAATCGTCCAACCTCTACCACACAAACACCAAAAGTGGTATGAATGCTAAATCAATTTGCAATGTGGTACATTTGCTAGGAATTTCTAAAATTATGGTACATTTGGCAAAATTCCCAAAAAAAAATATTATGTATTTTATTTTAAATAATATTTTACAAAAGAACATATTAAACCGATTACAAAACCTCAACATCGCCTAAGAAAGTTGTTTTTGTTGTATCGTTAGTTGTTATTTATAAAATGTTATCAAAATAATATGATTCATTCAACCATAGCTAGAATGAACCTGTTAAAGTTGAATATTTTTGCCACTTTAAGAAAAGTACTAACAGTGCAAGTCCATAACTAGTGAGATTCGATCATGTGATAAGTTTTTATGACAGAGAGGGTAATCTAAATGAGTAAATGACAATTTTAAAGAATCTAAACCAGATGTAAAAAACAAGTATCAAAAAAAAAAGTATCAAAATATGTATGTAGAAATAATACTAGCTACGTAATACACTATAAATCACTTAAATTGGTCAAAAGTATGGAAGAATATATAAAGGGTATTTGGCTTCAAATCCTAAATAAGTGAAACTAGAAATGCGAACTCGTGATATGCCCTAAAGCTTGAGTTCAAGATTTTTGGAAGACTGTCTCTTGTCCACCTCCATTGGCATATGGTTATGTGCCTTTGGTTTTGGAGGAGTTGCAAAGTGTTGCGAAGATTGGCCTGACTTTATCGATGGAGTACCAATATCTGGCTTGGGAGGAAGATGACCACCGTTTTGGTTCACTTGATATGGAGCTCTAGCCACAGCCCTGAAATTCAAAACCCTTAATCAACATGTAAGACAAAGTAGATATTGGAGTTTTGATTTACAAAGAACATTCTAATTAGTGTTTCTTTGACTAGAAATTTCCTAACAACTACTAATAAATTCCTAGATCAAGGACAAGATTTAGATAACACATGCTTAAATCATCCGTCAACACAAGATGATGGACTCGTATCTCTTATATACTACTCTTAGGTCTCATCTCAAATTTATTGTAACTTGTATGATTCTTTACACGTTCTTTTTAAATGATGACTCTGACAAATCTCGAATCTTACTCTAGGATCAGAAACATATCATAACCATCCTAAATCCTAATTAGGTTAACAAACAAGTTATAATACCATGTTAAGTTTAAAGAATTTTCAACTTAAAATTAATTGGTAATGCCGGTGTGGGATTCCTTGAAGAGCTCTTAATAAGATGAGCTAATCCTATCTAGGTCAATTATTAGCTATTTTACATATAACTTCCTAGAAAAAATTGGTCCTAATCTACGTATACAATTTCGAGACACGGCATAGAAAAGCATAACCAGCTACGTTCTTAATATATTGACCATATCAGGTAAGACAAAGCAGTTTCCAGTTTTAGTTTACCTGTCTTTTCGTTTAGCAAAGAATCGATGAAGAGAAGCTCTTCTTGCGATGCGTTCCACAACCTGATGTTGCTGCCCTGTTTCTTGATCTTCGTTGTTCCCCGAACTCGTTGGCTCGTTCAGATCAGGAATCACCACGTTGCTCATGTCGAGATTCATGTGACTCTGAGCGTTCTTGGAATCAACAGCAACATGATTCGCTTCTTTAGCTACTTCCATTATTTCCTTTGCTTTATCCTCAGGAAACTCATTGAAAACCATAACTTTTCCTCCAAAGAATATGGTCAACTGTGAATTTCCAGACTTTGATACAACTTTTTCTGGTTCACTGAAATCAAATCAAGCCCATTTGTACAATTAGTCAAACTCCACACATCTATAACCGGTAGTCCTTTCTCTAATTCAATTGCTACAAAAAGGGAAAGACTGAACAATTTCTCAATTCTAATAAAAATCTGAAAACCGAACACGAGTTCGAAAACATGTGTGTACAATACCTGAGATCAACATATATGGCTTTGTTTCCAGAAAAAGTAGAGGCCTCACCAAGGGAAAGCTTTTGAACCACTTCCAACGGTCTTGTTTCTGCCTTCTTAATCACATTTTGTTGACCTAAAACAGACCAAAACAAACAAAAAAAATCCCTAGCCGATTAAATTTTATCAAAGTCAAATTACATTTTCTTTTATAAACTTCACAAAATCTCTCACTTTAATATACCTAAACTGTCCAAAAGATACTATCATGCTTAAGATTCAAGGGAAAAAAATAGATAAATCAATTTTTTTTTTTTTTTTGCAACCACATATTAATTAATAAGTAACTCCTAGATTGGTTGCCCAGGAGGAGAAGAGTCTACAAAACAAATTTTATAAAATAAATCGATTTTATTTTGCATTTCAACAAAAAAATAATCTATTATTTAATACGTCTCTAATAAAGGGCCAAGATCTCTCATACACCTATGCTGAATAATCAACGAACCAGGATACTAAAAGTAAACTTTGGTCTTTGTCGGCGGCGGCCGTCGGAGTAGATAGGGAAAAATAAAAAAATACCTTTGAGATCGAATTTTCCGGCGAGCTCAAGATCGGATATTCGAGCCAAACCCATATTAATATTCCCAAAACTTCCCTTCTCCTTCAAGTACCGGCTGAGCAAACTACATCTCTGAGAAAAGTTTGACTTCTCCGGCCCTTGTCCCGTCGACGACATACTGTGATGGAGATTTACAACAACTCAAGATTTTTTAGTAAGGCTTCTTTACACGTAAAAATCGAGAATTACAAAGGGTATAAAGATGTTTTGAGCTTTTTTGCTCATATGTTGTTGTTATAAATAACCAATTCTAGCCAATAAGTTTCTGTGGCTTTTATTTAACCTCTCCCGAATAAATAAAGAAAACGAAATAACGTGTTCTTTTTTAATTGTTTTTTTTTCAGTCTGAAGTGACAGTGATGTCTGTCCAATATAGAATGTTTTTGTCACGAGTTATAACTTTTTTTTTTTACACCTAACTAGACTAAACACAGTAAACACACATTTTTCTAAAAGATCATCTATGATGGTTCAAGAAGAAGAATTTACCCCCGCTATAAACGTACTCATTTCTTAATCAACTATTTTTTTTTTTGGTCTCATATTTTAGGCTATTAATTTCCAATATATCATCAAATGTTTGAATAGAAATAAATTATATACGCAAAAAGTAGATTAAATCGGTTTATTCCAATCGAAAAACAAACTAATGTTCGTTACAAGTTCCGGCACGTTTTCATTGCGCAAGCCGTGAAGAAACTGTTGTAAGTTGACGGCGACGTTACAGAAAGGCGTTAACCATTCAATTCATTCGGGTCCCAAGATACGATTTTACCCTTCTGAGATAATGCGTTTGGCGGTGGTATATTCGTTATTGAATGGCGTAACTGAGGGCATTTTGCGAACACTAGAGTCTAACGGAGTTCTAACGGAGTTAAGTCTCGCGTCGGCTGCGATGGCTAATACGAATGTAATATGTGGGAGCCATTAACAACAGTATGCCTTGTGAGTGGATATTTATCGATGAATGGTGTAAATACTTATCCCCGACAAAGTTTTAGGACACGTGAAGTATTGTTTATGTGCATTTGGATGTCAACACGTGTCGAGATCTTAGCGGTACCAACCTTATTTCATGCATGATTTGCGTTTTTTTCCTCTCTATACTTTTACTAAAATAAAATGATATTCTTTTTTAAGAAAAGGATATTATTGTATACCTTTGTTGTCAGTTATTGTTCATAGGTTTAAATTTAATTGTTAAAAGTTCCCCCCCCTCCCCCCCCCCCCAAAAAAAGTCTAATTGTTAATTACAAAATGAGTGTAATTAAAATTAGTAGCTTGTGTTTGTGGCTTAGTAGTGAATTGTTGTATCATTAGGTCATTAGGATTCAGTTCCATAGAATACATATGTTGTTATTAAGTTTATTTTTTTGGGCTAAAGTTATTAAATTTTCTATCAATAAATTTCTATTTCTCACGATTTCTGTTTAGTCCTAATATGAATTTTGTTATGTGATCAGTTAAATATTACTTCTATAATGATAATTAAATCTTAACCGTTTGGTTAATGAAGTCGAGCGTTGAATTTTCTTTGAATGAGAGGCAATGCCAAAGAGGCAAAGAGTACCAATAAAGAATTTAAAACAAAATGTCGTAAACGATGGCGCCAAGGGGAAAAAATCATTGTTATTGAATTATTCATCGCAACTTGCAAGATAATTACACAATACTTTGAACTTTGAAGACTCTTCCATATCATATGATTTCAATAGTTGACCAACAACTTGAGTCTAATATATATACATGTATATATGCTTCTATTTAGTTATGCAATATAGATCCATTGTCATTATCTAATACTTACAAAAGATCAAATAATATTCGCAATTTCACATGAAGATTATCTACATTGTTTGAAGGCGCAAGTTGGGTTTCGATCACATATTTGATCATATCCAAAATAAGGGAATGTCATATCCTAACAGATTTGATATGCAAAATTCAAGATTGTGTGAGGATTCTACTAAGACTACAAACAAAACCAACGTTAATGGGGAAATCTTTCAGTCATCCACCCGAAGTTGGACTGCAATGGAGTGTATCAAAACATATATCAAATAAAACAATTGTTGTTTTGAGACTAACTGTATGGACATAATCAAGATGATGTCAACAATTTTAGGTATGGTCTGTTATGCTTGAGTTGGGTAAGATCTCCTTTAATTTATAGCTAATGTTACGCCATCTGACCGTGTCTCTGTAACAGTTGGTCTTCGAGTAATTGGTCTGGTGGTGGTGTTTCTCTGTTATCTTCGTATATAAAATGGTACTTATTTGGAAAAAGAAATACAAATACAGAAGACAATATTGAAAGATTCTACAAACACTCATTTGCATTGACGTGTGACTATACTTAACATAAAATTTGTTAAAAATTGAGGGGACGAATGTAGTAGGTCCTTTACAACTTACAACAATGACTAAGCAAATTGGTTCTTTGACACCGACTGATACTTTGGATGTGAACACCAAAATTTCTTCACATGATCCTCTTGTACTATGACAATAACATATGTGCCTAAAGATTATTACATATTAATAACATAATAAGTATGCATAAAACGCGGAGCAGGAATAACATTTTTTTAACAATTGCATAATTGAAACCGGATAGAAATGCAACAAGGACACCTAATTAAGTCAAACCATTAGAATACATGTATGGTCTACAGAAAAATAGATTTTTTTTTTCTTAGTTGCATAATAACATGAGTATTAGTGCATTTTACTCATGATACATTACAAACTTATAAATATTAGTTCGATATTCTCATATTTGGAAATGGTTAGGAACTGTAAAAGCTAAAACTAATTTCTGATTACATTTGGTGGCGTCAATTTGTTTTAGAGATACGTTTATCTTTTTTCTTTCTTTTTTTCGACATAGAGATATGGTTATCATGTTTTTTAAAATATGTTAGTACTATATCATTTGCTATGTTATACATTTGACACAATTTTTTTTTTTTTTTTTTGAAAGTTATTTAACATAGAATATTCAACTTGATTACATGTTTCTATCGCATTGAATTATAGATTTGCAAATCCATTGCATGGTTTCTATGTAATATACGTTATTTTCTTACAAAGAAAAAAAAAACAGATTATTATGAGAATTTATTGTACAATGAATTTGGCCATAGATCATCGCTGTCCCGTTGCCGTCATTGCTTTCCTTGGCTTATTTGTTCATCTACATGCTCATCAAGCCATTGTGTTCTTAACATTTTGACATTGGATTCTTCCAAATAAAGCCGAAACTACTCGTTTCTCCCATAAAATTTATTTACATAGGTTATCTTGTAGTGTAGCAAAATTTGGAGTATCACGTAACACGTAAAAAATATAATTTTATAAACGTTTTGATAGTTGTTCTTACAACACTTTTACTTGTATTCTAAGTCACTTACGTTTAGAACTTATTTATAGTAACGATAATCAACTTTGTCAGAGTTTGGGCTTGGAAACTAAAATAAACAGTAGCCATATGGGCCAAACAAGAATGCATATCTATCTGTTATTTATATTCGCTCTTGCTTTTCTCAATCTTGACTCTTTTTTTTTTTTTTTTTTTGTTAAAGCTCAATCTTGACTCTTTCAACGAACATTCGCGCCATAAGCTCCTAAGTTCCTCTCATCCAATGGATCACAAATGACAAAGAAAAACAAAAGACAGAGAAAACAGAGACAAAGCGAGAAACAAGACAAGGAATACAAAAAAATTAGTAAATCGAATCACCCCCAAAAAAAAAACTACTTTGGTTAACCAAAAAAAAAAGAAAAATAAGAAAAGAGTTTCTTGAAACTTCCGGCGGCCTAGCTCCGGTTAAGTAAATGGCCGTGGCCTGGCTAATATGGCCGTTCGTGCTATCTCTAACAGCACTTTCTGCTAATTCGATAACCGAATCAGAATCTTTGTTGAAATTCAAGAAGTCATTAACCAACACCAAGTCTCTTGATTCTTGGACACCAGATTCAGAGCCTTGTGGAGAAAGCAAACGATGGATCGGATTGATATGCAACAAAAACTCTGTCTTTGGCCTTCAAATCGAACAGATGGGTCTATCAGGAAAAGTTGATGTCGCTCCATTAAAAGACTTACCCTCTTTACGCACCATAAGCATAATGAACAACTCTTTCTCTGGTGACATACCCGAGTTTAACAGATTAACCGCTCTGAAGTCGCTTTACATATCAGGAAATCGATTCTCTGGTAACATCCCTTCTGATTATTTCGAAACAATGGTATCACTAAAGAAAGCGTGGCTGTCAAACAACAAGTTCTCTGGTCTCATTCCTATCTCATTGGCAACTACATTGCCAAATCTCATAGAGTTACGCCTCGAAAACAATCAGTTCATCGGAAGTATACCTAATTTCACACAAACGACTTTAGCTATTGTTGATCTATCAAACAACCAACTAACCGGAGAAATACCTCCCGGTTTGTTGAAATTCGACGCCAAGAGTTTTGCGGGGAATTCTGGCCTTTGCGGCGCGAAGCTATCAACTGCATGCCCGCAACCAAAAAATTCGACTGCATCGATAACAATAGAAGGAACAATGAAAGATGCAAATAAGAGCAAATACTTTCTAGCATTCGGGACATTAGGAGTGCTTCTTATCGTCGTGCTTGTCTCCTTAGCTTTCCGAAAAAAGAAAAAGAAGAGACGGAGGAAGAAGGCACGACGTACCTCTGAACAAGACAATAGTGATGACCAACAAATTCAGGTTACTTCCACTACACGAAATTTCACATCTTCAAAATGTTAAAGAGAGAGAGTTTTTAAACTTAAAAATCACACAAATTTTTTATCTGACTGAGACAGGTAACTGTTGAGGGATCAAATAGCTCAAGGCAGAGTAAGAGCAGTCGGTCCGGCGAATTGAGTAAAGGTGTGGCTGGGACGACAGACCTAGTGATGGTGAACAAGGAAAAAGGTGTTTTCTGTTTATCGGACTTGATGAAAGCGGCGGCTCACGTGCTTGGTAATCCCGGCGGAGGAAGCAGCCGTCCTAGCAGTAGCGGAGGCGTGGGATCTGCATACAAAGCGGTTCTTTCAAACGGTGTCACGGTAGTGGTGAAACGAGTGACGGTAATGAACCAAGTTAGTGTTGACGTATTCGACAAGGAGATTAGGAAACTAGGAAGCTTGCGACACAAGAACATATTAACGCCTCTAGCTTACCATTTCCGACGAGACGAGAAATTGCTAGTGTTTGAATTCGTTCCTAATCTGAGTTTGCTTCACCGATTACACGGCGATCACGAAGAATTTCAACTAGATTGGCCTTCTCGACTCAAAATCATTCAAGGAATAGCTAGAGGAATGTGGTATCTCCATAGAGAATTAGGGTTTCTAAACCTACCACATGGAAACCTAAAATCGAGCAATATATTTCTTGCGGAAGACGGCGAGCCACTCATCTCCGAATTCGGACTTCAAAAACTAATCAATCCCGACGCTCAATCTCAATCTCTTGTTGCGTATAAATCTCCAGAAGCGGATCGTGATGGAACCGTCTCTGCGAAATCCGATGTGTTTAGTTTCGGAGTCGTGGTTCTTGAGATCTTGACCGGAAAATTCCCGTCTCAATACGCCGGTTTGAACAGAGCCGGTGGGGCAAATTTGGTGGAGTGGATTGGATCCGCCGTGGAACAAGGTGGTTGGATGGATCTGCTTCATCCGACGGTGGTTACCGCCGCCGCTGAAGATAAAATTTTAGAGGAGGAAATTGAAAACGTTTTAAGGATCGGTGTGAGATGTACCGGAGAAGATCCAGATCAGAGACCGAATATGACTGAAGTCGTCGATGAACTGACTATTGAAGATTCTAACGACGACTTTATCACCATAGAAACTTAGCTTCACCGTTTGATCAATTCCAACCGTTAGATTCATGCAAATTCACCATTTTTGTTTTTTCAGTTACGTTTTTTTTTTTTCTGTTTAAATTTGTATATGATTAAAGAATCAACTTAAGGCTACTTGTAAACAAAAAAGGTGTGTTTTTACGTTTTGGGCATAGATTAGTTATCAGTCTGTTTTGCTGTTTTTCATTACCACTTGTAAACTTTGGTATTAAACATACATCATTAGCGATTTGCTGTTTTCATTACCACTTGTAAGCTTTGGTATTAAACACATATCATTAGAGATTTTCTGGTTTACTACCACTTGTAAACTTTTTTTTTTTTTTTTTTTTTTTTTTTTTTTTTTTTTGTTGTTGTAAACTTTGGTATATTAAACACACACCATTAGCGATTATATTATCAATGAAAGTTACGAATTACGAACCAATAATATGCCATATCACGTGTTTGTGTATACGTACGTGATGAAGAAGAAAATTGATAAATTGAATTGTATGACAGCTAAACACAGCTGTAGATTAACGAATCGTGAAATTATTATGTTTTTTTAGAAATAATTAAATTATGGCCAGAATTTAAGTTAGCAGACAACAAAAGACCCATCACTGCATTTGATTATTAATCATCACTCATATTTCTATGAACAAACAAATTATACGAGTACGAATAAATTGTATTATTGTGTTAATATAACCATTTTATCTAATAGTATTAATAGGTTAGATGCAATATTATAATTAGTGGCATTAATTAGAAATCTAACGCACATTGAACCAGGACAAACAAATATGACTTGAGTGAATTTCTCAAACATCAAATCAAGGTATCTATCAGTATAAAGTTACAATAAAATAAAATATAATCTCGTGATGATTATTAAATCGAAAAATCTAATGACATTTACTTACCCAATAAATGTTTTGCATAAGATGAGCTGTCCACATTACTGTTTAATAGGACCATTTTGTTATCTTTATAAAAACGTCATCGAATTGAACTCGTATTCGTATTTTTAAAATTTAAATTTTTGGATTAAAAAGTCTTAAGAAATTCTCACTGGCTCAATCCAGCAGAGCACCACTCGTGCAACATTATTTTTCTTCTATTTGTAAATTGACTTCCATGTTTCTCGACTGTCCCATATCAATAATATAAGATAATTAATAATGTTTCCCACTGTAATTTCATGTAACAAAAACTAGTACTATTAGTTTTCTCAAGAAATTATACGGCTCAACATTAATATATGCCCATATGTATATTATTTGCTCGACAAACAAACGATAATTATTTGAATGATCTTATATAGTTATATCCCACATAAGAGCAAAAGAATGATATTAATTCATGAAAAAGCAATTAATATAAGTGTTTAGAAATCCAGAAAACATAATTGAAGTATCTCTTTTGTTGTGAAAGTATATAAATAAGGGAAAACGATCTATTTCCCCACGAGAAGTATCACATCACACCAGATCCACACCAATCTTTGACCACGTGCTAAATGTCTCTGAAAAAAAACTTCGAAACCTATATCTCCTTGAATTAAAAGTTTCAAATCTAAATCTCCCCGAAACAATAGTTCCAAACATATATCCCCATAAATTTCGGTTTTAGCTGGTTTATTGCTTATTAAACATACCATAACCAACTAGAAACGATACTAAACCAACATTAAACCAATTGCAGCCACTTAACCACAAACCCAACCCCAAAAACCCATACGACCCAACTTTTTTCTTCTTCACCTAAATATTTTGTGAGAGATTCTTGATGGGTCTATGTACTTCGAAACGGAATAATGGTAATGAACAAGCTGCCATGGAGAACAGACTCTTATCCAAGAACAAACTTGATAATCAGATGAAAATTTCATAAATTATCGATGAAATAGAGCTTCGTCGATTGTATTGGTTTACATGGTCAAGCTTTGTCGAATTCGAACAAGATTTGGCTCGGGTCTGATTGATAAGTTTAATACCTTTTTCAATTTCAATAATGGTGGAGGTGATAGAGTTCGTGGGCGTTTAATTTGAATCCTGATAAAGGAGAGAATGATCCGGGTATGTGAATGATTAGTGAACCTCATAACACCGGAATTGAATCGGGTTTTGTAGCTCCGTCGTTGAATAATGGTAATAGATTGGTGAATAAGATTTGCAGGCGATTGGGTTCTCATCCTCACAAACTTTAAATGCTTCTCATGAATTCTACCACTCAATTTCGTCATGAATCGAAAATTTCCAGAAACTGAAATGAAAAAAAAAGCCATGATCGAGATTGGGAACGTGATAGAGACAGAGACAGAGAGAGGGAAAGAGAAGGAATAGAGACAGAGATTGATCGGAAGCCATGAACGTGCCTGGGTAAAAGTAAAGGAGTGTTGCACGCTAGGGAGAAGAAGGGAGAGGTGAAGAAGAAATAAGATGAGTTATATTGGTCAGTTATGGGTCGGGTTTTTAGATTGGGTCGGGGTTTAGGTCAATCAGATTTTTAATTCGATTATATTGGGTTTGTATGGTTTTTTATGAGGTTTAGTCTATAAACCGATTAAACCAAAATTTATGGAGAAATAAGATGAAAACTATGGATTTAGGGAGATATAGATTTTAAAGTTTGTTTTCGGGGATATTTAGCACGTGGTCATAGATTGATGTGGATCTGGTATGATATGAATACTTCTCGTGGGGAAATAGATCGTTTTCCCAATAAAGTTTGTCATACTTCACCGTGAATCTTTAAAAAAGGCATAATGCATGGGAAATCGGGTGCAAGCACGTGAATGTCGGCCCATTGCAGCAGTCGAATAGTTGACTTGCTTCATATGATTCTTATTATTAAACAACACATTTTATTTATCCTTTTGAACTCTTTAACCAGTTTAATAAAAATTACATAGTTAGTTACCTTGCATCGATTAATGTCCCCAACATTTAATTTCTAAAATGTTTTTTTGTTCTTTTCTTTATATTATGATAATGGAAAGATTGCAATTTCTTTTAGATTATTAATACAAAGTTTATTAGAAATTCTAGAATATTGATTTGCGGATATTATGCAAAGAAAACTGCATAATAAAATTATTGTTTGTAAAATTTGTATATATTACATGTAATTTATTATCAAAATAAAATTAAATCATATATTTTTATGATGATGTAATAGATAACAAAATAAAATTATGATAGATCGTAATTTTAAAATTATCATTTGTAATTTATAATTGATTTTTGACAGTCGTATATATCAAAATGTTCGATTTAACTTGAAAAAGGCGCTTCCCATGGCGGTTAAAAGCTGTTAAAAAGCATCTTAAAAATATAAATTTTGGATGTATTTGTTATTTAATTAATTTTTCAAAAAAAAGCATCTAAATTCTACTGTTGCTTTTTATTTTATTTTTTTTCCAGTCTCCATCATAAGAAAGAAGAACTCTCTCTGTTTGACACTTTTTGTTTCTTTCTCCGTGTTTCTATTATTCTCATGAAACAATGGAACCACATGAACAAACTCACAGCGGCGACGGAGGAGGTGGAGGAGACTGTTCAGTTTCCGGATTCGATTCGGCTGAGAAAGTCATCATCCGATGGGACGCAACGGCGTCAGAAGAAGCAAGAGAGAAGATGATATTCAACGATCCACAAGAAGTTAAGCTTTACCTCAACGCCGTCGATGAAATCCAAAAATTTGTATCTTCCGGTGGAGAAATTGAGAATCGAGCTAATTCAGCTATCCAGATCGCTATGGCTCGTCTCGAAGACGAGTTCCGGAATATTCTCGTTTCTCATAGTTCTCCGATCAACTCTGATTCGTTAATGTTGTCGTCTTCATCTTCTTCTCAGCTTGAGGTTGATGACGATGGAAGTAGTAGTAATAATGGTAACGAAGAAGATGAGCAAGAGGAAGAAGAAACGGATCTTCTGAAACGATCCGGTTCGAGTGCAAGTACCGGTTCAGCGGCGGTTCGATTACCGACGGGGAGAGGTAGTTACAGTAGATCCACCAGTAGTATACGCGAGATCGAGCTGATTCCGATCGAATCGGTGGTGCATCTGAGCTGGATTGCTCGGCGAATGGTCTCCGCCGGTTATCTCCGTGAATGTATTCAAGTGTATGGAAGCGTTCGCAAATCCGCCGTTGATTCGAGTTTCCGGCGGTTAGGGATCGAGAAACTTAGCATCGGAGATGTTCAGAGGTTAAATTGGGAAGCGCTTGAGCAGAAGATCCGTCGTTGGATCCGAGCTGCTAAGATCTGTGTGAGAGTTGTCTTCGCGAGCGAGAAATTGCTCTGTGAGCATGTTTTTGAAAGCGTCGGAGCTGTCAACATCCACGAAGCTTGTTTCATGGAAACCGTCAAAGGTCCGGCGATTCAGCTGTTTAACTTCGCGGAGGCTATTAGTATCAGCCGGAGATCGCCGGAGAAGCTTTTCAAGATCCTTGATCTCCACGACGCTTTGATTGAGCTATTGCCGGATATCGAGTCGGTCTTCGATCTGAAATCTTCAGATTCGATTAGAGTTCAAGCGGCGGAGATATTATCGAGATTGGCGGAAGCGGCGAGAGGGATATTATCGGAATTCGAAAACGCCGTTCTTCGTGAACCTTCTAGAGTTCCAGTTCCTGGAGGTACGATACATCCATTGACGAGGTACGTGATGAACTACATTAGCTTGATCTCAGAGTATAGACCAACGTTAATCGACCTCATAATGTCGAAACCATCGAGAAACTCAACGGATTCAAACACTCCAGATTTCGATTTCTCGGAGTTAGAGAACAACAAAGGTCCATTAGCACTTCATTTGATTTGGATCATAGTGATCCTGCAATTCAATCTTGAAGGCAAATCAAAGTACTATAAAAACGCAGCTTTATCGCATCTCTTTATCATGAACAATGCACATTACATTGTTCAGAAGATTAAAGGATCGCCGGAGTTACGGGAAATGATCGGTGATCTTTACTTGAGAAAGCTAACGGGTAAGTTTAGGCAAGCCGCGACGTATTACCAAAGAGCTGCTTGGGTTAAAGTCTTGTATTGTTTAAGAGATGAAGGGTTACATACGAAAGGAAGTTTCTCATCAGGTGTTTCGAGAAGTGCGTTGAGAGAGAGGTTTAAATCTTTTAATGCTTTGTTTGAGGAAGTTCATAGGGTTCAATCACAATGGTTGGTTCCGGATTCTCAGCTGAGGGAAGAGTTGAAGATTTCGATATTGGAGAAGCTTAGTCCTGCTTACAGATCGTTTCTTGGGCGGTTCAGGAGTCACATAGAGAGCGGGAAACACCCGGAGAATTACATCAAGATCTCAGTCGAAGAACTAGAGACAGAGGTTCTTGACTTGTTTGAGGGGTGTTCTGCAACTCAGCATCTGAGAAGACGATCCGAGTGAGAGAGATAAGTATTTATTTTTTTCTTCTGAAGTTTTAGAGTTTTACGGAGACAGATTCTTTGAATTCTTTTCGCAAATTCGGGTTCTTTGCGGGAGAGCCAAAAACCGAGCAAGAAAGAAAGAAGGATTGATGATACGACTTTGATTTTTAAGTTTTCAGATTCATGAGTTGTAATGTTGTATGAACTTATAATATATCTGTTTGGTTACTTGCCAAATTCTTAGCTTATATCCTTCTTGTTCATTTGTTCATTTGATGAAGTTGTTTTGTGTCAATGTCAAGGACTCCAAGCCCTTTGTATGCTTATTTGGGGTGTTTGGTTTTCTCCACACTTGCTTTAATCTATAATGCAACTTATGAAATTGAAATTTAAACATTACACCGTGACAAAAACAGAGCACACATAGACTAACCCCAACTAACACTACAACACCGAAGACAAAGGGTGATTTGGTTTCTTGACCTTTGTATTGTACAAACTAAACTCATGTGACCTAAAAGAATACATGTAGTAATATTGAGGGTGTTGACTGTTGATATAGAGAATGGAATATAAGTAGATGACTGTGACTGTTGTCTTCACTACTCTACTCCCTTTTGTCTTCCTCCAAATCTTTTTCTGGTTCTCCTTCGTCAGCTTGTAAAAGTCTGGTTTCTGAGAGGTTCTTGACTTCATGAGAAGGAATTGGAGATGGTTTAATGAGGGTTAGTGTATAATCGTCCTTCTCAAACTCCGCGCTTGTATCTCCAGAAGATCCAGAGAATGCGTACCTATAAGAAAATAAGAACGGTACAAACAATTAGATGCCGTGCTATTGGCTATTCTGCAGTTTAACTCACATGTAGGCTCAATGACTATTGATAACAACTGACGAACATCAAAGGTCATATCGCATTTTCAAATGTTCTTCTTGGATATGGCATTACCTAGTCGAGTTCTGAGATGGGGCCCAAAGAGAGCAGATAACAATTAGGAGCGAGAAGGAGAGCAGTTGCCAAAAGGCTGGGATGATCCAAGCGTTTTGCCAATGTTCGTTGTAAACATCCTTCGACTTGAAATAAAGCTGCCAAAGTCAAAAGCTTTAGTAAAGATCTTATTCTGATTTTGAAATAAAACAATCCAACCGTTCTTGCACTATTGAGATTAAAGACAGTTTGCTAAAATATTATTACCTCGTAGCAAATCCAACCCAAGGAGACCAAAATGGCTACAGCCAAAGCATTTGTGAACTTTCTGTATATATCCAACTTGACCAACAACCTTCTGGTCTGAAGCTTCTTGAACGTAGCAGAGAGAGATTTGAATATCCATATGATGAAGAACGCATCCAATATTGCAACAGGAAGGACGAAAAACAGTCGAGCTTTCCCTGAGAGATCACTGACAGCACCGACATTTTCCATCAGCTCAAGAATTTCAGATGCAATAAAGAAGGTGACTCCAAGCATGATGACCTTTGATGTGAAGCCCCCGAGCGTAGGTCTCACAACACCGTAGCCCATTGAAACCATCAAGATGATAATACGAGCACTTGTACGCTTGATAGAACCAAACGTGACTGCCCAGATGGTGATCACGGTTGGCCTGATCCCAGTCTCATTGAATTCAGCATAATCAAAATACCAAAGTGCCATCTCACACATCCCCAGTGTTATCACCAGAGTTAAGCAATTCTGTAACGGAAGCACTTCTCTCCAGAACCTAGCACACTGCGAAAACCAGAAGATGCCAAGCAACACAAAAGCAAGCGACATGAACCCGTAAAAGTACATCAATGGAGCCATTCTACCGGGTAGATATCCGGTAGGGTTTTTCCAAATGGTCTTCCCTTCAACAACCAAATCCTTGAGATCAGAATCACAATGAATGAAGTAGAGGTTGTACATCCCAGTCCTAGTGACCTGGATCGATCTTGTAGGAAGCGTAACAGACAACTCATTCTCAGCCAACGAGACACCAAACACTTGTGGCCAACCAGAATCTTTAGCAGAAGGGCGGTAAATGACATCTCCGTGTGAGCAAACACCGAGTTTCGCCAGATCAGATGTGCAACACACAGCTCTTTGCCCACCATAAGCAGATCCTCCAATGTTTTCCCGGTCCTCTACCTCGAAAACCACGGCGTGGATAGGTAATGAGGATCTGTTAGATACTTCCTCAGGCCTCTGAAACTTGATCTTCTCAAACCTGTCAATAGCATTGCGCCGTGGGATTAAGATTTACACACACCGAGTTTCAAATTAAGAAGCTTTAACAGCAGAACAGCTAAAGAAGCTACTCAAAGAACCGAACAAGCTTGGAACTTGACGACACTTGTTTATCTATAAGATCCAACGCCGTAAAGTGACAATCTTTCAACTAACAATGCACATAATGAATTGTGATTACAAAATCAGATCCTCCTAAGTAGATTTAAAAGAAAAAACTTTTTCTGACCCTTAAATTAAAGAAATGGAATCAGAGAGCTAAGAAAACCCTGAAATTACCGGATAAAGGAAACGGAATCGGACTCGGAAGTGAAGTTATCAGAGGGAGAAGAAGAGTATATCCCTTCACTACCACCATGGAAGACAAAGGCGTTACCTTTAGACATGAATCTCTCGTTTCGGTACTCATGCACCGACGCTTGGACTTTCAAAGAAGAAGTCAGACATAGCAGAAGAAGAAGATGGAGCAACATTGTAACCCAATTTGTTGCAGAGATCTGAAGAAAGAGAGGAGAAATAGAGCGCAGCTGATGACTGAAGAAGTCAGTGAGAGAGCTGATGAGATGTGTCAAATGGGTCGGTTGATCGGACGGCTGTTAAAGGTTGCTCCTTGATCGTTCTCCAGATGTTCCAAGGTTCTACTATTTGGACTCGTGAAGCCTCTAGTCTAATTAGAGGTTTTTAGCTAGCTGATAAAATTATGTTCTTTTCAATTTTAGGATGGGCCTTCGTGGGCCCATTAACTCTTAGCTGTGAAATATATAGTCCATGAAAAACTGGGATTTAACTTTTTTCTTTTGGGAGACAAGTCTGAGAAATAGTCCCCACTTCTACTTATGTATATGAGACCATCTCCGATGTATTTTCCTATTTTTAACTCTATCTCTATAATAGAGGTAGGTTTTCTCTATTTTTACTTCAATGTATTCCTCTATTTTTTCCTCTAAAAAGTTTAACTCTATTTATAGAGGAAAAAATAGAGATTCTCTATTCTCACCTCTATATATAGAGAAAAAAATAGAGATATCTATTTTGGAGGTGAGAATAGAGGTGGGTTGGAGCAAATTTGCCTCTAAAATAGAGTTTAGAGGCAAATATAGAGGTGGGTTGGAGATGCTCTGACTGATCAAGTAAGCTCACAAGTCACAACACAAATATATGTTGTATGGTATGGGGGTTTATGATTTGCAACAATTAGGGTTCAAAACGGGATAGATATTGTGAAATTTCAAGATATCTAGTTATGTTGGATCCAATTTCAACTATTCGTTGATTGCGGATTTATGAATTACGAATATCCAGACTTGGATGTATGTTATAAATAAATAAAAAAAACCAGAATATTCGCTAATATTCAGATTTGGATCCATAAAAGATTACAGTATTATTTTTGGATATTCAAAAACCACAGTAATATACCCGGAAAATTATACAAAATGGTAACAATACTTATAAGGCTTAGACAAAAGTATTATTAACCTAAATATATAGCTGACTTGTGTATTACAAGAAGAAAATAAGAGCATGCAAAATGACTGAAGAAAGACAGAAAATAGTGTAAGGAAACAAAAAGAGGAAAATGTTTTATAAACCAAAGGTTATCCACCTGAAAATACACAACTACATAACATACATGCATGTGTTATGCATATCTATCGTTACATATACACACATGTATGTACGCATACAAATATGAAACATGTACTATGTTGATGTTTAGTTCCCAGAACATGTTTGGTTTTATGGACCCAACCATGCAAAAAACAGGGACTACTCATGGGCTCTCTGCAGATAGAGAGACCCAAAAACTTTCATCAGAAAGAAAAAGAGAATTGATTGATCATGTTTCTTCTTTTTGAATTTATCTTCAGTAAATATTGTCTTGACATCAGTGAAGATTCTCTATCTGCAAAAAACATAACATCTAATATCAGATTCATCAGTAGAAGCTAAACAAGTGAAATTAAGATCCATTGATCGTCAGGTTAATTATTATTACCTGTACTTTCTTGTAAGAACTTGCAAAAGGGAATAGTGGATCACATATTTAGATCTCAAGAACAATAACTGCAAAAGGAAAATATGGAAATGGAATCAGTTCCTGTATTTTTTTCCTTCTAGTTTAATCTTTTTAAGAAATCAAAAGATCAGAAACTCACAGTCAGAATCTGTTTTGACCCATTTACCACCATCGCTACTGCTTCTTCCTTCTTCTTCCTCGTTCTTCAACGAAAGCTGTTGCTTGTCTTGCAAGCATTTCTTCGTTGATGTTTGCTTTGAGGAAGCTTGAGTGTTAACTTTCTTGTGTAGCATCACTCTCAACAACTGTATATACAGTGTATATAGTTAGAAACAAAGAAAACAAATTGATATCGAAATCGTGGTTATGAACTTTATTAAGTAGTACCTTCTCCATTCTCGTTTCTTGAAACGTGTCTCTCAAGATAGGGTTAGGAGGAGCGGGAGAGAAACCTTCTGTACAGACAAACATCTTCTTGAGAAGATAAGAAACAGAGGTTTTGCTCAAATCTCTCTTACTCTTCTTATTCTTATTCTTGCTCTCTGTCGAAATCGCTTTGCATCTCCCTAAGATAACACTGATCGTACGCTCAATGTCTTCTTCATTCTCATCACAAAGCGCGTTACTGATTCTTCGATCGACCTCAAGACTCGAAGGACAGTTCAAGAATCTATCCAAAGGAAGATTAGCCAATTCTCTATTGACATCAGACTTCCTCTTCTTGGTCCTTCTCGTCAAGAGCTTCGTCAGCTCCTTCTGCAGTTTCCCAACTTCCTCGGGAGTGAAATCTCCTAGATCGTCGGAGGAAGAAAGATCCTGATCTCTATCTTGCGCTTGACCCTCTACGTGCACGTTAGACAACGTCTCTTCTTGAATCACTTCTTGATCAAGTTTTTGTGGTGTTTGCTCTTTGTTCACAGTACCGAACGTTCCAATCGCTAGCAAACCGTGAGGCCAATCGTTAAACTCCTCTCTCGGATGATCTTGTTTACATAAAGACAAAACAAAAATTATCAGAGAGAACCAATCAACAGCAACGAGTATGTTAGGAGGTGTATTTTTGCAGTTGCACATGTCCCAAGTAGACAACATCTTTGATAATCAAAACTTTTGTTTTCAACAAATAAGTAGACAATACAATCTAGTTTGTGTAATCTTGAACTTACGAGAAGAAGCAGAGGATATGCTAGGTCTATGAGTATTCCCCTGTTTCCCATGTAGCTTGTTCTGCATCCACCCGAAAAACTGAAAAGAAAAGAAAAAAAAAAATCACGTCACAGTTTCAGAAACATTCTTGAGAATTCAATGAACCAGATCATATGAGTGATAAAACGAACCTTCATGTCTTAATGACCCAGAAGAAAAGGTGAGAAAAAGAAATGAAATAACTCGGCTTTGTGGTGAACCAAGAAGCTTAAATACAAGTAGAAATTCAAAGATAAGATCTTTAAACTTTTTTTTCTTTTTGTTGATGAATTTGATGGTTCAAGTTCCAAAAAATTGACGGCCTTAATTTTTCGTCCAGATTCACTTCTTCAAAAAAAGAGAATGAATATGGAAGAAGAAATAGAAGTTTTTGTTTTGGGTTGGTTTGGTTTGGTTCTGTTCAAACTCAGACTCTTCTTTATACAGCTCGCTCACAACATACGACGACTCATGTTAACTCACACATTTCCCCAGCTCGAAACATTCTTCAGTGCGTATTTAATTATTAAATGCTTAATCAAATAGTATTATTAAATGCTTAATCAATATAATTAAATATTAGTTTCGTATCTGAGAGAACGTCACGGCTTTGATCATAATTCAGATAACGGCACTTTTTTTTTTCTTTTTTTTTTTCTCTGAACAAAGGTTCTAGATAACGGCACTTCGTGTGATCATAAAGTCTCTAATCTCTTTTAACTATTTTTCGACGATCTATAAACGGAGAAGGACTTATATTGAATCCCTAGGTTTTTTATTTTATTTTTCTCGTCATTGAATGGTTTACTATGCTGACACGAAGATTTAGCTAGAGGTTTCTACACATTTTGTTATATGTGTGTGATTTTCGGAGAATTTATCATTTTCAATAGGTTTCTTATGATCATCGAGGAGTACTTATTAATTCCTAACGGGTTTGGGTGGGTAAAATAAAGTTTTTAAAATTACAATAAAATTAGATATAAATTTAGTAAGTATCGAAAAAATCACTTTTAAAAGTTGTAATCATATAAAGTTCTTTAACAAAAAAAAAAGTTATTATATAAAGTTATTATTAGATAGGTCGAATAGATAGAATGATGTAGATATGGAGTTACTTCCTTAATTTTGTGAAGTAACAATGGATAATCCAAAACATGACAGATCCACAAAAATGATGAATAAAAAACTTAGGTATATCATCTTTCATTCACATCTGCAAAACCTAACTATTTTTGTAGTATTTGGAGATACAATACTGTTAACTAGTTAAAATATTTCCTTTATGTGACAACTTAATAATTTATTTTTACAATTTATATATGTGTGGTTTACTGATTACCTTAATACTATATGTCTGTATGTCACATTATGATATATTGGTTCTTGATACGTTGAAATAATCTCAACATTATTCAGTATTCACGTTCAATCTCTAGTGAAATACAATTTTTTTTTGGCGGAATCGTCATTTGTAAAGATGCTAAAAAAACATAATTATAGTAGAAAGTTGTAAAAATAGCTCAAATGTCTTATACCGTGCAAATCAAACGTCATAAAATATTTTTACGAAACATCATTTAAATTTGTGACCACTTATTGTGAAACGTGTTCTTGACCAAAAACAATTGCACTTTAAAATTTTGATCCACTCGTTATTCTTATCAAGAAAAGATTATATATATAATATGTAAACTATTAATTGTAAGGCTAAAATCAAATTCTAGAGAATTTCAGAAAAATCTAAGAGGGAAAGAGACGGAAAGAAAGAGTGAAATTAGAAAAGCAAACCCCACGAAGGAACTCATGCCATTGTCCCCTAACCCTCTGGATTTCTCAGATCTTTGTCTCTCTATACATTGTATTTTATCTCTATTTTCCATCAAATAGCTGAGTCATATGTTATTATGTTATGGACGTGTAACACTTTTTCGTGTAATCATCGATGTATTACACTTTCCATGGTGCCATGTTATTGTTACTAAGCTATATTATATCCACTTTTCAATTTGTGTGTGTACTCAAAATTCAAATTAAATTATTTACTGGTTTATATCAATGGTCATACGCGCGAAATTGTTAATGAACAAAATTGTGTGTATCTAACTATCGATTTTTGGTCTGACTCAGCCGTTTTGACCATAAATTATTTGATGAACTTGAAAATACATTGTTGTTTTAATGCACTATTTTAGTTTCGTCTCTGATTACAAAATTAATCGTAACAATAACAACAAAAATCGCCATTCTATCTGCATAATTCCATAGTTTCTTTCTAGTGAATGAGTGATTTTTTTTTTTTTTTGTGCACCAGTGAATGAGTGATTTAATTATCTTATAAACAAAAGAAGCAGAAGGAGACAAAAGGAAAGCAATAAAAAACAGTCTCGCTTTATCATCGGAGAGCTAAGCCCACCATACCACTCCCAATCACGTGAACTCAGGTCCAATAGACATCCGCCACGTTCCCATTGTCCGCTTGTCCTAAATCAAAACTAAAGTATTAATTAATTACTTTTGCAAATAAGTTACAGCTTTTTACTAGAGGAGATACATAATTTAATGTTGAGAGAGACACATGTCTTAAGGTATAATAAGGTTTGGGTTCGGTGGATCCAAGTTTTTCCAAAGGGGTCGGGTTGACTTTCAACGGCTACTAACAATGCCACATGCACTAGCCAAAACGCCATCAATATAGTCTACCAATGATGCACCAATATCCAAGGGATTTACATTACTTTCGTAGAAAGATTTAACTTTTTTCTTTATAGATAACTATTTTTATACTATTATTAGTATCATATAGATAGATAGACGATAGTTTAGTATTACCATGAAAGTAAAAATTAGTAAAAAAAAAAGGTAGTAAAAATTAGTAACAACAGCAACAAATTACTCGTTCGTAGTTTTCAGTAGATACATCAAGTTAATTAAATTCCTTATATATATATATATATATATTTAAAGGTTGACTGTAAAAAATCCAATTGCGTTTCATGTTACCAAATGAACTAACATCATTGGAGGAAACATGCATATCTGATTTGTCCCCATGAAACTTTGTTTTTACTTCATCTTCTTCTCTCGCCTTCTTCTCTTTGATCTCATTTGGTTGTACTAGCTAGTATTAGTTAATTAACAGTATCTTTACCAAAATCGAGATATTAATTGGGGTGTTTGTGGCGACTTGACTCTTACACGCATGCAAGAAGAGATTAAGAGTATACTTACAATTTATAAATGGTACATTGGTATAAAAAAATGGTTTTGGGACCACTTATAAAGTCATTATTGTAACGAATGTGTGGTTTATATGGTTAATACGTTGCCTTAAACATTTTGCTAATCGTGATTAACAACAAAAGTGAGGTTTTGAGATGTCTTTGTGATTTTAAACAGAACACGTGTAAGGCATCTGAATTATAAATATGTAATATATGAAACTACTGGAAGTATAACTAATGTACTATAACTTAGCAAAAAAAGTACTAATGTACACATGAATTGATCGTCATGCAACTCGTCACCATGCAATTCGTTTAGGAATTAAATATATATATACGTTGATTATGCTCAGATTATTCTAATTACATATTCCCTCCTGTTACAAAAATATTTTAACAAAAAGCTTTACGACATTACATGAATTATAGAAATTTATCTTTTCTATATTGAAACATAATTTAAATAAATTAAAATGTTTCCATAGAAACTTAAACATTAAACAAATAAATAAGCAGATCGTTAAAACATCCTAAGAATGAAACAGGAAAAGTATTTGTTAGTTCTATAGTTAAAAACTATTTCTAAAAATATCATCCTAAATTATCACAAAAAGAAATTCCAAACTCCAAACCTTATAACAGATAAATTGTCTATTGGTGACACAAGGTGATGAATATTTTTTAACGAAAAAGAATAGCAGTAAGATATGGCGATAGTAAGAAATAGTGGTAATTTAAAAGATGATGGTTCAACTTTAAGGTCAGCTTCATAGGAAATGATGAATAATGATACAATAGGAGATAATGATACAATAAAGCTAAATACTAAAATTAAATAAAAGTAGAAGAAATATTCTTTTTCAATTATTTAATCACTTACATTACAATAAACAAAAAAGAAGAAGGAAATCATAAATACTCTCTTAACTTCCTTAGGCCATCTTTATCGGTAGAAACTGTAGGAGTTTCTCAAAATATTGTATTCTAATAATTATTATATAATCTTATTATTTATTTAAATAGTTATTGAGAAAGTAATTATTCAACCTTTTAAAATATGACATGTATAAAGAACAGTGTCTCAGAATTTCTTCGGAGAGAAACGTTTCTCAATCTCTCTCCTCCATTATTATTACTTTTTGTTTTTTAATTAATAAATCATGTGAGACACTCCTAATGGAGATACTCTTATTGCCTCAACGTGCATGGCAATACAGAAGTGCGATACAAATCTTTTTTATCACTAGTAAATTTTGTATCGCCAACGATCTTCACTAATTCGTTTGTTCCGTCGTCTCGTTTTACAGCAAACCTAATTGGTGAGTGGTGACATAGCTGTTCATACAATCATTACCGGCACCATTTTAAGTCATGCACCCATTAAAATTAAACAAACAATTCGTTCACGGGTTAGAAATGTTAAACAGAACTATTATATTTCTGTATGGTCACAACATTTCGAAACTAAATCATAAATTCTTCATATATATGGACCGAACAAGAAATTCAATTCTCTTAAGTTTGTCAATCTTTAACAAAAAAAAATCAAGAAATATTGTTTATATATTTTGTTCCATCCATTTCTCAATAACAGATTTTTAGAAAGAAAAATATCGTTTCACAAGGATGGTTTGTATTTTATAATGTGAAATGAAAAAGATACATTATTAGATTTTATATTTGGATAAAAATTTTAGTATCTTTGACAGACGAGTCTAGTAGTTGTCCAATTAAGATAGAGGGGGGATTTTAAATTACTTAATTAGAGAGAGAGGCACACATCGAGAAGAAAGAAGAGAGAAAAGAGAAAAAAGAAGATGAAAAATGGGAGGAAGCACATGGAGTGAGCATGACGAGGTCTCTTTGTGTTTTGTAACCTTTCCATAAGTTTACCAAATCTTTCCATTTATGGAATGTTTTCTCTCTTCCGCTACCTTTCTCAATCTATTCCACTCTCCCTTCTTCAATGCTCTTTCTTTTGAATATAGTATAACCTTTTACCAATCAAATTGACTACTTCTTTTTAAAACGTTATATATAGATAGACAGTCATTCTCATTGGATCCGAAGTATGATCATTGTCTTTACGTCGAATTCTTACAGGCCAAATCTTGTTAGAGATATATAAGAAGATAACGTTAATGTTGGAATTTGTTTACTGTAATATTGGTACTTGTTCTTTGTCATCTTTGAACATGAGCACCGAATTTGACTCTGGATGTGTGATGATTTAATTCTCTTCCCAACATTTGTTTTACAAATCTAAGTAGTTGCAAGTTATTGCTTACGATGTTTCTATTATCAAGATAATTCAGCTGGCTTCAGAATGTATAGATACTACGATCAGCTATATATATTACAAATGAAAAAAAAAAAAATTCTACAAATTTATGAAACAATATATAGAATTTAACAATTACATGATTTTAAGGATATGTATAAGCAACAACGTAACGAATTCTTCACTCAAGATCGATCTCTCTCCTAATCGTTTCTATCAGCTTGAGGCATTTGGTTCACAAATGAACGTGGTTGATTTGGTCATTGGTGTTCTAACCAAATACCAACTACAGTTTCATCGGATGGTTGTTATAGTGTTGGACAAGTGAACATCTGAAAACGAATACTGAATCCAAAAGTGTATACAAAACAAATATGGAGAGGAAACTAACCCGGGACTTCATCTTCAACAACCCACGATGATTAATTTAATATTGCAAAATGAATCAAAAGATTTCAAACCATTGTCTGTGTGAGTTCCAAAATGACACTACATAAGACTAAGGTATTGGCTATGTCCGCACCGAGATTGAGTTTTGTCAAAACCATGAAGCATTTGGACATATCACATCTATGAGCGATCTAAGCCTTTGGCGCATCTGTTGACTCGATCAAATTAAAGCCATTTCTTCTCCAAGGTAAAATACTTTGCTCATCATGAGTTAATTTTATGTAGATTTAGATATCGAACTGACTTGCTTTATTAAATCGTGATACAATGACTTATATAGAGAACATCTCTAGGGTTTACAATAACCGACTATGACTTGAGCGACAAATAACGGGCCTAAACATATGGCCCAAACTCTATCCGTAATATTTTACAATTTAATTTAATTTTAGAACAATTACTATTTTTGTCATGAGATCAAATAACTTATTTCAAAAATTAATAAAATTCCATCATAGTACTAGTCAAATACATTAGTTTTGTGCGTAAATTACAACTCTAATTAATTAGTAATTAGTATATCTTTTAACTCTTTTAAAAAACAGAGTAAATACATTATTGAATTTTACAATCTCCTTAATTATTATTTTGTTTTAAACTTTTTATTTGGTTTCCTTAGAGGTCAAGACAACCACAAACCTCAAAACAGCAACCAATACACTGGAAACAAGCCAATGCTGCACAGAGCTGAGAGAAGACAATGGTGCACTGATCACTCACCCTCGACATGCACTGCAAGCAACACATACAGCAAACGCGATCAACCACTCCTGACGCCGCTCTTATCAGAAGTTCAGTTCCCTCCGACTCCTTCGGTTCCTCCATCCATGGAGGCACGTTCTTTAACGTAGCGGCAACGTTCCCGAACCCATACCCTTGTTTCCCAAGCAAACTCGTTCTGTCGCTGTTGTTCCTCTGCATTTGCTTGTGGATTTGGTACGGTGGGTTCCTTAGAATCTCTTTGATAGAAACAGGTCTCGCTATCGTCTTCTCTTCCTCGTCGTGTTTGAGTGATAAGACCATTTGCGTGTATTCGCTTGGAAACCCTGTTTGTATACTCAATCTCATGACCTGATCAAGCAAGAAAAATATGTTATTAGTTAAGAAGAAGAAAAAAAGACCAACAATGTCAAATCACAACCCCTACTACACCTTTTCTTGCAGCTCTTTCTTGTCTTCGAACCAAGCTCGAGCAGTAAGTTCATTGATCTGTCTCCTCGCAAGAACCTGTGTTTTAAAGGTTAGCAAAAGGAGCTTTGTTACATTTCTTACATTTTCGAGTAATTAAGTAAACCTTGTCTAGAGGAATGTCTTTAGCCTTCTGCACTGTTAGCTCGATTGTGAAACAGCTCATATCAGCTAGTGTGCCTCTGAGTTCAACTTCATCTGGGAACTCTCCTTTGTATCTTCCAGACAAGATCAACGGATCACAGAGCGTAATATCTGGAATCTGACAAGGAAACAGCTGCAAAAGACACAAAGAAAAGAAGAAGTTCAAGGAAGAAATCCAAAAACTTTATGTTACTGAAGTACTGAAGTTGCTAAGTTACCTCAACTGATCGGAGAAGTTTGAGAGCATCAAAAGTGGTATTGGCTACGATCGTTGAAGAAGCTATATCAAATAGTCTACTCATCTGATGCTCGAATGAATCTGGCTAGGTGTATTGTTAATACAAAGCCAAGAAATGTTTTTAGTTTCTTGATTCTGAATTAGTACACTATCAGCGATAATCAAGCGAATAGAACAGAGGAGATTACAATCTACCTGTGTTGTTTGTGCCATCATAGTAACCATTCCCTATCCGCGCTAGCATTTGCAAGAAGTAATGGTTGCAAAACGAACCTGTGCAATTGTTTCTAATCAAGATTTTGATATTTATATCAGAGAAGCAACCAAGTAAAAGCAGAGTATTCGTTTACTTACCAATGCCAAAGGTAGATATCCGAGGAGAAATCGATTTCCCGTTTCTGCTACAAGATTCTTTCATAGCATTACATATCTCTCTCTCGTTTTCAACAGATCCATCAGTGACAAGGTATACAAGAGGAACTCCAATATTGCTTCCTTCAAGCAATTTCATTGCCTAAACACACATGAACAAGAGTCTCAGAAGTCGGTCGAGACTAATGTTTCCAAAAAGATAAGAGATTCTAGACATGGACCTGTTTGAGGGGAAGTAACATGTTTGTTCCACCATTTGCAATTAAATTAGTATCAAGCCATTCAGTCACAGCAGAGATAGTTTCATCTGTTGCAAACTCCATTGAAGTTGAGAATTCCAGAATTTCGTCATTGAAAGCGATTATGTTGAAAACATCTTCAGCTTGTAACTTAGCCAAACACTCCAACAAAGCTTTCTTCACATCCTCAAGCGGCTTCCATTTCATGCTTGCACTTATGTCAATCACAAACACAACTCTTCGTTTGAAAAGCTGTAGACAAATAACAACATTGCATTGATCATGTCACAGTTAAGCCGAAGATTCATAGTAGTTGTAGTAAGAACAAACCTTCTTATGCTTGGTGGTTCCAGGGAAAAGGTACAAACAGAAAATTCCTCTGTCATCTGAATCCCATGGAGATGGAGACTTAACCAAAACATTACCACACAGATCACCAGAGGAAACCTGTAAAAAGGCAAACAAAGATCATTCTAAGGATCAAGAAGAAGAATACAAAAATGCTTCAGAGAACGAAGAAACCTCACATTGAATGAAACACCAAAATCAACTCTTGACCATGATGGTACTTCAGCTTCATACTCGCAACTTAATTTACCCGCTTCACGGTGAATCACCTGAGAATGATTTATCACACATTACACAATCCATAGTAACAATTTGACAAACAAAAAAAAATACTGTGAACACAATTAAATACCTTTAAAGGATGGCTTGTATAACTAGAAGCTACTTCACCGCCACTAACACAAGAATTCATGTTTAACACAATCTTTTCTCGTTTAATAATCTCCTTGCCTACAGGATTCACATAAGCAGGGAATCTAAAAGGCACATTGAGATGAAACTTGCCGTCTTTGTAAATCAATTTCTGAGACCAATTCACATTAACCGAAAAGATTGATCCTCCAACAACCTAAAATTATCAACAAACTTTTTCAGCATCATTTATAACAAAATTCACAGAAACTAACTATAAAAAGTGAGACAAAGAACAAACATGTGGGATCTTGAAAGTATAGATATGAGACTTGAAGAAACGTGAATCTTTGTCTTTATGAACGTTTTCAAAGTCAGATGTTTCATCCTCTGTAACTAGTTTGGTCTTGTAAGATTTCTCATTGCTCAAAACATCAATCTCAGCACCTAGAAGTGTGCCCTGTTACACAATGTCTTCCACTTATTTCCCAAAAAATATCTGAAACAATTCTATTAATGGAAAGAAAGAGAAAAGATAGATAAAGTAGTTTCTTTGTCGTTTTCTTGTAATGAAATTACCTTCTCACCCATAGGAACACCGACACAGCAGTCAAAGCGTTTGCTAGGCATAACGCAGTGAACTCGCCACCGTCCGGTGACGGTGACAAACGCCATGTCGAGCCAACAATCTACTCTCATCTCAATTCCGAGCATCTGAAGCGGCACGAGCGCTGAAGGATCGCATCGTGCGTGAACGTACGGCTGGTAACTAGGAACGTCGGGGTTATCAACAGCCACCGGATCTGTGATTGAAGCGTAAGCCGTAATCGCCGTCGGAAGAAAATTCCCCGGCGATGAAGGAGAATCCGGTACTACAGGAGGAGCGATGCCTTTGCCGTAGTATATTCGTCTTGAGAGCTTAAGACCTTGCTCTACTCGAAGTGCGAACTCTTCCGACATTCTTTTTGTTTTCTCCGGCGAGATTTTCTCGGCGATAATGAGAGCGAAGTTGAAGAAAGTGAAAAGAGATTTATCAGGTCCGTGTTTAAAGGGGGATTTTAAAATCGGCCGGTGAAAGTAACGGCGAGAAAAAGATTTTAATAAGTGGGATGTTGTACCCAATGGATTATGTACACGTGGAAAGCATCCCTGCCGCCACAACAGTCACGGATTTATATATAGATAAATTTTTTTATTGGTTTCTTGTGGAATAAATTGATATGTTTTTCTTTTTTTCTTTCGAGATAGTATAAATATTAAATAGTTTCAACTTTAAACTCAATAATATTTTTGACTTTAAACACAATAATAGTTTGGTGGAAAAGAAAATAACTAACATGTTTTTGGAGGCTTTTTGTTATTTTGAGTTGAAATATGCAATTGATGATTCTGGCGTCAAAATGACCGAAAGAAGTTTTAGGTTATGGTTTCATTCAATTTTTACGTTTCGGCTCAAATGATCCTATGATATCTATGTTTTTGTGTGTTTTTCTTACCTTTCTCTTGCAAGGGGAGTTGGTGTTTTTTTCCAATTCTTAATTGACATTGAATGTTTTGGAGATTAAAGAATTTTTGTCGTTCTAAAGAAAATATTTTTTGCACAAAAAAGACTATTTCAACCATTTTCTTGTTTGAGAATTCAATCTCTCAAATCAACCCAAAAAATCAACACTTTGATGAACATTTTTCTATCATTTCCTCTTCATTGATTATGCTTCCTCTAACTCAACCACTTTTGTTTTTTGAAGTTCTATCGATCAAATCAAGTGGTTTGAATATTTACTTAAGCAGTATAAATTCTTCATAAACACACAACATTGATGTTCCAAAAACGTCCACATATCTATTTTTTTACTCGCAATATATTTATTGTTCAATAGATGAACCAACTAAGATTTTTTCACAAACAGTATGATTAGTTTTCAATTATTTTGTTATTTTGATTTTTGATCCTAATATAAAAACTTTTTTCATTCCTCAATATAGTTTTATAACTTTGCTTTTGTTTTAAAATATTACGAGTTGAAGTTTAACCAAAAAAACGTTTTGCACGTTAGTTTTCTGTTCCATATATTTACAGTCACTCCTTAAAAAGGAAAAATGTCCCACTACCGCCAATATTTAATTTTCGTCCAATGTAGAATTTACATGACAAATGTTGCCTCTCTAATCAGTGTGGACTTTGATTTGGATATTTCGGCTACCAAACCGATATATATGTAAATACTCTTTTATGTGTAAGAAATAAATTGTAAATATCATTTGACTACTGTATATCATTTGATTTCAATAAATAAACAATGTAAAAAAAAAAAAAAAACTCGACAGAATCTTCCGGCTCCACGTCGGGACCGGACCACGATCGATTGCTCAATATAAATTCGTCGAACCAAATCATTAGACATGTAGGCCATGTACAATAATAATAACTCACATTTATTACATACAAAAACAAACAAGTTTAATCTATTATTCGTGTATTCTGATTTCTAGCTCTCTATCGGTGATCATTCCATTTCACATACTGGTTACAAATTTGGTTTGCATAATTTGCCAAAGTATTGGCAAAAATGGATTCATGAATTGTAAAATTAAAATATAGGGTTAGCTTTTTTAATTAAAGGCTGATGGAAAAAGCTGGTTTAACTGATTGTTGTTGTCTGCCATGCTTTCAATTAGTAGTGAGGATTAATGAAAATTGGGCAAAGTTTTTGTTTAATTACTGAATTTTAGGTTTCGGTCCACTAAGATTTGAGACGGTCCTACCTTATTTATAAAATGAAGTTGTAACCACTAAGGGCATCATCAATGGGGGATCATGTGAGGGTGTTCTTATAGAGAATATAATGTTAAAATAATGTAAGATCATGTGTTTAGATCTTTTGTTTAGAAGTTGATTAGTGGGAGAACATGTGTAAGATCTTAAGACTTAATAATATAATAATCTAAATTAAATTAAGATTTTACAATTATTAAAACATTTAAAAATAACATATAAATTGCAAATGCCAAATTTATGAAAAACTGAAAATAAAAGTGAAAATACAATACTAAATATTTATGAAAAAAACATTAAAAATATAAATAACAATAAACAAACAAACATATTACTTAATAAAAGCACAAAAACATTTTATCTAATTAATACATAGTTTATTATCCAAATTTATTCCAAATATGTTGAATATTCCAACCAATGCCCAAATGCCACGTCACCCCGCAACACCCACAAGAACAGATCCAGGTCAAGAGCCCAGTTCCTGATCTTAAGCCCATTAACCCATTTTTTTGGATTTAAATAATGCTTAGATCAGGGGGGGTGATCCCCCAATGCAGATGGTCTAACTAGTCGTCGTCGGGCCAACTACAACACTGCTTGCTGCTGACATTTTCAATTTTATTTATTTACGTTATGATATGCTTTTTGATATGAAAAGATATGATATCCTTAATTTGACTGTTTAATTTATTTTGTTATCTTCTGATTACTAACCAAGTCAATACACTCATAAGTTATAACCGTTTTATTAAATAACATTTTAGTTTCAACTGCGTGTCGTCGATTGCAATTAAATAGACGTGAAACGATCTTTTTACTATTTAGCTTTCAAAACACATTCTTTTATTTATTAAAATCGTTCGTATTACTAAAATACTAACCACTTCCCCAATTGACATGATGAGTACAATTATTTGAATAGACGACATGAAGGTGGGTGTCATGACCAACTTATTTAATTTGATATAATTTCTTTTGGAAAAACTTTAACTAGTTTTAAATGATTTATGCTTGTACGTATCTCGAAAGCGTGATCAGGGTTATAATAAGTTTATATTCCCTCTAAAGTTGCTTATAAATCAAACTAATTAAATGGTTCCGTGCCAGTTATAAGTATTTTTTTTTTTTTTGCTGTTGTTATGTTTATAGTTTATCCGTATTTTTTCTTTAGATGCTTTCGCCTTTCAGATACAGAATAATATACTTGTATAGTTGTATTTCGTTCTCATTTATCAACTATATGATACATGATATAACAAAAAACAAAAACATTTACATAATCAATCTGGCTCTCGGAGGCCTAGGCCCATTATCATTGTTAAAATGGGTCAAAATATCAAATCAATCTGAGAGGCCGTATCTAAATACAGTATCAACTGGGCGGGCCTTCAGTGTTACACCCTATGTTTTTTTTCTTGGTCAAAAGAGTGTGAAATGATTCTTTCTTTTTCGACTACCCATGGGCATACCTTTTTTTTTTTTTCGTCAAAAAGAGTGACCATTGATTCTTTCTTTTTCGACTACATATGATTTATCTTAAATATGGAACAAAAAATTGGTTGTCTTTCTGAGAAAGTAGTTACCCAAGTGTCTGTTTACCATATGTGGAGGCAGCAAAACAATGTCTTGTACAATATACATTCGCTCACCCCACAAACAATCTTCAAGTTTATAGACCGCGATATCAAGAACATCATCACATCAACAAGAGAGAAGCGTCTCTTTCACAGGCTTATATGCCACTATGGTTGTGATAATTCTCCCAGATTTTTATTGAATCTCTTGTTTTTTTTTTTGTCAAGGCTTCAATTTCATAGGTTATACAATATTGTAAAACCTGATTTTTCATTTTAACCATATTTACATGTGAGAAAAAAAAAAAAATTGGTTGGAGTACGTTTTGGTGGCTAATCGCCTAATCGGGGCGGCTTTTGTGTGATGGCCCTTCATTTCCGGAACTTTTTTTTGTCTTATTTTTTTTCTCCAGGCAGATTTTTTATGCATCATAAGTCAAGTCACGTCAATGTCTTACTTTTAGATGTGTTATGTATTACGTAATATCTATTTTTATTTTTTGTATATTGTATATATGCATCCAGTTTCTGAGTTGACCTATATTAAACTACACTAAACCGGCCAGACTTAATCCATGTAAATTCCCAAAAAAAAATTTTTTTTGTCAACCCCAAATTTTATTTTCATAATATAGTATTACTTTTCTTCTTCATCGAACTGTTGAGAAATACTCTTAATATTTTTTTTACAGTATAAATAACAATATATGTACTCGTTATGAAATGCTGAAAGGCCAATTTTTCTAACATCAAGGACACATCCACGAATCTGTCTCTCCATATATATCATCCACGTGAAACACACCTTGAAGATTTCCCAACAGATGATGTGAACACTTTCAATATGACGGCTTCATAATTGACATTTGCAATATTTTGTTTATATATATATAATGTACATATGCTTTGCAAATAGGATTCGAACTGGGAAAAGCTAACGTGCAAGATCTCACAGATCATATTCATATATTTTAAGACATGTTTCTAGAATATACTAGCTAGCTAGTAATGGACGTTAAGAATTAACAGTATTAAGAACTATACATTGTCCTAAACCATTAATTAATTGCCCACGTTATGTTATAATGAAAGACGATGGTGGCTTTATAATTAGTATTACATACATTACAATAACGATGAACTAGCAAAATTATGTATTAAAAAATATATGCTACTACTCGATCGTCATTTGGTAAACTTATACAAGTATTAATTATTTGATTACGGAAATCTGTTTTTGTTAGTGTTGTAAGAACGTAGAATCTATGAGGATTAGTTTGCATAAGAATATATAAAGTTACATTTTGTTTCTTAAAACCATTGCTACGATCAGTACGATGTTTTTCATTAATCACTTTTTGTTGTCCTATAACCTACTAGGTTATGAACCCCCGCGACATCGCGGGGGAACTCATTTTCAACAAATATATATATGTTATTGTGTTTGCGAAGAGTTGCGATAAAAAGACACAACCGAAAAAAATAACCGTCAATATTTTAACGGAAAGTTACGGTAAAAGACACAACCGAAAAAAGTAACCTTTAATATTTTAACGGAAAGTTACGATAAAAAGATGCAACCGAAAAAATAACCGTCAACGAAAACTATAACCATAAATATTTTAAAGAAGAGTTACGATAAAAAGACACAACCGAGAAAAAATAACCGGCAATATTTAACGGAAAGTTGCTATAAAAAGAGACAAACTAAAAAAGTGACTGTTAATATTTTAACGGAAAATTGCGATAAAAAGACACAACCGAAAAAATAACCGTCAATATTTTAACAAAGAGTTGCGATAAAAAGACATAACCGAGAAAAATAACCATCAATATTTTAACGGAAAGTTGCGATAGAAAGACACAACTGAGAAAAAATAACCGTCGATATTTTAAAGAAAAATTGCGATAAAAAAACACAAACTAAAAAAGTAACCGTCAATATTTTAACGGAAAGTTACGATAAAATATATACAACCGAAAAAATAACTGTCAACGAAAAAAGTAACCGTCAATATTTTAACGAAGAGTTGCAATAAAAAGACACCACCAAGAAAAAATAAATGTCAATATTTTAACGGAAAGTTGTGAAAAAGACACAACCGAATAATTAACCGTCAATATTTTAACGGAAAGTTACGATAAAAAAGAAAAAAAAACGAAAAAAGTAACTGTCAATATTTTTACAGAAAGTTGCGATAAAAAGACACAACCGAAAAAATAACCGTCAACAAAAAATAACAGTCAATATTTTAACGAAAAATTGCGATAAAAAAAACACAACCAAGAAAAAAATAACCGTCAATATTTTAACAGAAAGTTGCGATAAAATGTCAAAACCGAGAAAAAATACCCATCAATATTTTAACGGAAAATTGCGATAAAAATAAACAAACAAAAAAAGTAACCGCCAATATTTTAATGGAAAGTTACAATAAAAAGACACAACCGAAAAATAACCGTCAACAAAAAAAATAACCGTCACTATTTTAACGAAAAGTTGCGACAAAAAATACACCCGTAAAAATAATTAACCATTAATATTTTAATGAAAAGTTGCGATAAACAACCGTTCAGAAGTGCAAAATGCATTTATTGAAATTGTTATTTTAGTTAATAAAACCAATTTTATATGTAGTCGAATGGTTTATGTAAAAAATTCGTAGTATTACTAACTAAACAAAAAATGAATAAATGCAACTATAAAGATATAACCGTAAACTGAAAAGATATGACTGTATTTGAACAAATATAACCGTAAATAGTTCAACGAAAACTCAAAGAGAAAATTCAATAAAAAGAGACAACCGTAAAAAAATAACCGTAAATATTTAAATGAAAAGTTGCGATACAAAGACGCAACCGTTCAGAGTTACAAAAAGTATTTAAACGAAAAGTTGCGATAAAAAGATGCAACCGTTCAGAGTTACAAAAAGTATTTATTGAGATTGCTATTATATATAAAACAACATGACCGTACAAAAAAAAGACGCAACCGTTCAGATGTGCAAATGGTATTTATTGGAAACGACATAACCGTAAAAAAATAACCGATTAAAACGAAAATTGCGATAAAAAGACGCTACCAAAATAACCGTAAAAAAATAACCGATTTAAACGAAAGGTTGCGATAAAAAGACGCAACCGTTCAGATGTGCAAATGGTATTTATTAGATTGCTATTATATATAGATTAGGGCATTTAGGTATTTCTATCTGCAGTTGCTTGGAAAAATATTCGTCAATCTGTTGCTTTTCTTTTGTCAACGTCGATCTATTGCTTATTGCATACAGTATCAAATATAAAAATGACATGAGAATTATTAAAAAACTATTGCAACTTGCTCTTTCTTCATTGGCCATAAGGGTTATATTGGATCTATAGGGAATCGCCAACAAGGCATATCCTTTCGTTTAATTATTCCACGCAATCATTCAACTAAAAAATGAATTATATACGTGGCCATTAGAGCATATGCAACGCAACATCTTTGAAGATTGATCTTAGATTAAAAATAATATTATAATATTCTAAGAGCTTAGTTAAGATCTTTTGTAGAGTTAATAGATTAAGGGTAGAACACCAGATGGGTGAGGCGAAATCAATCGGAGAAGTCGGATGTGGCCTCGAGATCGTCGGAGATCTTTGTCGCCCTAGAGATGGTGTATCGGCAAAAAGAAGAGGAAAATAAAAGGAATAACGAGAAGGGATAGCAGAGAACGAAGCAAAGATCGATTAGGCTCCGATTTTGCCGGAAATCGGTGCGAAATCGGCCAAGTATCGACGACGGCAACAATCGCCGCGAGAGAGGCTGGAGAGAAACAAAACCCTAGAGTTGAAACGATTTTGCCCCAAATGAAAAAAATATTTTCGATATCAAAATTCTTACCCAATCCGCGCATGCCACGTCACAGCGAGAGCGGGCCAAGAACTGATCTTAGCCTTCAAAACCCAAATTCTATTCATTTTTTAATCTAAGAACATGTCCAAAGATGCAGCGATAAATATGGTCTTATATGTATCCTATACTTTTTTATATAAAAACTAAATAGTTTTAATTTTTCTTCGTTAGCATTAGTTTTTTTTTTTTTTTTTTGTCAACCACACATTCATTAAAAAGTAACTCCATGATTGGTTGTCCAACTAGGAGGAGAAGAGTTTAAGTTTTTGAGTATAATAACTTTATAGTTCACAAAATTAAGAGTGCTATTTAACTATTTTTTCCTAACACTTTGAAATTGAGTTTATTTACGGTTATTTTTTTAAAATTGTAATAATATGTGTAACATTGGAAAGACAAAAAAAATCAGTACCTCTGTCATTCGAATTTCAAATTTTTTAAAAAAGAATTATAAATCCGTCGTATATGAAATTATGGTTTCTAAATAATGATTGTATCGAATCAATAATTGACTAGTGTTACAGCACCACATTGGAGCATTGGCAACAGAAAACACACAAATTTTTTAGCACAATTAACACATACAATTATTAGTGATTTGACTTGGTCGTATTAGCAAGTTTCACCTAATTTATTATACCTTACAAAGACATACTTGACAATTTCAAAATTGTAAAAACCCTAATTTAGATGCATAATGTTTGCTAAAATCGAATTCAACCTTAAGATTTTAGCAAATTTTTTGATATATTAGCAAAATTAATGCCGTGATTAACTAAAGAAATGGTGTGCCGTGCGTAATTAAACAATAAATATTTGGTTGGAAAATGGCGACATAGACAACGTGGCGAATTCTGATTAGCTAAGATTAGTCAAATGAAACCAAACCGAAACGGCTGAAGTAAATAATTCGCATATTTTTTTTAATTTTCGTGTTTGGAGAAGAGGTCGGTTTCTTCGCCAGCTGTCTAATTCCGAGATAGACGGTGAGGATTAAAAGTTGTGAGAAAATAAATTATCTGACGTGGCTTTTACTATTCTTCTTCCCTTTATAAAACACCAATCATTGCTTCTCCTTCGCCTGCACAACTGATCTTCTCTCTCCTCTGCTCTCATTCTCGCTTCTTCATATATTTTTTCTTTCTTCTGAAACGAGAGATTCGAGTGATTTTTATGAACTAGTACTAGTGTTTTTTTCCGTGAAGTAAAAGATAAAGGGTAACTTTTTCAATTATATTTCAAGAAAATCCAAAGAAAAAAGAATTTTATATACTCTGTTTTGCAATGGTTTTGTTTTGTGAAATTTTTCTCGGAGAAGAAAGTAATTTAGAAGATGGAGAGTGGCAAAACGAAAGATAAAAAAAAAATTAGTATTCCAATTTCTTTATAAAAAAAAAAGTTTTTCTCTTTTTAAAAACCCTTCCTCTGTTTCAGAAACAGAGACAAAACAAGAAGATAATAGATCACAAGCTAATAAGCGTTCTCTTCTCCTTATACTGGTAAAATTTCTCTTCTTGATTTCTTTATAGTTCTTTTATGTCGAAGTTGGTATCGGATTGTTGATCAAATTCTTTCAACAGGGTTTTAAATCAAGAAACCATGTCTGCAAGTGTACTAAGTGATCCAACAATGCTAATTTCAACACCGGAGGTAATAATCGTCTCTCCGACGCCGGCAACACAAATCTCCGGTGATGAGCCAGATTCGGTGACGTGTGACTGTTGCGGATTAACCGAGGAGTGTACACAATCGTACATAGAGATGATCAGAGAGCGTTACATGGGGAAATGGATCTGTGGACTTTGTTCTGAAGCTGTGAAGTATGAAGTCATAAGAACTAAACGATTGCTAACAACAGAGGAAGCCATGGCCAGACACATGAACATGTGTAATAAGTTCAAATCCTCAAGCCCTCCACCGAATCCGACCGGACATTTGATCTCTGCGATGCGACAGATCTTGAGAAGAAGCTTAGATTCACCAAGAATGCTTAGATCTATGCCTAATAGTCCTTCTAAAGACGACCAAGATTGTGTTTCTAATGTTTTGTCTAGGTCCGATAGCTGTTTCGCTAGTTTGACTTAAAAGCTCATAAACCGTCGGTTTAGGACCCACCTGGATTAAATCCGGTTTTCAGATTTGAAAATTTCGTCGGTAAACCAAAAATTGGTCTCTGTATGTGTTTTTGCCGGATTTGTACTTGTGGAAAATTTTGGGCTAAAAGAATAATTTGGTGCTCTGTTTCTTTCTTTTATTCTTTCTCCAATTGCTAATAACTTTATAAGGGTTCGGAATTGTGTCGCTGTGAGCTGCTTAGTTAAACAAGAACAAAATACAGAGAGATATGTTTATACTATTATTCGATTATAATTAGATGATTAAAAAGGAGATTCTTTAGAGATTTATCATATTGAAAAGACATGTATGAACAAAAACCATCGAAGGTAGGGCCATGCTTATCTCTGTGAATGATGATTCTCTATCACAAAATAGAAATGAAAAAGGTGCTTCTTTAAGCCATTAGACATCACATTAATTTAAATTTATTTCTTACTAGTAGCTTTTAGTTATTTTTAATACTATTCAAAAAGGTAATTTTAAATCAAATGACTATAATGTAACGCATGAATCAGTAAGTAACATGCACAAACGTTTTGAAATATGTTTTCTCCGTTAAAAACAAAAGATTAGATGGGTTGGTTGTCCAATATTCACTAACTCTCTATTTCTGATAAAAACAAAAATTAGGAATCATATTTGAGCATAATTGTAACGTGTACTCGCAAATTGGCTATATTCGGCTTTTTCAAATAAAAGATTCATTCGACTACTTAACCAATAAATTTCCCTTCAACTTGCAATGTATCTCCTTAGAATATAATCAAAATGGAATAAAAGGAGAAATTTGTAATATAAGAAGCTGGAAGTGTTCAGTTTAAGGGATCACATGCGAGATATAAATATACGACATACATGACACAAGTTTCTATTTATGTGTATTGAAAGTCTCAAGTTAACAATGAATTTAGCCACAAAGGAAATTTAACTTGAAGTTTCATTTTCTATGTTTCTTGGTTAGAAACATCAATATGCATATGTTGCGTATCGAGCATATATGCCAGGGGTCTGCCTTTACCACTCTTTTGCCTATTTTCAAATCGAGTCGATGTTTTGTTCTACTAGTGTTTTCTTTGGAGTTGTTGCTTCGGGTTGGGTTTTTTTGCTTTACTGCGTTTTGTTATAGTTTTTGGAACTTAACACATACTTTTCACTTATCATAATTAGTTGTCAGTACGTATAATCTGGTTAGTATGTGTGTTTGATGTAAATCGAAACATATATCCTTCAAGTGACTAGCCGAATTAAGAAAGGAGGAGATTGAAAGAACTTGAATTGATGGTTCATGGTTACAACAGTTGGATCATTGATTAGCACAACAGCAGGAGAAATGCGACATGATCTGAAGTTCGTGATGTACTAGGAGCTAGTACCTAGGATTAAGTGTTATATGCACATATGTATAAAAGAAGTGATTCGGTCTAGGTATGTCGAATGTTAGAAAAATGAGCACATAGGTTAATCTGATAGAGTTTGTCCCAAAAAAAAAAAAAAAAAAAAAAGAGAGGTTAATTTGATAGAGAGGGCAAAATTTAGGATCAACAATAAAGAAGAGAGGCCAAGGACATTAGGATATGAGCTCAGCAAGCTGTTTCATTGATGCCATCATTGGTTTAAAGGAACAGATATCATATTAAGACTGTTTACAAGGATCATTGGGTTATCAAATTCTTACCTAAATCAAGCCAAACCAAGAATTTGCACGTCATAGACGAAGTTGACAAAAGTCAATTTCCAATATAACTGAATAAAACGGGCTTTTTAATATGAGGCCCATTGTATAATTAGAGGAAATACTAATAGAATCAATCAATCGGACCAATCAAGACGATCGTCTTATATTTAGTTCTTATATTGAAAGTGTTTAATATGAGGCCCATTGTATAATTAGTTCTTATATTTGTACTTTTGTGCATCTCTTCATACGTCGACCAAATAATAATAGATGTGTAGATTTAACAAAAGGACAAGAATATATTACATAATAATTCACTTAAGAAATGTCAAATGCAATCAGTGAATTTTATACAAAATGATGGAACTGGAAGGGGGTTTACAATTTTCCGTATATATGTGCCAACATGCTCATATTTAGTTGTGGTCCTTGTGGATGTTAAATTTTGTCGCAAATATTTAAAAAAATTTCACGACATGTTTCATGCTGATAGTCATAGAAATCTACAATACAGAGTTTTAGTTAAAGATATTTCATATATTCAGAGAATTAGACGTGTATTTATTTATTTTAGGATTTCTTAAATCCTTACATATTCGTGAGTATCAACTTTTTTTTAGTGTAAAGCAAAAAATCGTAAATTAGGAGTTGATTACCGTAAGAATATTTATAACGGCAAAAGGTTTATAGAAGCTTACGATGATATATATTAAAAGAAAGACTAATACTCTGTAATTTTTTTGTTTCCATTTATTACAGAAGTTGGATTTGAGATTCAAATCTTAATAACCGGCCATAGTCCTAGATAAATGTAGCAGAAACAAATCTCTCCCATTAGGAGACAACGTGTGGCTTTTAAGTTCTCATCACCGTCGAGGGTATATTGTCAAATTTGTAATTAGTTACTATTTGTTTTTCGGCTAGCTAGCTCCATTTTTTGGAGCATACTCTTCTTGGACGGTGCCACACTGCCACTTAAAGCATATTTTTTGTTGTCCGCTAACTGTTGTCAGATGTAGTTATACCAAGACGAAAATGATCGGTTTAATAGGGTTGATCCGGTGTAATTTTATCTTTTCCATTCACAAAATTTTCGAAATATTGTGAAGATCATATCAGACAATCTAAAATATTTTGTATTATATATGAAAAAATAAATATTAATTATTCAAGCTTTATATAAGAAACAAAAATACTAATCTTGCGTGGCCCATAAAGACGTCCACGAAAATGTGACGCATGAGTGTCTCACGCTCACAACTTTATATATATTTCACGTACTTGCATTTTTTTGTGTGTTTTAAATTAATTTGAAAGTTCACAACAACACAATTGGAAAAATTGAATACCAATGGTCTTTGCCGTTGAAATTTTTAGGTGTAAGAAGAGTTCAAATGAAAAATTATTCAAACGTGTCTTCATAGAGTATTCAAAAAATCAAAGATAACCGGTGCGTTGTCAAACTAGAGACATCGCACGTATTATATAAATTAAATATTGACAGATACAGCTTTTTTTGTGTGTCAACTTACATTTTTCATATTTTTGTATATGTTTGACTTTGACTCTGTCACTATTTGCGAATTGTAATTCCTTGAAGTCGTATCGACTGAGTAGCATGGCGTTGTTCATGAAGCCGGGGACAAAGCCTTGAGACTCCAATATATATATATATATATATATATAATACGATCATGCCCCCTCTACATCTAACAAAACAATTGGTCAATAGGATTATAGAAATAAAAAATACTACTATTAGATACACAAACAAAAACAAAAATGTCGGAAATAACAATTTCAAATATATTTTTAGCACTACTAGTTCAATGTTGTTTTAGTTATGTCGAATCTTTAGATGACAAAAAATACAAGTTATATGTTGAATCTTTATGTAATTGGATCTAAGTTCTGTTTTAGGTTAAGTTTGATAAAAAACGATTTCATTACGACTTTTCGTACCAAATAATTTTGAAATCGGATGTTCATATACACGAATGCATTCCTACATAGTAAGCGTCTAAGACTATACAACTTAATCTAGTCGTATACTAGTAAAAGTCTAAAAACTTTTACGATTTTCATTAAGTAGTAATAACATAAAGCGACTAATCGGCCTAACCAAAGAGGCGGCGGGTGAGCAACTTCTTGTGCCAAAATGGTGGCTATAACGTCTTAAGCATGAATACTCTTCTTCGTGGGAAACTCTACAAAGAAAAGATGATCCCTTCTTAAAAGTATGAACATTAATTGATTAATTTTATACAGAACATTAAAACTAAAATTTATGAATTAAGTTATGCATAGATATTGCATATATATGTGATTTGTATACTTGATATGGAAGAATTTCTTACAAGAATCAGATACCGTGATAAGTTAAAATAAGAGGAAAGTACTAATCAAGGAGAAAAAGAGAGGAAAAACGAGATTTATATGAAAACGAACTGAAAGGTTTTTGGACTTTTGAAACGTCATCTTGCATGCATGCATGTATATCATCTTAATTAGTTTATTTATGATTTATGACGAATCTTGCTTGCATGTATATCATCTTGCATACATCACGAATATAACTTTTGGTTCTGCTTAGTGCTTGCATTATATAACATCTCGAGACATTTTTATTGTTTTAAAATTTTCAGGGATAATATATTAATCAAAAGGTGAGATAATTATTGGTTCGGAGAAAATTATGAAATAAAATGAATAAAGAACGAAATTAAAAAAACATTAATTATTGTGTATTCTTAACCAAACTGTAAATGTATACTCATGTTTAAATACATTCCGGTATAATTGATCTGATTATCTTATATATATATATATATATATATATATATATATATATATATATATATGAACCCTATTAGCCTTTCTTTGTGATCAAGGACACAATTGATGATATCATAATGTATCAACCCTATTAGCCTTTCTTGATGTCAATTTCGAATGCGTCCAAGCTTTTTCTTATGAAACTGACGAGATTTCACGTGACCTTAGTCCGATATTTGTTAACCTATTTTAAAATACTCAATAGTGTGATTATATACTGTCCGAGACATGATCAACTTTCTTTGACGAGCCTAAGATATAATCACCATTTCCGGAACTTTTAAAATTATTTAAAGTTTTCTCCGTAGATATCAAATGTACTGTTTTATTAAACTATCACAAACCGATCTTCAAAATCCGATGTTCGAATTATTAATTTACTTCACTTGTGGTGTTTTTTTATTTATTATAAAGTAATAAAAGATCCAATGTCAACTTTATTTGACGATCACGGGATATAATCACCATATTCGGAAAGATTAGGGGTAAAATTGTCATTCAACAGTTCTAAAAGAATCCGAGTCATTAACACTTTCTCGTTTGTTTCCTTCACGTTTTTAGACGCGTTCGTGTCTGACTCGGATTCTCGGAACTCAGTTTGACTCAAATGTTAGATTTTTTTGTTGGTAAAAGACCTTTCTTAACTTTTGTTTAAACTTTTGTAATTTTTATTTATTTGGTAAAAACTCTTCTAAAGCAAAATATCTGGAGATGCAAGTATTTCAAAGGTATTTCTTTTGTTTTAAGTAAAAGTGTTGAAAGTTACCTTACGTTGAACATTAAAATGTCCGTATTATTCAGAAAATCTAACATCAAGATTTTGAAAAATTCGCGTTTTAATTTTTGTTACTAAAGGAATTAAAATAAGATTGACGAAAGAAAAACAAGTAACTACGAATATTCCAATTAAAAAAACGTGTGGACGGCGAAAATACTCTCTTTCCTTTGTTGCTCTCTGCTCTTAAGGCATATATATAAATAGCTGTCACCTGCCGATTATTTGTAATCAGAACGCAACCAAATAAAGAAAGCTCTCAAACTCATTCTTGAAGCTTTAACTTTTTATCTACCATCTCATCAACAAAACCCTCATATTTTGATTAACTAATTCTTTTTTTAAATGGCTTTGGCTAATGAGATAATGGGTTCTCGTCTGATCTTTGAGAGATCATCATCACTTGCGTCTCCGTTTCAATCGCGTTTTTCCATCAAGAAGAGGACACAGAGAACGCAGTTCTCCATCAACCCTTTTGATCCGAAACCTATGAGAGCTGTTAACTCCAGCGGCGTTGTAGCAGCCATCAGCGAGGATTTGGTTAAAACGCTGCGTATTAGCACTGTCGGTAGAAAACAAGAGAAGGAGGAAGAGGAGGAGAAGTCGGTGAAGTTTAAGGTGAGAGCGGTTGCGACGGTGAGGAACAAGAACAAAGAAGATTTTAAAGATACTCTGGTTAAGCATTTGGATGCTTTTACTGATCAAATCGGTAGAAACGTCGTCTTGGAGCTTATTAGTACCCAAGTTGATCCAAGTAAGTCATTTAACCAAAACACAAAAAATTTCTTCGTGGGTAATTTTTAAGTCGTGTAATTTAACATGGGTTTTGGTCAAAGTTTGATTTTTATTTATTGGACTAATTTACCCCATAAAAATGTCAAACTTTGTAACAGAAACGAATGAGCCAAAGAAGAGTACAGCGGCGGTATTGAAAGACTGGTCAAAGAAATCGAAATTAAAGGCGGAAAGAGTTCATTACACGGCGGAGTTCACGGTGGATTCCGCCTTTGGTTCGCCGGGAGCCATCATGGTGACCAACAAACACCAAAAAGAGTTCTTCCTTGAGAGCATCACCATTGAGGGTTTCGCATGTGGCCCTGTTCACTTCCCCTGCAACTCTTGGGTCCAATCCCAAAAAGACCATCCATCCAAACGAATTTTCTTCACTAATCAGGTAATAAATTCAGTCTTTGATCAAAACCATCTACAAATCCCATTAAATGTGAATTCATAAATATCATATAGTTATATCATGGTGGGTCCAAATGTCTAAATCTTGTCTTAATTAACAAACTTGACGTCCAACTATATATTTGGATTGAAAAATTAAATGTCCTTACAAAATTGCGCAGCCTTACTTGCCGAGCGAGACACCGTCCGGTCTAAAAACATTAAGGGAGAAAGAATTGGAGAATCTAAGAGGAAATGGGAAAGGAGAAAGAAAGTTATCAGACAGAATCTACGATTTTGATGTCTACAACGACATAGGAAATCCGGATATATCACGGGAACTAGCCCGTCCCACATTTGGCGGTCCTAAATTTCCTTACCCTAGACGCTGTCGAACCGGCCGGCCTTCCACAGACACCGATATGATGTCTGAGAGGCGAGTGGAGAAACCATTACCGATGTATGTGCCAAAAGATGAGCAGTTCGAGGAGTCTAAGCAGAACACTTTTGCTGCATGTAGGCTTAAGGCGGTTTTACATAACCTTATACCTTCACTAAAAGCTAGCATTTTGGCTGAGGACTTCGCTAACTTCGGTGAGATCGATAGTCTTTACAAAGAAGGCTTGCTTCTCAAGTTAGGGTTTCAAGATGATATGTTCAAGAAGTTCCCTTTGCCTAAGATCGTCACTACCCTCCAAAAATCAAGCGAAGGCTTGCTTAGATACGACACTCCAAAAATAGTATCAAGTAAGCACAATAATTACTCCTCACAGCTATTATATCTTTTAATTAATTCGTTTATCTTTATGATATTTCGAGTTTCATAAGTTTAACACATGTGCTATCACATGCCGTTTACGGACCAATCTTTAAAGAGAATCCTAATGATTCTCATTACCAATTTTGTACCTTTTATTATGGTATGCTATTGTGCATGTCACTTCTGTGTATTTGGAACCAACAGTGAAACTTCCCCTTAGATTCCCTTCAATAAGGAAATATGATTCACGTGCTCAATTCATTTGTTTATTTGTTGTTTACTAAAAGATAAAATTTGCTATAGTGGTGGTAGTTGTAGTAGTTTGCTTTTATATATTTAAAAGCGTGTTTCTGTTTTATATTATCAGCTCTCTAAACTGCTTACTTAGCTCTTGGTATTATATAGTTTTAACTTATCTAATGAATCTTTTTGACTCTAATGTAGAGGATAAATACGCATGGCTTAGAGATGACGAGTTCGCACGCCAAGCCATAGCTGGGATCAACCCGGTCAACATAGAACGAGTCACGTCTTATCCACCGGTCAGCAATCTTGACCCTGAAATCTACGGTCCAGGTCTTCACTCCGCTCTCACCGAAGACCACATCATCGGTAACCTTGACGGCTTATCCGTACAACAAGTAAGAATATACATCATCTCATTAATTCACTTACACGAAGACAAAAAAAAGAGAGTAAAATTATTAATTAATTAATCTTTTGATTGAATTTTCAGGCGTTAGAGACGAACCGTTTGTTTATGGTGGACTACCATGACATATACTTACCGTTTCTAGATCGAATCAACGCGCTTGAAGGACGCAAGGCTTACGCGACTCGAACCATATTGTTCTTGACCCGTCTTGGTACACTCAAGCCTATAGCGATCGAGCTAAGCCTCCCGTCTCAATCAAGCTCAAACCAAAAGTCCAAGCGCGTGGTCACACCTCCAGTAGACGCAACCTCCAACTGGATGTGGCAGCTAGCCAAGGCCCATGTTGGGTCCAATGACGCTGGTGTCCACCAGCTTGTGAATCATTGGTTACGCACCCATGCGTGCTTGGAACCGTTTATATTAGCTGCTCATAGACAATTAAGCGCAATGCATCCGATATTCAAATTATTAGACCCTCACATGAGGTACACTTTGGAGATCAATGCCGTGGCACGACAGACTTTGATTAGTGCCGACGGTGTGATTGAGTCATGCTTCACAGCTGGTCAATACGGTTTAGAGATTAGTTCTGCTGCGTATAAGAACAAATGGCGGTTCGATATGGAAGGTCTCCCTGCTGATCTCATCCGAAGGTAATGTCTCTATACATTTTTAAATTTTAAAACTTAGTTTTAAACTAATCTGATACCGTAATTAAGTGTTAGAAAATTTTATGATTTAGAATTACAAGAAAGCTAGCTTCAACACTTTCTAATGGCGTCAATCATACTCATGTGATAATATAGTGGGCATAGCAATAGATTATTGTAGGGACTAGATATATAGATATTTTTTTGTCTGGTTAAATTCGGTTTCTTTTTCATATAATAACTATTGAATAGAAGAATCTAACTATATATATATTTTTTAATTTCCAGAGGAATGGCTGTTCCAGACCCAACACAACCACATGGGCTTAAATTACTTGTCGAAGACTACCCATACGCCAACGACGGTCTCTTATTATGGTCCGCGATCCAAACCTGGGTCCGAACCTACGTGGAACGTTTTTACCCAGACCCGAATCTAATCCAAACCGACATCGAACTCCAAGCCTGGTACTCCGAGTCAATCAACGTGGGTCACGCCGATCACCGCGACGCCGAGTGGTGGCCGAAGCTTTCCACCGTCGATGATCTCGTCTCCGTCATCACCACCATCATCTGGCTCGCCTCCGCACAACACGCCGCACTCAACTTCGGACAATATCCTTACGGTGGCTACGTCCCAAACCGGCCACCGTTGATGCGGCGGTTAATTCCCGACGAGTTAGATCCCGAGTTCGCGAGTTTTATCGAAGATCCTCAAAAGTATTTTTTCTCGTCGATACCGAGTTTATTGCAAACGACGAAATTTATGGCGGTGGTTGATACATTGTCAACACATTCACCGGATGAGGAGTATATCGGAGAGAGACAACTACCGTCGATATGGACCGGAGATGCTGAGATCGTAGATGCGTTTTATGGATTTTCTGCGGAAATCGGACGGATAGAGAAGGAGATTGAGAAGAGGAATCATGATCCTAGCCGTAGGAATCGGTGTGGCGCAGGAGTTTTACCGTACGAGTTGATGGCTCCGAGTTCTGAACCAGGTGTTACGTGTAGAGGTGTGCCTAATAGTGTATCCATTTAGAATTATTAAATTTAAGTATAGAGAATTTTATAAGTAAATAAATAGATTTTTGAAGAAAATATTTTTTATAGTTTATTTGCCGATGTTGTAAAATTCTTCGAGGATTTGATTATTTTAATTTTTTTAATGTGTAGACGACATAAATAATTAAAAATCATATTTTCAGTATAAATTAGGAATACGATAAATTACCGGTGTCAAACTGAATTAATCTTATACTATTATTTGGGAAGTACATTTATAAGTTGTAATACTGAGTTTTGTAAGAAATTACAATATATGCCATTATAAATTTCTAATCATAACCATATTTATTTTAATCCGGGTCAATGGGTAGTCAAACCGGATTTTCAAATATTACCTAAATAATAAAAAATCATATTAATTCAATTAATTACAGATTTCTCAAAGATTACCTAAACAATATGATCATATAAAGATTACCTAAACAATAAGTTCATATAAATTCGATAATCAATTAAATCTTCTAACTATGGAACTAATTATGATCACAATATTTGAGAATTTCGTACAAACGAAATATTTGGAATCAATGATCTTCTGTTATTACATACAAAAAATTTATCCGTGCTGTAGCACATGATATGATCTAGTCAGAATTAAATATACCAACTTTTTCATTTAATTACACATATTTAATCAAACTCAATCATATTATATAACAAAATATTATCAACTCATTGAATCCAAACCAAAAACAAATTGAATTAAAATTGAAATAGAACTCAAATCAAAAACCAAAAGAACTATTTATTTCATGATAATATAGTTTCAAGTTAAAAGAAATGATAATAACCCTAGGCTCTATTTATTTCTTCAAATGACATTTTAGCTCCCTCTAATTTTTCAACGACATTGTTCCTATAGCACAATCAAGCAACTCAATAAAAACTACATCTAAATGACTGAATATTTAACTTTGAGAGATAAAAATGTTACCTTGCACCAAGTGAGATATCTTAGATAAATGAGTTGTGGTAGTGCTCCTCCACCACTTCCGCCTGGTGGTGGTAATCCTCCATCATCATCATAAGGATTTACCAACATATCAAAACGCGCCCTAAAGCATATCATTCTATGCCTAAGTAACAAATACAAAATAATCATTATCAAACTACCGAATTGTTAAGAAAGATAATTTATAGAAGTCTTACGTTGAAAACATAGTAACACTAGTACAAAGTTTGAACATACTAACCTCGCCTCCGCACAACACGCCGCACTCAACTTCGGACAATATCCTAGCCGTAGGAGTCGGTCTGTCGCCGGAGTTTTACCGTACGAATTGATGGCTCCGAGCTCTAAACTGGGTGTTACGTGTATAGGCGTGCCTAATAGTATATCTATATAGAATTATTATTTAAGTTTATAGAATTTTTATAAGTAAATAATTTGATTTTTGAAGCAAATTATTTGTATGGTTTATTTGCCGATATTGTGAATCTCTTTGAGGATTTGATTATGTTGAATGTTTTGTGTGTAGACAATATAGAAAAATAAAAAATTATATCTTCAATATAAACTAGCTATAAGATAAATTATCGATTAAGATAAGATATCAATTGGTGTATGAACTAATCAGAATTAATTAAGTATACCTATTTTCATTTAATTACACATATTTAATAAGATTCAATCATATTATATAACAAAATGTTATTTGAATAATTGAAACTAAACCGAATTGAATCCAAAAAGGAAACAAAATTAAAAACTAAATATCATCAACTCATATCAAAAACCAAAGTGAAATATTTAGTTCAAGTTAAAACTTATGAGAAAAATATTAAGGCTCTACGTGTTTATTTCTTCAAATGACATGAATTCTTCAATGATATTAATACCATTAAAACAAAAATCTCGTTACCATTTTATGTAAATATGAAAGAATCCAAATAAGTCTTTTGATTTATGTAAGAGTTAAAACAAGGTACTTGCTTTGGTCACCGAACATTAACACCCCGTACTCAGTATTTTTATGGGAATTTTGTTGAATGTGCCATGTTCTGTAGAAATCTTTTGATTTACGCCACATTCGTTTTATTTTTTTGTTCAAAATGTGCCACATTTCATCTTTCTGGCATGGGTTGAAAGACAAAACTGTCCCTGGTGATGTTTCAGCGGGAGTTTGAAATTGGCAGGTGGGGGATTTGACGTGTTAGAGTTTTGTTTGGAGTGACATTTTAATGCTGCCATGTCACGCAGAGGACAACTGGTTTGTTAAAGGGGAAACGTAAATTTTAATTAGTTTGTGGGTAAAATAATTTTTTTTTAAAAAGTTTTATCTTCAAAGATAATGATATATTTTGAGCAAAGAACTGAAAATCATGTTATTATAATTGTTGTGTTCTTCACCAACCATCCTTTGTACTTGAGCATTTTACTATGTATTGGCTATTATGTTGTCCACTAAGCAATGTTAATGTATTGAGTAAGACCATCTCCAATGGTTTGGATCCATCATGGGATCCAAATAATATTTATAATTATAAATAATGCAAAATCTAAAATTTAGGGGAATATTGCAAAATCTACCACATTCTAACAAGTGGCATTCAAAATCTACCACAATCTCAAAAAGCTTTCAAAATCTATCATATTCCAATAGCACATGTGGAATGCTGGACCAAAATACCTCTGATTGGGACAAAGTCTATGTGAGAGACAGAGACAGTTTAAACTTACCAAAGTCCTAAGAGAAAGGGTTTAGTGAGACGGGTCTATCGGCACAAAAGCACCAAACGTTGTTTTATCATTTTTCCTCATTCAACGGTGATCTTAATATCATTAAAACAAAAATCTCGTTAGCATTTTATGTAAATATGAAAGAATCTAAATGTGTCTTTTAATTTATGTAAGAGATAAAAAAAAAGTACCTGCTTTGGTCACTGCACATAAACAAGCCGTACTTAGTATTCTTATTAGTATCATCATTTGACTTGAAATTCTGAAGTAAACGGACGTGTACTCTTCCATGTCATTGGATGCAAAACCATCAAACCAAATGGTCCTAAACCGGACTTTACTGACAAATCTCCCTGACCACATATCTTTTGTGGGTCGGTCCAACTCTGTTCAATCACAATCACATCGGCTTTTTCCAATTCCTTCACCGTGAACGATACCTCAACATCTGCCTGCTCAATACCAAAAGAAATAAACTAGAAATCACACTTTGCCTGGATCTGGATATATCTGGTGGGCTCTCCAAATCCGGTTGTCGGAGATCTCTATCTCGTCGTCGTGGCTGCTCTCTCACACCTCTGGTACCCTCTCCCGACGAGAACTTCTTTCACCCTCCACCGGTTGTACATCACACCGGTGAGAATATTTTTAGACCTCAGTCTCCTTAATCGGAAGGAAGTCTCATCCGCCAACCTCGCCTCAGCCGGCAGCCGCCGTTGCGCCTCCGATCTAGGTGAGTAGATCCTGCTTTGAGAACTTTCTCGTGGCAGTTGACTTGCGTTCCACGCAATGTCTCAATCTCTTCAATCGGCCAATATTGTAGCAATTGCTTTCCTGATTCATCGAGCCATATTTTCCTCGGAAATGACTATCAAATCAAGATTACAAAGAACACCTTTAATACCGAACCATAGAGTTTGCAAAATTTTGAAAAACCGAATTTTCAAGCCTTACTTAATGTAGGGCAAATTTAAATGTACCTGAAGACCAGACCAACCCTTCTTAATATCATCTTTATCCGGACACAAGATCCTTAATTCGTTTCTTAACATCATCGTGAAACGTTTTCGTAATCTAACCTCGGAGCTGATCCGTCTTGCACAAACCCAAGTCCGGTACGTAAACATCTTTCTCACGATCATAACTCCCAGTCTCCCAATCGTGTAGTAGTAATCATGTAATGTCTCAATCAAACTCACTTTAGAGCACATGCTTAATCCCATTCTCACCAAACGACGGCGTTTCTACACCGTCTGATATCCGACTATCTAAACCGGGAAAAAATCAGGACATTCCCACATTCCTGTTAAGTCTTCGTCGATTGCGTCCAATTGAAGAAATCTCTGCTTTTGTAAAGAATCGCTAATCCTCGACGATCGTCATTCGAGCTTCCGACGATCACTCGCCATTCTCCGTCACGTCCAAGCCACGCGGTGGTCGGATCACGGAACCGGTCCGGGTTAATTCCGTTAACCGCATTAGGTGCCATCAAAGGATTTCGCGGCGGTTTTGACCATTCTCGAACAGGAACGGCGACGTTTTGGACTTGACTTTTGTTGTAGAGGATCACAGGTTTGCCGTATGGTAGAATCTTGACCAACAGCCGTTGATATCTGACGGCTGAGATGGATTAAAAGCTGGAGGTTGTGTAATCTAGTTGACTAAGTCAACTGACGTGGAGTGTCCCCATACGATTCTCACATCCCAAACGGCACCGTATGGATTTTATTGGTTAAAAAGATGGTAGATTCCTTTGTATATCATTGGTCCAAAATAGTATACCAAAAAAAAAACAAAAACAAATGCGTTTTTTCTTTTGTATTTTTGTATCAGGAAGAAAAAACTTATCCTACGTGGCCAAAACTCAGCCGTTTGCTCCACAAAATGGGCGCCACAGATAGCTTTATCCTCATCTCATCTCTGCCGTCCATTATCCAATCGAACGATTTCGGAAGTCTCCAACAGTATCAAACTGAACAAAAACACATTCAAAACAAAGCACAAATTGAACCACAGAGAGAGAGAGAGAGACTCCATTGTTGAAGTGTGTTCTTTGAACTCCTCAAGCTTTTTTCTTTCAAACAACAATGGAGTCAGTTACACTCAAATCCTTCACCGGACTTCGTCAATCTTCAACGGAGCAAACAACTTCGATGATAGTCTCATGTACCGTCAACTGTAAGCCTTGTGGTGGCCCGATTCCTCTCTGGTCTGGTCGGAGAATTCAATTTGCCGTTGGATATCACTGACCGGAGAATGAAGAATATGAAGATGATATTCAAACGGCTTAAGGAGCATGAGTATATTGATATGGTGAGAAGAGAAATTCTTGATGCGTAGATGAGAGAACGAGCTGAGAAGAGTGGAGCTACTGTTCTTAAATGGTCTCTTCCTTAGGATGTATCATCCCGAGAACTGGGACTCGCCGTACACTCTGCATTACACGGAGTATGATGGTAAAACAGGAGCTACGGGAACAAAGAAGACAATGGAGGTTGATGCTTGTCATTGGAGCTGATGGAGCTGACTCCAGGGTTTCTAAATCTATTGATGCGTTTCAGGTCAACTTCCTTTATTCTTGTGTTTAATTTGTTCAAAGGTTGTTGATCAATAGAGCTGTTTTAGGATTTGAAAGATCATATTGTAATGGAGTTTAGTTGGTGAAATTTGGAATTTTGTTCAGGAGAGAATTAGGATTCTTGATGACAAAATGACTTACTATGAGGATTTAGCTTGAGATGTGTATGCTGGGGATGATGTGTGGCCGGATTTCTACGGCTGGGTGTTCCCTTAGTGCGACCATGTAGCCGTTGGAACTGGAACTGTGACTCACAAAGGTGACATCAAGAAATTCCAGCTCGCTACTCGTAACAGAGCCAAAGACAAGATTTTGGGAGGCAAGATCACCCATGTTGAGGCTCATCCGGTTCCTGAACACCCGAGACCATGCAGGCTCTCCCAAAGAGTGGCTCATGTAGGTGTTGCTGCAGGGTATGTGACTAAATTCTCTGGTGAAGGGATCTATTTTGCTGCTAAGAACGGAAGAATGTGTGCTGAAACCACTGTTGAAGGTTCACAGAATGGTAAGTTAAGAAAAACCGCCTTTTTCGGGTTCTTGAGTTTTAAGTTTTTAGTGAATCCTAAAGTCTGTGTGTGTTTTGGCAACAGTTAAGAAGATGATTGATGAAGGGGACTTGAGAAAATACGTACAGGGTGCTTGATTTATTGCAGAAAAGTGTTTTACAGATCGAATCCGGCTAGAGAAGCGTTTGTGGAGAAGCGTATGTTCAGAAGATGACATTTGATAGTTATCTGTACAAGAGGGTTGCACCAGGTAGTCCTTTGGAACATATCAAGTTGGCTGTGAACACCATTGGGAGTTTGGTCAGAGCTAATGTTCCAAGGAGAGAGACTGAGAAGCTTAATATTGAGGTCTACCCTTCTCTTCCTAATCTCTCTTTTTGTTTCTTTGTTAGTATCTACAGTACACTAATGTTGTTGCTCTTCGAGGTGGTATTCAGTATCATATTTTACGTTTTTCTTGTTCATTGAATTAGTCAAAAAGCATCTGGCTTTACAATCCCCAATCTCCCACTTAAAAACAGATTCACAAACCACTACTAAACTCACTTGAGATACTTCACCTTTTGTATGAATTGTAACCAATGTCAAAAAAGAATCAGACAAAACTGAATACATCTAAATTGCGTACAATCCCCAGTTTCCCACTTACAAACAGATTCACAAACTCCTAAACTCACTTGAGAATCCACACAAGAGCCTCGTGTATGAATTGTCACCAATGTCAAAAATATTCAGAGAAAGTTGAGTATCTAAATTGCGTATATCTAAAAATCAGAGCTATATTGAATTGGGTACATTCTAAACTGCAGGGTAGAACCACGCTGCTCTCATCTTCCTTCTTCCGGTTCCATTCTTGAAAGCAACGCAGCCCCTAAACTCTCCTTTCATGATCGTCGCATTTATTTTCATGAAGGCATTTTTAGGCAGTCCTAGGCTGAATCCAGAACCTGAATCCTTCAGATCCAGTCTTTTCACAGCAGTGTTGAATTCTCTGTCTGCAGGAACCCACACCTTCGTCAGATCTACTTTTCCCATATAGTTTCCTTCTGTCAGATAGAGGTTGCGATCCAAGTGAAAAAACCCATCCAAATACTTCGGTTTGAAGTTGGTTTTTATGTTAATCTGCTTCCACCTGTTGATCTCCAACTGCAAGACACACATACACTTTTTTCCAATCTCACAGAGAATGAAAAGTTGCCTTTTCATATCATTTTTCTCATCCGAATAAGAACAGAGGAGAGGAATTGTTGCAGGTGGTAGATTTGGTAGTTTCTGTGAGCGGCCTGTCACTGGATTATAGAACTTGACGATTCTGGTTTCGATTTGGTGTACAAGGACTTTGGAATCTGCAGAACCCACCAGTTGATACCCTTTTAAACAGTTTTGACCTACTCCCTGAAACTTCCTTTTCCCATTCCCTGTATCAGCATATTCATAGACCTTCATTTTCCCGGAACCACCTTTCATGGTTAAGATTGATGGGGTTTTAGGAGTTTGACGTTTAGTACTCTTCCAAGCTTTGCAAACCACCTTTGCATTCATGTTGGTCACCAGATCAACTTTTTCCGATATAAAGTCAAATAGGTGCTCAGGCAAATTGTTCCATTTATGTTGGACCCTAAACAACATAGAACAAAATTTCCCAATCAATCAAATTTCCCCTGTTGATGAAAAACACTTACAATCATGTGATGAAAAACACTTACTCTGTTGCAAGATATAAGCTTTTGTACTGGCCCTTATAATCCAAATCATCTTCCATCGAATTGAAGCTTTCACAGCTATGAGTTTCAGAAGCTTTGACCCTAAACAACAGAGATACTCTCTAATCACATTTCAATTTCACACTCAATATTAACCAATCGTAATCATGTGTTGAAAAAGAAACAAAACCCTTACTGTGTTCCACCACGATTCAACATCTTGTCTTTGCCCAAATCATCTTCCATCGAATTGAAGCTTTCACAGCTATGAGTTTCAGAAGCTTTGACCCTAAACAACAGAGATACTCTCTAATCACATTTCAATTTCACACTCAATATTAACCAATCGTAATCATGTGTTGAAAAAGAAACAAAACCCTTACTGTGTTCCACCACGATTCAACCTCTTGTCTTTGCCCAAATCATCTTCCATCGAATTGAAGCTTTCACAGCTATGAGTTTCAGAAGCTTTGACCCTAAACAACAGAGATACTCTCTAATCACATTTCAATTTCACACTCAATATTAACCAATCGTAATCATGTGTTGAAAAAGAAACAAAACCCTTACTGTGTTCCACCACGATTCAACATCTTGGCTTCGCCCCTATCATCCAAATCATCTTCCATCGAATTGAAGCTTTCACAGATATGGGTTTCAGAAGTTTTGACCCTAAACAACAGAGATTCTCTAATCATACTTCAATTTCACACTCAAATTAACCAATCGTAATCATGTGATGAAAAAAAAACAAAAGACTTACTTTTTTCCGCCAAAATTCAACCTTTTGGCTTCGCCCCTATCAAACGAATCTTCCATCGAATTGAAGCTTTCACAGCTATGAGTTTCAGAAGTTTTGACCCTAAACAACAGAGATTCTCTAATCATACTTCAATTTCACACTCAAATTAACCAATCGTAATCATGTTATGAAAAAAAAACAAAAGACTTACTTTTTTCCACCAAGATTCACTTGTTTCTCTCTGACCCTTTCACAAGAATCTTCCATCTTTCGTGCAAGGAAAGTAGCCAGAAGCAAGAAGGAGTAGTGGCGTGGTGGTATATCTTCTAGTCAGTGAAAAAACTGAGAATGAAAGGAAGACAGAGGAAGACGAAAAAGACGAATTTTGAAGAATTCTAGGGTTTTATGAAACTTGCAGAAATTGAGAATGGAGGAGAAGACGGAGGAAGACGAAGTAGACGAAATTTGAAGAATGGGAGAGAGTGGGAAAATTTTGTTATAAAGGCTCTGTTATTTATTTTTTTTATTATTATTTTTTTAATAACACTTTCTCTCAAGTGTAAACACATGTGGTGGGACCCAGTGTAAAATATTTATTGAGTTGATACGAGAGTAACAAAAAGATTTGGAGAGTGTGGTTAATCCCTTTTATTAAATGCTTTTTCTTTTCTTTTTTCATTAATGGTTCTGTTAATTTTATTTTCATTTTTTTAGTAACACTTTCTTTCATTATATTCGAGTGTAAAACGTTAGAAATTACAGAGGGAAACATAGCTCTTTGTTTATTTATTTTATCTTCCATTAATATATTTTATTTTTCTAACAATTCAAAGAAGCTTTTTTTCATACATTCGATTATTTTCTTCCAAGATTCTATTTGCAAATCTTTTTTTATGACTAGATCTAAAAAGATCTTGTTTTTTTTTTAATAGGCTCGCGGAGGTAACGGTCGTATAGCATCAAACCAAATCAAAACCAAAGTGATCAAGACAAACAGTGTTGTTATTTGGCATCAGCTCGTATAAAACCGAAAAAATCGGACCAAAACCAAACCAAAAATCGGTTTAAATTGTCTGAAAAGAAAACGAAAGAAACCGAAACCTTCTATTTCACTCGGAGGCTCTGACGTTTATTGAAGTTTCATCGTTTAAGGTTGGACCATTATCAATGGCGAGGATCATCAGAAGACCGTTAAATTTGACGGCAGCCGCCCGGTTCCGACTTGCTCCGTTATCTCCATTCTCCGGCAACTCTGGTTCTATTAACTCGGATACGACTCGTTGCTCTGAGTTAATTCGGGTACCGAGTTTAGTGGAGGGATGCGATTACAAGCACTGGCTGGTTCTCATGAAGCCACCCAATGGATACCCAACTCGAAATCACATTGTCCAAAGCTTCTTCGAAACCCTAGCCATGGCTCTAGGGAGGTAACACCGATCACTCTCGAAATTTAGTACTATTGCAATCAAAACGTTTCCATTTTTTTAATTTAAAAATCGAAGCTTTTTGGTATATGATTGAGGTTGCTTTGTTGTTTGCAGTGAAGAAGAAGCTAAGAAATCGATATACTCTGTATCCACAAAGTACTACTATGCATTTGGCTGCAGATTTCAAGAACCTTTGACTTACAAGATTAGATGTATGAACCTAGACACTTTGGAATTTTTGGTTCATTTTTGTTCCTAGCTTTGTGGCCAATGCTGTAACTTTGGCTAGTATTTGATTGCAGCTCTGCCTGATGTTAAATGGGTTTTACCAGATTCTTTTATTGTGGATGGTGACAATAGATATGGAGGTTTGTTTTGCTACTTAAAAGCGAAAAACTTGTTGCAGCCATATACCTCAAGATTTTAAGATTGTGTGCTTATCCTCATATTGTTTGGTTTCTTTGGTGGACAAAAGGAGTTGTAGCTTTTAAATTTAGTACCTGCATATCTGTTTTTTCTTAAACATTCATGGTTTTTTGCAGGAGAGCCGTTTGTCGACGGAGAGGTCGTTCCATATGATGAGAAGTATCATGCGGACTGGCTACGAGATCAAACTGAAGAGGATGCTAAAAACCGAGTAGTCAAAAAGAAGCCTAGGAGAAAAAGAAAGAAGAAGTTGATCTAATTGGAGACATTTGCTATTTGGAAGTCTTCTTGCTTCAGTGTGGCACTCCAGCCCGAAGATTTTCTGGAATGTCTTTTAGTGTTACTAATATGAGCTGTTGTAAAGAATCCTAGATGTAATGGTAGAGGAATAAATTATTCAATCAATCAATCAATCCTAGATATTGAGTAGATTCCACATCATTGTCTAGCTACTGAACTTAGAAGCTAACAGGAATGTGTCTTTTAGTGAAGAGTTCAAGAAGTTTCTTTGCTTATGTTTTAGTGGACGATAGAACTTGAAATTAAGGGATGATGCAAGCCATTGCCAGTAGTAGATAGATCTGTAATGTGTTACTGATCTCATGAAAATTGGATAATCTAGTTTCTTTCTGCTCTTTTGCAGAATCATCACTTTAACGATTCATCACACTTCTTTCTCTGTATTGCTTCAGTTTTCAGTAGTGACATAATCTGTTAGGTATGGAAGTCTCCTTAGAAATAGACTGGTCCGCCAAATGGCTGCTTCTTATTGTTCGTTTGTCAATCAGGCCATATAGAAATTAGAGGAGAGACGAAAGCAATCACAGAAGAGTTTTTCCTACACGTCTTTTTTGAGTGGGGTTTGGTAAGATTGAGATGTCTTTCTTCATGACCAAGGTATGTAATCTAATCTTTGGCTTCATATGAAACTGAAACATGCTTGCGTATGTACCCAGATGCTTAAACATTGACTAGGAACAACAAGCTCACCACTGAAATTCTTAGTTGGTGAACTACTGTCAATTTAGGATTTGATGTGGAATCTTTGCGGTGAAAAAAAATCCAAGTAATACTGTCCCTTTTGAACACGCATACAATTCAGACTTATACATCTGTGGTTACAAAATTGAAAATCGACTGATAAATATCTATGTAGCTCACTTTTTAAGCTACGTTTCTATCACAACATGTGCAGAATTTCATGAAACCTTATGGTATCTTCATTTATCTAACACAGCCTTTTTCGTATTTTCCCTGTATATTAACGTATCCTAATATCTATACCTGTTTAAAAATTAAATAATTTTGCTTTTTGTGCATCAATTTAGTTGGCCGGGGTATATAAACTGGTTCCTAGACTCTTGTATAGAGCCGTGTCTGAATATACTGCACGAGACCTCATTGCCTTGTGTTTACGTCTGCTCCTTCGACCTGCTCGGTGTCGTGGGAAGACTTTTGCCTCCTTCTCTGTTTCATCTTTTACGACTTTGACATCATCCTTACTTTTGAGGTCATGAACTTCATTTGAACCTGCTACTGGAACGATGTACACAAACGGTCCGTTTTGGATGTCTTTGAGGTCTAGAATAGGCTCTAGGGTCTTAACCACAGTGATCATAGTTGGTCGTGACTTAGGGTTGTGGCTCAGGCACTGGTAAGCCAAAGCAGCTGCCTCTCTGATGCCTTCAACTGAGTATTTCCCTTCGAGACTCGGGTCTATGATCCTTTCAAGCTTGTTGGGATCCTTTAACATCGGTCTTGCCCATTCCACTAGGTTCCTCCCTCTCTGTGACCGGTACTTCTCAACCGCCTTTCTAGCTGTTAGCATCTCCAACAGCACCACTCCAAAACTGAAAACGTCGCTCATTGTCGTCAAATGACCTGAAATTCACCAAGAAACATGTAAGCTAAGGATGAAAAGGCTGCGCTTTATGACAAGTAACCTTGTTGTTATGTTTTTCTTAACCTGCTGAGATGTATTCTGGAGCTGCATAGCCTTCTGTTCCCATTACACTTTTGGTAAAGTTTGAGTCTTCTTCCTCTGATCCATCTGTGGCTAAGCCGAAATCTGAAAGCTTAGAGCTGAAGTCCTGAAAGTTTCAGATAATGAGATTTAAGTTATTTGACATGATAACAGATATTATGAAATGCAAAATAGGCACAGAAGCATTCGAATTACCGAGCTCAAGAGGATGTTGGAAGGCTTAAAATCTCTGTATATGACAGGTTTCTCTTGTTTGTGAAGGAACTCAAGGCCTTTTGCAGCACCAAGTAGAATCTTCACTCTTGTTAACCAAGGCATGGCTCCACCATACTCTGCATTTGCACCAAACAGTACTCATATTGTTAGTAATCTGCATCTCTATAACAGTCATTTTTCGATTTTGTATGGTTTTGGTCTTTTAACCAGCTTACTTTGAAATAAATGGTCTTCCAGATTGCCTCGTTCCATGTACTCGTAGACTAGAAGCCTCTCATCATCCTCACAGCAGTATCCGACCAAATTCACCAGATGCGGATGCTTCAACTGACCAAGGATTATAACTTCAGCCTGCAGAATCTCGAAGAAACATTTTTTATTAGTTTTTATGATTCCATTCTGATCTAAGCCAATATATAATTCTTGAAATGTGATTCGTCGGTATGCAGATAGAGAAGAAATCATTACCAGCCACTCTCTATGGCCTTGTCCACCTTCTCGTTTCAATGCCTTAACAGCAACAGGCTGAGCTTTCAAACCAGTCTTGAAGCTATCATCAACAAAACCTTTGAATACTTCCCCGAATCCTCCTTCACCGAGGAAATTATACTTTGAGAAGCCTTGTGTGGTCGTTTTGAGCTCTTCGTAGGTGAAGATGTGAATGTTTATGAGGAAAGAGTTTGAGAAGTCGTTGAGTGAGATGGTTGAATTGCTGAAATCTGACATATAGACTCTGCTTGGAACAGAGGTTTGTCTGGAGAGAGGAAGGAGTTTTTCCTTTGATGGGTTTGTTGTTGTAGTCTTCTTCTGGTTTGTGTTATTGATGCAGCTTATGGGAACACATATATTCTTCCAAGAAAATCTCATTGGTTTCATCTGAAACTGAAAGAATCTCTCTGTGTTTGTTTCTTTCACAAGATTTTGTCTATATTTTTTTTTCTTCTTTTTCTGAATATATAGAGAGATATGAAACTTCTTTAAAAAAGGGTTAGTGTGAAATTGGAGAGAGAGAGAAAGAGAGAGGTGAGAGACTCCAAAAAGTAAGTCTGCAGTCTTATAAAGCCATCCAAGATGGCATTTACCACTAAGCATATAATCAAATGTGTGAATAAAATATGCAAATGAGTAAGATTTTTTTAAAACATTCTTTCATTATTTTTACAATTTCACACTTTATTTTTTTTGACACAACTCTTATCTATGAAGCAATTGCATAAAATAGTTTGCTAAACTACCAACAATAAAATTTCTGTTTCTACTGTTATATACTTTACTTTATTTTTTCTCGAATGTCATTTCAAATAAATGTTTTGGTTAGTTATATGATAATTTCGACCAAATTTCTGAGAAGAAGATAGCCTATAAGATACATATTTGAATTAGACAATTCCAGATGCATATTTGGATCTATTAGAAAAATCTTTGACTATCTCAAGCCATCTCATACTTTGTTTTTGCTTACTGGCTACTATCATACACTTGTAAGTTGTTAATGAATTGGTTTATATATATGTATCATATATTCATTTTCTTCTAGAAGAAATGGTTGCTTCTGCTAAATATATTATGTTACTTCTGTCAACAATAATATTTGATCAGTTGTATTAATTTAACAAACAAAATAATAAAAGAGGTTTGATTATTTTTCTGTCTTTGTGAAGTTGGAATGTGATCCCAATACCTTTGGCCACACCATTGACTTGAGACAACGGTAGCCTTTGTTTTCTTCGTTAGGCTGAGTTGTTAAAAGCAAATACAATATTTAAAAAAAAAATAAACTCAGTATATTTGTATTTTTGTTTTCTACGGTTGTGATTAAAAAATACAGAAAAGTTGTGATTAATGTATTCAAAATTTATAGAATTCTCATCTGATATTGATCTGCCATTTTTGTTTAAATTCTTTTGGAGACTAAGATAATTAAGTTTTTTTTTTTTCATTTTAGTTAAGAATTTCACTAAATTTGTATAACCAATTTAGAATTCCACTAAATATGTTCGTGGCGTGTCATACATAAGTTATGTTGAAAGCGCAAGAAAATTTAGTTCGAAATTTGTTATGTATTTTATGATTTGAATCAATTATAAATCTATTCTACGTGGTAGCCGTATGAGTTGGTCATGCACATAGTTTTTCAATAAATAGTAGTAATTTTGCAAATCATGAGTAATTAGGTTTCTCTATTTTAAGTAGTATTGATCATACTAATTTGTGTTTTTTTGATCTAGCGGTCGTTTCTGTATGCAGTCAGAGGAATACCACAAAACGGAATCAGGAATGTACAAACTCTGTAATGTGCCGAGGACACTCGAGAGAAGAGCAGAAGTGGATGAATTCGTGTATGGAACACTGGAAGGCGAGTAAAGTTTCAATGAAGCAAGCTATATCCGATCTACAAGCTTTCGAGAAATCCAACATCGAGAATCCAGTTTACTTGAGCGAGAAAGACATGACAATTATAAGAAAAGGATCGATGCTGATTGTTCAATGCAGACAAGTTTTTAAATGGAGCTGCGTGTACGACTACTTTCACACAGAGTATGAGATGTCGAAGAGGGAATACCTGCGATTCCTGCAAGCAAACGCGACCTCACTTGTGGAGAGTTACTCAAAGACTCTAAATGAGGAGATAGAAAGAGCCTCGTCAGCTACTTCTAAAAACTTTTGTTGCGTCAAGCATAAGGTAACCATTGAGACGAACAACATTGGGAACTACTTTTATCATTTCATCAAGACTTTACGAGAAGCTAACAAATATTAGATAATTGTGATTAATGTATTCAAAATTTATAAAATTCTCATCTGATATTGATCTGCCATTTTTGTTTAAATTCTTTTGGAGACTAAGATAATTAAGTTTTTTTTTTTTTTTCATTTTAGTTAAGAATTTCACTAAATTTGTATAACCAATTTAGAATTCCACTAAATCTGTTCGTGGCGTGTCATACATAAGTTATGTTGAAAGCGAAAAAAAATTTAGTTCGAAATTTGTTATGTATTTTATGATTTGAATCAATTATAAATATATTCTATGTGGTAGCCGTATGAGATGGTCGTGCACATAGTTTTTCAATAAATAGTAGTAGTTAATACGAAGAGAATGGAGATTTTTGCTTTTCGTTAAGGTCAATTTGTTCATTATCATCAATTTACTTTTCAACATTTTAAATTTTTTTGAGAACGACATGGCAACAAACTTTGTTGCCAAATATTAAAACCTCAATTGAAAAATTCGTTTTTATTTTTGTTTGTGAACCTAGTGTCTCATTTTTCTTCAATCCTATTATTATAGTATCATCATACGACCATAAAAATAGTATCAAGTTAAAGAGCTTAGGAATCTGATTTTAAACATTATAAATAATACTAAAAAATTCCTAATGATGCTATATGGGTATCACCTATAACTATGCTCTGATTTTAAAGCTCTACATTAAAGTTTTTTTTGGTAACAACTCTACATTAAAGCTCTACATTAAAGTTACGTAGCTTTTCATTATTTTTTATTATATATAGTTGGGCAATTGTTAATAGTTTAATGAGAAAGTGATACATCCTAGTGATCAAAGTCGGCTCAAACAAACTCGCCTGTGGTGGTGGGATATTGAGATATTGGGTCTCTCATGGCTAAATTTGCATTTACGTTGAAGTTTCGAGTTTGATTTTATTTCAAACAAAATTGTTGTACATGTGGCCACTTAGACTCTTAGAGATACTTACGAGTTTGATGAAAATTTCTGCCAAAAGACATGCTCATCTCCGGATTAGTGGGATTGTCCCAATAAATAAATAAAAAATGAGATAAAACAAAGATGTGTTAGCACAGTCCAGTGACACAATTAGCACGTGGTGATGTGAAGTAGATAATTCTCCAAATTCCACAAATCTTCTTTTAGTCAGTTAAATCTTTGTATCATATTATCATTTGACTTGGAATATCAAGTTGCGCTAGACTTCATCATTACAGAAATATATTTGAATTTGAATGAGAATAATATGAATGAGATCAATGCATTCAATTCAATCAAATCGGCTTAGTGATGATAGAAACTTTAGAAAAAAAAACGACGGAATGTATGAAAATATTCAAATATACTCAAAGTGTGAAACATATTAGAATTTGAATTAATGTAAAAAAAACTTTTGACTTCTAATTTTCCTTTTCTTACCATACGAAAGAACCAAATGAAGAAAAATTTGTGTACATAAAGATCAAGAACGAAAAGGAGAGAAATGTAATCATGATTTCAGGTGTTTTCAATATATATAAACGAATGTTGGATCGTATATTTGAAAAAAGGAACATACATAAACATAACATATAGTATTATTTTGTAGCAGCCACGGAGTGTGGCATCATCAGAGGTTGCTTTTGACCTTGGTCCATTTTTCATCGATATTTAATATTTTATTAGAGCCAAGATAATCAATCAATCACGTGTATTATGATGTATGTACTTTGCTCAAATATATAAATATTCTATAATCGAAAGAACTAAACTCGTTAAGTCCCTTACAAAAAAACACTCGTTGAGTCCCTTTCTGGTTTACGTATACACACATACAAGTGCCATATTAATCTTCTACGCCTCATAGACTTTTTCAACGTCACTACAAAATAAACCACTTTTTTTTAGGTTTTATAGTTATAAATTTAGGGTTTATTGAGAACTTGGGATTTTATAGGTTAGTGTTTAGATTCTTTTATTAGTTAAGAATCTAGTTTATTTTACTATAAAAATTAGGGTATGTTATTAATTCTCCCTTGTGAGAAAAAACTTAAGTAAATAAATATTCCAAAAGATTATAATAATCGAAAATAAAACTGAAAATTAGATTTTACAAATGGGGTCAAAAACAACTGAGCAGTTAAAATATTTGTAGTAATCTGGTCAAGGTTAAGAGAATTTGGAAGCAGTGCTAGGTGCACAAACTGAAGGGATATAAGAGAGTTCGAAACCAAAAAGAGGATCAAAGAGTTTCTGCTAGATAGCAAAAAAGAACCAAAATAATAGTACATGACCAAATTAATTGTAAATACATCGCATGATTTTTTCACATGTATACGCAATAAATTATTTATTTTGTTGTAAGTAAAGTAATTTCGAAAATATCAACTGCCAAATACATAGACAGTAAAAATAGGTATTATCACACAATGACACAATAACAACAATCCACATCAAAAAGAAGCTTGAAGCTTTGAATAATATAGAAGTATAAAACAATAATCAAATTCTAGCAGAAGCATGCACATAGGCACTATCCTACAATACCATTAATACTCGTTTGTGACAAGATTTACGAATTTGTAAAATAAAATAAAAAATCATGTATTGATATACTATCACACAGGTTTTAATTATTCTAGTCAAAACTAAAAATGAAGTGGGAAACAAGGAAGACTTAAATCGGGGAAAGAAAAAATTCCAAACAAAGAAGGCTTAAAGAAGTCATGATCTAACGAAGAGATAACACCAAATTCTCAAAAGATAAGAATTTAACCCCAAGGGAATTGTCTTGACCTTTAACAAGATAAAAAGCAAGAGAGGGGTCGACAAGAATGAAACATATCAAGGTTGTCTATAGACAAGAGTCCATCGGTGGAGTGACATAGCTCATAGTCTCCAGACTCTCTCCCGCAATTCTCAAGGGTGTTCGTCTTGGCGTCATAGCATATCAATAGTATTTTCGACGTCGACGATAGCTTGAACAAAACTTGGTCTGACCGAATATCTAGCATCTTCACTTTGCCATCAAATTTCTTTGGATGGGCTCCTTTGAGGTTGATCTTATGAATGTTGGCCCAGCCACCTCGTTTATCCTCCATCTTCCAAATCTCCATGATTTGAGACGGGACATCGTATTCTACCATCCATAAGTTTCCGCGGCTTCCGGATAACGTGAAAAGGCTAGACTTTTTGGATCCATGGGAGAAGCAAGGGGGTTTAGGGCTTATAGCTGAAAAAGTCTCGTCTTGTAGAGAGAAAGACACGATCTGAAAATCACTAGTGGTCCAGTAGATATATCCATTCACGTGAACCTGAGAAGAGAGTTGTAAGAGATAGGGACATAGTCTACGCCGCAATCTCCAAGGGGATACTTTAAGACGGCCATCTTCAACAATATCGATATTCAAGACCTCAAACTTAAGTTCATTGACTTTCTTCCAAACTGTGATGAGGCCACTGGCGGGCAACCTTCTTGTACGGTTTTCATCTAAGTCGTGAGGCCACTTGATGACTTTGTACTGCATCGTGGCGTCAACAAATCCAAAGGAGACGAGACACTCGCCAGGTTTATTGAAATTACAGCACCGAGAAAAGGGAGGGTTAGGTAAATTCTTCAACTCCTTGTTCAAGGGGTCACAAAGATGGATCCCACCTTCACAAACGAAGCATAAGAGCTGGTGGTGGGAGCTTAACATTCTGATTGAACTTTTATGTGTTCTATAATCTTCCGTGAACTCGCGGATGGGGAGGAGGCCATTGGCCTTTGGCCTTCTATGTGTACTAAAATCTTCCTTGAACTCGTGGATGACGCAATTGGCCTTGTTGGTCACAGAGAATTTGTATCTTAGTTTATAAAAGTTGCTCAGCTCTTTCCTGAGTGCCCTGAGAGTAAAAAGGGAATCACGTGAACGGCTGTGGTGGAGGCGGAGGAAACAAGGATCAGAGAGGAGAGACCTAAATTGCTTTGAGACTAACCGAAATCGGGCTAGGGATTTGCCTGGAACTCGGGACATGATCTCCATAACAACGTCACTAGGCAGAGAAACAGAGTTCATGTTTGTTTGTTCGACAATCTCTTGATCTAGTTTTGATGCTTAAGCGTGTTCAACAAGCTCTTGATTTTGCCCTATTGGTAACAATCTCAAAACCTATTGTTAACAACATTTTCAATATCAATATAATTCCTAAATAGAGAAGGAAACTGTTTTATCACCAAAAAAAAAAAAAAAGAAGGAAATCTATATTAACTTTTTTGAAATTACAATAATAATAATGAGTAAATTTGGAAAAATACCTTGTTTTTGTTTACACTTTTGGAAATTACCCTATTTTTATTTTTATTTTAAAAATTAATTTTTAAATATGTAAAAATTAATTTTACTAAAACTTAATCACCAAAAAAAACTTTACTAAAACTTAATAATAATTTTCCAAAAATCTATTTTTAATAAAAAAATAAATGTTTTATTTTTACAAAATTGTTATAAAAGTATCCTTCTAAGGATTTGTTATCCTAAATATTTCTTGAAAAATTAATAATGAATATTCTATTATTAAAAAACGAATATTCTACCTCATGAAAAATTACCCGAACTTGCGCCTAGTTTGGTATATGGTTTGAATATATACCTTGCAATTTTTTCCAGAGATATACTTCTTTGAGTTCATATGTTTGGAGTTTTGGAGATTTGTTTGCTTTATATAACATGATAAATATTAAGTTATAAACTTTATAATATTTTTAGATATTATCTGGTTAATTTTAGTATAAAAATCAATAAACCATCTTTCTCTTAAATTAAAATAAAATGTATAATAATAACTAATATTTATTTCGAAGTAGTTTATTTTAATCTCCAAATTTTGATTTTAGTTTTGATTTATTAATAATATAGATTCTAATTTAAATCAGGTTAAAAATGTTAGATTACATATATAAAATGTAGTTTTTATTTCATATAGGAGAAAAGATATTTTTCAAACTAAAACTCATACATAGGGTAGTTTTCAAAATAACCCAATAATAATCTATATTAAGAATTTTGTAATAAGGAAAAACAAGATATATATGGAAATAAAAGAAAACCTAGGCCATGAATGTTTGGGAGATTTTAAGAGGTTTTTTAGATTATAGATTTTAGTGGTTTTTGGATTGTGTAAAAATAAAAATAAAATAAAAACAAATGGAAATTGCAAAAAAAAAAAAAAAAAGATTTCATAGAGAAAATTCTCAAAATCCGATTGAAATGATATTTTGGATTTAATTTGTTAAGATATTAGTAAAAACTCGTAGAGGAAATTCTCAAGATCCCAAACCTAAACGCCTCCATTGTCTTCTTTGTTCCTGTACGTAGCTCCTGGTTTACCATCATACTCCATGCAGAGTGTACGGAGAGTCCCAGTTCTCGGGATGATACATCCTAAGGAAGAGATGTTCCTTTATTGAAGGCAAAAAAGATACACTCTTGACTCTTGAGGTAATAGCGTAATACATGGTCTGCCTCCTCGGCTCCTCCACCATAAATTTCTACTGTCGAGTGATCAATCTGCAAAAAGAAAAAGAAAAAACACTAATCAATTCCGTAGCATATGCTTCAAGTCTATATATATATACTTACTTGATAAATGACACTTTTTTGTAGGAAATATCTTTCATATACTTAAAACTTACCAAAGTCCTAAGAGAAAGGGTTTAGTGAGACGGGTCTATCGCCACAAAAGCACCAAACGTTGTTTTATCATTTTTCCTCATTCAACGGTGATCTTAATATCATTAAAACAAAAACCTCGTTAGCATTTTATGTAAATACTAGATCATCACCCGTACTACAGTACGGGATGAATTTCATTTATTACATAATTTATAAATTTTATGTTTTAGAATAAAGATATGTACGGGTTAACATATCTTTTTAGAAAATCAAATTAATGTATTTATAATTTTTTTTATCTTTTTAATCTATTAAATATTTATGATATTCTTTAATATATTAAATTAAACTATTTTAAAATGTTCCAAATTAAAATCTTTAAATTTTTATTGTATTATGTAAAATTATGAATTTAAAAAAAATGATATGAAATTAAATATAAATATTCAAATAGTTATAAGGATCATAATTCATTTCATCATATAATATATTATATTCAACCCGCCGCCTATTATAAATATTTGTTTCAAAAAATCAAATTAGAGTATTTATACTTCATAAATTTTTGCTCTATTAAGTATTGATGATATATAAAAAAAAGGAATATATTACTCAAATATGAATTTTTGACCCGTTAAATTTGTTCTTTCATACATTGAATAATTTATATTCGTTTTTAAAACTTCAAATCTTGGTATATGCGGAAAAAATTTTACTTTTTTTATTATATAGATGATATAATGATTTATTTATTTAGAGAAATAAAATCATATAAAGAAGAGAGGTGAAGTATAATGATTAATAACAAATTAATATGGTAAGTTAGATATCAAATCTTATATGTTCATTTTGATTGGTCATTCTTTTTAAAGAAATTAATAATAGATTTTCGTTTTTATAATTAAATTAAATTAATTAAATTGCATAAAATAGTATTTGACTTGTTTATCCTTAATGAGTTGAATTAATTTACTCTACAAAATTTTTTTTCTAATGGCATTCTTAAGTAAATTCTTACAAAGGGGAATGTTAATTAAGGGTAATCCATAAATTGTACTCCCCAAATAATAGTATAGGATGAAAGAATCTAAATGTGTCTTTTAATTTATGTAAGAGATAAAAAAAAAAGTACCTGCTTTGGTCACTGCACATAAACAAGCCGTACTTAGTATTCTTATTAGTATCATCATTTGACTTGAAATTCTGAAGTAAACGGACGTGTACTCTTCCATGTCATTGGATGCAAAACCATCAAACCAAATGGTCCTAAACCGGACTTTACTGACAAATCTCCCTGACCACATATCTTTTGTGGGTCGGTCCAACTCTGTTCAATCACAATCACATCGGCTTTTTCCAATTCCTTCACCGTGAACGATACCTCAACATCTGCCTGCTCAATACCAAAAGAAATAAACTAGAAATCACACTTTGCCTGGATCTGGATATATCTGGTGGGCTCTCCAAATCCGGTTGTCGGAGATCTCTATCTCGTCGTCGTGGCTGCTCTCTCACACCTCTGGTACCCTCTCCCGACGAGAACTTCTTTCACCCTCCACCGGTTGTACATCACACCGGTGAGAATATTTTTAGACCTCAGTCTCCTTAATCGGAAGGAAGTCTCATCCGCCAACCTCGCCTCAGCCGGCAGCCGCCGTTGCGCCTCCGATCTAGGTGAGTAGATCCTGCTTTGAGAACTTTCTCGTGGCAGTTGACTTGCGTTCCACGCAATGTCTCAATCTCTTCAATCGGCCAATATTGTAGCAATTGCTTTCCTGATTCATCGAGCCATATTTTCCTCGGAAATGACTATCAAATCAAGATTACAAAGAACACCTTTAATACCGAACCATAGAGTTTGCAAAATTTTGAAAAACCGAATTTTCAAGCCTTACTTAATGTAGGGCAAATTTAAATGTACCTGAAGACCAGACCAACCCTTCTTAATATCATCTTTATCCGGACACAAGATCCTTAATTCGTTTCTTAACATCATCGTGAAACGTTTTCGTAATCTAACCTCGGAGCTGATCCGTCTTGCACAAACCCAAGTCCGGTACGTAAACATCTTTCTCACGATCATAACTCCCAGTCTCCCAATCGTGTAGTAGTAATCATGTAATGTCTCAATCAAACTCACTTTAGAGCACATGCTTAATCCCATTCTCACCAAACGACGGCGTTTCTACACCGTCTGATATCCGACTATCTAAACCGGGAAAAAATCAGGACATTCCCACATTCCTGTTAAGTCTTCGTCGATTGCGTCCAATTGAAGAAATCTCTGCTTTTGTAAAGAATCGCTAATCCTCGACGATCGTCATTCGAGCTTCCGACGATCACTCGCCATTCTCCGTCACGTCCAAGCCACGCGGTGGTCGGATCACGGAACCGGTCCGGGTTAATTCCGTTAACCGCATTAGGTGCCATCAAAGGATTTCGCGGCGGTTTTGACCATTCTCGAACAGGAACGGCGACGTTTTGGACTTGACTTTTGTTGTAGAGGATCACAGGTTTGCCGTATGGTAGAATCTTGACCAACAGCCGTTGATATCTGACGGCTGAGATGGATTAAAAGCTGGAGGTTGTGTAATCTAGTTGACTAAGTCAACTGACGTGGAGTGTCCCCATACGATTCTCACATCCCAAACGGCACCGTATGGATTTTATTGGTTAAAAAGATGGTAGATTCCTTTGTATATCATTGGTCCAAAATAGTATACCAAAAAAAAAACAAAAACAAATGCGTTTTTTCTTTTGTATTTTTGTATCAGGAAGAAAAAACTTATCCTACGTGGCCAAAACTCAGCCGTTTGCTCCACAAAATGGGCGCCACAGATAGCTTTATCCTCATCTCATCTCTGCCGTCCATTATCCAATCGAACGATTTCGGAAGTCTCCAACAGTATCAAACTGAACAAAAACACATTCAAAACAAAGCACAAATTGAACCACAGAGAGAGAGAGAGAGACTCCATTGTTGAAGTGTGTTCTTTGAACTCCTCAAGCTTTTTTCTTTCAAACAACAATGGAGTCAGTTACACTCAAATCCTTCACCGGACTTCGTCAATCTTCAACGGAGCAAACAACTTCGATGATAGTCTCATGTACCGTCAACTGTAAGCCTTGTGGTGGCCCGATTCCTCTCTGGTCTGGTCGGAGAATTCAATTTGCCGTTGGATATCACTGACCGGAGAATGAAGAATATGAAGATGATATTCAAACGGCTTAAGGAGCATGAGTATATTGATATGGTGAGAAGAGAAATTCTTGATGCGTAGATGAGAGAACGAGCTGAGAAGAGTGGAGCTACTGTTCTTAAATGGTCTCTTCCTTAGGATGTATCATCCCGAGAACTGGGACTCGCCGTACACTCTGCATTACACGGAGTATGATGGTAAAACAGGAGCTACGGGAACAAAGAAGACAATGGAGGTTGATGCTTGTCATTGGAGCTGATGGAGCTGACTCCAGGGTTTCTAAATCTATTGATGCGTTTCAGGTCAACTTCCTTTATTCTTGTGTTTAATTTGTTCAAAGGTTGTTGATCAATAGAGCTGTTTTAGGATTTGAAAGATCATATTGTAATGGAGTTTAGTTGGTGAAATTTGGAATTTTGTTCAGGAGAGAATTAGGATTCTTGATGACAAAATGACTTACTATGAGGATTTAGCTTGAGATGTGTATGCTGGGGATGATGTGTGGCCGGATTTCTACGGCTGGGTGTTCCCTTAGTGCGACCATGTAGCCGTTGGAACTGGAACTGTGACTCACAAAGGTGACATCAAGAAATTCCAGCTCGCTACTCGTAACAGAGCCAAAGACAAGATTTTGGGAGGCAAGATCACCCATGTTGAGGCTCATCCGGTTCCTGAACACCCGAGACCATGCAGGCTCTCCCAAAGAGTGGCTCATGTAGGTGTTGCTGCAGGGTATGTGACTAAATTCTCTGGTGAAGGGATCTATTTTGCTGCTAAGAACGGAAGAATGTGTGCTGAAACCACTGTTGAAGGTTCACAGAATGGTAAGTTAAGAAAAACCGCCTTTTTCGGGTTCTTGAGTTTTAAGTTTTTAGTGAATCCTAAAGTCTGTGTGTGTTTTGGCAACAGTTAAGAAGATGATTGATGAAGGGGACTTGAGAAAATACGTACAGGGTGCTTGATTTATTGCAGAAAAGTGTTTTACAGATCGAATCCGGCTAGAGAAGCGTTTGTGGAGAAGCGTATGTTCAGAAGATGACATTTGATAGTTATCTGTACAAGAGGGTTGCACCAGGTAGTCCTTTGGAACATATCAAGTTGGCTGTGAACACCATTGGGAGTTTGGTCAGAGCTAATGTTCCAAGGAGAGAGACTGAGAAGCTTAATATTGAGGTCTACCCTTCTCTTCCTAATCTCTCTTTTTGTTTCTTTGTTAGTATCTACAGTACACTAATGTTGTTGCTCTTCGAGGTGGTATTCAGTATCATATTTTACGTTTTTCTTGTTCATTGAATTAGTCAAAAAGCATCTGGCTTTACAATCCCCAATCTCCCACTTAAAAACAGATTCACAAACCACTACTAAACTCACTTGAGATACTTCACCTTTTGTATGAATTGTAACCAATGTCAAAAAAGAATCAGACAAAACTGAATACATCTAAATTGCGTACAATCCCCAGTTTCCCACTTACAAACAGATTCACAAACTCCTAAACTCACTTGAGAATCCACACAAGAGCCTCGTGTATGAATTGTCACCAATGTCAAAAATATTCAGAGAAAGTTGAGTATCTAAATTGCGTATATCTAAAAATCAGAGCTATATTGAATTGGGTACATTCTAAACTGCAGGGTAGAACCACGCTGCTCTCATCTTCCTTCTTCCGGTTCCATTCTTGAAAGCAACGCAGCCCCTAAACTCTCCTTTCATGATCGTCGCATTTATTTTCATGAAGGCATTTTTAGGCAGTCCTAGGCTGAATCCAGAACCTGAATCCTTCAGATCCAGTCTTTTCACAGCAGTGTTGAATTCTCTGTCTGCAGGAACCCACACCTTCGTCAGATCTACTTTTCCCATATAGTTTCCTTCTGTCAGATAGAGGTTGCGATCCAAGTGAAAAAACCCATCCAAATACTTCGGTTTGAAGTTGGTTTTTATGTTAATCTGCTTCCACCTGTTGATCTCCAACTGCAAGACACACATACACTTTTTTCCAATCTCACAGAGAATGAAAAGTTGCCTTTTCATATCATTTTTCTCATCCGAATAAGAACAGAGGAGAGGAATTGTTGCAGGTGGTAGATTTGGTAGTTTCTGTGAGCGGCCTGTCACTGGATTATAGAACTTGACGATTCTGGTTTCGATTTGGTGTACAAGGACTTTGGAATCTGCAGAACCCACCAGTTGATACCCTTTTAAACAGTTTTGACCTACTCCCTGAAACTTCCTTTTCCCATTCCCTGTATCAGCATATTCATAGACCTTCATTTTCCCGGAACCACCTTTCATGGTTAAGATTGATGGGGTTTTAGGAGTTTGACGTTTAGTACTCTTCCAAGCTTTGCAAACCACCTTTGCATTCATGTTGGTCACCAGATCAACTTTTTCCGATATAAAGTCAAATAGGTGCTCAGGCAAATTGTTCCATTTATGTTGGACCCTAAACAACATAGAACAAAATTTCCCAATCAATCAAATTTCCCCTGTTGATGAAAAACACTTACAATCATGTGATGAAAAACACTTACTCTGTTGCAAGATATAAGCTTTTGTACTGGCCCTTATAATCCAAATCATCTTCCATCGAATTGAAGCTTTCACAGCTATGAGTTTCAGAAGCTTTGACCCTAAACAACAGAGATACTCTCTAATCACATTTCAATTTCACACTCAATATTAACCAATCGTAATCATGTGTTGAAAAAGAAACAAAACCCTTACTGTGTTCCACCACGATTCAACATCTTGTCTTTGCCCAAATCATCTTCCATCGAATTGAAGCTTTCACAGCTATGAGTTTCAGAAGCTTTGACCCTAAACAACAGAGATACTCTCTAATCACATTTCAATTTCACACTCAATATTAACCAATCGTAATCATGTGTTGAAAAAGAAACAAAACCCTTACTGTGTTCCACCACGATTCAACATCTTGGCTTCGCCCCTATCATCCAAATCATCTTCCATCGAATTGAAGCTTTCACAGATATGGGTTTCAGAAGTTTTGACCCTAAACAACAGAGATTCTCTAATCATACTTCAATTTCACACTCAAATTAACCAATCGTAATCATGTGATGAAAAAAAAACAAAAGACTTACTTTTTTCCGCCAAAATTCAACCTTTTGGCTTCGCCCCTATCAAACGAATCTTCCATCGAATTGAAGCTTTCACAGCTATGAGTTTCAGAAGTTTTGACCCTAAACAACAGAGATTCTCTAATCATACTTCAATTTCACACTCAAATTAACCAATCGTAATCATGTTATGAAAAAAAAACAAAAGACTTACTTTTTTCCACCAAGATTCACTTGTTTCTCTCTGACCCTTTCACAAGAATCTTCCATCTTTCGTGCAAGGAAAGTAGCCAGAAGCAAGAAGGAGTAGTGGCGTGGTGGTATATCTTCTAGTCAGTGAAAAAACTGAGAATGAAAGGAAGACAGAGGAAGACGAAAAAGACGAATTTTGAAGAATTCTAGGGTTTTATGAAACTTGCAGAAATTGAGAATGGAGGAGAAGACGGAGGAAGACGAAGTAGACGAAATTTGAAGAATGGGAGAGAGTGGGAAAATTTTGTTATAAAGGCTCTGTTATTTATTTTTTTTATTATTATTTTTTTAATAACACTTTCTCTCAAGTGTAAACACATGTGGTGGGACCCAGTGTAAAATATTTATTGAGTTGATACGAGAGTAACAAAAAGATTTGGAGAGTGTGGTTAATCCCTTTTATTAAATGCTTTTTCTTTTCTTTTTTCATTAATGGTTCTGTTAATTTTATTTTCATTTTTTTAGTAACACTTTCTTTCATTATATTCGAGTGTAAAACGTTAGAAATTACAGAGGGAAACATAGCTCTTTGTTTATTTATTTTATCTTCCATTAATATATTTTATTTTTCTAACAATTCAAAGAAGCTTTTTTTCATACATTCGATTATTTTCTTCCAAGATTCTATTTGCAAATCTTTTTTTATGACTAGATCTAAAAAGATCTTGTTTTTTTTTTAATAGGCTCGCGGAGGTAACGGTCGTATAGCATCAAACCAAATCAAAACCAAAGTGATCAAGACAAACAGTGTTGTTATTTGGCATCAGCTCGTATAAAACCGAAAAAATCGGACCAAAACCAAACCAAAAATCGGTTTAAATTGTCTGAAAAGAAAACGAAAGAAACCGAAACCTTCTATTTCACTCGGAGGCTCTGACGTTTATTGAAGTTTCATCGTTTAAGGTTGGACCATTATCAATGGCGAGGATCATCAGAAGACCGTTAAATTTGACGGCAGCCGCCCGGTTCCGACTTGCTCCGTTATCTCCATTCTCCGGCAACTCTGGTTCTATTAACTCGGATACGACTCGTTGCTCTGAGTTAATTCGGGTACCGAGTTTAGTGGAGGGATGCGATTACAAGCACTGGCTGGTTCTCATGAAGCCACCCAATGGATACCCAACTCGAAATCACATTGTCCAAAGCTTCTTCGAAACCCTAGCCATGGCTCTAGGGAGGTAACACCGATCACTCTCGAAATTTAGTACTATTGCAATCAAAACGTTTCCATTTTTTTAATTTAAAAATCGAAGCTTTTTGGTATATGATTGAGGTTGCTTTGTTGTTTGCAGTGAAGAAGAAGCTAAGAAATCGATATACTCTGTATCCACAAAGTACTACTATGCATTTGGCTGCAGATTTCAAGAACCTTTGACTTACAAGATTAGATGTATGAACCTAGACACTTTGGAATTTTTGGTTCATTTTTGTTCCTAGCTTTGTGGCCAATGCTGTAACTTTGGCTAGTATTTGATTGCAGCTCTGCCTGATGTTAAATGGGTTTTACCAGATTCTTTTATTGTGGATGGTGACAATAGATATGGAGGTTTGTGTGCTTATTCTCATATTTTTGAGTAGATCCTGCTTTGAGAACTTTCTCGTGGCAGTTGACTTGCGTTCCACGCAATGTCTCAATCTCTTCAATCGGCCAATATTGTAGCAATTGCTTTCCTGATTCATCGAGCCATATTTTCCTCGGAAATGACTATCAAATCAAGATTACAAAGAACACCTTTAATACCGAACCATAGAGTTTGCAAAATTTTGAAAAACCGAATTTTCAAGCCTTACTTAATGTAGGGCAAATTTAAATGTACCTGAAGACCAGACCAACCCTTCTTAATATCATCTTTATCCGGACACAAGATCCTTAATTCGTTTCTTAACATCATCGTGAAACGTTTTCGTAATCTAACCTCGGAGCTGATCCGTCTTGCACAAACCCAAGTCCGGTACGTAAACATCTTTCTCACGATCATAACTCCCAGTCTCCCAATCGTGTAGTAGTAATCATGTAATGTCTCAATCAAACTCACTTTAGAGCACATGCTTAATCCCATTCTCACCAAACGACGGCGTTTCTACACCGTCTGATATCCGACTATCTAAACCGGGAAAAAATCAGGACATTCCCACATTCCTGTTAAGTCTTCGTCGATTGCGTCCAATTGAAGAAATCTCTGCTTTTGTAAAGAATCGCTAATCCTCGACGATCGTCATTCGAGCTTCCGACGATCACTCGCCATTCTCCGTCACGTCCAAGCCACGCGGTGGTCGGATCACGGAACCGGTCCGGGTTAATTCCGTTAACCGCATTAGGTGCCATCAAAGGATTTCGCGGCGGTTTTGACCATTCTCGAAGATAAGGATCAGAGATGTTAACAGGAACGGCGACGTTTTGGACTTGACTTTTGTTTTGGTCAATGCCGGTGTAGAGGATCACAGGTTTGCCGTATGGTAGAATCTTGACGGAGCCTGACCAACAGCCTTGATATCTGACGCTGAGATGGATTAAAAGCTGGAGGTTGTGTAATCCAGTTGACTAAGTCAACTGACATGGAGTGTCAGTATCCCCATAATACGATTCTCACATCCCAAACGGCACCGTATGGATTTTATTGGTTAAAAAGATGGTAGATTCCTTTGTATATATATCATTGGTCCAAAATACCAAAAAAAAAAACAAAAACAAATGCGTTTTTTCTTTTGTATTTTTGTATATATTGATTTAATAATATTTTTAGAAATATGAATAAACTGAACTAAGTCATAGGCTTGTAAACAGAGCGAATATCCAGGTTTTTTAGACTATCCGCATCTGTTTTATCCGCAAGTTAATATCTAGATATCTGCGAATATCCGTAAATAAAGTTTTAAAATCTGAAAATCTTTAATATCAGACATACAAAAAACTTTAAAAGCTCATAAAGTAGCAAGAAGTTTATCAAATTAGCAATACATTCAAAAGATTTAGGTGACGCTCTTCTTCTCCTCTTCACTTCTTAAATTCTCCTTGTAATCTGAAAAAAAAGAGAGATTAATCATCTATTAGCCAAAGAACAAAACTGAATTACCTTAATTTAAAATCGGACCAAAACCAAACCAAAAATCGGTTTAAATAGTCTGAAAATAAAACGTAGAGAGAACGCGAAACCTCTACCTCATTCGGAGGCTCTGACGTTTCATCGTTTAAGGTTGGACCATTGTCAATGGCGAGGATCATCAGAAGACCGTTAAACTTGACAGCGGCCGCCCGGTTTCGACTTGCTCCGTTATCTCCATTCTCCGGTAACTCTGGTTCCGTTAACTCGGATACGACTCGTTGGTCTGAGTTAATTCGAGTACCGAGTTTAGTTGAGGGATGCGATTACAAGCACTGGCTGGTTCTCATGAAGCCACCCAATGGATACCCAACTCGAAATCACATTGTCCAAAGCTTCTTCGAAACCCTAGCCATGGCTCTAGGGAGGTAACACCGATCACTCTCGAAATTTAGTACTATTGCAATCAAAACGTTTCCATTTTTTTAATTTAAAAATCGAAGCTCTAGGGATGCGATTACAAGCACTGGCTGGTTCTCATCGTCCAACGCTTTGTCGAAACCCTAGCCATGGCTCTAGGGAGGTAAGTCGAAAAGTCCGGTTTTCAATTTAAAAATCGAAGCTTTTAGGTATATGATTGAGGTTGCTGTGTTGTTTGCAGCGACGAAGAAGCTAAAAAATCGATATACTCTGTATCTACAAAGTACTACTATGCATTTGGCTGCAGGGTTCATGAACCTTTGACTTACAAGATTAGATGTATCAACATAGATACATTTGTTCCTAGTTTTGTGGCAAATGCTGTAACTTTGGCTTGTATTTGATAGCAGCTCTGCCTGATGTTAAATGGGTTTTACCAGATTCGTATATTGTGGATGGTGACAATAGATATGGAGGTTTGTTTTGCTGCTTAAAGCGAAAAACTTGTTGCACCCATATATCTCAAAATTTTAAGATTGTGTGCTTATTCTTATATTGTTGGGTTTCTTTGTGGACAGAAAGAGTTGTAGCTTTTAAATTTAGTACCTGCAGATCTTTTAAATTCATGTTTTTTTTGCAGGAGAGCCGTTTGTTGATGGAGAGGTCGTTCAATATGATGAGAAGTATCATGCGGACTGGCTACGGGATCAAACTGATGATGATGCTAATAACCGAGTAGTCAAGAAGAAGCCTAGGAGGAAAAGAAAGAAGAAGTTGATCTAATTGGAGATATTTGGTATTTAGAAGTCTTCTTGCTTCAGTGTGGCACTCAAGCCTAAAGATTTTCTGGAATCTCTTTTAGTGTTACTAATGAGCTGTTGTAAAGAATCCTAGGTGTAATGGTAGTGGAAAAAATTATTCAATCAATCAATCAATCCTAGATATTGAGTAGATTCCACATCATTGTCTAGCTACTGAACTTAGAAGCTAACAGGAATGTGTCTTTTAGCGAAGATTTCAAAAAGTTTCTTTGCTTATGTTTGAGTGGATGATAGAACTTGAAATTAAGGGATGATGCAAGCCATTGCCAGTAGTAGATAGATCTGTAATGTTTTACTGATCTCATGAAAATTTTTATATCTAGTTTCTTTCTGCTCTTTTGCAGAATCATCACTTTAACGATTCATCACACTTCTTTCTCTGTATTGCTTCAGTTTTCAGTAGTGACATAATCTGTTAGGTATGGAAGTCTCCTTAGAAATAGACTGGTCCGCCAAATGGCTGCTTCTTATTGTTCGTTTGTCAATCAGGCCATATAGAAATTAGAGGAGAGACGAAAGCAATCACAGAAGAGTTTTTCCTACACGTCTTTTTTGAGTGGGGTTTGGTAAGATTGAGATGTCTTTCTTCATGACCAAGGTATGTAATCTAATCTTTGGCTTCATATGAAACTGAAACATGCTTGCGTATGTACCCAGATGCTTAAACATTGACTAGGAATAACAAGCTCACCACTGAAATTCTTAGTTGGTGAACTACAGTCAATTTAGGATTTGATGTGGAATCTTTGTGCTGAAAAAAAATCCAAGTAATACTGTCCCTTTTGAACACGCATACAATTCAGACTTATACATCTGTGGTTACAAAATTGAAAATCGACTGATAAATATCTATGTAGCTCACTTTTTAAGCTACGTTTCTATCACAACATGTGCAGAATTTCATGAAACCTTATGGTATCTTCATTTATCTAACACAGCCTTTTTCGTATTTTCCCTGTATATTAACGTATCCTAATATCTATACCTGTTTAAAAATTAAATAATTTTGCTTTTTGTGCATCAATTTAGTTGGCCGGGGTATATAAACTGGTTCCTAGACTCTTGTATAGAGCAGTGTCTGAATATACTGCACGAGACCTCATTGCCTTGTGTTTACGTCTGCTCCTTCGACCTGCTCGGTGTCGTGGGAAGACTTTTGCCTCCTTCTCTGTTTCATCTTTTACGACTTTGACATCATCCTTACTTTTGAGGTCATGAACTTCATTTGAACCTGCTACTGGAACGATGTACACAAACGGTCCGTTTTGGATGTCTTTGAGGTCTAGAATAGGCTCTAGGGTCTTAACCACAGTGGTCATAGTTGGTCGTGACTTAGGGTTGTGGCTCAGGCACTGGTAAGCCAAAGCAGCTGCCTTTCTGATGCCTTCAACCGAGTATTTTCCTTCGAGACTCGGTTCTATGATCCGTTCAAGCTTGTTGGGATCCTTTAACATGGGTCTTGCCCATTCCACTAGGTTCCTCCCTCTCTGTGCCCGGTACTTCTCCACTGCCTTTCTAGCTGTTAGCATCTCCAAAAGCACCACCCCGAAACTGAACACGTCGCTCATTGTCGTCAATTGACCTGAAATTCACCAAGAAACATGTAAGCTAAGGATGAAAAGGCTGTGCTTTATGACAAGTAGCCTTATTGTTATGTTTATCTTAACCTGCTGAGATGTATTCTGGAGCTGCATAGCCTTCTGTGCCCATTACACTTTTGGTAAAGTTTGAGTCTTCTTCCTCTGATCCATCTGTGGCTAAGCCGAAATCTGAAAGCTTAGAGCTGAAGTCCTGAAAGTTTCAGGTATTGAGATTTAAGTTATTTGACATGATGACATATATTAGGAAATGCAAAATAGGCACAGAAGCATTCGAATTACCGAGCTCAAGAGGATGTTGGAAGGCTTAAAATCTCTGTATATGACAGGTTTCTCTTGTTTGTGAAGGAACTCAAGGCCTTTCGCAGCACCAAGTAGAATCTTCACTCTTGTTAACCAAGGCAAGGCTCCACCATACTCTGCATTTGCACCAAACAGTACTCATATTGTTAGTAATCTGCATCTCTATAACAGTCATTTTTCGATTTTGTATGGTTTTGGTCTTTTAACCAGCTTACTTTGAAATAAATGGTCTTCCAGATTGCCTCGTTCCATGTACTCGTAGACTAGAAGCCTCTCATCATCCTCACAGCAGTATCCGACCAAATTCACCAGATGCAGATGCTTCAACTGACCAAGGATTATAACTTCAGCCTGCAGAATCTCGAAGAAATGTTTTTTATTAGTTTTTATTATTCCATTCTGATATAAGCCATTATATAATTCTTGAAATGTGATTCGTCTATATGCTGATAGAGAAGAAATCATTACCAGCCACTCTCTATGGCCTTGTCCACCTTCTCGTTTCAATGCCTTAACAGCAACAGGCTGAGCTTTCAAACCAGTCTTGAAACTATCATCAACAAAACCTTTGAAGACTTCCCCGAATCCTCCTTCACCGAGGAAATTATACTTTGAGAAGCCTTGTGTGATCGTTTTGAGCTCTTCGTAGGTGAAGATGTGAATGTTTATGAGGAAAGAGTTTGAGAAGTCGTTGAGTGAGATGGTTGAATTGCTGAAATCCGACATATAAACTCTGCTTGGAACAGAGGTTTGTCTGGAGAGAAGAAGAAGTTTTTCCTTTGATGGGTTTGTTGTTGTATTCTTCTTCTGGTTTGTGTTATTGATGCAGCTTATGGGAAGACATATATTCTTCCAAGAAAATCTCATTGGTTTCATCTGAAACTGAAAGAATCTCTCTGTGTTTGTTTCTTTTACAAGTTTTTGTCTATATTTTGATCAATGGTTTATATATTTTTTTCTTTTTTCTGAATATATAGAGATATATGAAACTTCTTTGAAAAAAGGGTTAGTGAGAAATTGGAGAGAGAGAGAAAGAGAGAGGTGAGAGATTGGTGAAGACTCCAAAAAGTAAGTCTGCAGTCTTATAAAGCCATCCAAGATGGCATTTGCCACTAAGCATATAATCAAATGTGTAAATAAAATATGCAAATGAGTAAGATTTTTCTTAAACATTCTTTCATTATTTTTTGCAATTTCACACTTTATTTTTTTGACACATAACTCTTATCTATGAAGCAATTGCATAAAATAGTTTGCTAAACAACCAAAAATAAAATTCTGTTTCTAATGTTATATACTTTACTTTATTTGTTTTCCAATTTCATTTCAAATAAATGTTTTGGTTAGTTATATGATAATTTCGACCAAATTTCTGAGAAGAAGATAGCCTATAAGATGCATATTTGAATTAGAAAATTCCAGATGCATTTTTGGATCTATTAGAATAATCTTTGACTATCTCAAGCCATCTCATACTTTTTATTTTTGCTTACTGGCTACTATCATACACTTGTAAGTTGTTAATGAATTGGTTTATATATATGTATCATATATTCATTTTCTTCTAGAAGAAATGGTTGCTTCTGCTAAATATATTATGTTACTTCTGTCAACAATAATATTTGATCAGTTGTATTAATTTAACTAACAAAATAATAAAAGAGGTTGGATTATTTTTCTGTCTTTGTGAAGTTGGAATTTGATCCCAATACCTTTGGCCACACCATTGACTTGAGACAACGGTAGCCTTTGTTTTCTTCGTTAGGCTGAGTTGTTAAAAGCAAATACAATTTTTTTTAAAAAAACTGAGTCTATTTGTATTTTTGTTTTCCTACGGTTGTGATTAAAAAGTACAGAAAAATTGTGATTAATGTATTCAAAATTTATAGAAATCTCATCTGATATTGATCTGCCAATTTTGTTTAAATTCTTTTGGAGACTAAGATAATTCAAGTTTTTTTTTTTAGTTAAGAATCCCACTAAATTTGTATAACCAATTTAGAATTCCACTAATTCTATTCGTGGCTTGTCATACATAAGTTATGTTGAAAGCGCAAGAAAATTTAGTTCGAAATTTGTTAAGTATTTTATGATTTGAATCAATTATAAATATATTCTACGTGGTAGCCGTATGAGATGGTGGTGCACATAGTTTTTCAATAAATAGTAGTTAATACGAAGAGAATGGAGATTTTTGCTTTTCGTTAAGGTCAATTTGTTCATTATCATCAATTTACTTTTCAACATTTAAAATTTTTTTGAGAGCGACATGGCAACAAACTTGGTTGCGAAATATTTAAACCTCAATTGAAAAATTCGTTTTTCTATTTTTTATTTTTGTTTGTGAACCTAGTGTCTCATTTTTCTTCAATCCTATTATTATAGTATCATCATACGAACATAAAAATAGTATCAAAGAGCTTAGGAATCTGATTTTAAAGCTCTATATTAAAGTTACGTAGCTTTTCATTATTTTTTATTGGGAAAAAAGGAAAATATATAGTTTGGCAATTGTTAATAGTTTAATGAGAAAGTGATACATCCTAGTGATCAAAGTCGGCTCAAACAAACTCGCCTGTGGTGGTGGGATATTGAGGTATTGGGTCTCTCATGGCTAAATTTGCATTTACGTTGAAGTTTCGAGTTTGATGAAAATTTCTGCCAAAAGACATACTCATCTCCGGATTAGTGGGATTGTCCCAATAAATAAATAAAAAAATTGGATCAAACAAAGATGTGTTACAGTGTTAGTACAGTTCAGTGACACAATTAGCACGTGGTGATGTGAAGTAGATAATTCTCCAAATTCCACAAATCTTATTTTAGTCAGTTAAATCTTTGTATCATATTATCATTACATGTACTCAGATATTCATCAACTGCTTCTAGAGAAATAGCTAACTATGTTATTTTTTTGTTGTTGCACAAAATATAATTGAAACTGAACCGAACTGATAACTTGGTTGGTTTAACTAATTTTGACTTGGAATATCAAGTTGCGCTAGACTTCATCATTACAGAAATATATTTGAATTTGAATGAGAATAATATGAATGAGATCAATGCATTCAATTCAATCAAATCGGCTTAGTGATGATAGAAAGTTTTTAAAAAAACGACGGAATGGATGAAAATATTCATATTTCCTCAAAGTGTGAAACATATTAGAATTTGAATTAATGTAAAAAAAAACTTTTGACTTCTAGTTTTACTTTTCTTACCATACGAAAGAACGAAATGAAGAAAATTTTGTGTACATAAAGATCAAGAAACGAAAAAGAGAGAAATGTAATCATGATTTCAGGTGTTTTCAATTATAAAAGAATTTTAGATCCCAATTTTGAGTATATTTGAAAAAAAGGAACATACATAAACATATATTAATTTTGTGGCAGCCGCGGAGTGTGGCATCATCAGAGGTGGCTTTTGACCTTGGTCCATTTCTCATCGATATTTTATTAGAGCCAAGATTTTCAATCAATCACGTGTATTATGATGTACACTGCTCAAATATATAAATACTGTATAATCGATTGAACTAAACTCGTTAAGTCCCTTACAAAAAAACACTCGTTGAGTCCCTTTCTGGTTTACGTATACACACATACAAGTGCCATATTAATCTTCTACGCGTCATAGACTTTTTCGACGTCACTATAAAATAAAAACCACTTCAAGTTTATAAAATGGAAAATTTGGAAAAACAATCTAAATTGGACTGCATTTTCTTAAATTAAAAGAATAGACCACTTTTTTTTAGGTTTTATAGTTATAAATTTAGGGTTTATTGAGAACTTAGGATTTATAGGTTTTGCCCCAAAAAAAAAGGATTAAGAGGTTAGAGTTTAGATTCTTTTATTAGTTAAGAATCTAGTTTATTTGTTTATAAAGATTAGGGTATGTTATCAATTCTCCCTTGTAAGTAAAAACTTCAGTGAAGTAAATAAAAATTCCCAAGGGATATAATAATCGAAAATAAAACTGAAAATTAGATTTTACAAATGGGGTCAAAAACAACTGAATAGTTAAAATATTTGTAGTCATTCTCTCCACATGCGTGTCCTAGATCCTCGAACCAAACAGAATCAAGACTTCAATAATCCAGATAATGATAGTGCACAAAGACAAGAAGAACAAGAAGAAAACATTTGGTTTGGTTTCTTTTTCTATAAGAGGGCTTCGATGTCTATCTCCACGAAAGAGCATGGATCAGGGATGTCAAAGTTGTTCAAAACCTGATGGAAACAAAAGAAAAGCAAAAAACGATTTGAAAAAAGTAATAAAATATTGCAGATATTTGGAGCAAAGAATGAGACTTAAATGAGTGGTACCTGAGGATGCACGATTCCAAAGTTACCAATTTGTTTCCCTCTGACAACGATGCTAGCTTGCCTGCCCGGTAGAAACTCGGGCTCCTTTTGCAGAAGGCAAAAGAGAGATAGATTAGGATCTTGAGTTAATCGATAGTGAAAAATCTTTAGATGCTTGCAGATCGAAAGGAGAGCTTACTTGAGAGAGCTTTATATAGTATCCGTTATTGTCATTGCTTTTTACAAATGGGATTGCCATAACTTCCATAATTCTATCGACGAGCCCATGGATAAGCTGAATCAAGAATTATACAGAGATCAATTGATCAAGTTGCGAAAACTTGAGAGAAAATAAGCTATATAATGAAGCTATTATAGTTGACAACGGAAATCCATACCTCAAATCCAGAAGTAGCACCACAGTGTAGTGCAGCGAGATGGCGACGATTGGATGCACCAACATCTTTGCTCTCGTCCAACATGGCCACATCACTGATTTCATAAATCTTTAACAGAAAGAAAAGAATTTATCAACCCTGCGACACTAAAATCTCAAATCCAGCTAAAAGCACCAGAGATATGGGTTTACCTTAATTGGTTTAGGGTGGTCTTTGTTGGAACCAACAGTCTTCAATATCCCGGGCATCAGAGTCCTCCTCATGGCCTATTACCAAATATAATGAAACAATTTTCGTCAATTAGCAAAGCATTACCATTGGAAAAGTTTACAAAGAGATGAACAAAGGATTTGAAAGGAACCTCAAAATCAGCAGACCGGGGGTTCCCAATTATGACGGCTGAGTTATCATCCACTCTATTTAGCATCGCAAAGTTCTCTTTATGCGAGCATAGTAGCCACGTTACCACCTCGGTGTACACATTCATCGCAATCTAAAATTCAAAATATAAAAATAGATAATTTCCGTGAGAAACAAATGCTTAAAAGTGATTTAACATGAAACACAGACACATATCACTGTGAGCTGATGCAACAGTAAAATGGAGGTGCAAATACCTCTATTCTTAGAAGATCAGTCAGCTCATTCAAAGGCAGTGGTTTTATCGAAGCAGGCTTTCTTGTTGGAATGTTATTGAAACCATAGGCAATGGCAACATCCTGGTGAAATACCAGCAAAGTGATTAGTTATATGGAGAAAGGAGAATCATCATAATGGCATTATGTCACCAACACAGAAGAGTTTTAGTTATGAAAATTTACCTCCATAACATCACAGGGGTGGAGAACGTCGCTCCTGCTAGGGGGTACATGTACTTTGATGGCACACTGGTTATCACTAGATTTTGCTTGCTCAGCATGCAACTGCATTCGGGTCAGCAGACTGGTAACCTGAAAGGTACAAAATCCATTTCACATAACAAATGATTAAAATCATTGCACAGTAGCCTCTAAACTTTAATTGCACTGCAGCCTCTAAAATCGACATTTTCAACAAGGAAAATGAGGTTGGTTCAATCATAACAACTTGACAGCAGTGATGTCTCTATTACCTGTTCCACCTCCAAAGAGACTCCAATTGAGTCTGTAATGTAAGAGAGAGGAACTTCCATATCATAGACAGCTAAATCCGGATAGATGTATGACTTTCCATCGTCGTATGTAACTTCAACAGGCTCAATCTCAAATTTTCTCGCACAATATTCTGAAAAGGTTGTAACCTGGAAAACGTTGAATGGTAGTTAGCTATTGATCAGTTAGCACTGTAGCTTTGATTTATTTACGACATACCATTGTATTCAAAACAATTTTGGCCTTCGTCAAATCAGTTGCTGTACATTCAATGAAGACATTCTTTGTCTGTAAGGTAATTGCTGAATGTGCACCATTGATAATAGGCGGCAATGACAGCACAGTTCTGCAAAAGTGAGCTTTCATTATGTTTCACTACATAGTTCATTTATAATAAGAAAATTATTGTGATTGGTTTATGAAAGTATTTATCATAATTGATAGACATCTGTACTTCTTCAACCCTATAGGTAAAATTAACAGAACTAGGAAGAACAAATACCTCTTACTGTCGTATAAAACAGGGAAGACGGGTGAATTCTCGATTATGTGTAGAAATTTTTTCAGCTTCATATCTGACTGCAAACAAAAGTAATCTTTCACACATCAAGGAAAATTCTTCGGAAAGCCGAAGTAGTTATTCAGCGAGTAAACAATTATTTCATCTCATTATATACATATCCATGTAATCTAAGTTCGGGAATATCTTTCGTTGATTGTTTGCTCCAAAAAAAGTTACGATTTCACAAGAGTAACAAATGTCACAACACAATAACCAGAAAGTAAAAGCTTAAACGTTTACCTTGTAGAATTCAATTAGTTCATCAGCCCTGAAGCTCTTTGTCTGCGACCAAGAAATTGGTATTAGGTACAAACATGAAACAAACTAGATTGTCACTATGAAGAGGTGAGAAATTGTACCAAAAGTTAAAAAGAGAAAATGCTATAACAATTAAAATAAAAAATCATTATCTGTATAACAGAGGACAAAGAATGATTAAGAATTAAACAAAGAAATACAGGCAAATGGAACTACTTTGAACAGAGATACTAGTTGATGAACCCATAAGGATATTGACTTACTTGCTTCAAAGGTACAAAATTTATATCCGTTGGTGGCAAAGCCTGAAAAATTAATTTACCATAGAGTCAATGAGACACGGAAAAAGCCCAACTAAAGAAATTGTCACCATAAAGCAAAGGAAACAGATTGAATGAAAGTTTGAACAGCATTCTAGTTATAAGAATTACACTAAATAAGATCAGATACACGAAATGGACAGGTAGAGGAAGACTGTAGACACGAAAAAGGAATAGGAAAGATGATAACACACAATTACCTCGTATGTGAATGGGCCCTGCAATGTATCAAGGTCATGAGTTCCAATTGCAACCAGGGATCTTCGCCTGAAATATGTACAGTGTAGGTAAGATAAATGAATGGGAGCCAATTTTTTATCCCAAAATGCAAGCCACAAAATGATGGTAGCTGATAACTAAAATGATACAAGAGAGACCAAATGGATCCTATAACTAGCCATGTCATTTACCGGCAAATATTCTGATGTAGCTTATCCTGAAGATCAATGAAGCTGTTGTAACGAGCCTCGTCAAAAGTTACACCTCTTAAAACAGCACATACGACAAATGGGCGAATCTTCGATGTCTACAAAAGAAGAAAAATTTCAATCATGAAGGAACCAAATCAGAAGCTAGTTGCAACAGCAGAGATACACACACACAGACCTCAGGTTTAACATTCATTTTGAGAAGCTTGTCTTTGCTAATGTCAGCAAGGGTATACGTTGGTATCTCCTGTTTTTTGTTGAAAACGCGAAGAGCTTGAGCAAGCCCTTCGAGGCAAAGCAAATCATATCTGCATTGATTAAGATACACAAAATACCAAATCAATACCCTAATTATCTTTCTACTTAAACAATTCCCTAATTAGCAGAAGAACAGTAAACCTGTTGGCAGGAATTTCAATCTTGTAGATGATTTCTTCATCATCATCAGCTTCTTCATCGATGTGCTTCTCTTTCCTGATAATTGCCTTCTCAGTAGTCTGGTGGTCATTGATAAACGATTCAAAAAAAACTTAATCAGGATTTTAAAAAACAATCTAATCACAAAAGCAGAAAAAAAGCAAGTGACTGACCACATCGTCAAGCTCGATACCGAAACGAAAACACAGATCCTCGAATTCTTCCTGAGCTGCATTACAAAGAGGATAGGACGAAATTAGAAAACGATGAGTCAGAGAAAGGAAGGAGAAGAGAAAGAGTTGAAGTTTGAATTACTGTAGGACTGTCCAAGAGCAGCGAACAAACGGTCTCTACCAACACTGATGGTTGGCATATTCTCGGATTTGTAAAATTAGCAGAAAGATAGAGAGATGACTTCTTCTTCTTAGTGTGGGCTGATTTTGGAACTAGGGTTTCTAAGGAACAAAGAAGAAGTAGATGACGACTTTTCACCGTTACAATATAACTCTTGATTTTTTTTTTTTTAGTTTTTTTACCTCTTTTTATTTTTATTTTATTTAGGTCGTCTTTTCTTTCTTTTCTTTTAATTTAATTTGCTTTTTTTTTTTAATTTCTCTGCCACTTCAAACAAAAGAACAATATGTGTTTTTCAAAGCAAATTTGTGTCTCAAATGACCAAAAGTTCAATATTCACAATAAGAAGAGACCTCAATTTCGAATTAATTTAATAAATAATACAATTTCATATCAATTAAATGAATAAAATAGGAAAACAAAATTCAGCCAAAATTGTTTTGTTGTCTCTCTGTCTTTTATGATCTCTCATAGTTTTCTAAGTATTTTCATGGACAAAGAAACATAAAACATGGACTGCAGAAAAGTTGTAACATCATCAAAACTTGGGAGATAGGACAAAAAAAATAAGGGCTGGCTTTATAGACACAATCTCACAACAAAGCGCAAAAAGAAATAACAGCAGATCTGCCTCAGAGAGTGTGTGTGCACTGGAACAACTTTGCAAGGCCTTGGTTCGAGTCGGAGAACATGATTATGTGTAAGGTACAACTGCAGATTTGAGAAAGAACCACACAAGAAATCAACATCAGCAACAGTATGACATCTCTATCAAGCTTTTAATAAAATTTGATCTGGATGGTGAAAGCCAACCTTGTCGCCTCTCAAGTAGACATTGACAATACTATATACATCTAGAGAAGTCTGCAAAGAGATGGAACATTATATTAAACACACGGATTCAAACCTTTCATGTAGATTATTCAGGAAGAGGACTTTTTTTTGGAAAAACCTTTAGAGCTCGCAGCGGAATTGACCTGAGAGACCTTTCTTTCTATGAAACTAGCTGTATTTCAAATGCTATCTGAAAACGTGACTCCCGTTTTGTTGAAGCCTAAGATTTTCTATAAGGGACTGGTAGTATGACTTGAGGCCCCGGATATCATTACCCTGGAATACCAAACAGGGAAAGGAGAGACTATGTTTAAGCACATATACGAGATGATTTTTATCTAACTTACAGTTGTTTTGAGGGAGTAAAACTTATCAAACCTGCAACTTTTGGCAATACTGCTCCGCCAAATCTTGTGGAATCTGTGCTGATGGAAAACTTTTCGACATAATATGCATGAGAAACGCATTACCAAATTTTTCATACATCACTTTCTGAGCCGTGATGATTTCTCCGAACAACGCGTGCTGTGTTAATAAGGCAGATGCATAGGGAAGGAAGAAATCCAGTCAGTTGTGGAAACAATTCAGAAGTTTATACAACTGCAACGGACAGATAAAACTCCAGAAGGAAAAAAAAGAATTGAAGTTTCTTATGCTTACCGTATTTGCATCACTGAAATCGAAGGATTTATCTAGTACACTGTACAAACAACAGTTTGTTGCAAACGCTTCGATTACGAAATTCTGAAAACCTGGAACCTGAAAGCAAATAATTCTTGATTATGACATTTTTCGTTCTTTCATGAAGAAAAGAAAGTTAGTAAAAATTATTTAACACGCAGACCTTCTCCTCGCTATATGGCTTGGCACACCAATCTTTAATTAGCTTAATAAATATCTGCACGCACGCCTATTTATATGGCAAAAGAGTAAACCAAGAGGATAATAAGTAAGCAAAAAAGATCATCAAAAGTAAATGAATATGCAACAAAGGGAAAAGTGTTACAAACCTTACGTACGGTAATATCCTTGTGATTACAAGAAGTATTCAAAAGCAGCTGCATCATAGGATCTAGATACGCTGTACTTTTGGGCGTAAGAAATACAGAAGAGAGATCGTGTGTGGCTATCACATGAAGAAATGTATACAACATCCTTTGGAGCTCTATCAGTTCCCTCAATTCCTACACAAAAAAGGATATATGACTGGATGTAAAGGACGCTACGATATCATCAGGTTCTCAAGTTACAATTGCAAAATAGCCAGGAAATCATGCATGGAGATCATAAAATTGAGTTAGAAAGAAAATCAAACAAAATACCTCAGTAACAGCCCCAGGGCGTGAGGGGAGCCCATCTCTTGGAATTACTTTGAAAATCCTATCAGCAACCACGGGATATACTTCTTCCAGTATATCACGGAGAGCGCTGTTGAACTTGCAGATAAGCTGATTGAGTAATACCAGGAAACCAACCATTTCCTTTGGCTGCAACAATACACATACACAGTAAGAATTTTTGTTGAAGAAGTTATCAAATTAGTGTGCTCAACGCAGCATCATTGCAAGAAATGAAGTATCTTGATTAGTAGATATTACTCCCAGATAAGTAAGTGCATCGTAGGAGTTCAACTAGATATTAATTTGAGGAAATGAAAGCAGTGGAGCATTGAATAATATAAGGGGAGCTCTGAAATTTTCGTTCTACCTCACTGTCAGCAAGTAGCTGTTCCAAAGCCTTGGGAAGATAAGGGAACACAGCGGATCCAAGGGTATCAACCATACGGTGTATGAATGATGTGACCTACAGAGAAGAGGAACAAGCTAATCACTGAGCTGTTAATCAATAACTTAATGGAGAAGAATATGCAACACTAGTGATTACAATATGTCTCCTTAATAACATACAACTAAACTCATACCTTACTCCGCAAAGGCTCGACCTTTGGAAATTCAATTAGAACCCTTAGAAGCACATCCAGTGTCTACATTACGGAGAAGGTTACCAATTGTTAATAAAGAGAAAAGACAGAGCAGTTTCAATTAGGGGTCAACAATTGAAGTTGCAAAAAGGACAAAGCATTGAAAGACAAGTTGCAAAGCAATACATGATTCATAAGAGGGAAAAGAACCATCTTTTATACAAACCTGCTTAAACATGAGACCAATTCCAGGACGACTCGCTGTAACAAGACGTTCACTGAAGCCCTGAATTGCAAGCAAAAGTATAAGGACAAGCCCAGAAGAGGGTACAATTTGAAGTACCAAGTAACAAATCTCACATACAGAAACTAGAAAAACGGGCACAAACCTTGCTGAGAGCATTAATTGCCACAATAGCAAATTGGATATTTGCAATTTTCACAGGAAAATCTTCAGAACTTGCAGCTTTTGCCTGCACAAGTCCTGCCTCAATCTGGTACAATCATATCACATGGAAGGAGTGTGAGTACACCTGACCATAAATAATGCCAAAAAGATTCATGAAACAAGAGAATGGTAGAAATGAAAACCTGTTGACAGAGAGGGGTAAGCAGTAAAGACAGATAATCTGACTGCTTTTCAGCCGGGACATCCTCCAACCCTATGATTATGCCAATAGCCTACAGAAAAACGCAATAGAAGTTAGAATTTTATTTAAGGTACTGAAATTTTTTCTAGTTTTACAAGTCAGAAGTACATATATGAAAACAGCAGCTTCAAGTGGCAGTCGAACCTCAAAAATGTGACTGCCATCTTCAGTTCCAGAAAGTTCTCTTGATGCAAAGTTCAAAGTCGTCAACTGGGACAACGTATCTTGAAGGTTCTGATTTCCCACAAAAAGATATAGTTAGACAAAAAATTAAACAAGCAAATACATCGATTTACAGAAATGGATAACTGTCTTATGATCAAACGAGCTGCAGACAAGAGAAAATCAAATCTTTACCTGCAGGATCTTGTCAATGAATGGTACAAGCTTTGATTTTAACAATTTCACGACTCTCATGAACAAGTAACCTGCTCTACGGCTCACATGAACATTCTGGTGATGCAAACCCCTTTCATCAAGGAAAGCACCAAGAACGTTGGGAATGTACTGGGAATTTTCCTGAATAAACTTCATGTACCTTGTTATGTTTTCTAAGTAAACTAGTGCAACAAGTCTATAAGAATGTCCAGGGAACTGTGTGGTCAAGAGCATCGGAATTAGTTCACTCAAACACCCAGATCCTGCTTTCATGGCCTCCTCGGTCATAGACTCTCCGAATGAATACAAAAGCGAGAGTGCAGCTTCCACTTCTTCAACATTGCTCTCGGATGAGGATTCAACAGCATTTGCTAGTGAGTTACGAATAAAATGCTGAGTAACTTCAGGAGCAACACGGCCCACTGTACGTAACAAGACGAAGAGATCTTTTCTAAACTCGGACATTCTATCTTCCTCCTCCAATCCAATTTTATCCAGTAAATTAAGGTTATTACGATACATAGGATCATAGCAAATCTGAATTCTTATCACTTCGAGAATCTGTGTAATGTGGAGTAGCTGCTTCTCCTTTAATGCAGGGAGGCCTTTGAGAGTGGAAACGTAACCCAGGAGAAACTGGACGATGCTAAAAGTAGAATCCACCTCACAATTCCGCATGACATAAAAAACTGATGGCAGAACTTCGTTCAGCAAATCCATGGAGACTGCCTTGGTGTCCTCTGAATTCAACCGCTTATGGCATTCTAGAACCTCAACAGCATACCCAGTAAGCAAAGTAGATACTTTTGATACCAATTCAGAATCAACATCTCCGGATACTAAACCAAAAACACGACTTATTTGAAGGGTCTGCAGAAGGGGCAGTTTTGACTGGGGATCCATCCGCTTAGAAACCATGGCTAAAATACACCCAGCTGCTGCACCGCGAAATTGATCAGACAATCCATCAGACAAAATCAATTCAAACAGCAGTGGAACAAATGCATCATTGGCAACCAAACCAATGTCAATCCAAGAGACGAATCTTCTCATGCAATCTAACACAGTAGCAGAAAGATCAGGATCGGAATTCCTGTACAACGATACAATGTCATACCATGCTCTAGCAATCTGAGGGACACATTGTTGCCTCATAGCATCCTTGACTCGAGCAGCCACAGATATCTCTTCAGAAGTCCGGGGGTAATCCAAGCTAATCAACTCATCATCCAACGCATTCAAAACCCGACAAAACATGTCGATCACAACAGCCCCTTTGCTCAAATGAGGCATAAAATCAACAAACACCGAGGACCAAATCAAAGGGTAGTCAAAATAGATCAAAGTAACCAAAACCTGTGCAAGCTTGTTTTTAACAAATGGAGGTCCTTCCACAACTCTAACAGCATTCTCATTATCAATAACCTCCAAACAAGCCATTGAAAACACTGATTTCCTCACATAACTCTGCTCATCCATGCTCATAGATCCATATCTAACCCTTAAAACATCCTGCAGCGTTTGCAAACACCAGAACTGAACTTGGACAAGCTTAGAAAACCACAACTTCTCAATACATATACTACAAATAGATGTAGTCTCTTTGATTTGCTGACAATAAGTAACCGCTTGAGACTTTAACGCCGAATCAACAGCACCAGTTTCAAAGCTAATTACTATTGCCTGTTCAAGGTCATCCATTGTTAACTTAACCCAACTAGAAAAAACCCTAGAACCGAGATTCAAAATCCAGTCCTGGTTATAGCATACAAGTCAACAATGCCTTAAATTAGTATCGTCAGCTAGCTTCTCCTTCACCGTTCTCTTCCCGTATCAGATTTTGATGTGGAGAAGAAGAAAAAGACGAAACTTTTAGTGGGTTTCGCTTGAGGGCTTACCAGAAGTAAGGATCTTCGCGATTATAGCGATCGGATTTATAGGAGTGAGAGCTTTAGTGGAGAAAGGGATTTTGGAAACCCTAGTTTGAGTTTCGAATTCAAAGAATTTTTTGTAAATATTTTTTTTTATGAGTTTATAGAAAATTTCCCTTAAGGAAAGAAATTTGTGAGACTGGAGAGAAGACCGGAGCCGTAGGGTTTTTTTTTTATACACAGATTTTTATTAGCTTGCAGAAAAATTTCCCAAAGAACTATATATAAATATCGGGAAATTATTTATTTTTATTGCCAGCGAATTGAAATTAACCGTCATATAATTTCAGTAAATCGGCCCATGGGCTTGAATCTCATCTTACGAATTCTGTAGTATGTGGAAGTCTATAACGGATAGAGTTCTTAAAATTTTCTTAATCAGAAGTTTTATAAAACAAATTGTCACATAACAACCCACCTAATTTTTGGCTGACAGCTAGGAACACAGTTTCCTTTTCTATCTATAACCAACCTATGCAATATATTCAACGAGAGGACCATACTTAGGTTTACCCCTGGGGTGAACTTTTAAATTCACCCAACAGATTATAGCCAATCGTTTTGCCATGTCATTACTAATACTAGAGAATTAAAAAAAAAACACAATTAAAAAAAAAAGAAATCAGAAAATAGATTTAGGGTTTAGGGTTTAGGGTTTAGGGTTTAGATTTTACAATTAAAACGAAATTAGATGTCGGTTTGGGTTGCCAAATGAGTGGTTAAGGTTTAGATTTTATAATTAAAACGAAATTAGATATCGGTTTGGGTTGACAAATGAGTGGTTAGGGTTTAAATTTTACAATTAAAACGACATTATATATCTGTTTAGGTTTGTGAAATATTTGTTATATAAACCCTAAACCCTAAACCCAAATCCTAAACCATAAACCCTAAACCCAGCGGTGAACAGATATATAATTTCGTTTTAATTGTAAAATTTAAACCCTAAACCCTAAACCCTAAACCCTAACCGATATCTAATTTAGTTTTAATTATAAAATCTAAACCCTAACCACTCATTTGGCAACCCAAACCGACATCTAATTTCGTTTTAATTGTAAAATCTAAACCCTAAACCCTAAACCCTAAACCCTAAACCCTAAACCTTAAACCCTAAATCTATTTTGTGATTTCCTTTTTTTTTAATTGTGTTTCTTTTTTTTTAATTCTCTAGTATTAATAATGACATGGCAAAACGATTGGCTATAATCTGTTGGGTGAATTTAAAGGTTCACCCCAGGGGTAAACCTAAGTATGGTTCTCGACGAGATAAGACATTACTTATTCTTTTGTTGTATCATATTTTATGTCTCTGTTTTCAAAGGTTAAACTGTCACATTATCAGCTTCCATGAGGAATTTTATGAAATAGCTTCACAACACAAAGCCAAACACTCCAGCTATATCCTTTAGATTAATCTCCGTTGAAATTGTGATACATGTCTTGTGATGGGAGCGCAACATGCAAATATGAATCTAATTACTCACACTTAACTAGCTCATAAGTGGAAGATTACCACATACTTATATTACTCAGAAAATCATCTCATAATTTCCTACTTAGATAATTTATACTCTAATACTTTTCAAGCTTCTCCATCGCAGTTACAACCTTTTTCAAACGGATCGAGCGAGCAATCAAAAACACATGTTCAATCTATTATTTATCTTCTTGGAAGAAATATCCTTGCGACGCATTGTTCTTTAATTAAGTTAAGTAACAAAACCGAAACTATACTATTGAAAGAAAAACATACTTAAAGAAATTTCTTATTGTATATAATTAGTACATATCGAAAATAAAAGATATCCGAAATTGGAGAATCAAATATCAAAGAAACAAAAATCTCATTATTGTGTGTCATGTGTATCACCCAATATATACGTATAGATCGAAAAGATCTGAGGGAAAGTGGGCACAATACTCTATAGAAGTCAGATGCAAGTGCCCCAGAAAAGAAATGCGAAAGAGAGAGAAATTTCCTCTTCCTTTCTTTCATGCTTACGACAAAACTTCACCGCCACCTGTTTTGTCTCAAATCTTTTAATGTTTTTTAATAATATAATTTATTATACTACACATGCAAGGTAACTCTAAATGTTTTAGACTTTGAAAAACATTAATGTATTCACATATAAAACATTACAAATCATATAAAATCCGAAACCCTATATATATAAACTAAGAGCGAGAAAGAAAGAAAAAGCTAGAGAGAGAGAGATGAACAAATGGTTGGGGTTTTCATTGACACCTCCTTTGAGAATCTGTGATAGTGAAGAAGAACACGAAGAAGAACTCAGACATGACGGTTCCGATGGTTTCGATCCTCTCACACATCATCCCCTTGTTATATATATATAATATATATGTTGTTGGTGTGTCACTTTTAATATTTTTAATTTTATTTCGATGTGTAGTTTGGGGATATGATATTAACCTTGATCATCATCATCATCAACATGATGAAGTGCCAAAGGTGGAAGATTTGCTCTCAAACTCTCATCAAACCGAGTATCCTATGAACCATAACCAAACCAGTGTCAACTGCACCACCGTGGTTAACAGATTAAACCCACCCGGTTACGTTCTCCACGAACAACCCGTAGTTACACCACAATACCCGAACCTAGATCCGGATCTAAGCCATGAGTATGGAGCTTTTGAGAGGGTCGGTTCGGTCTCGGTTTTCAAATCTTGGTTAGGGCAAGGCACCCCAGCATTTCCATTCTCGAGTACTTACGTTACAGAAGAGGGTGGTACGAGCAATAATATTAGTCATTTTAGTAACGAAGAGACTGGTTATAACACCAATGGCTCGATGCTATCATTGGCTTTGAGCCATGGGGCTTGTTCTGATTTGATCAACGAAACGAATGCATCTGTAGTGCCGGTAGAAGAACCGGTTAAAATAGATGAGAAGCGGAAGAGATTGACTGGCAAATCTCAGGTGAAGGATTTGGTTCCTCGGAAGTCGGTTGATAGTTTCGGACAAAGAACTTCTCAGTATCGTGGAGTTACAAGGTACGTACGTTATTAAATAATGATGTCTCAAACTTTTTTTTTTTGGTTTAAATGATGTCTCAAACTTACACGTAAGAAAAATGTGAATGCCACAATTATGTATATATGTCATTTTATTCTGTAGTTTATAGTAATTGTGTCGACACATATTTAATCTGTGCGTGTATACAGGCATAGATGGACAGGGAGATATGAAGCTCACTTATGGGATAATAGCTGTAAGAAAGAGGGTCAGACAAGGAAAGGAAGACAAGGTCAGAAAAAACAAATACAAATAATTTTCCGATTCAAAATGCTATCATCAATAATTTTACTAACAATAATTTTGTTTCGTATGTACTTTCTAATTCGCTTCTTGATCAATGACAGTATATCTTGGTAAGTACAAAATTTTATTTCGACGGCCCTTATTAATTTCGTGTTGCCCTAGTTTTTGTCTGAAGTATAATAAGCTCTTTATATATTTTCTTATGATATAATTAAGAAAAATACATGTAATAGAAGAATTCATACTTTAAGAAATACTATAACAGGAGGGTATGATGAGGAGGAGAAAGCAGCGAGGGCTTATGATTTAGCGGCTCTGAAGTATTGGGGTCCTACCACTCACTTAAATTTCCCTGTGAGTTTGATCTATCTGGTCCCGGACCTCCACTTCTTTAACTTCTTTATTACATGCAAGTGTGTTTTATTACTTTTATATATGTATAACAGTCTTCTTACTTAAATTTCGATATTTGGATCTTGAATGTAATTATGTTACGATTTTATTGACTTGATTTTGATGAAACTACATAGAGTTGGCTTGTGATATCAGTTCTTTTGACGCTCCTTTATTGATCAGTTGAGTAATTACGAAAAGGAGATCGAGGAACTCAATAACATGAATAGGCAAGAATTTGTTGCCATGCTGAGGAGGTAATTATATATACTCAACAGTGGGATTTAATGAAATTTATGGGCCTCTGTAGTTACTTACTTAACCAATGCTTTGTAATGAAATTTTCATATCATAGGAACAGTAGCGGGTTTTCGAGGGGAGCTTCAATTTACAGAGGAGTTACAAGGTTTGCTTTGGACATGTATATCGGAAACTAAACTTGTACATATATATATATACCTATGGCATTTGAGCATGCATGTACATGGAATTAGAGGGTCATGATCATGCATGTATAACTCATGCAGGCATCATCAACATGGAAGATGGCAAGCTAGAATTGGAAGAGTTGCTGGAAACAAAGACTTGTACCTTGGCACATTTAGTAAGAACCACTTCCATATATATGGCTTAAATAACATTACATATCTCGTAGCTTTTGAATTGTTAAATATGACATTGTGTAACTATGATGAAGGCACGCAAGAAGAAGCAGCAGAGGCGTACGATATCGCGGCAATTAAATTCAGAGGCCTAAATGCTGTAACTAATTTCGATATTAACAGATATGACGTGAAGAGGATATGTTCAAGCTCTACGATTGTCAATAGCGACCAGGCCAACCGTTCTCCCACCAGCTCTGGCGCCGGCCAATAACGACCACCGACACCTTGAAACTCCTCGCCGTAGAGACTATTCCCACGGTTGGTTTGAGGAACCTCTGATTTAAATAGTATAAATATATATAAGTTCGTCGAGTCTGTTTAATAAACATTCCTAAGTAAGGCCTATTATATGCAACATTTTAGCAAATTAGGTTATCAATACTACTTGAGTTTCGTATTTAAGTTAATGCATCCACTATTTACACTCCATAACAAAAGTATTAATTAGGGAGCTAGATTTCCTAATACTTTTATTAACTGGACCAAGTACTGAAAGGAGAGACGATTCCTCAATTTGTGTGCCTTCTTCTGTCGTGGTCGTACTTATTAAAGAAAAAGCGTTACAAAGTGAAACCGTAACTAATTACTAAACTGACAATCGAATCCGTCCGGCCAAGCCTTTGATTTTGAACACGTATCAAGCTAGTTATAAATCATATATATATGCAGCGTATAGGGGATCAAGGTTTTCGGATTTTTGTAGTCATGTCTGATCTGAATTGTTGCTTACATAACATAAATGTTTGTTGAATCATAACTAACTTACTTAACTCATAATCGAGTCCGTCGAAGCCTTTGTATGTGTATTTGTTTGATACAATTACATAAATGCATGTACGTTGCATTGCATGCATATAAATACATGTATACTTTATGATCTCGTAATAAGAATGAGAAATACATGCTTTACTCGGAAAGAAATCTAATTCCTCAATGCGATCGATGCAATTTGGCCACATGCATACATTCGAGTCTAGCTAGCTAGTAGTGTATACATATGTATGTGAGTACATGTTATATCAAATTGCTTTAAATATCTTTTTGACGAGGAATGTGTAGCTTTATTAAATCGGCTCCATATATACCTCACATATAAATGATTTCATCAGAATCCACTTTACGTGTGTCTCTTCCATCCCAGCACATTTCCCTCAATTATCACTGAAAAGTTAATTTAAAATAACAAATTTTAATTTATTGCAAGTGTCATTTACAACCACTATAACCCGCCATCAGTAACCTTTAAGTTCATTCATAGCTGTAAAATTTATTTCAAAAAAAAAAAAATTCGATTCAACTGTTTAATTAGGATTTCATCATTTATTTTTTCAGTATGTATTATAGATGCAACAATATGTTCATTAATATACAATCACATTTTCATATTAGTAGTGTCAATTACAGATTTTTTTTCTTTTCAATTCAGAGGTTTCTTTTAACTAAACGATTAAATAATATTAAAGTAGAGATCCAAAACGGCCCGAAACAAACATGGGTTTAGACCCACCCGGATCCCTTAAAATAATAAGGAATATGTTGGGATTTAGTACGTTTATGAAAGATAATAGGGAAAGTAGTACAGGTCCTATTCAATACTAAAAAAGTAGTCGGGTCCCCACTGTTGTACAGATACACGTTCTGTCTAATAGAAAAATAGTGGGGTCTTGAGGTTGTTGTGGAAATTACGTTTGAGGGCTTCCTTCTTTTTACTGGGAAATGAGGAAGCCTCTAGGCGAGATGGCGTGTTTGGTTTGTTGGACCCTGGAGCCAAATGTGATTAACGGGCTTTAGATAGGTGTAAATGGGCTTTAAACTTCTTCCCCATTTTATCTCCAAAATTAAGTAATTGGCGAAGTCAATTATCAAACAAGTCGTCTTCATTAGTGGCGGCGTTGGAGCAGACAGAAACCCCTGCATTAATGAGAAGTTAATGTCAACGAAATTAGTTACTAGGTTGGTGAGAGAAAATGATATTATACTCAGACTCTCTTGAGATTTTTTTCGTAAGTAGGTGAATTTTTTGGGGGGAAATTTATTTTGCAATTTTTTGGTGAAAAATTCATTATAAGATTAAAAGAAGAAGATGATTGTCAGTTTCGGTAGGGTTTCTAAGTTCCTGAGGACATTCAGATCTGAGAACATAGAATGGAAGGTGATATTCAGTACCGAAACAAATTTACCAATTTTCTGTACAATGTTTACAATTGTCCTGGCCTAGAAACTGATTATAATTGAATTTCCTTTGCAGTGGATGATATTGTTGTTGTACAGGCTGGAAGATGGATCTTGTATAGCACTGGTGAATGGGAGTTCAAGATGGATTCTTATCGGCAGGGGAGGGCGTTGAGTTTGATGGGGTTAAAAACTTTCAGGGATTTGGAGCTTAAAGTGAGGCAACTGTACAGAATGGAGAGGAGCTCGATATCAACTGAGCTTAGCTACATGTTTGAGGACAATTTAGCACTGTTAGCTGGTGTTCAGCCGGGCCCGACAATGATTCGGTGTGATCGGCAGTTTCGAAGCTTTAAATCTTTAAGCATTCATGATAAATCTGTGAACCTGTTCGTGTGTTTTAGAGAAGGCGATGGAGTCAAAGTTGGGCCTACTCCTGAAGCTCGAAGGATCGGGAGTTGTTTTGCTAAGGGTTTAGAACTAGGAGATTCATCTGCAGGTATCGTAGAGGCTGGAGGTAATTCAAGAGCGACAGAGGAAGTTGGATACTTTTCTGGACTTTTATCTGCAGTTCAAGACAATAACACTGTTTATCCTCCAGTTCAAGGCAATAACTCTCAGTTAGCAATCGCACAGAGTTCAGATGTTATTGACAGCTCCGGTGGGTGGGACATAAGTGATGAAATCCTGTTAGCTGCCGTTGAAGCAGTGGAGAAGTCGTCTAAAACAGATTTGGTTGCTTTCACAGGGCTAACCACATCTGTAGCAGTGGAAGATGGAATGGAGAGCAGTGGAGATGAAGAGTGTTCCGAAAACTCCGATGATTCTTATACTTACAGTGGAGGTAGTGAATCAGAAGATGATGATTACGATTACGAGAACAACACGGTAGGTAGGCTTGAAGCTGGAAGAGAAATTGTGGGAGATGAAGACAGTGGGGATGATGATTTTGTTGAGCAACCCCCGAAAAAGAAAGTCAGACAGAAAGAAAAAGGGAAAGGAATTGAAGAAAGGACTGACAATCTTGCATGTGTAGGAGCTGTTATGACAGAGTTTCTTCACACTATTCAGAAGGGGATAAGCATTGATGAAGTTTATGGTTATGAGGACATTGAGCCAATGTTTGGAGACGATGATATGGATAGGAAAGCAGCTCATGTTGACTTGAGCAAAGAGGATGACAATATGTATGTTGGAAGGACGTTTGAGTCTAGGGAAGATTTCAGGACTGCATTGTCAATTTATGCTATCAACCGTGTATTCCGCTTCAAATTTACTAGGTATGAGAAAAATTACTTGGTAGCTGAATGTTATGATAAAAAATGCTGTGACTGGAGAGTTGTAGCACACCAAGTTGGGCAGAGTGAAGAATACGAGGTGACGAAGGCCAAGTTTGAACATATGTGTAATGTTGAGACTAGGAGCAGGTTCTCAAAACACGCAACTTCCAAGGTTGTAGCCGCTCTACTAAGGGCTAAGTATGCGAAGGCGTTTTGTGGTCCAAGAGCAAGAGACTTACCCGAATCTCTGCTGAGGGAGCACAATGTTAGGATGTCGTATTGGAAAGGTTGGAAAGCCAAAGAACTGGCTGTTGAAACAGCTCAGGGCACAGATGAGAGTTCTTTCACCTTGTTGCCGGTATATCTCCATGTTTTACAACTTGCAAACCCTGGGACAGTTTATCATTTGGAAACAGAGGTGGATGAAATTGGGGATGAGCGATTCAAGTATGTGTTTCTAGTTTTAGGTGCATGTCTTAAAGGGTTACAATATCTACGGCGAGTCGTTGTAGTAGATGGCACCCACCTGTTTGGGAAATATCTTGGCTGTCTTCTTACCGCAAGTTGCCAGGATGCGAACTTTCAGATATATCCAGTGGCCTTTGCTATAGTGGACAGCGAGACAGATGAATCATGGACATGGTTCATGAATAAGCTGTCAGAAATAATTAAAGATGGACCAGACTTGACCTTTGTCTCAGATCGGAATTCATCATTAATCAAATCTGTGGGACTTGTCTACCCTAAAGCGCATCATGGAGCTTGCTTAGTCCACATAAGAAGGAATGTTAAAGGAAAGTATGGAAAGAAGAGTGGGCTTCCAGCCTTAGTATGGCAAGCAGGTAACAAGTTCCGTCTGAAAGAGTTTAATGCTGTTTGTGAAAGAATTAGGGGAAGGAATAAGGGGTGTTGGAAATATTTGGAAGAAATTGGGGTTTCGAATTGGAGCAGGGTTCATTTTTCAGGGGAGAGGTATAATTTGATGTCTAGTAACATCGCTGAGTCTTTGAACAATGCTTTACTACCAGCTAGGGGTAGTCCTGTTGTAGCATTGCTTGAATTTATTAGGAAAATGCTCGGAAGGTGGTTTGAATCGCGTAGGAAGAAAATATCTAGAACTGTCGGAGACATTCCAATTGCTGTTGAAAGAGAGCTGCTGAAACGTTTCAAAGGTGGATTGGGGATGACAGTTTTGGCTGTTGGTAGGTGGGATTTTGAAGTAGTCGCAAAGGATGGAGAACAGTTCCTCGTCTCCTTGGAACAACAGACTTGCTCTTGCTTGGAGTTTCAAAAAATTAGAATTCCCTGTGTTCATGCGATGGCTGCAGCTCATGACAGGAATTTGGAATTCAGAACGTTGGTTGGAGAGATGCATAGGCTGGAAATGTGGTCACCAACGGTCCAAGAATCTATCCTCCCAGTACGCGATCCATCGGAGGTGGATGTTCCTGAGGAAATAAGAGTTTTATGTTTAATGCCTCCGAAAACAAAAAGACCCCCGGGGAGACCCCCAAAGCTGCGGATACATTCAGTTGGGGAATATGAGGTTAGTAAATTTTAATTTATTCCACAGGTTGGGATATAACTCAAGTGTAACAATTCATCTTAACCAATGTAGGGGAATAATAAGTCAAAACAGCCTAACAAGTGTGGAAGATGTGGAGGTGTAGGTCACAATCGGGTTACGTGTACCAACCCACTTGGTTGACGCTTTGGAATGTAAGCAAGATGTGTAAGGCTTTTTGGGGAGTTTGTCTTATCAATGGAGGAGGATTTTGGCAGGGGTCGTTTTTTGGTAATTTAAAATGTATTGTTTTCGGAAGGGGTAGACATTCATATGAAATATGTTCGGAGACAAATTTCAGATAAATGTCTCTTTTTAGGTATGTAAAAATTATTATAACTTGTTTTCAAGCGGCAAGCCTTAGTGATGTATATGAATGGTCAAGTTTTATTTGTTGAACTTATTATTTTGGCTAAGAAGTTGATCGTTTTTAATCTCAAGCTATTGCTGTACGGATCGTTAAGCCCGCTGTACAGATGTAATCGTACTGCTACATCTGTACAGCAAATATACAGACGTATCTGTACAGATGTTCAGTCTTCAAACGTACGTCTACTGTACAGATCATGCTGTACGTTTTCTGTACAGACGTAGCTGCAGGAATGCTGTACAGATATTGGTTTACGTTTGCTGTACAGTTTCCATACGTTTGCTGTACAGATTTTACTAGACATATCCCTACAGTTATGGGAGGTAAATAATTTCCTTAACTTGTGGAAATTTAAAATATGGAAACATGTTATAAATATTTTTGGTAGGAGGATTCAATTCATCTCAACTGTAATTTCCTTAACTACTTCACCTAACGCATTATATATACAACAAAGCTGTAATCAAAATAAATAGCAGCAAAAGAAGAAAACTACTCTTAATTTATTTTTCTCACGAGAAGGGAAAAAAATGGGAACCGAAATGCCAGATATCCCTGATGATTTGTTTGCAAAAATCGTTAAGCTTGTGGCTGATGATCGCTGGTGGTTGCTTGGCCCTATATTGAAGGCCGGTCGAAGGGGAAGAGATGTGGTGTACAGAGACGATGTTTTGAGGGATGCTAACATTTACTCCCTCTGTTCTGACCCAAGCGACCTCTACACATTCCATAGTCAGATAACCGGCCGTCTAGAGCAAGGGCGGCACCGCCCTTTTTTTGAGAGATGTCTCAAGGCGGGTAACAAGACCGCAATCTACTATGAAGGGCTAAGGGTGGTGGCTGAAGGTTGTGACATCAAGGCGGGTATTGAACTTCTAGCTCAGTTGGTCCCGGAGGATGGGTTGGCAACTCTAGCATGTGGTGTGTTCTCCATTTGTGATGGAAATGAGGGTATGGCGGTACACTATCTTGAGCTATTTGGGAAATCTCATGCTGCTTTGGGGACAGAGGCTGTCAGACGTTGGGGAGAGGAGTTGGTTTCGGATTTGCGTCCATATCGAAGAATGAGCAACAATTCATACAGGAGGACGTATCTCTATCCAATTTGCAGAGGCATCCCGTCGCCGGATTGTGCCATTGACTGTGGCATTGCATATGGAGGTTATGAAAACTTGTGCGACGAGTGTTATCTATGGTGGATGTCAAGGAAGGTATGTCAAATGCTATGAAGTCATGGTCGATAATTTTTCAAGTTGTAAGAATGTTCAAATTATGTTAGTTTTTGCGGATGTAATTTTCTTGTTTCTGTATTATTTGCTTTGTATAATTATAGTGCTTTTCATTCTAGCTTACTATATGCTAGAAATATTGTATTAAGTCTTTTTAGGGTACTGTCATGTATAATACTAAGGATATGGTATCAAAAAAAACCCTGTTGTCTTTTCTAACCACTGTTGTGTTCAAATTATCATCGTTTTTGCTTTTGTTATTTCAATGTTTTGGATATTATCCAAAAAAATTCATCTTCTCCAACCACTGTTGTGGATCTTATCTCAATGCCCCTTTTATTATCACAAAATCGTTTTTGGTTTTGTTATAGATTCTGAAATGACCAAGTTGGGGAAGTAAAAAGTTAGCGGTTGGATGAAATGATTATACTTTTGACTTTTCATCCCACTTGAGTATTTCTACACTGATAACCGATTATACTTGTACTTAAAACAATTTTTAAAAGATTTAAGTCTTACACACACTGACAGTAATAATTACATTTGTAAGAAAAAACCAAAGATATATTTGATGTGTTTGTTTCTTTTCTAACTTATCGAGTCTGACAAACCCACTAGTTTGTCTTTTTTCCTCTCACCCAACAATAATGAATAAGTCTGTTTTATAATTTAATTAGAAATTTCTTCGCAATTTTTTCATAATTATACAATGAGAGACATAAGAAATTAATACAACATTCGTTACAAAATGTTACATAATTATACAAACTGTTACATAATTATACAATGACAGAATTTTAAATATTAGTAGTTTAACATTACAAGGTTTCTTGAATACATGAAACTCTAGAGAAGTTCACATATACGTAATGCTGCATTGTAGATGTAACATCCTTCGCAATAATAATCGTGCCCATGCCAATAAGCACAATCAGGTATGCTTATCTTCTTAGAATAAGCAAACTCCCAAATTGGTCCAAAGGTATCTTCACCAGGGGGGTCAAATGATAATAGTGTCTCAATCAAAACTTCACACTCATCTTCCAAATCGGGAGAGTAATTATCGAACCAAAGACGAGTACCTAAATCTTCAAAAATTTGGTCGAATGTTGCCCCAGCAATATCTCCCCTCCCAGCACACATTTGAAACATTGCATACGTGAGAGTGGCATGGTCATAAGTAGGAACAAGTTGGTTTAGCAAAGCAAGGGACCCGTGGATATCACCCTCTCGTGTTATCAGACGCAAAGATTCATAATAAATTGCCTTAGGATTTTCTACGTCCAAACAACGGGTAAAGAAGGTTCTAGTAACACCACCTGGATATATGTCGACGGGGTCCAGGGTTAGAGGAGTTATGTTTGCTGACTGTAGGATCTCCTTTGATAACGCTATGTCCCTTCCTCGTTTGTTGGTGAGCATTAGCGGGCCTAGGTATGTGGCGTCTTCATCTCCAAGCTTCTTCGTAATGATATGGAAGATATCATCCGGTAAATCACTCAAAGACATAATGTTGAGTTCAGTGAAGCAAGAGTTTCAGGTGTGCTAGGCGTGAGTAATAGAGAATAACGAGGTGGAAGTGTAGGGGCCTTATGAGGGACCTGTGTAGGTAATGTCTCCTCTTATTTATAGATAACTAAATAAAAGGTCCGCTTATCACTTTAACCTAACCCTAACCGGAACCCTCCTAAATAATCTAAACAAATATAAAGGAAATCCAACTCTTCCTATTTTAAAAACAATATTCTTTTCTGTGTGTCTAAGTGATGTACAGAACAGAACCAGTACCCAACACACATAATATACTACCAATTCAGATTACATAATAATTACACAACTTACACAACTTATATATTAGTCTTTAAAACAACCAACTACAAATTTTCTCCTACACCAAAATTGTTCTGTACATATATTGTGCTGTACAGATAGCATTTCGTACAGCCAGTTTCCTTCACAAATAGTCTTTTGTTCTTGCTGTACAGATAGCGATCTGTACAGATATTATGCTGTACAGATATCATTCCGTACAGCCGTTATGCTGTACAGATATCAGCCGTTATGCTGTACAGATATCATACAGATACTATTCTCTTTATGGCTTTACATAAGTATTACACAACTTACACAACTTATATATATAAGTATTTAAACAACCAAATAAAACTCGTTTTCACCTTTACCAAAAGCGTGCTGTACATATTTGTCCTCTACAAATAGTCTTTGGTTCATGCTGTACAGAAGTACAGATATTATGCTGTACAGATATCATTCCGTACAGCCATTTTGCTATTCAGATATCATTCCGTACACCCATTTTGCTGTACAGATATCATTCCGTACAGTCATGTTGCTGTACACATAGTATTCTCTTTATGCTGTCTGTACATAAGTATTACCCAACTTACACAACTTATATATAAGTATTTAATAACCAAATACAACTCGTTTTCACCTTTACCAAAAGCGTAATCTACATATTTGTCCTCAACAAATAGTCTTTAGTTCATGCTGTACATATAGCTTTCTGTACAGCCATTTTGCTGTACAGATATCATTCCGTACAGCTATGTTGCTGTACAGATATCCTTCTGTACAGCCATTCTGCTGTACAGCCAGTATTCTATTATATATTAGTCTTTAAAACAACCAACTACAAATTTTCTCCTACACCAAAATTGTTCTGTACATATATTGTGCTGTACAGATAGCATTTCGTACAGCCAGTTTCCTTCACAAATAGTCTTTTGTTCTTGCTGTACAGATAGCGATCTGTACAGATATTATGCTGTACAGATATCATTCCGTACAGCCGTTATGCTGTACAGATATCAGCCGTTATGCTGTACAGATATCATTCAGATACTATTCTCTTTATGGCTTTACATAAGTATTACACAACTTACACAACTTATATATATAAGTATTTAAACAACCAAATAAAACTCGTTTTCACCTTTACCAAAAGCGTGCTGTACATATTTGTCCTCTACAAATAGTCTTTGGTTCATGCTGTACAGAAGTACAGATATTATTCCGTACAGCCATTTTGCTATTCAGATATCATTCCGTACAGCCATTTTGCTGTACAGATATCATTCCGTACAGTCATGTTGCTGTACACATAGTATTCTCTTTATGCTGTCTGTACATAAGTATTACCCAACTTACACAACTTATATATAAGTATTTAATAACCAAATACAACTCGTTTTCACCTTTACCAAAAGCGTTCTCTACATATTTGTCCTCAACAAATAGTCTTTAGTTCATGCTGTACATATAGTTTTCTGTACAGCCATTTTGCTGTACAGATATCATTCCTTACAGCTATGTTGCTGTACAGATATCCTTCTGTACAGCCATTCTGCTGTACAGATAGTATTCTATTTATGGCTGTACAGCCAGTTTCCTATACAAATAGCGTTCATGCTGTACAGATAGCGTTCTGTACAGCTATTATGCTGTACAGATATCATTCCGTACAGCATTGTTGCTGTACAGAGAGTATTTTGTTTCCTTTTGTTTATGGTGGCTGTACAGAATGCGATTTCTATAATCTTATGCAAATCATAATTGATATATATCATTTATGTGGATAAATATGTTAATAAATGATAAGATCGTTGCAAAATACCAGAACCAGTACCCAACCCACATAATATCCTTCCGATTCAGATTACATCAATATTACACATCTTATATTACACATCTTATATATAAGTCTTTAAACAAACAATTAGAACTCGTTTTCCCCTTCAACAAAAGCAGCATAAGTGTCCATAGCATAAACCTTCCTAATACGAGTGACCACTTCATCCGTAAGAGCTGCCAAGTCGGCGTACTCCATGCCATGAGCATGCATCTCAAGAAACTTGCATGTTACAGGCCCACAGTCTCCATCACCTTTGTTGTCGTACAATCCGTATATGCGATTACAAGTGAACTGCTCAGTCGTGAGGTCTGTAGTCAGACTAGGGCAGCAAAATCTCTTCAGAAGCCACGGAATTGTATCCATGATTGGGGTCATTTGCAATGATACTGCTTCATCTGGAGTTGGGCCGATGAATGGGTCTAGAATATCAATGTTGCGCAGCTTCAAGTTGATTACCAATCCAACCCAGTGATAACATCCCCAGTTCATTGGGACGTAGACCACATCGACATGTTTCAGGAATTCAGACTTCATGTGTATCCCAGTAGATTTCCCTGTTACGTACGCCTTGATTGATGAACCCCACTCGTAGTTTTCCTTGTCCTCGCATTTCATAAAATCATCATGGTGGGTGGACAGAAGGCTTGTAAACCAGGTATCAATTATCGCAACCCTCCTTAAACTGTATGCTTTCCCCCGGCGTCTCAACAGCATACCCGTGATGAGCTGCATATGCTGTGTCATATAATAGGCCAAGTCATGTACAGGGAAAGTATTATTCAAGTTGAGGGAGACATGCTATATTATGTGATTTTTTCAACTTTACCTCGGTCGTGATCCATTTCTCCTTCGTTGCAATGTCCAAGAAGTGGCCATTGCTGAGTTTGTGACCAGTGCAAATGGTGTAGAGTCTGTGTAAATGAAAGTCAGGTAATTAACAATTTATTGATAACCAATTGATAAGAGAGATAGAAGGTACATACCTGTCAACATCATCTCCAAGCAACTCTTTAAATTTCTCGAACTCTCCATCCTCCAACTTGGGGAGGGGTGTGTATGCAGGTTCCTTGGTTCGGCTCTTAAACAAAGCACTAATTCTGGGATCAACGCTATACTCAGCACTGTCGAGGAAGCGAGAGCGCCTAGGAACACGCTTTCCCGGAAGCGGCTGACGTGGGTTGGTTGACTCTATAACAAAATATGCTGGTGATGCTGCAACAATGGAAGAGAGATTGCGGTATTTACAGTCATCTTGGGCAGAAGCTTCAGGCGTTTCATGGATAATCTGGGATAAAGCATGAATTACAAATTGTAAAACCATGTGTATATAGATAATTCTGTATTGGGAAAGTTGATGACTAAGTGATAATTCAGGTTTGCTAATTCATTACCTGAGCAAATGGTGTAACCGGTGTAGAAGGAGTTTGCTTAGGCGAACCTTCAAAAAATTCCTTGTCACTGGTTTCCTTCTGAGTCTCATTTGCAGCGCAATCTGTATTAGGTGAAGCTTCATGCGTCTCAGGGATTACATGCTTTACAAAGGTGTTTCCAAAGGCCCAACCAGTTAGTCATATAAATCTCTGGAATTGGAAATTGGATTAGGAAGGGATAATTCTTGTTTGATAAAACTTTACCTCAGCAAATGGTGTTACCGTTGTAGGAGGCGTCTGCTCAGCCTCTCTTGCAGATATTTCCTCCTCAACGGGTTCTTTCTCAGGCTCTCCTGTAGTGGGGTCTGGAATAGTATAGTCAGGGCTGTCTGGTCTTATTTCCTGTCGTTTCCAATATAAAACATAAGAGGGTCAGCACTGATTGACATTACAGGAATCTGTGTGTATTAAACTAATACCTTAGCAATAGTTTTTGCAGCCCCATAAAGATCCCATGTTCTTTCACAGGCCTCAAAATTCATAGTTGGTCCCCCTTCCTTTCCAATGGGAATGTCTCCAGATAAACCTTGCTTAGAACCAGAGGATGAGCTTCCAGGAGATAAAGAAATAACCGCTTCTCTTTTTCTTTTCCTGGATGCAGGCTCCTCCTTCTTCTTCTTCCTCTTACTTTTTGCTTTCTCTGTATGAGGCTGCCTTGGTTTAGACCCCTGACTCTTATTCCCTAAATTCTTCAAAATATCTTCACCTATGTTGGAACGGAGCTCTACAAGCTGTTGAGAGATCCAAGACTTCAAGTCAGACAATTCAGCATGTGTAACAAACTGAGAAGAAGAGCTTCCCGCACCAGGCTGCGCCGCATCTCCCTGAGTAGGGGCTTTTTTGCCTGTTTTCTTAGGGCCAGACTGTCCTACAGGTATAGCAGCAGCCGAGGGTTGGGGTTGATCCTTTCTTTTATGTGAACTAGCTTTCTTGGATGGAGGTTGGGAATCAACAAGTTCTTCTGCAAGCCTGGATGACCGTGTGAATGGCTTCCGACCGAGAGTGTAGTTCTCTTTTTTCGCCCTCTTCGCAGCTGCCCTTGGTTCACATGTATCATCGTTCTTTGGGCCATCAGATTCCAGGTCAACATACTCTTTACCTCTAGTATTAATAGGATCTCCACCAAACTCTTCACCTGTTGCTGATGGAGCTTCCCTTGGTTCAGCTTCTTTTTCACCAGGTGTCTCAGTGGGAGACCTGGTCAAGCCGTGTACAGGCCACGTCTCAGGCTTGAATTGGTGCTTTTGCTTGATCAGAGAGATAATCAACTGCACCCCTGGGTCTACATCTTCATTTGGCCAAGAGAGATCATCCTTCACTGGTGTTGACTGGTATAGTGTGTATTCCACTGACAACTGCGAAATTCAAATATTCACATAACAGAATTGATTAGGCATCAAATTATTATATCATCCCACATAAAACTCAAAGGTAAACAGATTTTATTATGAGTTATTATAGTCTAATGTATTACTTACATTAGCAGTGTATTCAGCGTCAACAACATCTGACTCACGGAGAAGAATGATCCGGCCAAGATCCGCAGCAGGCCTTTGGATAAAATTTCTGAAATCAGCAGGGTCCTTAATCCTACTGCAAAGGGCAGGAATTGAGTTGAGAACTTGGAGTTGGAGAGCTAGAGGAAATCCGTAACAGCAACTGCTTTTTTGCTGTAGGCGGGCCTTCAGCTCTGCAACAGGATCTTTCTCATTTGCAAGAGGGCCAAACCGTTCCATTGTTGCTTCAAAAGCAACTCTACCCCAGGGGTAACTCATGAAGAATTCTACATTATGAAGCATCTCAACAAAAGTGTCAGTTACCCGATGTTGTTTTTTGTTGCTGCAAACAACAACCCCATCAATAAGCACTATTAATGCGAGACTCAGCTTCTTCCAGGTTGTGAACCGGGTTCGAGGATCTGCATTAAGATCTGCATTAAGATCTGCATTGAGACCTGCATTAAAATCTCCCCTTAGCATGTCAATAACTTCCGGCACTGTCACTATCCTCTTCTCCCCAAAGAGCCGATTCCAAACAGACAGATATGCAGGGTCTTGGTGATCTTCTACCTCAGTCCTCGATGGAATCTTATCACAAATCAGGCCAGTGGTGATTTGGAATTCCCGGAGAGAGAACCGGAGTGGAAATCCTCCATATACAGTCCACAACTCATGCTTTGATTGAGTCAAAAGTTGTCTAGAAAGCATACCATGAATCAACTTGGCAGAATGAGAACACCTTGCAACAGGAAGTTCAAACAATTTTTTGAACTGGGAAGCAAGTAGCAGGTCCCAAGCCTCTGAACCCTCCAGTAGTTCCACCAGAATCCCCAGATATTCCGGCTTCGAGTATATGTTAAGCCGAACCCGATCTGGTAAGTCGTCAGGATGCAACAGACGGCAAGGTAGGCTAGGGTTTGGAACCTCATATTCTCCGGTTGTTGTTTTTGCCGGAGAATGTGCAATTCCTCTTTCATCTCCTATTATTCATTTCAGAAACCCTCAAATTTCAAACAATTTGGGGAGACAGAGGCAAAATCAACAACAGTAATGATTATTAATTCGATTACCTTGTTTAGGGTCGTTTCTGTTGCCTCGTTTATTCTCCCTTTTGATTCCTCGTCGCGTGGGTTCTTCATACATGGTCGTCGGCGATTTTGACGGAGATTTCGCCGCAGATTTTACTGCTCCCGAAACAGTTCCTGCCATAGGTACAGAATAGTAAATCTTTTCAGGAAACTCTCAGTTTTCCTCAGCTTAGACGGAAACTAGTACTTTTTCGTCTCTTGATAACCACTTTCAAGGATTACCTTTTTCAAAATCAGATTTCTTGCTTCGCCGACTGGGGTTCTTGTTTTATACTCACTGCAGGGCTTTGAATCTTCGATTTAACTGCTTTCTTCTTCGTCATTAAAGGTCAAATTTTCTCGGAGAGAGATGAATTTGAGAAGAATAGAGATTTTTTCGGAGGGAGTTGAACAGTTAGCCTTTCAGAAGAAGTCCTGAATAAAACCACATTTACGCTTTTCAGTGGCATGAAACTGTAAATATCAGGCCTCCTCAATGGCATAATGGGTCTCACAATAAAGACAACAGTGACACCCATGGGTACAAATCTAATTGTGAATAGTACCCGTACTACTTTCCCTATTATGTTTCATAAACGTACTATATTACCAACAAACCCTAATAATAATATCAAACTCTCTCATCACTCACCACTCTTCGTTCCTAATTTAAAAACATGAGAAACGATCTCTCCTTTCTTCTTCAATTCATTTTACGTTACACGTTCTTCAGATTCGCTTCTCTTTCTTTCCTCTAATCGATTCAGATTATTTCTCCCACTTTGCAGTTACTCAAATCGCGAAACCCTAATTTCATAATTATGAGATTTTGAATCTCACTCTGTTTTTCCTCTGTAATTTCGCAAAATGGAAACGCCATTACAAAGTTTGAGACTTTTTCTTATCTGCTTCGTCTTCTTCTTCATCTCTGCTTCTATCTTCGTTGACTCACAATCACAAGATTCTTCCATTACTCCTCCTCCACCACCGCCTCCGCCGCCGCCATTCTTAACTCCACCGCCGTCTCCGGTAAGGGTCGTTGATAGTAACAAGGCGATTCACGAGAAGCATCATCACCGAAGAAAAAAATGGCGACAGAGAAGACACCATAAACACCCACCACCGCCTCCTCGGAAGAAGCAGAAGGTGAACACAGGAAAGACGGTGGGGCTTTTCTTCGCCGGTGTAGCTGCAGCTTTGCAAGTAGTTGTTGCTGCTTTCTTGCTTTTCAAAAGAAGACAGCTTCTCCTTAAGATCAATGATAGACACTGAGTCAGAGATTCTATAAGCTCCTTAGGCATCTTCTTCTTCCCGATCTAGATCTTGTCACAGAAATCGACATTGTTGAAAAGAGCTTGAAGTTGGAGTTAAGTCAATCTCAATTTTGTTCCTCTTAAATCTGTAAATTTATAGTCTTTGACTGCAACTCAAAATTTGTTCTTTAGATATGAGTGAATCCAGTGGAAAATTTGAATTTTGGGGATGATTGTTGATGAAAGTTCTCAAATTTGATGATACATTTGTTGAAGAACTATCATTGTGTTGTTAATTCTCAGCTATAGATCTAAGTTAGCCTACACATGAAGTCTCCTTTTTGTATGGTTCTTTTAGAGTTAATGTCATACATATCATGTAGAATAATTGCAGAGGACCGATCTAAACTTATGGAGTTGGGACCACTGAAACCCATGTGAGAGTCTGGTCCTTAAAGTTAGCATGTTTTTGGAGTTTTTTCTAAATTGGAAGGTTCACAAAGGTCAATGCTTAGTTTAGCTAATGATATGAACGAACTCAGGATCTTAAATGAAAACCTCACATACAATGTAATCATTTTGACAGGTTTTGAAGAATTACACGGGACACAAAACAACAGAGAAGACAAGAATCAATCAAAGAGAAAAGAAGAAGAAACAGGTTTTGGTGTTTGAGTCAAGGAGTCTTAAGTCTTTTTTTAGCCAGTTCCTCCAAGAACACCCTTTAGCTTCTTGACTGTAGTAGCGTCAAGGAAAGTAGTACCTACTACGAGTTCAGTGGGAAGATTGTTAGCAAAGAGTGCGAAATCGAGAATCTGCAGACCCGGGCTAGCGCTGTTGAAAGTGACAATGGCTGCAGCAGAGGATTTTCCCGCATTGATCTGGAAATGAAGCAATCCCTGTGGGAAAATCATGACCTGTCCTGGTTTAAGTGTCTGCACGTAGACAGCGTTTGCAGAGGAGACAAACCCAGCGGTAATGGAGCCGTCAAGGACATAGAGAACCTCAGAGGCACCAGGGTGAGTGTGCATTGGGATCACACCTTTAGGAGCTAGGTCAAGTCTAGCTGTAGAGAGGCCTAGACCGTTCAGACCTGGGAACTGAGCGACGAAAGCGGGCGTGACAGCGGCGCTGATGATGTTTGTAGTGTTTCCGGGAGTGCCTAAGCCAGAGAAGACAAAGTCTGTAGCTTTGACATGAATGGGACGAATGCAAGGGTAACCCGCAGGGGTTTCAGCGCGTTTCAGGTTTGCGACACAGAAATCTTGAACAGAGGCATTGGATAGAGCAAAGAGAAGAGATAAGAGGAAGATAGTACGCAACATTTTGAATGATTGGTTTAAGAACTAACTCTCTTCTTTTCTTTTCTTTTCTTTTTGCTCTACTCTTCTCACTCCTCTCGAGTGTTTATATAGAGAGGTGTTGGATAAACTGTGTGGTGAACATTCGAAAGACGGAGATAAGCTTTTGGAAACCATTATGGACGTCTAAGAACAAGGACCACTCTTAGAAACAAACAAAACGCCTCTTTTCTTTGCCTGCCTGTTCTGCATCATTTAGATCGCTGGTGATCTTACTGATGATGTAGACACTGATATTTATTATTGGTCGAAGAAGATTTTCGATTTTTATCATAGATTAAGCCGTTGATTTCGGACTGCGGGGTCAAGGGTTTTGAGAAGAACAGAGAGCAGACAAATTAGAAGACATCAAGCTCAATTTTCTTTTCTTTCTTGCGGATTTAACTTGTTGCTTAAGTAAGTAGAAGAGAGCAACTCACGTCCATAAGACAGACACGTCTAACTACACTGGGTTGGGTAGTTAGAGACTTATTAGTGGGGAAAAAACCCGAAAAAACCGCCATCTAATTTTTTTTTGGCCGTTTAATACGTGTAGTATTAAATTTGGAATAAAAATACCTAATTTAATTTCGGTTGCCTTTTAAAACCTTCGTTTTTTAAAAATTGGTAAAATCGTACCCCCGAGTTAACGACCGTTAACTTTGCTAACGGAAGCACTAACTGCGGTTAAAACTTAACCCATGGTGTTTAAGAGTATATATATACAATCTCTTTTGTTATTTTTACGAATTTATTGACTTAGTCCAGTGGTTTAATGTGTGTTAACTGTCCAATTGAGCCTGGGTTCGAATCCCCCTTTCTTTTTTAGACGTTTTTTAATTTTTTTTCTTTAATTTTTTTTTTACTTCATCGAAGAGAAACGGAGGAGAACGGAGTCGCGGCGGCGTTGATCAATTGGTTTTTGATCTGAACCAATTCGATGAACCAATTGATCTGAGAATCCCCGAATTGGTTTTTGAATCCGTGGAGGTTATCGATAGAGGTGAACAGAGTCGCGGCGGCGTTTACATATGTGAATCCGGCGGCGGAGAAGACGGAGTTCCAGAAAGCTCGAGCGGTGGTGGATTGTTGACACGTGGCGTATAGTGAACCGTATAGTTGTGGACCGATCCGGTTTAGTTTGTTGTAATCGTTGATGTCTTGAGAGAAGACGTTATTTTACCATTTGAAGTTATCAGCATCGTCATCAATGGTGGCGAAGTGGTAAAGACGTGTTTGGAATTGACAAAATTGCGAAGGATTGTGAAGTTCAAAAGGAGAGAGATGTAGAGCTGTGAGATAATTGGGAGCCATGAAAGAGAAGATCGGAGGAAATGGTGAGTGGTGACTGGTGACCATGTTTAGGGCGGCGGAGGAAAAAAAAATTAAAAAAGTAAAAGGGGGGAATCGAACCCGAGTACTGTAGGATAGTCTACCAATGCTTAACCACTGGACTAAGTCAATAAATTCATAATGATCTAAAAAGAGATTGTATATATATACTCTTAAATACCATGGGTTAAGTTTTAACCGCAGTTAGTGCTTCCGTTAGCAAAGTTAACGGTCGTTAACTCGGGGGTACGATTTTACCAATTTTTAAAAAACGAAGGTTTTAAAAGGCAACCGAAATTAAATTAGGTATTTTTATTCCAAATTTAATACTATACGTATTAAACGGCCAAAAAAAAATTAGATGGCGGTTTTTTCGGGTTTTTTCCCCTTATTAGTGTTATTATGAGTGAAGAAGAGCCAACAAGTTGGGTTAAAGTTGACGTAGAGAATACGAGGAGATGATGTGAATACGAATGTGTTGTTACGTAGTGTGGACCAGTGGCACATGTGACGAACCATTAAAAGACACTATTTGACAGCCAGAAGAAACTTAACAAAGATGTCGACAAAAAATACAAATTTAAGAAAGATTCTTATAAAGATCCGTTTTTTCTTTCTTTTTTGGCTAAACGTTCAACAGTCGTATCTTTCTATGTTAAACCATTGTGAATATATTGACAATTATGGGCTGAAATTATAACAAATAGGCTTTGGCCCATAAGTGAGGTTCTCGCGGGAAAGATTAGTTATTTTAGTTACAGTTTTGTGAACACAGTGGCAGTAATGTCAGTCTAGATGTCGAAAGATTAACATGCACTTTGCCACATGTTATTTTTAACAAATGAAACCAACAACTTCAACGACTAGTTTACTCCAAATCGAATCGGACCGGAATAGACCGGAAGAGATTTAAACGGCTCTGTTTTTCTAATTTTAACCATAACCAATTTTGATTGACAAAAAAAAAAAAAAAAAACCATAACCAATTTTCTCTCTCAAAGACACACACACATGCACAAGCATCACCATATTTTCAGATCATCACCACTGTAATGGCGTCAATGAAACTCTTCGTTCATATTCTCCGTCGATACATCTCCATCGCAATAACTCTCTTCTATAGCCTCATTTGGTGTTTATTCGACAATTTCGATTACCCGATCCTGATCAAGCTCGCCGATACGTTCTTATCTTTATATTTCCTAATCTTCTGCGATCTCCGTCCAATCACCGTCGATTTAAACGATGGAGAAACCACATTACATTTCTGGATCTCCGGCCACCGTAAAATCAACCGCCCAAACCTCCTCATGCTACACGGTTACGGAGGAAATTCGAAATGGCAATTTATTCATCAAGTTTCAGATCTATCGAAATCGTTTAATCTCTTTATCCCCGATCTCGTATTCTTCGGGAAATCGTACTCGAAAAACACCGATCGGAGCGTTGAGTTTCAGGCGAGGAGTATCGTCGGAGGTTTGAAGAGGTTAGGCTGTGGTGTCGGAGATTTATCGGTTTACTCTATTAGTTACGGAGGATTCGTAGCGTATCGGATAGCGAAGATTTGGCCGGAGATGATTGAGAAATTGGTGATTGTGAGTAGTGGAGTTGGGTTTACGCAACAGCAAAAGATGACGGAGATGAAAAAACACGGCGGAGATGTATCGGAGATTCTTGTTCCGAGTAATCCGAGAGATCTCCGGTTGTTAGTTAAAGTTTCGATGAATACAGGTATCAGATTTATTGACTGGGTTCCAGATTTCATCCTCTCCCAATTCATCGCTGTGAGTTCTGTTTTCTTTTGTTAATTACTGATTCTGCCCCGTAGTTTATCCTTTGTTTAAAAATTGACCCATAAGTTAGCGAAATTGAGTGATGAGTCCTTAAGTTTCTAAATTTATAGGTGATGTATGAGACAAATCGGCAAGAACTTGTTGATTTAGCTAAGAATTTGCTGGAAAGAGAAGAGGAGCCAGAGTTCTTTGCAATATCACAGGTCATTTGATATCCATTGATCCATGAAAACAGTTTTTAAAAAACTGAATAATTTAGTAATTGAATGATTTATTTGGTGTTGGTAATATTCAGAAAACGTTAATCGTTTGGGGTGATAAGGATAATGTGTTTCCCTTGGAGCATGGACGGCGTCTACAAAGGTAAACATAGTAATGATAATAACAAAATTCTATAACAATTTTGTCATAGAAACTAAATCTCTCCTTTTTTTGTATAAATGGTGACTTTATTATGAACATATTTTTTTGGCAGGCATTTACCAAATTCGAGTTTAGAGGTATTGAAGGAAATTGGACATGGTGTGAACATTGAAGCACCAACTACTCTTAACAATTTGATTATCTCGTTTGTTTTAGGTGCTCCTTAACTTCTATTAGTTGTATATCTTTTACCGTAGTAAATTTATATATATTGTTTATACCAAAAAGAAATAATATATATGATCCGAAATATTCGACTGGCGCGAAACAACCGGTCAAAATCATAACAAACTACGCAATTACAGTGCATTGGGTTTGGGATAAGATAAATTGTATTCCAAGGCACATTTCTGCTTAACGAAAATTAAGGAACATAATTCGGCAATGCTGGAACTAAAGAAAAAGACACTAGTCATGAGTCATGCATGACTGCTTGTCAAACTACCTCCGAGGACCTTAACCAGTTGCCGTACATTGGATCGTCTTGGGGCTGGGTGGTTCATATGAACAAGGAAGAAGACTCAACCATACGTCTCACCAACATGTTCCACCCCAACAAAGGCGACATCTATCTGCCTCCGCTTCACCCTCCTCTCAATAGTCAATCCTGCGGTCGACATCTAGTTAACTTATCTCAATCCTTGTTTTCCTTTGCCCGTAAGTAACATGGTTCAGAGATTCACTCTTCTATCTCACGCCTAACACCGAGTTTATTGAATGTGACCCATCGTTGGAGAACACTGAGTCCCTTCCCCTAACTTATTTCCAGCAATCCTGACCTCTTGAACTACCTAATATGACAGAGTCTGGTGCGTCCGAAGCAAATTAATTGGTAGACTCACCTAATTCCCATAATCCCATGACTTCTTCCTCTTCACATGGTGCATTGAGTTCGAGTCGAGTCTAAAGGGAAACCAATCCCTTTTTGGGAGTGTGAGAAGTTGAAAAACTATAACGTGAAAACCAAGGGGTTCATGGTGTATACACGAGACATTGACAAAGGGGTCGAGTGGTACTCCAAAGACATCTGATTTTTGCAATTCTTTTTGGTATGAACGAGGGTTTTTGTGTCAAAGCAAGCAAGTACCGCGGCCTCAGACCCAAACTCTATCTACTTCATTGACCACCATCGTGCTTATCGCTATCCGCAGGTCAGCCCAAGAAAAATACTCGTCGTGTGAATTTCTAGCTTGCTCCCATCCTTTAGTAGCTTCGAATTAAAAGGTGTTTATGGACTTATCCATACTATTACATCCGTCGTGTTTGATGGCTTTAGAAACACTCATCTATCCAACCAAGCTTGGTCCGGTTCGGTGGGTGCGCTTGTGTGTGTGATTATGCGTGAGTAGCTCTTTTTTCCTTGATACCACAGTCCCAAGACTTTTCGCTTAGACTTTATAAACTCCACATTATATACTAGTGCCTAGTGGACGTTTTTCTCCAATTTTCAATGTGGAACAAATTTCCTTTTGTTAAATTTTGTGTGTTTTATGCAACTAATTTTGGAGTCACTTATTTTTTCATTTAAAAAAATTCAATTTATCAAATTTCAATTCTGAGCACTATTTAACTACAGATGACAAAAAAATATATTTAATAATTATATTCAAAATATCCATATTCTACATGTTATTCAAATTATCTGACCAATTTCTTAAAATACACTTTCAATAATAACAAGATAATTATTTTAGATATATATTAATTACCCTCTTGTCCGACCTCTACTCACAATTACTTGAAATAAACAGGCCTAATAAGACGTAACGAATAAAACAAAAGATATGGGTCGGGTCACAATAATCCGGCTCCAGATGTCTGACAGTGGCACAACTTTAACCTCCATAACTCTGCAAATTAAAGATGCAGAGAGTAAGTACAACCAAAAAAATCTTTATTTTTCCAAAAGAGTTATTAAAAAAAAAGAAAAGAAAAAGATAAGAACATTTATATATATTCCCCTCAAATCTCTCTCTGTCTCAAACTGTTTGTCTACAGACGACAAGTAGATTCCTTTTCCTTTGCTTTCTCAGCATCCAATAATTGTCATGTTATTTCTCCATTAAGATTCTTCTTTATTTCCCGAGAAATTTATCTTGATTTCCTCCTCTGCTTCCTCTTCCCGGAGGTAAGAAACTGAAGTTAGACCAGAAAAAATCTATCTTTTTTCTTTCTTACTTGTATAAAAATCTTGCTTTGCTTTTTTGGGTTCTTAGATATGATTCTTTTGGTTTCTGGGTCTTAAATTTATAGAATTTAATGAATCTTATGGAATCGGTTTCTACTTTTGTTGAGATTATCTCACTATAGGTGAAGGCTACTTATAGAATCAGCTATTTACTTACTTCTCTTTTTTTATCTATATATAGATCTCTTTTTATCCTGAAAACGTGTTTGGTGTTTTGTCCGAAATTGAGGGTTCTTGAGATTAAAATGTAACTGAAAAGAAAAAAGGAATTTATCTTTGCTTTGTGTTACTTGAGATCAAGAGTTTATAGACAAGGTCAACGGAAGAAGAATAAAACACTTGTTTAATGTGAGTTTTGTTGCAATTGTAGAACAAGATCAATCAAGATTTGAGTTTGATGGAATCAAGAATGGAAGGAGATGTGTATTCTGGATTTGGAGAGAGATACCAAATGGATGGTAAATTGTTGCAGAATTTCCAGAAGAGCTTTGTTCAAGTTCAAGACATTCTTGATCAAAACCGGCTTTTGATCAACGAGATCAATCAGAACCACGAGTCCAAACAAGCGGATCACTTGGGAAGAAATGTGGGTTTGATTAGAGAGCTCAATAACAATATCAGAACAGTGGCAAGTCTTTATGGAGATCTCTCTCATTCTTTCGCTAGATCGATCGATGCTTCATCGGAAGGAGAATCTACCGGGACATTGAAATCTGATGGTAAGGCCAACAACCAGAAGAGATTTAGATCCGGGTAATATAACCAATCTTGATTTTGTAGATTCAAAGCTAATTTGATTGTGGATTATGGAGTGTGTCATGTTGTTGTTGTTGGTGTGGAACAGTATGACATTAATATTGTGTTTTTCTTAAGGGTCTTCAATAGTTTTGCTTATGCAATTTCTGTTGAAATGTTATCTACATAATGTTTATGTCTTTGATTCTGAGATAATAAAAGAAGTTTTTCTTTTGTTAGATTTGACATATCTCTGAAATTCAAGTTCTGCCACCAACTGATACATTTATGACAAGTTAATAATTAGATCTTTGGACTAATAAAATTCTCTAATCATCTTTATGCGCTAAAATGGTTCACAAAAATGATGTGTAGAGCCTTGGTTCTAGAATTGACATGTGAACCATTTTTTGCAGTAACTCGAAATTTGGCAACGTTCATCTGAAACTTTATTTGCTTAAAATAAAGTATAAAACTCAATCAAAATAAGAAAAAGAAAAACATGAAAGTGTACTAAAGTCTGATCTAGCAAAAGAAGATGATTATCCTCGTTGCCTTTGTGCTTGCATGATCCTCTAAAGTCAAAAAGACAACAGAGACTTGTAGTTTTAACTTTAGTTAGGTACTTTTATTATTCCTTATCTTTTTTCTCCATTTTTACACAAGTTTCAAGTTGTTTTACAACACAAAGCTTCCTTTTTCCTTTCTTTATTTGTTTATTTGGCTTTTGGACAAAAGAATCCAGCCAACTTTTTGGTTCACTTCACCTTTAATAATCAATATCAATTTCTTGGCTCACATCCATTTTCCAATCAACTTTCTTTTGGATATTTTATGAAACTATGAAAGTGAAAGAATGTATATGGTGGTAGGGTCTCCATACTTTATTTCATTCTTGCTATGATACTCATGGCTTCTCTTACCAATAGAAAAACAAAGTATTTGGTAAGTACAATAGGAGAAAAAACTAACAATTTTAAGGCTTTCAAAGCATCTGGAGACCCATATCAATATAAAGGAAGGAATTTTCTTATCTTCAGCAACAGAAACATGTTGTTACATATAGACAATGATGTATGACTAAAGAAAAAGAAGAAAGATATAGACAATGATGATGTATAATGTGATTGTTCTGTTCATCTCAGCTTTGAAGCTTACTTCTTGTCACTCTGTCTCTGCATCACTTTCATCAACTGTCCTTCCCAGTCAGATACAACTTCTTCTCCATTCGTAACCTGACCGAATCAGAAGCCTCATCTCATCAGTAACAAATGCTTCTTTGTATAGGAAGCAGCATCAATAAATTGTTATAAATCTACCTCAAATATCAACCCTGTTGGTGGGATCACACTTAGCGCTTCAACGCATATACGAGCAGCATCTTCCTTGCTTATACTTCCTTTGGCTGCAGCACCCTGTTTCATTCATAAAATGGCTGTTTAAAGTTAAAAGTTAAAACTCAAGCGGTGAAGTCAACACATGATTTGTCTTATCTATTATAAGATGACTTTACCGTGCTAAAGTTGAAGCCTTGATTCCCTCCAGGATTGTTTTCCAGCTTGCCTGTTCTTATGATTGTATAAGGGACATTCGAAGATATAACAGTGTTTTCATCTTGCTCGGCCAGTTTTTTTGCTTTGTTATTCATCATAGCTTGAATACCGCCACTGCTTTCATAAACAGACAACTGCAGCTTCATTAAACCATGATCTCACAGACACAAAAAAAAAAAAAAAAAGACAATTCCAACTTCCAAAATTGTTGCTAGTACATCAACAATCACTTTGTAATCCTCATTACTGGAATTGAGTATGCAAAAGGGCAAGTCATGGAGATTGTATTCTTACCTGAGACAAGAGAACTGCATGTTTTACACCTCTTAAACTCTTGACATTCGATAAGAAACCTTCCTGCCAAGGAAATAATGAAATGCTTCATGTTTTAGATCAATGTACAACTCGCTCTATACGAATGATGAAGGGTTTGGTGAAACATACAGTCGGGGATATGACCGCACCAACGCCTTTAAAAGCTTTCTTTAAGAAACGCTCGTCGCTTGCATCTCCAGACGTCAACTTCACAATTATAATTCAACTGAATGTTTGCCAAAGTGAAGAGAAACAAGAGATTGAACCGGGACCTGAGTATATATTCAATGAACAAACCTCAACATAAGATCCAAAAGCTTCCAAAGCCTTTCTTTTGTCCTTCACAAGTGCTTTAATCCGAGCCCCTTTCACAATCAGTTGCAGTATAATCATCTACATCAGCTAAGAATTAACACTTCTCAGTTTCATTTTTAATAACTTCAATCATGTTGCATCTAATGTATGATGATTCTGTGAAAGCAAACACACCTGACCCAAATCACTGTCTCCATCCGTTACAAAAACAGTGTTTCTCTCTCCATCAAGATCATCTTCTTTTGCTTCCTCTGCTTCATAGATTCCAAATGAGATAGAAAAATGCAGATAAGAGTTATGTGTAAGTCCTGACTTCCTGAGATTCCAACTCAACCATTCTCAGTATCTTGCATTTTGTTTTTAATGATACCTTCAAATTCATCGTCGTCTCCACTTAAAGATCCATCTTTTGGCCGAAGTTCAGGCGCTCCATACCATTTCCTAAGCTTGGGACCGCCTTCAAACAAGAAAAAACACAGACCAAAAACAGTAAAGTAAAAAGTCTCAATTTTTATTCGGACAAAGTCTTCACATTTGATACCCAAATTTCAAATTTCTATGAACTTGAAAATACCTTCGATATAATCGAGAATCTGATCTACAAAACTGATTTTCTTCTTAGCGAAACAACGAACACGACAACGTTTTCCAGAAGTTATCCCAATTCGACATTGATTAGCTTCTGAGACCTGATTCGAAGAAGAGAAGAGTAACGAAGGTCCTTGACTGAGGAGACACGAAGGTAGAGAAGTACCCGCCATGTCTGCAACTACAAAGATAAGGTTTCGTCCTCACTCTCCACCTTGCTACTGTAATCCCAAGAGTCCACTGTAACCCTCTAGATGAGAAAGAGGTTTCTCTAAACCGGGATAAATACAAAAATACCTGCTGTTGGATCGGATAAGATTGTTGTGCAAGGTGTCCAGAGTAAGGCCTTTCATTTTGCAACCTTATCTCAACAACGTTCTTCTGCTGATAAAGATTGAGACTTTCTTCTAAAAATATTTGCTTTCTAGTTTCTAATTTTGTTCTCTTTTAGGTTTAATCTTCTATGAGTCTCTTTATTCATAGATATTTTCGTTTGATTCTATATACCTTACTGATTAGTTATGTTATGAATTTATGATGTAGCTTGTTGAACTAGTAGTCATAGTTCTTGCTTAATGATATATATATAAATCTTGATTTAAACTCCCTCTGAATGTTCGTTTCAGTAAATTAAAAAACATTTTTATGATGGTTTTATTGTTGTTGCTTGTTTTCTTAGCATTGATCCATCTCTACTCAATCCTTACACCAGATTTTGATGGTATAAGAGGATTCAGTGACAATGCTTATATTAAAAATGGAGTTTATAGTCTCTCTGAACTATCTATTTCCAAGTTCTTGGGAGTTCGGAAGCACCTTACATATAGTTGACATTTATTCTACTCTTTCTAAGCTTTCCTATGACAATTCTTTTCGTTTGCACATTCAGAGTTCAGTTTAAGATCAACTAAAGTTGATGTGGTCAGATACTTGCTTCTTAGTTCCTTAACATTGTTCAATTTACACCAACTTAATCACAATGATAATGAGTTTGTGTTTAGATTTTTTTTTTCTTTCAAGTTTCCATTGTTGCAGGAGAAACAGGTCTACTCATGCATGCAACTTCCATTCCATGATGCAGCAAAAGGATCGTTGTTTCAAGAGAAGAAAAGTCCACAACGAGGTCCTCAAGGATCAAGGACATTGTTAGCAACAAATGTTTGTACTGTAAATTGTTGGTTTTGTACTACTCTCTCCTTTTCAAATTATTATTTGCAGTTTCACACATTTGTTATTTTTCTTTATTTATAAAACAATGGTTTGGGTAAATTAAAAATAAATTAATAATTACAATTTTGTGAAACAGGAAAAAAAAAATCAAAAACATCCAACAATTTGAGATAGAAAAAGTAAAAATTTAGCTACAAATTAACAAATAACAAATGCTGTGGAGTCTGGACTAACCAAAATAGTGAAACACCTAAACCAAATTCACAGACGGCGTACAATCCTAGTCTAGATAGAGCAGACGACACGGCGTTCTTGCACACGTGACCCTAACAAACGGAACGTAGTTTACTCTGAGTTGGCATATTAAGCTATTTACTGACGTGGCAATGTTTCGATATCGGACCAAAGCTGCATAAGTAAATATACGGATTCCAAATCACAAAATAAAGATTTTGAGTTAATAAAACGCTTTGGAGTCCGGGACCTGTTAATTTGCTCAGCACTGGAAAAAAAAGCCTAAAGAGAGCCAAACATAAAAAGCAGTACCAAATTTCTTTAACCCTTTTTGCTTATCTAAGAAGTTTCTCCTCTGAAATCAACGAAGATTAATCTATTCTTAGATATGACTTTGTCTCCGACGCTTTGAGGTCACCAGAAAGTGTAATCAATCGCCTTTTTGCTATAATTGTCACTCTCCGGCGACAAAACTTGGTTTCCGGTGGTAAGCATTAGAAATTCAATTTTTTTGATTCGTTTCTGTATTTTCAAGCTCTGATTTCGTTCTTTCTTGGCTGTTTTTATGTGTTATATTCGTAATTCGATGGAATAATAATACCGAAAGTTTTCAAATTGATTGTGAGGATTCAAGGGCTTGGTTTGTCAATTGTGAAACTTGTGAATTCTTTGGAATTTCAAGATGGGGAATTCAAATTCTTAGTCTTTCTTAATTTTGTATACTTAGTGCTATCCTTTCCTCTTCAAAGTCCTTACCTTTGTTTGATAATAGATACTTCTCACTTTGGGACTGCTTTGTTTTCGTCTGATTTGTATTTATGTTTTTGGTGTGAATTTGAACAAAGATACTGTCAATTGGTATATCCAAATTTGCAAATAGTAAAAGATTGTTTTCTTTCTTTGGTAGAGTTATATATAGGACTGCAGCATCCTTTGGTGGATTATTTTATACTTCTTACTTGAAGAATATATTGAGCATTTTATCAATTTGTTTGCTTTTTCTTGTTTAGGGTTTCAGTTTTTGTGTGTGTTTAAGTTGGATTTGCGATGGGAACTGTGGTTGGAACTGTTGAGGACCGCAGAGATATGTTTGAGGGCAGTGCTCAGACAATGATCACACCGTTTTCTTCAACAAATCAAATTGGAAATCCTGTTGCATACAAGCTTGTCCGGGTATGGCTATAAAAATTTGTTCTTTTCAATGTCTTTCTTATAGTTGATCTTGTTGTTTGATATAGTTTTTAAGATTTCTTTGTGTGGCTTCTGTCTTCTGTGGATGTCGTCCAAGTTAGAACAGGAAAAAGATATTCTAATAGCGTTATTCTTCTCTTGGAATTGAGAATCTATCTACTATGATTATCGATGTTAGTCTTTCAAAATCTTATTTTGGGTGGTTTATGGAAATGGTTAGGTTTCAGGAGATGGGAGTCTAGTGCCTGCAACCGATGAAGAAATTTTGGAGGTCAATGAGACGGATATGCATATTGCATCAGATGCATGTCAGACTGTAGGCTACCTTGCAACCGATGAAGAAATTTCGGAGATCAATGAGACGGTTATGCATATTGCATCAGATGCTTGTCAGACTGTAGGCTACCTTCCAGCTGACGGGATACCTTCTCGGTTGTCCCGGCTTGAAAGTTCAAAAGGTTTGGTTCCCATAGACCCTTACATGTTGAACCGTTCTTGCTTAAAAGCCTATGATAGTTTAGCTCTAATTATGCTCCTTTTCTTAGGGGACATTTGTTTCTATGGTCAGGAATGCATTGTATACCCAAATGCACTTCTTTGAACATTTCCTATAGTTACACAGAGTGGTTATGCTAGATGCAAATCAGAGAGAGAGCTAAATTTTTTGGTTTCTTAACCAAACTATAGATGTGTATCAATCTGTTGCACATTTATACCAATTTCTATCATTGATATATCCCCATATATGCTTGTGTCTCTGTGGCTTTCTCTATCTTATGTTGAGGATTCAGATAGAATTGGTAATAAAATTTCTTATTCTTTCAGCTATCAATTCAGGTTTATTGCAGTCCGATAATGTGCAACCATACACAGACCAGGTAAAGTCTCGACCTGAGGTTAGTCCTAGTTCAGAAATGTTGAAAATAGAATTTAAATTTATGGCATTGTATAATTTCCACAATTAGATTCTTAATGTTTTAATGTTAAAAGTTTTTCATAAGAACTCTATCAGAGACCAGATGGCCTTACTCCTAAGATTTTGCTCCATCTTTGAGATTTTTGCAGTCCAATGAGGAGATGTTGCAAAAGGTTGAACAGGAAGAGAGGCTTGGCAATGTACATGAATCTCAGATACCTTCTACTCCTCCAGATGCCAATATCCAGTGTTCTAGTGAAAACAACTTTTTTGAGGAGGATCAAGACCACCATGAAGATTTGCTGCAAGAACCCATACCTTTCTCATCGAATGTTCAGAATGAATGCGATATGAATCAATCTGATAAGATTGAACCATGCTCAAACGCAGAAGCTAGTCCAAAAGAAACTGCATTGTCTGATGCTGCCCAAAAACCTGATTTTTCTAGAGTTAGAGGCGAGATATGCTTGGATAATTTACCGATTAAAGCACTGCAAGAAACATTCAGGGCAACGTTTGGCCGTGAGACGACTGTTAAGGACAAGACGTGGCTCAAAAGGAGGATTACAATGGGACTTATTAATTCTTGTGATGTTCCAACAACTAACCTGAGAGTAAAAGATAACAAGTTAGTTGGAAATCAAGAGAAGTCCAATAATGGGACTAATGCCATTAGCAATGTTATGGGTGATGACGTAAGAGCTACTAAAGTGAAAGATGCACCATCGAGTACTGATCATGTGAATGGACATTCAAATGCTTCTGGCAATATCCTCGGTGGCAACCACTATTACGCTAGTGATGATTATTCCAGTGAACAGAGGGCTGCAAAACGAGTTAGGAAGCCTACACGAAGATACATTGAAGAACTTTCAGAAACAGATGAAAAACAGCAAAATGACAAGTCAATGATTCATTCTAAAGATCAGAGGTTGTCCGCCGAAAAATCTGAGGTCAGGTCTATCAGTGTCTCCTCGGGGAAGAGAGTTACCGTCACCAGGATGGTATCCCTTGCTGGATCTGAAATTGAGGTTCCTTATGTTTCTCATGTCCGGAGAAGCCGCCCAAGAGAGAACATTATGGCTCTTATGGTATGTCTCTTGGTTACTCATTCTCCTCAATATAGTAATTAATCTCATACCTTCCTTTGAACTGAAAAAAGCTTCCTATCATCCAGCTCATGTTACATCTGTGCCTTTTACCACGTGCCAAATTCTATCTCAAAAAGCACAGATGTAAAAATAATAAAACGAGTGATCATCTTCTTTGCCATTATTTTGCTTTGCTGTTATGTCGGAATGTTATTAAGGATATTATAACATTGTGTAGGGATGTCATTCCAGTTGCTTGGAAGATAAAGCTAGTGCAACAGAGAGGAACCTCAATCTGAGTCCATCTCAGTTAAGCAGTGATGTTGTGAACCGAGATTCGGTGGAAATGTCTGCTTCTCGACCGGTCCAAAAAGAAGTAAGACATATCTATTGTTTAAGTTACATTAGTCTCGTAATTCTCATTTTGTACTTTGCAGATAGTAGAATTGGTATAGGGTTAGATTTCATTTACCATCTACCTGATATTTTAAATGAATTTGGTGTGCCAGGTATGACACAGTTTCTCATTGCTTTATTGGTTTGCAAATGCAGTTTGCTACAAGTGACGATAACAATGAGGAGCATATTATCTCTGAGGTTGATCAAGACATGGAGCCAGAGCACACAGAGTCATCTGGAAATAGCTCGGATGACAATAATAACATTGGCGTGCCAATCATGCAAGGTGGTACACTTAGAAGGAAGCATCATCGAGCTTGGACTCTGTCTGAGGTTACAAAACTAGTTGAGGGTGTATCAAAATATGGAGCCGGGAAGTGGTCTGAAATCAAAAAGCATTCCTTTTCATCATACTCATATCGTACCTCTGTAGATCTTAAGGTATTTCAACCATTTAGCCCTCTTTACATATCCTATCAATCAAGGCTTTGGTTTAACCATGTTGTTGTTTTGTAGGACAAATGGCGTAATCTTCTGAAATCAAGCTTTGCTCAGAGTCCCTCACACAGCACGGTACCTCCCTTTGTCTCTCTCTCTCTCTCTATCCCTTTAGCTTCCAACTGCAGTTTCCTTTGCCAAGAACTTGGGTGTGCTCAAGTTGTAATAACGAGAGCTTATGAATATACTGCCGTGTTTCCAGGGAAATCTCAAGAAACATGGGTCAATGCATATTCCTACGCAGATTCTGTTACGGGTAAGGGAGCTCGCGGAGAAGCAATCTCAGTAAGCAAGTTTGTTGGAGATAGGAACAGAAAGGAAAAGGAAACAAGATCCGACTTCTAGTAGCTGAGTTTTTGTAAAATAGCAACTCAAGTAAGGGAGACGAGAAATGTGAGATAACGGTTTCTTTAGACTTGTAACTTTCCAAGGAAGCTTTGTGGGTTATTTATATATATGAGGAAAGTATTAAGCAGTGTCTGTGTCTTGAATTGGTATGAATGGGTTCTCTATAATCCATGGAAGCATGCTGATCTCCTGCAAACTTTGTTTGACTCGGACTTGAATTGGGCCTTTTTTTGTATTGGATCCATTATTCCTTGGAGATGGTTCTCGACCCACACTTACATGTGTCCTTCTCGCTTTCTCTAGAACCATCCCCTAATCACTCCTCAAAGTTCCCTTCTTTTCATGCAAAAACTTCACTCTTTTATGTTGTTTTTCGCTAAATTTTCGAGCACATAGCTGATAGCTCTGTTACTACCAAGAGTCACATGTAAGGGTAAGTTGCATAGTTTCGTATGTAATCTGAATTTCAAACTTGTTTGATCGGTAGATAATCAACGCCAAAGAGATGAACTTTCGTTTGTTAGAAATGTTACTTCTTTCAGAATTTTGGTTAATTAAAAGCTTGATCCTTCAGATGATACATCTCCCTTTGCCCCAGTTTAAAGATTGTGTCTTTTTGAGTTAATGATTAATTGGTGATTTTATGATTTGCCTTTTAAATATTTGTCTGATTGTTGTTGGTTATTTTTTTAAAATGCTGAAACTAGTGAAGATACCTCAGTCCTCACCTATCTCCAGATATCGAGAAGTAAAGTCTGAAAGAAAATGGGAATCGTGGAAAGGATTAAAGAGATTGAAGCCGAGATGGCTCGGACACAGAAAAATAAAGCTACAGGTTTCATCAATTATAGAACGTGTAGATGTAGACATGAGACTCATCAATTGATTTTCTTATATTTGCTGAAAAAAGCAGAAGAAAATGGTCAGCTAATGAAAAATATTGTGACATTTGATGGACAGAGTATCATCTTGGTCAGCTCAAGGCAAAGATTGCAAAGCTCAGAACACAACTCTTAGAGCCTCCAAAAGTAATGCAACTTACTTCTTATGAAATAGTTTGTCAACCACTATTGTCTGTGCGCATATAGTTTGGATCCTGTTACTAGGCTTCTTTAGGATGGCTATAGCTATAGTGTACAAACTTCTGCTCCGCGTAGCTGGAGCACAGTATCAAGTTCTATATTCTTTTTTCATTTCTGATTTTTTTGTAAATGTATTCTAATCTACCTAACAGGGTTCTAGTGGAGGTGGGGATGGTTTTGAAGTTACAAAGTATGGTCATGGACGTGTTGCACTTATAGGCTTTCCAAGGTCCATCTTGAAATGCTCTACTCAGCACAAATTCATGTATCTGTATTTTAGAGTCCTCACTTGGGTAAATTTGGGTTTGTGGCTGTGATTTGCAGTGTTGGAAAGTCCACGCTTTTGACAATGTTAACCGGCACACATTCTGAAGCAGCCTCATATGAATTTACAACGCTTACATGCATCCCTGGAGTAATTCACTACAATGACACCAAAATTCAGTTGCTTGATCTTCCTGGAATTATTGAAGGTGCTTCAGAAGGAAAGGGACGAGGGAGGCAGGTTTAAATCCAATTGATTCTTATCCTTCTTACTCCTTTGTACCCTTTTTTTCCTCAAAAACGTTAAGGAATGCTATGAAATGAACTTAGATGGAACCTGTATGTATCTCAGGTTATTGCTGTTGCAAAGTCTTCAGACCTTGTGTTGATGGTTCTTGATGCCTCAAAAGTAAGAGCTATGGTTTAGATTTCCATAGTGTGCTGGTTCTGTCTTTTTTTCGCTTTGCTAGTTTAATCTCACTATTTCTTCTTCCAAAATCGTTTTAGAGTCAAGGTCACAGACAAATACTGACTAAGGAGCTTGAAGCAGTGGGTCTGCGTCTAAACAAAAGACCTCCACAGGTAAAGCTCATATTTATCAATGGTCTCCCTTTCTAAACTCTTAATTCTGTTTCACTTTATCTGCTAGCTTTCTGTTATTCAGCAAAGGCTTGCCTTTTCAGAAAGTTCTACACCAGCTTGATGTGATACCATTTAGTGGTGTTTTGCTTTCTTTATTGTAACAGATATACTTTAAGAAGAAGAAGACTGGTGGGATTTCTTTTAACACTACCGCACCCTTGACTCGCATTGATGAGAAGCTCTGTTATCAAATTCTGCATGAATACAAGATTCACAATGCTGAGGTACTTAAGTCCATCTTTAATCTTGTTTTTATTCAGCCTTGGAAAAGAGTCATTCCGTGCCTCTCTTGTCCGCAAGTTAGAAGTAGAACTATAAAAACTTTAAATCATTATATTTTGTTGTTTTGTTGAGAGATATGTAATGGGTTTAGTAATAAAAATTGCAGGTTCTATTTCGTGAGGATGCTACGGTAGATGACTTTATTGATGTCATTGAAGGCAACCGCAAATACATCAAGTGTGTATATGTCTACAACAAAATAGATGTTGTTGGAATCGATGACGTTGATAGGCTAGCACGGCAGCCAAATTCTATTGTTATTAGCTGCAATCTAAAGGCAAGTTCTATAATTTTGACAAGAGTATTGTCTAAATAAAAATCCTATTCAGTGCAGTTCTAGCTTCTTCATAATGGTTTGATTCCTGTATAGACTGAAACTTGAATATCTATACTGGAAGACTCTGTTCTATTAATGGTTAATGCTGGTGTTGCTTGAAACAGCTAAACTTAGACAGACTACTTGCAAGAATGTGGGACGAAATGGGACTTGTTAGAGTTTACTCAAAGCCTCAAAGCCAGCAACCAGATTTCGATGAACCCTTTGTCCTCTCAGCTGTAAGTATAATACCCTCAACACTTTTCTTGCGGATTTTCAGGCTTCTTTTGTATAGATAAGAATTTACAGATATGGTTTTTCATGTTTGAACTTCACAATAATATCTGTGGCAGTAATATTTGATTACATGTGTCACTCCTCAGGATAGAGGTGGCTGCACAGTTGAAGATTTCTGTAACCACGTCCATAGGACTCTGGTGAAGGATATGAAGTATGCACTGGTTTGGGGCACAAGCGCTAGGCACTACCCTCAACATTGTGGTCTTTCTCATCATCTTGAGGATGAAGATGTTGTTCAAATCGTCAAGAAGAAGGTACAGAAGCATAAACTATTTTCTGATCTCTGTGTCATGATGAGAATGCTACATCAAATGTTGATGCTTGTCGGAATTTCAGGTGAGAGAAGAAGGAGGAAGGGGACGGTTCAAGTCACACTCAAACGCGCCCGCTAGAATTGCAGACCGAGAGAAGAAAGCTCCACTAAAGCAATAAGACAGTTCCTCATCCTGAATTATCTCAAGTAAGACAGACCTCATGTGTATTAGAACCATAACTAGAAGAATAAATGGAAAGTAAAAGTTGTTAGTCATCATTTCTACTGTAAACTCTGTTATTAGTCTATAAAAAGGCATTCATGTCTTGATTTCATATTGACAAGAGCTAGGAACAGATTGTTTCAGAAAATACAAGAAGTAAAACGATTAATGATCCAAGTGCTAAACAACTGACATTTGTAGTCTCGAAACTAATTCCTTAACATTCATATGTAAAAAGATAAACAGAAGTTGCTTCCGTATCTATATTCCGTGTATGTTTTTCATGGGACCAACAAGCTGTTGAGATGATTGAAGGCATGATTGCTTAGCCTCTCTGGCTCTTTGCCCACATATGTCTACCTGTTACTTGAGCTGGTGGGTATAGATCAGTCCACTGGTTGCTCAATGGATCCGAACCAGCACTACGCCTTACATTTACATCTCCGTTGTAAGACATTGACTGTTTCTTCTCAAACGGTGTCTTGGAAGGAGAGGATGAAGACCCTGATCGTCTCTGCTTAGCTTTTATAGATTGTGTCAAGCTCATGTAGCTCGGCTTTCTGTAGTACCCTCCTTCCTCAAGGAAACTTCCCGAGAAGGGAACTGGGGATTGAGATGTTGACGAAGACTCAGAACTTGTAGCAGACGATGACATTGGAGGAGGTCTAGCCAAAACTCTGGTTGTTAGATTGTTCTTCCTGACCTGAACCGTGTCATGTTCAGACACACTGCTCTCACTTTTCCTTGCATTCTCTGATGAGTTTGTAGGACCTTCCATCAACCGACCTTCCCATGGCCTGTCTGCAACCCATCGGTCAAGCCAATTCCAACCTGGACTGCTCTTGCACGACCCATTACTCTTTTTAACACTCCCTTGCTTGTTCGCCTTGGCCGGACTTGGACACGTCCTCGGCTGTCAAAATATGAGAAACTCAATGAACACAAATGCTCTGAGATAGTAAATCCTCAGAAATTTGATTCTTGTTTTGAATCCATTACCTGATGTGTCAAGGCATATACCATAGCTCTCTCCCTCTTGATTGCTCCTTCTTGCCTCATTTGTAGCTTCGTTCTCACTTCATTTATACTTCCCGGGCTATCACACCAACCCTTCTGAACAAACACATCATTGCAAAATATTTACATTTAGTCTCCCATGAGTCCCATTCTATACAAGAATTCATGTCTGATAATCATTACCTCAGCCTGTTTTGCCGGATCATCTTTTTGTTGGTCAGATGGCTTCTGCAAGTCCTGTCCATCTGAAGGCCCCCTATTGCAATGAGCTCGTACCCGTGCTTGAACTCGAACAAGAGCTTGCATACACCTTAGTGTCACATCTGCTTGTTTCCGGACTTGCCTGCCACGGAATATCGCCTGAATCCTCACCACCGCCTTCAAAGCTCTCAGCGCTTGTCTTGCCTATAAAATGCATCTATTAAAACATTGACCACAAAAAGCTACAGGGAAGAAAACAAACGAACTGCTCAAATGAATTGACTTAGTTTAAGGATCCATTAAGTGTTGATGGTTGATTAAAGATTCTAACTTTCTATAAGAATTGTTGCCAACTTAGTTTAAGGATCCATTAACTGTTGATGGTTGATCCTTTAGTACTTTTATGTTTCATATACAATCATATCTCTAAATCATAATGTAAAAACCAATGAACAGTTCACTTAAACCAAAGGAGATTTATGCAAAGAGTTGATTAACAATTGAAAAGTGAAGCAAAGAGCTTATCAGTAATAGTGGTTAAAGTCACGAACCAGGAAAGCTCGAAAAGCAGCCTGAATCCGTGTAGCAGCCCATTCTCGTTTAACAAGAAAGAAATCTTTCGGCGGAGCTCTGATGACAGCAGCAACAGCCGCCGTGAAAGACTCATCAGCAGAGAAAGACGGCGGATCTGAACCCAACGAAGGAGTTCCATAACTACCACCACGGCTCTTGAAACCCTTTGAGGAAGAAATCAAGCTTTCTGATGAAGTCCTCCATAGTTTCCATTTCTTCTTAATGTTCTTCTCCTGCAAACAAAAGAATCAGTTACTGAGATATGAATAGAGCTCGGTCACGTGTAAAGAAGAGAGCTTTTTCGAGATTTACTTGATCATCAGTGATGGGTTTTTTGTTAGTTATCAGAGATTTAATCCAATTTCCAGAGCCACCCATTTGCTCAAATTTGAAACCTTTTGTTCTCTTCAAAATCTGTAATAAAGTTGGAGACTTTCACAGGTTTTCGAATCAGATCCGGCGGAGAAAGGTCGATTCGAGGATATATTTGCAAATAAAATCTCGAGAGAAGAGGAAGAAGAAGAAAAAGAGAGAGAAAGTTTCTGGGAATTTTGGTGGCCTGAAGAATGATGTAGACAAAAAGGTTTGCAATTGTTAAAAGAAGCGAAGCGTTTGAAATTTGAAATTTTGGTGAAGGAAGGAATTAAAAACATTTAGTATTTTTTTAATTTAACGGTAACATTATTCATTGACATTTCGCTTTCGTCGTCATAAATAAATGACTCATAAACATTGGAAAAAGAAATTATTTATCTCTCATGCCTCGCGTGATTATAATCCTCCTTAATTTGCGTTAGGTACATTTATATAAATAATTATGAAATGACCACCTTATTTCTTGTTTCTTAGTTTTCCACCCCGTAACTCTTTGTAAGCAATTAAAAGGTCCAATTGGGAATTTTTTATGTAGAATTCTACAGAGGGTCTTCTTATTTAGTTGGGATCCATCTTAACCTTAACCAAGTTTATTAGTAATATATTCTCAGTAATCTTTATTTATTTACTTTACTAATGAAAAAAGGACAAAGAAAGATTGTAGCAGTGTGTATTATTCTCTTACAGACTCCATTATACTTGTTGTGCTACTCTCAAAGATACAAGTTTTTATTTATTAGATCTATTGACTTTCAGAGATGCCTCTAAATGAGACAAGGATTCGTCATTTCTTCGCAGCTCATTCAGTAGTACTCACAAGAGCGACATCTACTTCAGGGAGTTCTTGATGTCAATCACGAAACGGTACTTGATGTCCTTCTTCACCACTCTTTCGAGAGCTTCGTTTATATTCTGAATGGGAATTACCTCTATGTTTGGGTAAATCTTATGAGCTGCACAGAAATCTATCATTTCCTGTGTTATTTTGGTACCTCCGGTTACACTTCCCGCGAGCATTCTCATACCTGTCCAAACATCTTTGGTTTCAGTATCTTAGAGTATGTAAAAAATGGAGATTATAAGACTTTTTTGAGTTGCATACCAAGATTGAGATTGGCAGGACTGATTTTAATTTCACTTGGGAAACCAACCAAGACATAAGTTCCAGCAATCTTCAAGAGAGACATGTAAGGATCAAACGCGTGATCACCAGATGCTGTATCAATGATAAAGTCTAGAGATTTTGCTAGTGCCTGCAAGTAAAAATGTAGATTCACAAGTTAAGTTTCTGGTTCCATTCCTAATGATCACAAAGATATTAAAACTTATTTTACTACCTTCATCTGGTCATGGTCAGACGAGATAACGAAATTCTCAGCTCCCAGCAGATTCAAAGCTTCCTCTTTCTTGGAAATGCTGGTGCTAAAAACCGTAACACTAAGTCCAAAAGCCTTGCCAAATTTAACTGCCATGTGCCCAAGACCACCTAGCCCGATCACCCCAAGAGATTTACCAGGTTGATTCATATTGTGACGCATCATAGGCGCAAAAACCGTGATTCCAGCACAGAGTAATGGTGCAGCTGATTCCAAGGGATAGTCCACAGGTATCTTGTAGCAGTACCTATTGTATTCCATAATTGAAACACAGGAAAAAACTAGTACTCAGAAACCATTTGCTTCCCTTCTATACTTAAAAACTCATTTATGCACTCACAAGTTTCAAAAGTATGAAATGGAAAGAGAGGAAAGCAGATAATAACCTCTCATGAACAACAATGTGACTAGAGTAGCCTCCTTTAGTAACAGAGCCATCATGATCAATACCATTGAAAGTAAAAACTCCTTTTGCACAATTAACTTCTTGTCCGTCGTTACAATATTCACACTCCCTGCAGGAGTTAACATACGTTCCAACACCAACATGGTCTCCAACTTTGAATCGTTGAACATTAGACCCAACCTTAGTCACTATTCCAGCAATCTCATGCCTTAAGAGGAAAACAAATGAATATCAAATCCACTAGTAAGGTGAAACTAAATGATGTAAAGTTTGGTTTTTGAAAACATACCCAGGAACCAAAGGGTACTTAGAGTCTCCATGTTGGTTTCTAGTCCAAATAACATCAGCGTAACACACTCCACAATGAGTGATTTTGAGTGAAACATCGTCACTTGTAACAGACCTGCGAGTGAATTTGTGAGGAGAAAGAAGACCAGATGGATCTTTTGCAGCCCAACACATGCACTCGTTTTCGCCACTCTCTGAAGAACTCATTGGCGATTTTCAATTTTTCGATTACCTAATCAAGAGTCGTGTATCGTTTTTGATTTGTGTTGATTGATCTGATCCAAAACCAAAACAGAGCAATCTTTTTGCTTTTGCAGTGATTCAATTACCAAACTGGTCATGGTGTTTTTTTGTTTGTTTTGGACTAACTTACAAACAAAGAAGCCCATAATAACCCAACAAGGCCCATTTAAAGTCCAATAAGTTGAATTCGATTTTGGTTTATTATATTGTAAAGACTCCTTTTACATCTGACGCAAACGCCACCGAATCAGGAACCAAAAATAGAAGAAAGCTGCAAGATCAAGAACCCATCGATGGCGGATCAAAACCGATCAGGTATACACAATCAACGATCAGATATCATCATGGGTTTACGCATTTCTTTAATTTCACCACGCTTCTCGTTTAAAAAGGAAGATTTTTTGTTCAAATTATATTCGTTTCCTCAATTTCACAATCAAATTTACGCGTCTATTATTGGATGGTTTTGATCGGAAGTTTCTCTAAAGAAACAATATAGGTCCGTTTTTGATTCGTTGCTCTGTTTTTTCTCTTATGGAATAACGAATCTAAACCCTTTTTCTATTGGTGGGTTTCATAGAGGAGAAGAAGGTGAAATCGCCTAATGTGTTTGAACGAGTCAAAGAAGAAATAGAAGCAATGGGTCATCATGAAAAGTCGAAGAGTCGTCACCATCACAAAGAGACTCATGGAACAAGTGACGACATTGATCAGAACACTCCAATCGATTATGTGAAAGGACCTAGTTTCTTCCAACGAGTCAAAGAAGAGATTGAAGCCATCTTTAATGCTGTTACTCCCAAACGTTCTTCAAAGAAGTGAACTTTCATTATATATGTGTTTGAGTGTATATATGTTCATGCACAAGCGAGAAGAAGAGCTAGATAAACTCAGTTTGACAGTTTGTAATGAATCGTATCAGAATGTTGGACCTCTAATAATCTTCATTACATTTGCAAATGTCACTAATTTGTGTGATCGTTATAAGTAGTTGGTTTAAGAGAGATGGTCAATAAGGTGAAGTCTGGTTTAGGACTTATAAGGAAAGAGGAGTTTTGCCGGTTTGAAGTAAACCGAGTTTCTTAGTCATTGTAAGTTGTAACGTATACTCTGTGTTGTAACTTATTTGAATTGATGTCTCTCACGGGTTTGTGAGGTGGTGGTGAACCAAGTTTATAATATCCCTCGAAGATCATAGTGATAAACTAGTATAGATCTTGTGAAGATGTAGACATTTTCATTACAAGCTTATAAACTCGTGAGTCCGCTCGGTTTGATTCGGAAGGTTTTGGTGGTTTAATCGATTCGTATGTTTGGGAGGGTTTCTATAGAACAATGTGAAACCAATGATTTCAAGCCAGAAGATATTTATCTATTGAAGAATACCATATAGCGTTGCAACCCCAATGGGGGTTTCTAAACATGATTCTTAATAAATAATAAAATATGTATATTATTTAAATATTAGATGGATACCTTAAATTTGGAGAAAGTTAGCCCAATTGTTTCTTAATTGGGCTAAGTTTCTCTAAATTTAAGGTACCCATAATTAAAAAATATTATTTATCTATACTTACACTTTTATTTTATTTAAGAAACTTATGTTTAGAAACCCCCATTGGGTTTCTATTGACAAAATAGTATAAGTATAGATACTATCTTGTTGGAGTCCATAGACAAAATAGTATCATTAGCTTCTTCTTTTTTCTTTTTAACTTTATTTGTTTGTTGTAATGGGAGGAAATAAAAAAGAAATAGACTTGACGATTGGTAAAATAGCACACCAAACGAAACAACTCTTTTGGTTTTATGAGAGTTGTCTTGTACTCTTATGAATGTGATGTGCCTAACTTTTAATTTTCCCCATGATTTTGGAAATCGAACTACTCCAATAAGAAAGTTACAATCGTCACCACTATCCCATTTCTGGTTTTTAATTCTTCTTTTGACACTTTTTCTCCCATCTTTGATATATTTGAATCCTCTTATAATTTTCGGATACATATCTTCAAACTAAATATATAATTTGAATCAAGTTTTGATTAATGGAATGAAAGATATAATTGGAAACTATCAAACTGTAAACCTGATGAAATTTGAACTATAGTCGAAATGGTTACTTGATTTTTCTAATGAATTTACATACTCAATTTTATACTCGATATATAACGTGTCCACTATTGATTATAGTTAGCTTGATTTGTCGCATAAATACGGCGGGACGACCAAAATAAATTATATGATTACTAGATTCTTATGTCCTATTAGGAAAAAGAATGTACGTAATAGCATAGGACACCTGTTTATCATCCGGTGGATATTAAATTTAAAACGTTTATTATTAGGAAAAATATTGGGGATTGAGAGTTTATATATAAAAATATAAACACTATCAATCAAATTAAACATTTTCTAATCTCTAAAGTCTTCAAAAGTTCATTACTATATCATTCTTTCTATAAAATATTTGTCGCATTAAAACCCGACAAACCCATATGATACTTAAATATATTTACAAACGTAATACTACAATAATACAAACAAAATGTATAGTAGTAATAAATTACATACTTACAATTTAGAATTTAATTTGGCGGATTGATGATATTGATTGGTTTCACCAAGCCGTGTTGGGTTGCACGTAAAGAGGACCACCACGTTGATTAGTGTTTTAAATGAACCCAAACGATTTAAATTCCGTTGTGGGACTCCTCTTTGTGGGTCCTAATCCCTCCCTCCACGTTTCGAGTTTTAGTCGTCCGATTTGGGATTTGATCAGAATATTTGTATCCCGGTTGAAAAAGTCATACAAACCAACGGATACGATGAGCTGTTGGCTGAACTAATCAATAGTAAGGACTTTGACCACGACATTACAACGGCTTGTCCTAATCATTTGCCATTTTTTCTACAAAGTATTAGAGTAAGTTTTGGTTTCGGTCTAATTTGCTGATATGTACCAGTGGAGGACTTCTCTGAAGTCTACTCACAAAAAAAAAAAAAAATTGAAAAGGAAAACATTTTAGGATGGGACCTAGCAGTAACAAATGCGATAGGGTCCATAAAAGTCAAGTGAAAATAGTTAAAAAAAAAGTGGTCAATATCGTGTGCAGGGGAAAAAAGAAAGTACAAAACTCGAAAAAAGGACTATAGAATCATGAACGTGGACCGATCCCATGTGATTATCCTTCGAACCATAGTTAACTTGAAAGCTTGTCTGAATGAAAAATAAAACAATACCTTAAATATTCCACGTTGACATTATACAAATCAAAATCCTAACACAACAACCAAAAACGCGAAAAAGTAAAATTCGGGTACAGTGAGTTTTTTCTTAATAAAATACGTCAAATCGTATCCATATTTAAATTCGAATGTTTAGAAACGAAAGAATACTAATTATTCGCATGGTAACGAGGATTTATTCAGTTAAACTTTGATTTTGGCTAGTGACAGTCTTTGTACTATTTACTCACTCATTATGTCGACAAATATGCTTTATTGAAAGGTCAACACCAAACTAATTAACGTCTCTTTCTCCAAAACTCTAATCCACCTATATAGCTATCCTATAATTACATCTAATTGAAATACACGTAGGGACCAAATATATATAATGTAAAATACGAAACGTGTCACTGCACAATTTCTATCTTATAAATATCTGGTTGGTTAGAAGAATGTAACATCTACGTTGTTATTTAATTTCATATATAATTAAATACATTCACAGATTTGTTTTGTTCATCACGTCTTTTTCTCTTAAGCGGTGTGTCATTCGAGTTATTGATATTAGAAAACAATCTCCACTATACGAATTTATCACGTATATATGATCGTTGTTTCTGGATCTTATCCGATTAGTGTAAACAATGAATTTTAAATATTTATTCCATTTATATCTCGATCTATAAGTTATAACTAACATGAAATTTTAAATATTTATTCCATAATTATGTCTCGATGTATCACTAACTTAATTCATCTACACGGAAGAAGTTTTCCGTATATAGTTTGTACATTTCATGTTCTTATGAGTCAACCAAAACCAACCCAGCTATCTCAAAACTTGTGAATATAGAATGTTTTAAAAATTTACCTAATTAACTAAGTGAGTGATTGGTTGGACTATAGACTGTAATTATAAATTATTTATTGTAAGATTTTTGCTGTGTAGGATTTTTTGCTGTTGGTTGTATATGTAGATCATTTTGTTCATGTATGTTTTTGGTTATATGTATCTTATAATAAAAATAATTGATAAATATAAGACCTGTGATAAATATTTAAATATAAATATGGTGCATATAATATCACTTTTATGCTATTTGTTTCCGTGGATAATCTCCTGATTTTTAAAACTCATCTTTTTTCATTTCATTTTATCATAATTTTTAATCTAATATTGGTTTGAATGTTTTTTACTCTACATATTTTACAGCAAAAAAAAAAGGCTTTGGGATTTTTACCTGTTATAGGATTTTTTTTTAACTATAAATTTTAAAATAAAGCTACAACATAATTGATACAAATTTGTGGTAGAGAAAAGGCTGTAAAAAAGTTTTACAGTTGAGCCAATCACACATTCACACCCTAAATTTTCCATGTATATAACCATATAAAAAATTAGCACAAAATTCAATTGATTAAATTTAACAACTTTTGTAATTAGTTTATAGCAAAATATATTTTGATCAGTGTGTTATTCTAAAAAATAAAAAATACTTCTAGAAGCTAATTTTCTGTATAAATCTATTTCTTATTAAATATTTAGACTTGAAATTCTGATTTAAATTAATAATTGGAGTCCCATATATTTGATGGTTTAACAAGAAAAAGAAACGGTGGGGATTGGTTGAACCACTCCCTGAAAAATTTGCTTCGTTCGCAGATGAGAAAAAGGTTGTGACAACGTCACCACCATCTCGCTCTCCTATGTATTGCTATTTTTTTTTTTTTTTGTTGAATATATTATTATCTCCTAAGTTTCTGAATCAGATACTCTTTTTTCTTTTTCAGCAAATCATAGACCTACGAATACGATTTTTATCTTTTTTGTCGGGACAAAACTAGAACTTTGTTTTCCTCTTAAGAAAGTGATATTCAGAAGAAAAAACGTCTTTCTAGTTATGGACTTTTACCAAAATACTCCAAGATTTATACATTTTTTTCTTCTTACTATAGTCCTTTACACAGAACAAAAAATTCATTAAAGATCATGCTATCTATCTTTTTAATAGGATGTTAATTTTTTAAAATTCTTTACTTTTGACCAATTTTTTTTTAAATAACAGTTTATTCATTACTTTTTTAGTTATATGTTATAGAAGGGTAATTAAAACTAGGGTTTACCTTGGATTTTCCTTTTGAGTAATGTAATACTATACAAAACAACATAATTATGAGAATAAAATTCTAATGTTAAGGAATATAATAAATATACATTAAAAAAATCAAGATATCAAGAAAGTGGAGACAATTTTTGTTTTTGAGGAAAAAAAAAACAATTATTCAACAGTCACGCCTTCTAGAAAAATTTAAATCTCCAATTAAACGCGGTTTAATTACATTTTTTCTTATTTTGATAAGTACAGCTGGATCATAAATACCTTATATATTTTCCAGATTTTGTATTTGATTTGTTTTCTTTACTTGCAAAGCTCTCTCTCGCAAGTCACAAGTTAAAAACCCTCTTTTATGGTAATGGCATACGTATATTGATAATAACGTATCTACCAATTAGACTATTTTTTTAATAATTGAAAATACTTGTTAATTCAAGTTTAATTAGATTATTGTTGAAGAGAGAGAGAGAGAAGACGTAGAAGAAGAAGAAGAGGAAGCAGACCAGAAAGTGCCTGCACTGGTTCAGATTTGCAGAGTCCCTTTGATATAGAGAAAAAACAAAACCGAGTGGAAAATTCGGACATAAGAAAACAAATCTCTGTCTTTCTCTAAAACCCTTTCTCTAATTTTTTTTTGAGTCTCCTGAGAAAACAAGAGAAGAAAAAGACAGCAGATAGAGAGAGAA